ACGGCCGACTTCTTGACGTCTGTGAGTGACCAGCATGAGCGAAGCATTCGTTCCGGATGGGAGAATCGCATTCCGCGATCACCGGACGAGTTCTTTGATGCGTACCGGCAAAGCGACATATACAGAGAGAACCTCGCAGACATGGACAATTTCGAAGAAGAAGTACGTTGTAAAGCCGAAGAACGTGAGGCGGCCACTGCACATTCCAAGAAACCGGTGGAAAACAACTACACCTTGGCCTTTCACCAACAAGTCATTGCCCTCACCAAGCGCCAGTTTCTCATCATGATAGGCGACAAGACATCGCTTTTTGGCAAATGGGGCGGCCTCATCTTCCAAGGCTTAATCGTAGGAAGTCTCTTCTTCTCTCTCCCGTCGACATCACTGGGGGCCTTTCCCCGTGGAGGCGCCATCTTCTTTCTTCTGCTGTTCAACGCACTCCTTGCATTGAGCGAAATGACGGCGGCATTCTCTTCAAAGCCCATTATGCTCAAGCAAAAGTCGTTTTCCTTCTATCGACCTGCTGCTTACGCCATTGCGCAGACGGTCATGGACGTGCCTCTTGTTTTCATCCAGATCGTCTTGTTCAACACTCTTATATACTTTATGGCAGACCTTGCGCGAACAGCATCGCAGTATTTCATCGCGACACTTATCTTGTGGCAGGTCACCATGGTCACGTATGCCTTCTTTCGAAGCTTGGCGGCTTGGTGTCCTACTCTCGATGAAGCAACACGGTTCACGGGCGTTTCGTTACAAATCTTAATCGTGTACACTGGGTACTTGATTCCCCCCTCGTCGATGAGAGTCTGGTTCTCCTGGCTTCGACGTATCAATTGGATACAATACGGCTTTGAATGCTTAATGGCAAATGAATTCACAGGCCTACAGCTCGTTTGTGTTGGTCCAAATCTGGTGCCCCAAGGTCCAGGCACGTCACCTCAATTCCAATCGTGTACTCTGGCGGGCAGCCAACCGGGGCAGACGGTCGTTGAAGGCGCAGCGTACATTGAAACCGCCTTTCAGTACTCTCGCTCGCATCTCTGGCGCAACTTTGGCATTCTCTGGGTCTTTTTCGTCTTCTTTGTTGCCCTGGCGGCGCTCGGAATGGAGCTCATGAAGCCAAACGCCGGCGGAGGCGCAATCACCATGTTCAAACGCGGCCAAGTGCCCAAGACCGTGGAGGCGTCCATCGAGACCGGCGGCAGAGGCTTGGACAAGAAGATGGACGAAGAGACGGGCGTGACCCGCCACATAACGCCAGCCATGATTGAGGAGAAGGAGCCCGAGAAGAGCGACTCCAGCAGCGACGGCCCGAAAATCGCAAAGAACGAGACCGTCTTTACGTTTCGCAACATCAACTACACCATTCCGTATGAAAAGGGAACGCGGGATTTGCTTCAAGATGTCCAGGGATTCGTCCGGCCAGGGAGGCTCACGGCGCTCATGGGCGCATCCGGGGCGGGAAAGACGACGCTGCTCAATGCCCTGGCACAGCGCATCCGCTTCGGAACCATCAGCGGCGAGTTTCTCGTCGACGGCCGGCCTCTGCCCAAGTCCTTCCAGCGGGCGACGGGGTTTGCCGAGCAGATGGACATCCACGAACGCACCGCCACTGTGCGCGAGGCGCTGCAGTTTTCTGCGCTGCTGCGACAGCCACAGGAGGTCCCCAAGGAGGAGAAGCTGGCGTATTGCGAGACAATCATCGATCTGCTCGAGATGCGAGACATTGCCGGCGCAACGATTGGGAGAGTCGGCCAGGGCCTCAACCAGGAGCAGCGCAAGCGGCTGACGATTGGCGTCGAGCTGGCGTCCAAGCCCGAGCTGCTCATGTTCCTCGATGAGCCCACATCCGGTCTCGACTCTGGCGCCGCCTTCAACATTGTGCGCTTCCTGCGCAAGCTGGCTGATGCCGGCCAGGCCGTGCTCTGCACCATCCACCAGCCGTCGGCCGTGCTCTTTGAACACTTTGACGAGCTGCTGCTGCTCAAGTCAGGGGGCAGAGTCGTCTATCACGGCCCCCTCGGGCGGGACAGCCAGACGCTCATCCAGTACTTTGAATTACACGGCGCCGCCAAATGCCCCCCCAACGCGAATCCCGCCGAGTACATGCTCGAGGCCATTGGCGCCGGCGACCCCAGCTACCACGGCCAGGACTGGGCCGACGTCTGGGCCTCGTCGTCCAACCACGAGGAGCGCTCCAAGGAGATCCAGCACATGATCGACACGCGGCAGCAGGTCGAGCCGTCGCAGAGCCTCAAGGACGACCGCGAATACGCCGCGCCGCTCTCGCTCCAGACGACACTCGTCGTCAAACGCGCCTTTGTCTCGTACTGGCGCTCGCCCAACTACATCGTGGGCAAGTTCATGCTGCACATCCTGACGGGGCTCTTCAACTGCTTCACCTTCTGGCGCCTGGGCTACAGCACCATTGCCTACCAGAGCCGGCTCTTCTCCATCTTCATGACGCTGACCATCTCGCCGCCGCTGATCCAGCAGCTGCAGCCCGTCTTCCTCGAGTCGCGCAACCTGTTCCAGAGCCGCGAGAACAGCGCCAAGATCTACAGCTGGGTCGCCTGGACGACGTCCGCCGTGCTGGTCGAGATCCCCTACGGCATCGTCGCCGGCGCCATCTACTTCAACTGCTGGTGGTGGGGGATTTTCGGCACGCGCGTGTCAGGCTTCACGTCGGGCTTCTCGTTCCTGCTGGTGATTGTCTTTGAGCTGTACTACATCAGCTTCGGCCAGGCCATTGCGTCGTTTTCGCCCAACGAACTCATGGCGAGTCTGCTCGTGCCCGTCTTTTTTCTCTTCGTCGTCAGTTTCTGCGGCGTCGTCGTGCCGCCCAACCAGCTGCCGACCTTTTGGCGCAGCTGGATGTACTGGCTCAGCCCGTTCCACTACCTCATGGAGCCGTTTTTGGGGGCCGCGATCCACGACCATCCGGTAAAGTGCAGCAGCACCGAGTTTGCGCGCTTCAGCGCTCCGCCGGGCGAGACTTGCGAGAGCTATGCCGGGCCATTCATCAGCCAGAACGGCGGGTATGTGCAGACGGCGGCGGATGGACTTTGTGAGTTGTGCCAGTATGCGACTGGTGATCAGTTTGGAAGGGGATTCAGCGTGTATTACAGCCATATCTGGCGGGACTTTGGCATCTTTTGCGGCTTCATTGTGTTTAATCTTGGGGTGGTGTATTTCTGCACGTTTTTGAAATTCAAGGGCAGGAACCCATTCAAGCGCCATGGCTGAAACACCAACAAAAAAACAAACATCACAGCTAGATACTTTTAATTTTACAGAATAATAGAAGCTCCTCTCACTCATATTTCAAATTGACCTATACACAAACTCATCTCAAACATATTTCCATCAACTACAGGGTGGGATGCTCTGATGGAGGCCTCGCTATATCGCTGGCGGGGTACTGCGCTGCCCCCATTACCGCATATCCCAAGCGCCAATATGCACATAGCCGCAACAACCCCCACCATCTATGCCCTAATCAGAAGCCCCAATTCCCGTACTATGAAAGGAAAACTTTTCGCCCTCGTCTCTTCTTTTCCCTCTTCCCATCCATCCTCCCCCGTGCTCCCATCACGCACAATCTCCAATTCGCCTGGGCTTTCCTCCCACATGGCACTCGCAGCACCGTCTTCGCCTCCATGACGCGGAGCTCGCTCCACCGCTGCTCGTTGCTTGTGCGCGCTCAAAGCAAAAGATGCTGCTCTTCCTGATCCGCCATGGCGAGACGGTCGACAACGTGGCGGGCATCTACGCCGGATCGCGCGACTCGGGCCTGACGTCGCACGGCGCGCTGCAGATCTGCCGCCTGGCCGCGCACCTCGCTGAACGGCCGGAGACGCTCAAGTTCATCTACTCGTCCGACCTCCAGCGCGCCGTCAAGACGGCCGAGGCCATTGCGGCCGAGCAGAGGCGCGTCTGCTCGCGCGATATTCCCGTCGTCGAGTTCCCCGAGCTGCGCGAAAAGGACTTTGGGAGCGACGAGGGCCTCAAGTTTGGCGACTCGCGAGGCCGCGCGCCGGATTCGGAGACGGCCGAGTCGATGAAGGCGCGCGTCGACGCTTTTCTCGACCAGCACCTGCTGCCGCTCATCAGCTCCCAAACCGATGAGTCGTCGGCCTGCGCCATCGTCTCCCACGGCATCATCCTCGGCGTCCTGTACCGCGAGCTCTGCGCCCGCGTCAGCCGAGGCGGCATCACTGTCGACCCCAATCCCAGTGCCGCCAGCTCGCTCATATCCCCTCCGGTCTGGGATAACACCGGCTTCCTCGAATGCACCGTTTCCATAAGCAGTGCGGGGGCAGACGAGGACAAGTCGCTGCCGCTCAAGTTGCATGTCCAGCGAGTCAACTGCACCGTCCACCTCAAGGACTTGAAAAAGACTCGAGGGGGCATTGGCAGCGCTGCGTATGACGAGAAGCAGCGCACACTGACGTCTTTCTTCGTGCCGGGGACGAAGAAGCGAAAAAGTCACGACATGAGTGCTGGCTAAACGACTCTTGCCAGGCATTCCATTTCAAAAGGTACATATTTTTTTTCTTTTCTTCTTTTTGCTCTTTTTTAATGATGATACAACAAATAACACAGACCTGTTCTGAACACACAATGTGGAAAATATTTTGTCCAACCGCTGTCTGACATTTACTCTTGCAATTCTTTTTACTTGCATGCATTTTGTCTATGTTCCTCGCTAACTGAGACAATCAGATTCTAGATACCCACCTTATGAACACGATATAGATGGAAAATACAACATGATACCCTTTCATTACAGTTCTAAAACTCATGTGCCTTGCATTGTGACCGTGACCTCGTAAACAATAGATCCTGTCCTTGGTGTATGCGTTCTGATTATTTAGTCCCAGACTTTGTAGAACACCTGTAACTATCCTATACCTTATTCTATATCCATAACATTTGAGATTGCTCTCTCCTTTGCCATTTAACATGAAGAGAAAAATAAACGTCGCCAGCTCATGCATCATACATCATACATCCGTACTCATCTCATCCTTGCCCGTAAACACCTTGTGTATCCTCCTGCTCACAGCCTGTCCCACACTCCTGTCCGAAACAGCACCGTCTTTATTCGCACTCTTGCGCACGCTCTCCAATCTCAGAGGCCCTCCCTGCTCAAGCCCCGTCACGAGCTTGCTCACGGTATCAAACTCCGAGACGATGCCGTAAGCTATCGGAGCCGTGACGCGCGCAATCTCCTGTAGCATCCGGACATATGTATCGCGAGCATCGTCGCCGGTGCGGACCTGTCCGCTCTCCATGCAAAAACCCGCCGAGGAAGTCAGCTTTTCGCGCAGTTTCTTGTAGGGAATGGTCGAAATGTGCTGAGTAAAGGCGACAATCCACTGGGCAGTCTCAAGCTGTGTAGCGGTGTGGTGAATCAATACGTCGTACTCGACTTGTAGCTGTAGCATGGCGTCTTCGACGATGCCTTCCGAAATGTACTCCTCAGGGGCTGCATTGTTACGGCGTCTGCGGGAGGCTGGAGTAGCTTCTGGAGCAGCAGCTTGATCCTGGGCACGCACTCCAGCTGCGAATCTGCGGTTTCGGAGGCTGCGATTCTTCCTCGTCCAAGGCGTTAAGCCCTCGAGGATGTAGATGAGGTCGTGCCCGGGGAAATGTCTCTTGGTCTCAGAGACGCTCGAGTCTAGAGTGTCGTTGACAGCCATTTCGACAAATTCTTCTGCTGCGAGAAGAATCAAGGCATGTTTCTCAGGCATAATCCGCGGTGGAATAGGTTCCCAGCGCCCCATCTCTTCGTCAAATCGACTTGTGACCTTTCTGCGCCACTTGAAGGCGTTGGCGACAGGACTATCCCAGGTAGTATGCTCGACACTTAGTCCGTCTAGCAGGGTCCCTAGCTGGACCTTTAATCCCTCGGTCACGCTTGACGGCATGTCCAAGATCATTTCAGGCGTTGAGACCTTTTTGTCTGTGCGAACCTTGTTGACTTCAGCCAATGCAGCAGCACGCTCTTTTTCCAAAGCTTTGGCCTCTTTGAGCTGCTCCTTCTCCAGTCTCTTTCGCTCCTTTTCGGCAGCTTTGGCAGCAGCTTGGGCATCTCTGTCGCGCGCCTTCTGTTCTGCCGTTTTTGTGGTTGTGGCTGTTGATTTAGGCCTGCTGCTTCTTGAAGTGATTACATCGCTTTGAGAGCGACGAATGGGGGAGCGAGCGCGGGGTCTGACGCGAGACAAGTTGAAGTCGGCAATGTCTGGAAATTCATCTTCGGATGAGGCTCCTGAATCCGAGTCGATACTAATAACTGTAGGCCCAGTTCTCTGTGAATCACTCAGGGTCTTTGCCTGAGGTGGCGCTCGTGGAGGTTCTTCTGGGGCCGAGCTTGAAATGGGATCCCAGTGCTTGCGTTTGCGAGAATGCTCCACCACTTCTACAGAAACTGCTCTGCGTGGGGTGGGGATTTTGGCGGGTTGCAGGTTGGCATTCTGAGAGCTAATGAATGGATCCGAGAAGTCATCCACATCGATTATCGTATGTATGGCTGTGGCTTGCTCCTTTGGTCTGTGTGGTTCGCGTGTGGGGGGTGGTAGCAGAGGAAGTGGTGAGCTTGGAAAAGCATCGGCAAATTCGTCGACAATGGTCGTTGTACGCTGTTCTGGCCTGTCTGGCCTTTCTGGCCTCTGGTTTGCCTTTGGAAGAGGCGCCAAGAGTGGAGAGCTGGCAAATGGATCAGAACCCAGGGAGATTTGTAGAGGATCCTGAGTTGTTTGCTTCGCTACGTGAGGCCGTGCGGCTGGAGCACCTGCGAGAGAATGGTTGGTGTTTTGCTGAGGCCTCGGGGTATCTGGATCTATAGAGCTTGTAAACTCTATGGGATCAAAATCTAGTCGGTTTGGCCTGTTGGATGTGGCGCTGAGAAAGGGAGGCTGAGCCGCTCGAGGCGGATCTACAGCTGGTCGAGGTGGTGATATCGATATCCGCAGTCGCTTGGCGTTTCTCGGGCTTTGGGCGAGTAATTCATCGTCAGGCACATCGAAGTCTGATGAAATAAAGAGCTCTGGTGAACGAGGCCGCCGGTAATGATTCCGCCCTTCGCTAGTGACTGTGGAGGACGCTGTTTCTGTTGGTCGACGTATTGGCGGTAGAGACGGACTGGATGAGACGAGATCAATCACATCGGGAGCCATGGCGGTCTGATGGTTCAAATTTCCAGCGGTAGTCGTTCAAGGCCGAAGCCAGCGAGGCTTCCATGCCATGCCGTGTCTCTGCGCTCTGCAATGAGCCTAGCAAATTCTCTATTGCGTGCGCAGCTCGCTTTTTCTTCTCACATCGCGAGGTTTGAGATGAGACGCGATTCAGGCTTCGCGCAGAGTCGCCAAATCACGTGTCAGTAATTGCTTATGTCATCAAGGTTGCTCCAGCACTACAGGAGAGTTGATGGCTATCGAAGCTCTCGGAATACGATTCCTTTTCAATTATAATCGACGCCATGATCAACATGCGGCGATGACTCCGGCTCTTGTGCTGCTTCCAAATACACGATGCACATCTTGTTTCCTGCTTCTCTACGCCAATAGCCTCTTACACCTTTGGCTGCTCCACAGCTCGTAATTCCGCCCGGCCCTACGAAGCAGATTCGTTTCCTGCTCGGGTTCCAGCGCCTTTCCAGGGCTTTAGCGCCCACAGAGCTGCGCTGAACCCGCTTCAGGGCCTTTCCGGACGGCGCTCCGCCGGCTGCGGGCTCCACCCCGAGTGGTGATCCCAAAGTGGAAATCGCCCAGTTGTTGCCAAAGAGGCAGTCGCAGTGAAGACGATGAAAATGACTTGTAGAAAACTATATATTCCGGGATTGTTGCACTATTGCGTTCAAATCATTATTCTGTAAAGGCCATTCTCTGATAGATCTAATTCTTCCGTTGAATGCGTCGTTTGTCACTATTTTTCCTCACCAGTAGATACGCGCGCAGCTACTCCATCATGGGCTCTATAACCACTACCAGCAACGTCGCTGCCGATGCATATTCTGTCCCATCGGCCGCAGACAAGGTATTTGAAGACGGCATCATCTCAAATCCTCTCATAGCCAAAGATCTTCCGTCAGAGGTAAAAAATAAAAACACCAAAATTACCTTTACTGGATCCGCGAGCCCATCTCTGCCCGTCAACTGGAGACTTGCAGAAGCCGTGTCGTCTCTCAAGGCACTGGAAGCAGCCTTGGTGGACACAGTACTCCAGCGCCGTTACGGCCTGGAGCCTCACCAGGTCACCATCAACACCGACCATGCGAGCCTCTTCATCTTTTCTACTCTCCTCTGGACCATCGATCCTGTTGCCGGAGGTGAAAACATCAGCCCAAATAGCCTCCGTGAGGCAAACAAGAACCTCTTCAAATATTTCCCCAACTGCGATAAGCATCGCATGAACGCTTCCACACATCGGAATCTGAGCACAAACATCTACAAATGCGCAGACGGCCGCTACTTTCAATCTCATGGGTCTCTCAACCCGACGCCTACGCTGCTCAATGTTGGCCTTCCAGCAGAAGCGGACAAAGACACGAATATCTATGACGATGCTGTGAAGCCATTTAACGAAGCTTTTGGCAGCATTGACAGCGAAGCCTTGCAACGAACTACAGATGAGACGCGGCAAGCTGGCACCATCTGCTACACCACCGAGGAATTTCTCAACTCGGAGCATGGAAAGGCCAATGCACACGTCGGCCTCTGGGAGATTCGCGAGACGGCAAACGAGTCGCAGCGTCCTTGCTGGTGGGAAACGCCGGCGTCTCAGTCAGGCATATCTCGACCTCTTGCTGGCATCAAAATCGTTGACCTGACGCGCATCATCGCCGGCCCAAGCATCACTCGCAGCTTGGCCGAGCTCGGGGCCAGCGTGATGCGCTGCACGGCACCTCATTTACCTGATGTTGTCTCTCTCCAGGCAGATCTAAACTGGGGAAAATGGAATTGCAGCATTGATCTCCGAGAGGAGGGTGATCGGGAGAAACTGAGGCTGCTTATTCAAGATGCCGATGTAGTAGTGCAAGGATATCGTCCCGGTGCGCTTGACAAGTATGGATTTGGCGAAGACGACATCATCAAAATGGCTGAGCAGCGATCCAAGGGCATAGTATACGTGCGAGAGAACTCGTATGGTTGGCATGGGCCTTGGAAAGATCGAAGCGGTTGGCAGCAGGTTGCCGATGCGGTTCGTTTTGACGCACTCCTTTCCCGTAGACAAGAAATACTAACATTTCTCTTAGAACACCGGCCTTAGTTACTCCTTTGGACGAGCCATGGGCCTTGATGAGCCCGTCACGCCCATCTTCCCGCACAGCGACTACTGCACCGGCGTTGCGGGCTCTTGCGCCGTCCTCCTCGCACTTTTACGTCGCGCTGAAAAAGGCGGTTCTTATAGCATTGATCTCTCCCTCAACTACTACAGCACATGGCTTATCCGATCCGTGGGAACGTATCCTCCCGAGGTTTTTGACAAACTCTGGGCTGAGCACGGCCGACCTGTCTATCGGCACTGGCACAACAACGGCGTATCGGCGCCTGAAACTGTAAAGAGGCTCAAAAGTGGCCCGGCGAGTGAGAGGATACTTGTGCCGGAATTCTTTGAAGATCGTCGCTCGCCGAGTGTTTTAGGGGAAAAGATGTTTCGCGCGGTGAAGGGAGTTGCGGATTGGGGTGGTGTTGTTGACTTGCGATATAATGTTGGAACAAGAGGCAATGGGATTGACGCGGCGAGATGGCCGGATGATTTGGCACAGGAAGTGGTGCCAGAGCTGGATTGAATAAACATTGGCTGTTCTAGATACGAATAGATGATATATCTAGTAGATAACAAACTTGGTAAGATATTGATCCCAACACCGGTGAAATGAACAAGGCCATACTGAATGTCCCTAGAAATCATCAAGCAGCCCTTCTCAAGAACTGTGAATCCTCACACGCAAAATGACCCCCCATCCAGTCCTAGTCTCCCAGATCCCACACTCATTCTCTTTTCTAAAGGTGATCTCCTCTGCTCTCGTAGTCATCGTCACTCTTTCGACAGGCCTCTCTTCCTTTGATGCAATATTCTGCGGCGCATCTTCAGATCTTTTGAACAGCCCTCGAATGCCGGACTTTTTGCTGCGGGTTTTGGCTGCCTGTCCATCTGTCGGAGAAGAAGCTGGACGCTGTGGCTGTAAGTGCTTGGCGAGTCGAAGCGCCGTGCTTTCGCTTTCCCACCACAAGGTTGGGCTGATTCCATCATTGGTTTCATTACTACCGGATCCCTTTTCAGACGGCCACTGTTTCTCGTCACTGCCATCTTTCTTCTTGGCCTCGCAAACGCGAATCAGCCTCCTGTACTCTCCATCCCGCGTATCGTCCTCGTCGTTGAACTTCCAGCCATTGCTGACCGCTGCGTCGGGGACTAGGATTGCTTCGGCGAGCCTCGGCGTCGGATAGATTTCAGAAATCGACGATATGAACTCCTCCACACGCGGGTAGATGATGGATAAGATGTAGCTGTCGCGGTCGTCTGTGGCCGAGGCTCGGTAAGCCTGCGAAGCAGAGATTTGCGTCCGAAGATTGGCTACGTGCGCCGAAAAGAGCGATGAATACGATTGGGGGTCTGGATGCTGGATGGAGGTGCTGCTGGATGCATTTGGATTTGGAGAGTATGGAGGCGGAAGATCGCCGTCATCTTCAAGGTGGTCCATGGCGAAGAAGCAAAACAAGGCCCTTGATTATGAGATGCAGTTTGAGATGTTTACACCGATGATGGAACGCAGATTTGATGCGAGATTTATTTCGTCCGTGTAACAGCAGCCCTGCTTTTGGGGCTGAGAGCCGTCCAGGTGAGGCAATTAGCGCTGTCGGAATCTGCCTCTTTGAGAAATCCGCCTTGAAATAAATGCTAGCAAACATCTGCACTGAATCTCATGCAATCAGCCTAACGAGGCGTAGTGTGACTACTGCCAAGAGCAACGAATCGCACTGTATTCTATGGAACACAGGCTATGGTACTAATACTCGAATGTGTTCCTTTTAGTTTTCGGCGCTTTCGAAGTTTTTAAAACTTTATGACGCATATGATGCTGTGGACAAGGTCGGTACCTGCAGATACATCACGCTTGTATGAGGCGTATTAAGCGAGCACATACTGATAGTGGCTTGGGGCAAGTTTATCACATCTAAGCCACGTCCATCAAACTTGGCCTCTGAGGATACAATACGAAGTAGATCTTTACTCCACAAACCAGCCGCAGCATAACGTGGCTTTCTTTTGAGATGCTTTTCTGATTAGAGATCAAAGGCTTACATGCACCTAGATAGCTTGATCAGGTAATGCCTAGTATAGCTCTCGATAGCTCTGGACATGTATTATGAGTAGATAAGCGATGGTATATACAACTCTCATGCCTCTTTGCCCGTCACACTTGGAGAAGTTAGAAGGGAACATCATCTGTCCTTTAAGACTAAGGCCTCAGCTTTGTCCTCATATTTGGAAAAGTATGCGCGCTACTATAGCCTTGATCTAGAAACATTTGAGGCGGAATCCGCCCTGGCTGAGCGCGCCACCGAGCATCTTGGCACGCTAGATGATCACATTCCATATCCCACGCTTTGGCCCAGTAAATTGGTTGGTGCGATGGAATTTTCTACTTTTAATGTGCGTGCAAATTTGTGAATAGTGAAAAGCATCTGGTTAACCAATGATGGAGAAAGAATGTATATCAAAACTCTGTAATGTCCTATATTGAAGAAAGCTAAGATATTAGGGAAGCTCATTGCTCTCCGCGCCATATCTGAAAACTAAATATAAGGTAATACGTCTCTGGCTTGACAGACATGTGGCATCTCCCACATGTAAGATACTTGATATGCAGTACTCTGTCTTGGACTGTTTCACTCTAGCTAGACGCATTGGCTTTGATGCAATGTTCGAGGGCAGACGGAGCAAGTCTAGGTATACCCTGTATTGTCATTTCAAAAAGCTTCGTATGAATGAGATAAAGTCTACATATAGTAGAGTCAAATCGCCCTAATAGCGGCCCGTATACTTCCCTAATAAACTTATTCAGGATGATATCACGTCTTTATTTATTTAGGCTCTACCAGAATTTCTTTGGAATCATTCACAATCGTTTTTAAATGAAAGATGAGCTAAGAGATTATGGATATCAGACATGCCCTTTCAGCATACAGTCTTCATGTCCCGGCATGAGGATCTAACCATTCCCTACAGCCGAAAAAGGGACTAATATTGCCAAGTACGCAACTTATGAGATACATTTCTTCCTATCTCATGTGACTTGTTCTAGAACTGGAGGGCCAAATGTACCTCAAGAGGCGGAAAGTATTACTTGAGAGTCTTGCTACGATGAGACACGATTGCTTCCACATTAAATACCCAAGAAAAGCCGAGAATCGGCCATCAAGAGATATGATTGTAAGAAGCTACAAGTTTTCTTTAAGATTCAGCACATTCAAGGCAGGCTAAGATTGATAGAATCTAAATGATGTGTTGGTCCAGTACAGATATTCATTCCAGGTTGAATTCAAATGTCTCACGATGGAAGGATTTGCTGGATTAGTCGTGCAATCAGAGTCAGGATATTAGATTAGACCCTGTGTACTAGGTGATTTGTGAAAATAGCTTTGCCGCGCTGCACTCTTAATAGCAAATATGTATAACTCTAGAGTTAATTGTCTGAGATGGATCAACATGCCTTAGCATCAGACGGAAATGGCTTACCGTGAAATAGCTTCCTCAATGCTGAATTGAAGCAGTAGCTTACGAAGCATCGGATTGACGCGTGTGATGCAAAGTATATAAAGCGTCTCCATCACCCATCTCTTCTCAAACTCATCAGCCATCAGTTATTACAAAAGCTTCATTCAATACAGCAATATTCCACTTTCTGCTATTCAACAAAAACCACTCGCCAAAATGAAGACTGGTGCCATCATTCTCTCTCTCCTTGCGGCCACTGGCCTTGCAATTCCCATGGTGAGTTTTCTATTCAATAATCTTCTACCTGAGAGATCATGCTAATCTCCCTCCAGGAGCAAGCTCAGCAAGCCAAAGATGCCCAAATGATGCAGCAAATGCAAATGGCCGCCAATGGCCTCTTTGACCCCCCTCGCAGCGGCAACGGCAACCTCATCGCCGACATCTTTGATACCGCTGCTTGCATCTTCGGTAGCTTCATCGGCAGCCGCACCTGTCAACCAAGCAACGCAAGCAGCACCATTGTCCACGTTACCGACGATGGCCACCGCAATGACAACGCCAACGCCAACGTCAGCACCAGCACCAGCGCTTCTTACCAGTACACCTACTCTACCGACAGCGATGGAAACTACCACATCCAGATCAACCCCGGCGGCAACAAGTCCAACTGCACTTATACCGTCTCCAAGGATGACGCCGCGGTTTTGGCCAACACCATCAACCAGCTTGCCACCAAGTGCCTCAGCAAATAAGAGGCTTCGATAGAATGACACTCTTCTAGTGTGTCGCTGGTGACAATGGATTTTTTACTTCAGTGAACCTCTTTAGATAGTCAATTCAATTGACATTATTTCTCCAACATTAACTTGTTGGATATCATAACACGATGCCTCTTATCTAACTTTGCTCTTAATAGCTACTGCTATAACTTTCCTCAATATGGTATGATTCAAGTAACGTTGGCTAATCTTGTGAGACCACCCTTGATTGACTTGAATTTTTGGGAATTATTGCAGCGTAGCCCTTGGTCATAGTTGCTGCCGACGCCAATCCCAAATCTACCATATTTGCTATCAACGTATTTCATAATCATCCAATTAACCATGGAATGCAATTTCAAAGTCCCTACACAGATGACAGTACAACAAAATTATTACAAAAAGATCTGGGCATAGTTGTTGCCTCACCACATCACTACTCCACCTTACGAGGAGTCAGATAAACATTCACCTCACCCTTTTCCCACAGGGTATACGACTTGCTTCTATTATCCCAGCCCTCAGTGCCTTCAGCAAGCGTAATATCGTACTCCAAAATGACACGAGCCAAGATGAGGCGCATTTCGGCATAGGCAAGACTGTTGTCACATGTTAGCTTAGGTGGATGAATGTGCTTCTCCTGAGTGAATCCTTACTTTTTACCAATACAGTTGCGAGGTCCTGTAGAAAATGGCTGAAACGCATCTCTCTTGTCGTCCTTGAATTTAGGATCGCCTAGCCAGCGCTCCGGAATAAAGTCCTCAACCTGCGTCCAGTAGTTTGGATTGTGGTACATTGGCCATTGCCAAACATCAACATGAGCCTAATATTACGGTCAGACTTTGTTTCCCCAAGATAGCAAAGAAGTATACAAGTAACGGGATGAATACATACGCTTTCTGGGATGAATTCACCAGCAATAATACCACCTCCCTTGCCGGTATATCGCGGCAGGCCCCCAGGAACTGGCGGGTAAACGCGCATCGACTCGTCCAGCACTGCCAACATGTACGATAGATGCTGCACGCTTGTGATGTTGACATCTTCTGCGCTTTTGAAACTTGACCGCACCTCATGGGCAAGTTTGGCTTGGATTTCCGGATGAAGGCCGAGGTAATAAGCTGCTGCGGATAATGCCGTGGCTGTAGTTTCTGAGCCCGCTATAATGAGGATTACAGCGTTTGATGCAAGCTCTTGGAAAGAAAGCGACTAGATATACAATTTAGCTTTGGTTACCAAAATATGTTCTCACTTATACATACTGATCCATTGCGCTTGGCCGTCATTGAAGTAATAAAGTCGGGGCGATCCGAGCCGCTGTCGAGACGTTTTTGGACCTTCATTCCAGATAATTGCATATTTTCGGCGAATCTGCCAGCAATATCTTTGGGTATGGCAAATCTTTGGAAGAACTTTGGGAAAATCTGAAAGTATCGTATCGCTGCCATGAAGACGAGGTTCTTGACAGACTGGAAGATGAGCGAAACCCAAGGATGGTAATCAGAGTTTTGGAGGCAGTCGAACGGCTCGCCAAAAGACAAATCACCAATAATGTCAAACGTCGTAAAGTTGAACCAGCGGACCATGTCGATTTGCTGCGTTCCATTGCCGCAGTCCCGTTTCAGTCGATCCATCAGCTGGTCGATGTAGCCGCCAATGATGGGCTCCTGATCCAGCATGGCCTGATGAGAAAATCCATGGGCCAAACTCCTTCGAAAACGCGAATGGTCCTCGCGATTTGCGCCAATGATGTTGTGGACGTTTGGGACTCGGCGTATTGGATCCTTGCCGTGCTCAGGCTGGCCGGCCTTGCGGTGGCCGCGCATGTCGTTGAGGGCGTCTGGGTGGTTGAATGAAAGGAAGTTGGGCGCTACGCGAACAATGGGGCCGTATCTGAGGTGCAGGGCTAATATCTTGTGGTGGCCTTCGCCGCCAGTCAAGATGAGAGAGTATGGGATAAATGACATGGCCGCAAATTTGGGGCCGGGAAACCTGCGAAGTGGGTGGAAGTAGAGGTTGTAAATGCAATGCCAGGCAGTGTAGCCAAGTCCCTAGAGTGACTCTGTGAGACAATGATCAAGAATTGGGAAAGTTAATGATGTGTCATGTCAACTTACCAGCACCAGAGCAGCGAGTGGGAGAACCCAAGCCATCTGACTTAGGGAGACGGCGCTGGAACCGCCATGGTTGATGAGAATACCCATCTCAGGATGCCTTTGCTATTACACTCTTCACAAATAGCCTTGATCTACAGGAAGAAGAGGGGTAATGGAAGCAATAATAGCTCGTATGTCGGTTTCTTGAGCGGCCACCAACTTTTATATGTTATGGAGCAGAGTGTTACATCGTGCCGTCGCACATGTCGTTGGTTGATCTCTGGAGGCATAAAATGAGCAATCACTTCACAACCCGTCGGTTAAAACAGTGCATTTTCCGATCTCATATGCGGAAGTCAGCCTTCCGCGCCCGGAATCTTGAATTCCTGACACCTGGTCTTGCCGTTTCTATGGACGCAGACTATACCGTGCCATGTGTCTTTGAAGTTGAATCGGTGCTTGCAAGACCCTACAAAGGAGAACGAAACATCGAGATTCCGTTTATCCGTGGGAACTCCTCGGAGTTTGAGCTACAATGTGCTATTCTGCTTTTAAAACGGCAACGTCAACCCCCTTTGTGGTCCATGCAATGCAACCCCTTCATGGCAATGGGCAGGCTTTAGCTGATGTGGAGCGGGAGGCACAAGGGCGCACTAGAAGATGTTTGCCGCTATTTAGTAAACAAGGGGGAATGGGGGCTTCGTCGAATCAAAACTGCATTTGCGGAGTTGGAGCCTCTGAATCCCGAAACTATCTACCAAGTCCGCAAAATGTCGCTGCTTGTGTGGCACTGCTACTCCATAATGAAAGGAGATTCGTGCGGCGGATTCGGAGAAGAGTACGACTACCGAGAGTAGTAAAAAGTTACAGAGCACTAAGGATATACCGTGACAGGGATGAGAGACGGGTAGCCTAATGGATGCGCGTATCCCCTGGTGATGGCACGTTCTACTAATGGGGATATGTCCTATGTGGCTGCATGTTCTAGTATATAACTTGCTAAAGACAACTAGGCCTTAGGAGTTATTCGCGAGTTTCCTCATCTCATAGACAACTCTGACAACGTTCAAAAAAGACAGAAGTGCTTCTTGAGCAGCATAGACGCACTGTATAGTATTGTTCCAAGAACGGCAGACTATAGCCGTGGATAAACGTCCCCCCCTTGCAGTGCATTAGTTGTGGTGGAAGTAACCAATCAGGTTGTTTGAGATTCAAAATCCTGGATTCTCCACATAAAATAAAACGTCTGCAGCCGAGGCTATCGATTTAGGGGATACAAGAGAAGAGTTGATGCCTTTCAACGTGTCTCTTTCATATGATCATGCGGTCGCATTTCAATTAGTAGAATATCCTCCTTGTGGACGCAAGATCTTGGCACTTTTAGAATATGGAATTTGAAAAGAGGATCAATGAGAAGCCCTGACTTGATTGCAAAACTGGGGCGGAAATCTGTATTCCGATGCAAGGGTAGGGAAAACTGGGGTGGGGGAGCCGCATGCATTGATGATGTACAGCTTGGCGTAGCATATACACGTACATTGTAGCATCGGCTTTGATGTCAATCTTCCAGTTATCAAGGCGTTTAAGTACCAGTGTTATGATCACCTGAGATGTTTCAGGATAATCTACTAAAAATAGCGCGGTATAAGGGCATGAAGATAATCACCTCTATACTAGCAAGTCAGTCTCCTATTTCATCAATTAGGCAACCCTGCTTACTTTCATATAGGTAACACTTCCTCTATCTTTTGACTAGTAAGAAAAGTTGTTTTTGTACCCAGGGCCCTAGCAGGCTGGATGTTGACCTCGCAAGCTCAGCTTTGTCTGTGAACCTCTTGTACACTCAACTCCAAAATCACATCGCGATGCACATAATCTACCCGCGAGTACAAGCTAGCATTCAATGTAATTGACTTTGATTCTCTTACAAGACAATGATATATCAGACTAAAAAAGGTACATTACCCTATACTTAAAGCTGAGTTTTGCGGTAATACGGTGTTACGTGTGTGTGTGGACTCTTGGTTCATGTCTCCAATGATGGCCACGTTAGGAAAAAGTACATCTCTTGAAATACTCGTCTCATCTCAAATAGAAATTCTCTTTGGCATGTGTAACTTTTTTGTTGTATTCCATTATATAACGCGAGATCCACTGTTGACTCACTTGTGCTCAGCGGCGCAATACGCCTCGCCCAGACTCCAAAGCTTATAGTTCACTTATACTATACAGACATTGAACTTTGTTGCAATAGAAAATCTAGGTTTGAGGCTGTATGAAGACGCGTCGGTGTATCCACATAAAGGATATCTTCATATATATTTGCATATATCCTATCTCGACTCCCAGTTGTTTCCCTAATTCTACATTCTTACCGCCCTGAGCATCCAATAAGTAGATTTCACCAAAAGTCTTAGATAATTGGATGAAATAGATACATTGCGATGCATCTAAAACATCTCCTCGCTGCCGTTCAAATCGGCCTCGCAGTCGCTTTGCCGGCGCCCGATTTGAACACAGTAGACGTGAATCCGACAAACGGGACAGTAACAGACATGTCTCGCTATATCCCATGTGATAAAAAGACTATCAAAGTATGCTCATCTCCTCTTTCCCTTCCATCTCTTCCATCTCTTCCATTTCCCGTATTAGACTGTACATCTAGAAATGCCGTGCTCACAGTTTCCTCTTAGAAATACTGCAACAAGACCTGCCCTGCGTGGTGCTCCGTAGCCTCCCCCAAATGCTGGAGCTGCGTCGCCGTATGTGCCCAAGCCCAGTACTATTGGGACGTCCATTGCAACGACAAGCTGGGGAAATGCGCCCGGAAAGGCGAAAAGTGCAAAGAGGACATGAAAGAGTGCACCTATGGGAAGATTGAGGACTGCTCCAAGAAGTATGCTAAATGCATTCAGCAGGGGGAGCTATGCCAGGGCCAGCTGAACACTCTTCAGGAGATGGGCAAAGGGGTCGTTGTATCGGAAGGGACTGAGTTTGGGAAGAAGCGTGTCGTTTGTCGGATTCTTTAAGATGAAATCAAGGACTGGGCGAAAAAGGGAGTGGCTTTGTCTGCTCAACTGGGTCATAGACACGACGAATTAATGCTCGGAGAATAAATCAAGGTATTCAGGCTCATGTATTCGTAACTGCATGTACTCCGTATATATCGGGTAGTATTCTAGAATATTTTTTGTTGCGCCTTGCTCCTCTATGCCGTGATGCGGGCGCTGTCAAAGCTCCCGCTCTCTCCCTATTTTCTTTTTGCTGCATATGCCAAACATTCCATATTTACATCCGTATTGTCCTTTTCTTTCTTTATTTTCCTCAAACCTCGCTGACTGCCTCTTTCAGGTCCTTGACGTCAATGTTCTCTGCTGCCTTTCCGGGGTGGCGAGTGCCCTTGTCCTTGACCTTCTTCTCCTTCTTGGCGGGAGGAGGGTAGGCCTTGATGGCAATCTCCTGCCATTCTTTTGATGCTGTGAACTCTGCGTGGATGGGGGCCAGGAGCTCGTTTAATGATTTCGTGACGGCTGCCTTGAGTAGTTGGGGTGATAGCTAGATGTATTGGTAAGTATTTGAGCATCACATGAGAATGGAAAAGGCCAGTCGAATGAGGGGAAACATACCACATCGTTTCTGTAGTCCTCGTGCATCTGCTGGATGCTTGTGTAAACCAGGGGCTCCAGGCCGTCTCTCTCGCGCTCAACGACAAACTTGCGCTCTCCCTTCAGGGCTGCTGCGGGCAGAAGGACGTATTCGACGAAAGCCAAGACACCGTTTTCCTCGACAACCTTGGGAGTGGCGACGGCCTTGCGAATCTTCTTTGAGACTGCGTCTGGGGAATCCAGGAGATCGATTTTGCTGTCTATATATGAGTCAGCGGCAAAGTCTTTTGAGTGAATCTTTGGCGTGAAGAAAAGCTCCTACCTTCGTCACTGGAGCTCATCTTGGAGCCCTTGAGGCCAGGCACCATAGGGTTCATTAGATGCGCACGCTAGAACGGGTGTTAGTTACGTGGCGATTAAGGCAGTGATGCAGAACTGGCAGTCTGGGTTCTTGTTACCTCCTTGTATCCGAGCTTGGGCAGCCACTCCTTGGCAGCAATGAAGAGTTTACGCTGGTCCAGACCTCCAAACTGGGCATCGACGTCCAGGTACTGCTCGTCCAGGACCTGCAGGATCGGGTAGAGCAGGCCCGACAGCGGCGCATTGTCCGTCTGCTTGACAACCTCGGCGCCGGCCCTCTTGGCGTCGTGCTCGGAGATGACCGACGACAGCTTGTAGACGTCCATGATGTACTCGGGGCTCTTCTGGTACGAGCTGCCCTGGACAAACTTGAGCTTCTCGGTGGACACGCCGACGGCCTTGAAGATGGCGGTGATGACGAAGCGGTAGTACTCGACTCGCAGCTCGACCAGCTCGATGGGCGCTTTCAGGTTGTCGAGGAAGCCGTGGATGTCGGCGAGCAGGATCGTGACATGGCAGCCGGCGGCCAGGTACTGGGCGATTTTGATGGCGGGGACAAAGTAGCCGCAGTGAGGGCGGCCGGTTGTGGCGGTGCCTGGACATTGTATTGTCAGTGTTTTGCTCGATTGTACAGATATTCCGTAGATGAGGCCATCTTCATCTTCGTCTCGCCAACGTACCCCAGTAGATCTTGGGATGCCGTCCCTCGGCCAGGATCTTCTCGATAATCTCGGGGTTGAGGATCTCGGTCAGGTTCTCGCTGATGAGCGCGAGCTTCTCGGATGCGTCTGCGGCCGCCATTGTGGTTCTCCTTGCTTCAAACAGACAGTAAAAGTCGCAGTTTTTCTGGTGCTGGGCGTGACGCGGCGCAATGTCGATGTCGATGTCGAGGTTCGAAGTGCTGCGGTTTCAATCCGATGAGTCGCAGGTGATAATTAGCCTGGACTGGACTTTTTTCGGCTTATCAATGGCTTTGGTGGCTTTCGGCGCTGCCGCAGGGCGGTACAAGGCATAAGTACTCTGCAGGCCCTGGAGCGCCCACTGGCTTGCAGCAGCAAAAGTCGCATGAAATCGCCAGAGGGATCGCTTACGTGAGACTGACGCCGGATTAACAATCTTCCCTGCAGGCCAGGCTGCGGATGCGACTCTGATTCTCTATGAGTCAGAGTTGATTGGAGGGGCAGATGCTGCTGATTCGGCGATTTATCGGACTTGGAGGGGCATGCAGCGATGCCTGTGCCTGTCAGACGCTTCTGAGCTCAACACCGCCAGTTTTGACACATGGTGTGGACTTGTATCATTTATATGGCATATCATTATTGAGAGTCTGATGACAATTTTCTGTATAATGAATACCTTAAGTTATCAAACGAGAAAGAAACACTTGCCTATTGTAAGGTTATTGCTTAGAAGAGAAAGTGGGAATTATAGGTACCCATTAAGTATATCATTTGTAAGTGCCTTGATGTTTGCTTAGGAGCTCATATAATTATAAAATATTAGTCTCTTGATATATACATTTTAACAAGGCATGTTAAACATGGCTTTTACTCAGCCAATCCTCCAAGATTTCTTCGTCATGTAACCCCTGTTCCGCAGCAGCTTGCGTGGGTACCTACATGAGCTCCATCGACACTACGACTAAGCATAATGCATCGTCAATCTCGTCATCTTCAAGACCCTGCATCCCGCGGCATCCGAGCTATCAAGATTCTTACTTGCATGAGAAACAAATCGGTTGTTTCACAAACCAGAAGCTACCTGAAGATTGAATTGCGGCTTTAAATGGCACGAATAGGGCGCCCATGCTTGCTCTTACACCCATGGACTACTTGTACAATTTGCCATACCAAGGCTAGCAATCCCTGGGATCAAAGGATCAAGTGAAACCAAGGTGCCATGTACAAAAAAAGGCCTTTGATAGCTCCCGTCTCACTAATACGGGCGGACAATAGCTGCGGGTATATATGCATGTCAGATGCCGTTATACTGTGGAGCTTATCGGAGGGCATCCCATGTCGCTTACACGCAATTATATATTTGACCCTTTTGACATGACCATCTGATGATTTTTCTTCTTACTTTGAGTTGCGTTGAATCATTCAACATTCCGGGGGCGCTGCCCCTCATACATTACTAACATACCGAAAACATTCTCCAATTGTATCTTGTGCCGCCAATGATATTGACCCAGACATGTCCAACCTTCTAGGCCAAGTTGCGAAATTGAACAAGAAAACGGGCGAATAGAGAATGGTGATACGCCTGCTGCACCCATCACCATGCGGATATCACGAGTACATATCAAAGGTTGCGGGCGAATAAAGAAATTCACTAGCAACTCGGGAAGAATATCGAGAAGTACTTGTCCAATCTTGACCACGAAGACAAGGCCAACCGAGAATCAATCGAGAGCAGAAACCGCCGCATAAGAAAAAGCAACAAAGATGGCGGAAGAAACAAAGATCTCTACAACGGGGATCTACAAGTTCTCCATGCTCTCCGAGACGCGCAACTCCGCCTCTCCCAGCGCCTCGCCAACAAAAGACTGGATACTAAATAAGCAAGATCGGAATTACAAACTTTGCCCCAGATGGACGACAAAACTGCCAGGAACTAATGGCCTGAAGGATGGGTGGAATGTACCGAAAAAGCTTTGCATCAAAAGCATGATAGTATCTGCAATGGATCCGAGGACACCTAAAACGTGGATTGATATGACGATGATGGTGAACTTCACCATGAGTATGTTTCCATGATGTGTCATTGTTAGTCCTTTCCTCATTGTTAGTGATTCTCGTCACAAGATCTCAACTCTTAAACTTAGGCTGTCCACAATCCTAATGGTGGTCACAAGCTGACCGATACTAATGAAGAAATCGGCGGTCTCAGCAGCGGCTGCTGCGAGGACAAGGACTCGTTTGCCGTGAGGGGCAAATTTCTCGGCGCGGCGACAAGCTTGTTTGATACGAAAGATTCTGTAAAAGGTAAAAAACAATGCTCAAGTACTGAACCTAGAGTATGTTAGGGGCACTTTTGTTAAACGACGGCGCCAGCCTCGAGGTAACAACCGACGGTCTTGATATTCGGTTTGAGCTACATTTCTCGTGTTCGTACTAGTTTGTACGTGTGTGAATTGGGTTGGCCCTGGACTCTTCTCGGAAACGATGGAGGCATCTGACCTTGAATTTGCTCTGCTCTGCGACTCAGGAATTGCAACTCCAAGAACCTTGCAATCAGCCAGCCGCTTGGAGGATCTACGTCTGTCATACACCTGATACTGAGGGGGCGACATGACTCCCTCTTTGTGGGCGATGGATCTGTGATCTGGGATGCGCCGATAGGTGACGTGAGGTGAGGATCGAATTGCTTGCTGCTTGATAATACGGATAGGGGCTCAGGATGATGTTTGTGATGATGATTTGTAGCGTGTAAGCGTTAAATACTTGATTTTTTTTTTTTCCCCTCATCATCCTCATCAGCAAGACCCCACTAGAGTAGGAATGTAAGGTTCCGATACCGTCGCCTCATCTGTTGTTTCGCTATCAGAACTGAGGCAAATAGACACATAACAAATTATAGGTTTGGAATGACTGCTCGCCAGCAAACTCGGCCTTTCCAACCATACAAAAGATAGGCAAGCTTACACATAGGTAGGCTAATTCAAACCCAACGCGTTCGGTATGTCTGTTAGTTTTATGGTGATGCACTTGGGGTCTCCTTTAAGCCGATTATATGAGCGGCTTCTATACTGGAACTTTCTTGATGAGGGTGTTCATCATATCGATTGAACATCAGCTTTCTTCACGACGTTTGACAAGCCCGTTTGTCTTCTAACTGATATTATCTTCTCCTCCGCCCCTTGCAAGAAATTGTAAATAGTTGGAGCTCTTTATACCCTAAGCCAGATCACTTACCCCGAAAATGAGATACGCTGTATATCCTGCCATGTATCTGTTGTATTTCTAATTATATCTATCTTGCACTATTCCGATTCGCTCCCTCCAATGCTCTGGATTTCTGATTCTTGAAGCGATGATGATCCACTTGATCGCTCCCTTGCAAACCGCTTGGCAGTCCGTACTAATGGTCTTAAGGCTCTACAGTATCCTGTTTCTAGGCCTTGTACCGCATATGGATTGAGGTAGTTATTTCTAAAGAGCCACTCGCTGATCTCTTCTCTTGAGCTTTTATTTGTACTATATCTCCAGGAATTTCTTTCCATAAGATCTTCTATGATTCTGTTGGGATCTGCCCCAGCCTCTTCGATAAGATACGGGACCAACTTCATAACATTACACCCACAAAAGGCTGCCCCTAATACCCCGCCAAAGTAGCCAGAATCGATAGGCTCTGGCTTGATTTTCACATCCGCACGATGTTTGATAAGAAGCTTTGCGACTTCGAAAGAGCCACTGTAAGCAGCAGCAACAAGGGGAGTACTGTATTCGCCGTCGAGGCGCAGGTCCACAGTCGCCCCGGCGTTGATCAAAATATCTGCGGCATCTTCGTTGTTAAAGTATACGGTGGCCGCTAAAGGACACCTGAAGTCACAGGACGAACAAAGTCCGTCGGGGAGGGCTCCATGCTCAATTAGAAGCTCGAGTATTTTACGACCGCCGAAAAACACTGCTTGACATAACGGACGGTGCTTGGTATCGACGTTGGAATCGGCCCCGTGCATTAGAAGCTCTTGGATAGAAGTTGTCCTCTCCATAATAATAGCCTGATCCAAGGCACCGGTCCCGGAGGGCAGAATTCTCTTCGGGTCACTTCCCATTTGAATGAGTGAGACACAAAGTTCAGCGCGTCCATATTTCGCAGCCAGCGAGAGAGTATCAAGGCCATATTTGTGAAGATCTTCCAATGTGCGTTCAAGACAAGTTTTTGCCCATTCTTTCTCATCGAGAGTGATACCAAGAACCACTATCCCGAATGCTGGGTTTCCGGCAGGCATCAAGTCACTTAAGTCAAAGACGTCGTAGTTGAAGTCGTAGTCGTTTTCTAGCGAGTCAACATATTCCGACCATCTTTGGTACTCCAGGGTCGAGTGGCATGGATTGTCCAGGGAGATCATGAATCGTTCGAGAAGTTCCGAGATCTGCTTATTTCCATCAGGCACACCTTGTACATCTCTGATGTGCAACACCCAGTATCGTGATACGTAGTGTTTGAGAGAATCTACTGAATCTGACTTGTATATGATGTTGCTGTTATCTCCTGCGGTCTCGTTGCTCACTTGACCTGATCCGGAAGATTCTGTGGCGGTAGAACTCTGGTAATATTCCATAAGTACCAACAGCGACAATTTGGCCACCTCAATCCGGGCATCTTTATTAGTTAATTCGGTGTGCTTCTCGACGAAATATTCTTTGACGGATGCGTGAGGAAAGGCCCATTTGCCCTGAGCATCCTTGACGATAAGATAACGGCAGATATTTTCTAACTTCTGCTCCGATAGCCTACGGCCCCTAGTGTCCAGAACCGGGTCATCGTGCTCGTTGGCTAAACGCAGTTGTATTGCCGAAAGTAGTTGCTCCGTAGAAAGTGGGCTATGCGCATGCATGACCCATTTTACAGCTCGCTGTAGATAGATCTCGTCGTAGGACCCAGGCTTTGCGTACAACTCGTCATATGCTGCTGTTAGACCTTTGGGAAGTTTCCCAAGTCGTGTTTCGACATCCTCGGGGGAATCACACTCGATGAGCTGAGCAATTTGCAGGAACGCCCACCTGAACCTGTTGAGACCGTAAGCATTCTTGAACGACGAAGGTGGGATTGTAAGAAAGCAATACGTACATTCCATTCGCACCTTTGCTGATCTTTTCAACGACCTTGCCTTTCACTTCGTCATTCCTCCAGTGGCAATCGAATCGCGTGGTCCTCTCTCGAACAAAGCTCTCGATATCGCCTTGGTTTCGTTCGGCGATGTCCATACGCGTAGGTTTGTTGGTGGCTCTGTGGACCTCATTATAGATATCTGTCGTGAATCGACTGGATATGAATACCTTGACTGGTCGTTTAGAATCATTGACAAGGTCCACGAAAAAGCTGAGAATCTCCTGCATATGCTGTGGCTCCAGCTCGTCCAAGGAATCAAGTACCAGGGTAGTCCGCGGTAGCGCATTGACAATTGTTGATATTTGTTTTCGACAAAAGTCTGGGGTGAAGGCCCGTTGGGCCTTATCCATCTTTAGGCATTGGCTGGCTAGGTCATCAAATATCCCATTGGAATAGTGAGGCACTTGAGCCAGCTGTCGTAGAAAGCTTCGAAGGATATTGATCACTGGGTCGTCTGTGACGTCTTTGTTGTTCTTGCTGTAATAGAAAAATGCGAAGCCTTCGTCAACATTGCTGTTAACCTCGTCAATTTTGTCTTGGATATTCTCGTCCACCTGGTAACGATCTATTATGCTAGCTGTGAGTACCGATTTACCAGCGCCAACTATGAGATATGAGTACACGAAATATGAGCAGCTGAACCCAGGAATTAAATAACACACCTTTTCCGGTAAGCCATAAGATATTCGATGAGCTCGAATCTTCCCATTCACGAAACTCTTTGCGTTGTGATAGCCACTCGCCTGTTCCTTTAGTTCTTTTTGATGTCATCGACCTGTGTTGATTCCCAACATGGATTTTGCAAATGATATTGAGGATTTTCGAGAGCTCGTAGTCTTCCAGATTCTTGAGCATCTTGGTAACTTGTTCGTCGATGTATCGTAGTGGTTTGTCCAGCCGTTTAAGAAGCCGCAGGCTCTTCTCATTCTGAAGATCTTTTTTCTTAACATCGCATGCCATGACAACTTTTTGCAAGCTATTCTCAGCTTCTTGGAGCTCGTTCAGCTTGTCTTTCGCTTTCTGAGGGTCCAATAATGCTTCGAAGAACCGACGTACAGTCACGCCGTCCTTGAGCTGCGTTCCCGCATAGTCCAGAAGCTCAAATGTTTTTCGATAGGCGTTTATGAGGGCATCACGCAAGTCTTTCTCACAAGCATCAAGGTCGTCGAGTTTTGATTGCAAGAATACTTGTTCGTAAATCGCGCCGCGATTCACAAGACACAAAACCCTGTCAGCGCATCCAAAAATCGCAGTGAGACTTTCGCATCCACTAGCATGCGCCTAAACGATATGGTCAGCCAGCGAAACAAGAAAATGCAGGCATTGATCTTACGTTAAGTAATACTTTGAGAGCCGACCAAACAACTGGCCCAGGGGCAGGTGCAAATTGTATGCCGATATCGACGGTGGCGGACAGTAGGCTGATAACTCGAGTCGCACAATCCCTCCAGAGTATTTCTCGTTCACCAATTTTGATCTTGGCCGAACGATCCTTGAAGTTCTCCTCGCGGCCTCGCACAAGGCCTATCAGCTGTTCGGCCGGTTTGTTGCTTATAGAAGACACATTTGCAGAGATTGACTTCTTATACTCTTTACTAAGACCTTGGAAAGCCTCTCCCCACAGATCCGATACTTGCTGCACGTTCGACGAAGGCTGATCGTGGGTTTGAGAGGAAATCTCATTCACTTTAGGCGATGCTGAAGTGTCGGAGGAACTCGAAACAGCCGATGGAGATGTCTTTGGAGCCTTAGTTTCGGGACTTTGGGCACGAGCTGGGCGGGCATTTGGCGTGTCTGGGCTGGAGGATTGAGATTTGGGCGGTTGCTTAAAGCATGACGATAGAACATCAAGGCAGCCGAAATAACCCTGCTCTTTCTGCACAGACCGCCCCATTTCTCGGCAGAGCCACTAACGTTCTGTTGGACGAGAACTATTGTGATGGGAATAAAGGCGGGAGACCTGCTGCTGTACTGCCTCCCAGACCTAGGCCTCGCGAATAATGTCGGGCAAAGAAGGTGAGAAGATATGGTACACGCTACACGAAAACAAAACGAGAAATATGACAATTTCCATGAGTGGAGCGGTAATTGGCATCTTTCAGCTCTTGATGCAGGTGGCCATAATAAGCGCTGGTCAGCATCACGGCAGTCCAATAAGAAGCGGTAGGGCGGTAAAGTCCAGGGCTCTCCGGTGGTTGGGCGGCAACTGCTCCATGTTACGACCCAGCCTCGTAAGGACCATAATGCAGTACGTACCACGGAACAACCTCAGGCCATATAGCCAATCACGACGGGACCGACCTAAGAGAGCGGTCCTTGGTATACTGAAAAGACTTACTATATAAGACGTTGATGGAAACACTCATTAGATGGCCTAGATAGTCAGTCGTTACATCTTATCTACCAACTACGTGACAGAACGCCAGTGCTCAACAGGATATCCTATCCCATCTGCCAACGTAGACATACGCCTCTCTTGGGAATCTCCCTACCCTATAACGATATATTAGGAACATGGGAACATATCGTCACACTCTAATCAAAAGTTTCTACTAGACAAAATCTGCGATGGATGCTCTTTATGGTGATTAGGACGGTAGCATACCGGCTTCCAGAGAATTACAACTACAATCCTCATGACACCAGCAGCGCACACGTCGAATTAACGATACTAAGCCGCTTACCGAATCTAGATAGCTCTCTCCTAGAACATTCATTGCTATATCTCAACGGATAAACATTAATATCTTCTCCCCAAGTCTTTTCAATAATCGCCAACATATGCACACACTCAAGATAGCCCTTAATAAGCGAATAACCAAACGCGTCCGCAATACAGTACGCCCAAGTAATAGCAAAGACGTAGTTGAGAGCAAGCAATATAAACGCCTTTATTTTTGGTATATGCAGCCTTAGTTGAGCCGAAGGGCAGGAGAGTGTGCTAGTAGGCTAGCACTTTTGCCAATAAAAAGTCTACTGTATCTCGTTCCTGAAGCGATGGCGATCCTCGATGACGACAATGACATCACCACAGCTGCATTCCTCCCCCAAATCGTATCACTTTGATCCAGCTTCAGAATGCTAGAACCGACATGATTTGCGTCAATCGTGTCCGAAAAATACACCCACAAGCATTCTACATCTCACTACTACAGCATCACGAGTTCTCCACGCACAATCCGTTTCAGCAAAGGTCGTCAGAACCAGCCAAGATGAGTTGGATGGACAGTTGGAGCCGCCCTTCCAAATCTCAAGCGACCCCAGCACCTTTCTATCTACTCCTAGGCGGCGAGGACACACCTTATTGCCATTCATGCGGCAGAGTCATTAGTACTAGACGCACTACCGCTACAGCTAAAAACAACACTCCTGTTAAGTACTGCTCAAGCCGATGCCGCACTCAAAAACCTGGAAAGCTAGACCGTGAGCTCGAGAAGGCATTTGTAAAGCTGCTAGGTGCAGAAGAAAGCTCATCAACAGTCGCAAAGAGGCCGACGAAAGGAGGGGCCTCTGGCAAACACAACAAGGGGAAGAATAGCAAGGGCGATAATCGAATCTTGGTATCGTGCAGCACCGCCAAGGAACTCGTCTTTGGACCCAACCGGGCATCGATGGAAGTAACAGACGAAGAGGATCACAGCGACAACGAAACACCTCAAACATCAGAACCTACACAAGCCCCAGCGGAGCCACTGTCAGCTGAAGAAGACGTGGATCTCGCAGGAAACCTCAAAGACGAGAACCACATAGACGGCGACGTACTAGCTCGCCTGTCTGTCCGCAGCGGCACACGCATCCGGCCACCGCAGTCAGTCTCCGAAGTCAACGGCAGCATCGGCGGCGAGAAGGGCCGCGCAGAGAGGATTCAGGAGACAGATGCAATGCTCGAGAAGCGTAAGCAGGGGCAGAGGCGCGCCAAGGAGCGCGAGATGGCAAAATGCGCGGCGCGACGGGGCGTTGTATTTGGGTTTGCGATTAATGAAGATGGCGAGAAGCGTCTTTGCGAGGCGGTCATGTCTGGAAAGGTCGTGGAGCCGAGCTTTGCCAAGGGGGATTGGGCGATAAGATGGAGAGAGTAAGGTCAATGTTAGATTGACAAAACCAAGAATGGCCAAAGGCTTGAGGCTAGAGATATTTGCCCGAGAGAACAGAAAGTGGCTGATCGCTGACAGATAATAGAAATATCCCTGGCGCGATTCATATAATCATCCGCCTGTCTCTGTAGTCGTGATCCAAGGCCAGTTTTGGCGCTGCGTATTGATGAATGAGATCAACCTCTCGAGCCACGACTCCAGAGGCTAGAGCCGTAACATTGCACTGATCAGATATCGTCGCGATAGACGAGTTTTTGTATACAGGCGTGGGCCCTGCCACGTATCATGAACCGTGAATGCCTGCGATTTGGATGCGACGATAAAACATCAGCGTGTATTACGCTGCAAACAAGCCAGCATGCAATTGCCACGGCAATACCTCACTGAATACAGCAGCTCGAGCCCAACATAGAGTTACCTAGACAAGAAGGCGATATAGCTTCATGTACCTATGAAAATGGGTTATACAAACAGAGATTCTTGTTAGAATGGGCGTGAGCTAGCAGCGGATGCCCGTTTCAGGCGAGTCTGGTTTCTTACACTGAACAATACTCACTTTTAGCAATCATGGATAAGTTGAATTAAACTGATATTTTCTAGCTCTAGACAATAGAGTACAAATAGCTAATAAAGAAGAAGAATCGAACAAAGACCAACGCGGAGTATCAATCTCGTATCCCACCCATACAGAAACCATTGGAAAAAGCCACTCCGAAACACCCCGTGAAAGAAAACGACTCTAGCGTACATCGGTAGACAACGAACAAAAGAGAAAAAAAAGCCGAGAAGCAAGAATACAAATGAAATATCTGAAACGAGTGTTTATTTCTTCTTTCCATCACCATTCGCCTTGGTCTCCGTCATCGCATTCTGAGCAGCGTTAAGTCGCCCAAACTGCCACTCGGGCAGAGTGATGCCAGTCTGCTCATTGATAGTGGTCATCAGGGGCGGAAGCATCTGGTAGACATTGCGCATAGTGTCAGTGGCATCCGAGCCACTGCCCTGGTTGCCAGTGTTCCAAACGCTAATCTTGGGCTCCAGTCCTTTGATGGCATTGGCATTGGCAGTGGCCAATTCAACAAGGGTGCCATCCCTAATCATCATGTACTGGAGAAGACCAGCCGGTCCGCCGAAAGCCACTGAGAGCTTGCCGTAAGCATCAGCCATGGCGCTCATACCTTCAGCTGCTTTGAGTTGACGGACAAGATCGGCCTCTGCCTCGGCGCGGATCTTGTAAGCTTCGGCGTCTGCGACTCTCTGGCTAGCATCTTGGTTTGCTTCTGCAGCGACGCGAGTCTTGTAGGCGTCTGCGTCTGCTTTCTTCTTAGTGGCGTCCACGTCAGCCTCTGCCTTGGCCCGAGTCTTATACGCCTCGGTATCTACAACTCTCTGGCTGGCCTCCTGGTTCGCCTTGGCCTGGGCGGCAATCTGGTAGGCTGCGGCATCTGTGGCTTGCTCGCTGGCTTCCTTCTCAGCCCTGGCTCGAGCGGCGGTTTCGTAGGCGGCAGCATCAGCGGCCTGTTGCTTGGATTCGCGAACAATGGTTGCCTTGACGACATCCTGAGCACGAAGACGCTCCATCTCGGCGGCGGCGCGCTTGAGCTGGACGTCACGCTTGAGATCTTCATCCTTGGATTCAAGAGTACGCTGAGCAGTGACTCGAGCGATATCAACGTCACGAGTAAGGGCGGCCTGGCGGGTATGCAGCTGGGCCTCGGCCTGAGCTCGCTCAATGTCTCGCTCCGTCTTCTGGACCGCTGTCTCGGCATTGATCTTTGCAATTTCACGGTCTTGTTCACCCTTTCTCTGGGCTTCACCCACGTTACCGCGGAGCTGGGCCTCGGCCACGTCGATACGGGCTTGGTTGGTGGCGCCTTCATGGGCTTTTCGGGACAGTGACTCGAAGTAGATGGAGTTTGGCGCATCCTTGAGCTCTTTGACGTTGGAGTTGTAAATTTTGAGGCCAAACTGCTGGAGTTCGCTTTGGATGTTGCGGAAGATGCGTCGCTTAAAGACCTCTCGCTCGGTGAAGATTTCTTCCATGGTCATGCCAGACACAAGTACACGTGTCTCGCCCTCAATGATGCCCTTGACAATGTTTTCAACATGGTTTCGATCTGCGACATCAGAGTTGCTATTGTTGGAGCGAGCCAGCAACATAGCGTACTTGACGAGGGAATCTCCTGAGTCTTCTCGGTGGCCAGCCTCTAGGTCATTCTCTTCGCCGTCATGCGAAGCCGCGTCTGCCGCGGTGCGTCCCTTGATATTTGCTCCTCGCTGGTTCACATCCGGCCCGACTGTGAAGACGACGGGGAGAGAGAATTGGAGCTTCTCCTTTGTCATTGCCTGGAGGTCCATGGCATAGTCGTGCGGCTGGACGCTGAAGCGGGTATATCGCTGGAAGGGCCATACCCAGGCAGCCTTTGTGATTCTGACGGTACGAATACCCATGCCAGTGATGGCGAGGTACTCGTCCGGAGCGGAAATCTTGTACGACATGATGGAAGGTTTTCTTGCTCGTGTGGTGATGGAATGGTTGGCTCCTCGCCCAGAAGAATGCTAATGGGGGATGAAATAGAAAAGAAAATAAGAAACGTAGTAGGAGAGAGTTATTAGACTAGAAAAAGGCAAACGAGATGGGTATATATATATGTACGTATAAGTAGGTATATAAAACGCAATTGTAGCTAGTGACTGGGTCGTTTGCTGTAAGTGGGTGGCTGAAACTGGCTTCTGAGCACATGCAAAGTTCCGTATAGCAAACACAATCACGCGCCAATTTATACAAAGCATCTACGCATGCCAAGACAGAGGCAATTGGAAGCACAAATAAGCCCAATGGAGAGCCCAGATTGACATTGCCTCGCATTTGCGCCTTGCAGCCATTGGTCTATAATGCAGGGCTGCTAGCTCCAACATGTCCTCGGTCGACCGTAGACGGTATGGTATATGCGACTCTCTAAGCGGTGGTGGCGCAGCACCAGGCGTTCTAGAAGCTTTCCCGCACCCGGAAAGGATTGATGCATGTATTGAGCAGATACTGTACTTCGGCGCATACTACAAGCAGTAAAACTAGAAACTTGGCAGTGAGGCGAGGTCTCAACTCGCAGTTGTCCAAGGGGCGAGCCAGCATTCGACTAACTGCCGGGATAGCGCTTCAGCCGCAGCCTAGCGCTTTGGCATGGGCAGATTCGGCACTCAGCTCTGGGTGAGCTGTTCCTGCAATGGTCATTTGACCGCTACTTGGACTGGAGATGCGGAATTGAGGCATTGGTTGCTGCATATGAGGGCTTTAATCGCCATTCCGGGGCATCTGCGCCCAACAGTCGATCGATATGAGCCTCGCCCCGGCCCAGACTTACAAGTACCTGTCGAGACACATGCAGGCAGCAAGAAGAGGATGAAATAGCGCAAAACGGGCTTAGACAGGCACAGCCATTACGCTTTTCCGCATCTGCGCCAACGCTAACGGCGATCCTCCGCCTAAACTCAGTGCCCCGTATTATTGCCGTCATAAATCCATGTATATGGCCGGCCAGTTCCCATATGGGGAAACCTTGAGCCAGGCCACATGATGCTTATGATGGGAAAGAAGGTTTGGAGGCTTCGAATTTCGTAATGGATGTACATCCTGCCTTTGAGTAACCACGCCTCTAAACTCCGTCTTCACAGGCGGTTGAGCTTCGCCCCTCCGAAGTACATGCAAGACCCAGCCTGCCATTCAATTACCTAACCAGATATCTAAACAGACACCGTTGAAAATTCCATTATCAACGTCTTTATGTAAAGCAGCAGCAACAGCGATAAAAGACAGCCTCGAGTAAACATGTGGGATGAATATTCCTTTCTACTATTACTGTTGGCTGCATACGTGTATCTGCCCTAGATAACACTAACCCGTCATCTCTAATTCCAAGCTCATGTAGCGGGGCCAGAGACGTTACAAAAGAACAACCAAGCATGTCTCACTAAATTTTCTCTGGCTGAATTCAACATCATTCAACACACATGATGGACACTCCAAATGTTAAACTAGACTAGGATGCTACATTGACCAGCGTAGATTCGTCCCTAGACGCTCACTGGGGAGATTAGCTAAAACATGTATTGTTTTAGACTCGTTGAGACGAAAACCAATATTCCAGGTCCTATTCCATCTCCTACTTTGCACTTATCAACCCTCTCATACACTGATAATGCCTATGAAGCTACTATCGAGCCTTGCTCAAGTGGTACCGCCTCCAAGTGGTACTTTTGAGGATGCAGCAGACGGAATATGTGGCTGTGAACGGCCATATTCCCATCAGCTACACTAAGAAAAGAGAGGCAAAATGAGAACAATCATCTAGAATCCTGTGTATGGCATTTATTTGCCATCCAACGCACTGATTCGCAGCCCCTTCTCCCGTTCCGGCCGCCGCACTGACTTGATTGCTTCATACCCAACACGTCTAAAATGCCATTTAAGAGCCTAACGGCGACGTCGATGCAAATCTATCAGGCAATCCAGCTATTTCACAATGGCGACTACCAATCCAGAAAACTCTCTCAGCGATGCTATCATTGCTTCTACCTACCCGGAATACTCTCTCAACAATGCTATCGCTGCTTTTTTTACCAAAACATCTGTCACACGTCCTGAATGCGATGCACGAGCAATCGAATTGACTGAAGGCAAGGCTATTCCGGTTGAAGGGCAGGGCAACTGCAGCTACTCTGTTTATGCTGGCCTTGACCAAGAATACGTTGTTCAGTTCCGACTAAAGTCACTTGAGCTCAAAGACGAGACCTCTGTGTTAGCTAGAAAGATTTTTGGGCAGTTGGCTCCCAGCGTGTCTTTTAAGGGCAAAATGGGAGAGGAAACTAGTGGCAAAGAGCCCCTTTATGCTTACGTATTGGAGCGCATGAAAGGCGTCACTCAAATCGACTTTATTCTGGCCAGCGGGTTTCCTAAAAACTCGCAAGAAACCTGCACCTCTCGTGAAAATCTTATTGTTGGTGTTGCAAAGTATGCCAAATTCCAGATCTTTGGTCAAAATGGTGCTAAGAATAGCTAGATTTTTTGCTCTTTCATGGAATGCCCCTCAACAAGTTGACCCGGTCTATCGTGACCAACTACAGAAGACATACACCACGGAGCTCACAATGTTGCAAACGGCTCTACCCGATCTCTTTCAACCCATCATCAAAGAATGTATTGAATCTATTGACAACATTTTCTCCTTGCCGATGGTACTTCTCCATCAAGACTTTTCATCATGCAATATCATGGTCGACGAGAAGACTTGCCACCTAACTGGTGTTATCGACTGGGCCGAGGCCGAAGTTGCTCCCTTTGGGTTGAATCTTTATACTGTACAAGGCCTGGCAGGACATTTCCATCTTAGAGACGGCTGGTCGAGATACGATGACTTTGATCATTTGCAAAGCGTCTTTTGGTCCACCTTCCACGAGGAAGTTGGAGACCTTTCAGAAGAAACTCTTTGCACTATCAAGCTAGCACGAACCACGGGCTTGCTCCTCTCTCGTGGCTTCACTAATCGGCTTGCGAATCAGCACAAGCATGTGCCCATAGGCAATGACGAGCAGGGACGCTACAATAGGCTGTTTTTAGACGGTTTGCTTATTAGTGCAGATACAAGATTTGATTGAGAGTCACTAGGCGAGAGTTTGGATGAGACTAGAAGTTGTTGATTTCACGGGATATATACATCAACCTTAGAAACCCATTTTTTAATGAATATTGGTTAAGGATGTCCAACATTGTTCAAGCTTGATAGAGAGTTGCCGGCATTGAAGACTATGGTTGTACGACACACCCGCGTGTTTCCATAAACGGTTTCAGAAGCTCAAATATGTGGTTTTGTAAAGATTAGCTAGGTATGTACATCAATTCATAATCGAGTTATTGAGTATAGGGGTTTCGGTATGTATTTATGAATATTCAGGGACTCACATGACTCAAAAATCGTGAACATCCAGGTGACTAACGAGCTCCTTTAAGAGGACCTCACGAACTCCGGAAAGATTAGGACCCTCTCAACAGATACACAGTGCATCAGAAGAATTTTGATAACTTAATGGATTGATTGAATGTTTTATGAATAATATATAAATAACTTTAGAAATCATGATTAGTTTTATAAGTTTGAGTTAAAGTGAAATAGTTGACTTATTATCACTTAGATTTTTATTTATAATACCTTTATATGTTTCAATAGCTCAAAGACTTGACAATTTCTCAATTCATAGTTTGCTCTACTAAACATTCACTTAATGTATTAGAGCGTTTACTTTTTTTCACCCCAATTCATAATACATATTGTTTATTCAAAATTCCTTTTTTTGCCAATGTTTATTAACCTTTTAGGATTAACACAGTAACGTCGGAAATTAAGTTTTGCCACTCCTTTATTCAATAGCAATTGCGTGCTAGAAGTCTACATATATGTGGCTGAGGCAACCAAAAAGTCAGGGCTGTGTACATGTACGTAAATGTAACCCTACACTTGGTGCATAGGTACCTGTTTGATCGCTAAAAGAAGCATCTCTTATGTGCATCATGCTTACCAACTTGTCTGTCAATCAATTAGCCAGTAAAAAAGTCCACTGGCCACCCAGCCTTGATGTTCTCCAACTGGCTTATCGACAACGAGGAGCATGTGGATGCAGCTTGGGCAGTCAGGCTGAGATAATGAAATGTACCCAACGATCGACTTTAACCCAACGAACAACTTTAAACCAACGAACAACTTTAAACCAACGAACGCGAACCTGACCAAGAGCTGTTACGATTCGTCTCTCGAACTGCCAGTGGATTTCTTGCATCTTGTCTATGCCCATACGCAATGAGCGCATCAAGCGGGACTCAAAAGGTTTTCCGGCTGCGTAGGCTGCCAGAAAGCATCTCAAGTCGGAAAGACGTCGCAAAACTGCTCGGCAAGACTTTGAGTCTCTCATCCGATCAGATCACTGTCTACTCGCTGGCTAAGACGTCCAATCGATGGGGGTCAATGTCGAAAGTGGCCACGGTCCAATTCAAGAGTATTCCGCCAATTTTGGACCCGGAACCTCCAGGCGCCCAATGGAAGTTTCCTATCCCCGAATCGCAACACAATGATGTCTTGATCCTCGATACGCACTTTAGAGGAATGACTGTGCTGAACGATGTGGAAAAAGAGAACCATCGTACAGAGTAAGTTGTTCCTTGTTCTCACTGAACGATTCCCCCTCCTGATCCCAGCGGCTAAGTCAAGTCATCAAGCTGTATCGCCATCTCGGGATTAGCTAGTCATCCATTTGGATCCTGGCAGCCACACGGCCCGGACAAGAGCTTCATGTGGATCAGGGACGAGCTGCCAACATCGGTACCCGGAGTGCGCGCGATACTTTATGGATACGACTCGCGTCTCAAAGACAGCAAGTCTTTCCAGTCTATCGAGGACATCGCGGGGTGCCTCATCTTGAATCTCAAGTCAGGGGGCTGGAATTTGCCGAAATCCAGACCGATCATCTTTCTGGCTCATAGCCTGGGTGGCATCGTACTCAAAGAAGCCATCAAGCAAATGGCAGGCAATTCTGACAGGAGAGAGGCCGATATTCTCAATAACCTACTGGGGGCCATTATGTTTGGAGTCCCCAATCTCGGCATGGAACAGTCTCATTTGATGGCCATGGTTGAAGGCCAAGACAACGAGACGCTAGTTCAAGACCTTTCTCGAAATAATGGCCGTAACTACGTGCGCCAGCTTGACGAGAAATTCAACGGCCTCTCCACTGTCCATACATTGAAGATACTCTGGGCATACGAGACTGAGGTATCACCCACCACCTTCATAAGCCATCTGGCCTAAAACTTGAGGTAAAGTTTTGCTAACCCTGCTTCAGTCTTCGGCCGCCCTAGTCAACAGAGATTCAGCTACATGCCATCATCACCGTAAAAACAAGTCTTTAACTATCCCAATTAATAAAAATCATTCTGATATGGTCAAGTTCTCTCAAGGCGATGAGGATTTGGAAACAATCATCTTTTCTCTCAACGACATTTTAAAAGAGAGATTGGGTCAGCCTCTGTTGGCACCTAATGATGCCTCTCAGAGTCAGCAAACGCTTCTGGGAGCGAACTTGGACTACCAATCTACTGATGAAGGCGTATTGACTGAGGATGAAAAAGTCTTAAAAGATCTCGGTTCATTTTTGTTGTCTATTCAAGGTAACATACTGCTCTACCACTATATAGCCTACAGTCTTATGTCCTTTAACTAACTTCAACCGCGGCCAGGGATCCACGACGAACTGTATTCGCCTGAGCTCGACTCTCGTATTAACCAGATCGAGGATCCTTCTCAAAACACGTTCAATTGGATTTTTAGTCTACCTCTTTTCTCTCAGTGGCTGCGAAAGAAATCCGGATTATTTTGGATTAGTGGCAAACCTGGCTCGGGAAAATCAACGCTGATGAAACACGTCTTTCAGAGTCAATCGACCAAAGACTTGTCACACAAATGGGAGACCAGCTCGATAGATATCAAAGCTGGCTTCTTCTTTCACTACCGAGGAACCGCCATACAAAAATCCCTTGAAGGCGTCTTGAGAAGTCTCATCATTCATATTCTGAAACCCCATCGTATTGCGTTCCAAAAGAAGTATCAGGGAACCTGGGAAATATTTCAGTCTTTCATTCAAAGATATCGGACGCTAGAAGGACAGAGAGCCAGCTTTGAGTACGAACTGGATGCTATTGTCGAAGAAAAAGTGCTGATGGGCTCTGAAAGAGACCTGAAAGAGAAGCTGCAGCGCGCTATGAATAATAGCAAGAGCGAAGCAAATGAACAGATGGTGGGAGATATCAAGCAACAGCTAAGCCTGCTCCATAGGAGAATGGAAGAAGTAAGCAAGCGGAGCCTGGACTTCAGGGAAAGGGAGCCTGAGCTTCAACAAAAATTAAAACAGGTGCGAGCTGATATAGCCGCCGTCTCACGGTCTATCTCGTCACTGGCCGAAAAGGCGAGACCTTACCAAACCCAACCCGAGACAAGATTTCTACGCAGCCTTGTGAACGAGTTGCAAAATGATTCCAACTCGCAGGTAGACAAGCTTGAGCAGATCCTGAGACTGCTTCTAGACCAGGATATAATGAACATAAACCTGGTGCTCTTTTTTGATGCTTTGGACGAATTTGACGGGCACATTGAAAACATTAGTGATTTCCTCACGAATCTGCTCGAAAGATCGACTACATCGAAGACCCAAATCAAGGTCTGCTTCTCTAGTCGGCCGCAGGAATCGCTAAATGATCACTTTACCAAATATCCCGGCTTTAGGCTACAGGACTACACGACGGAGGATATAGAGCAATACGCGAAGATCTCTTTAGCACGCTCGGAGATTATGAACTTTTCTCAGAGGGAAGAGTTTATGAAAATCATCCCATCCATCATTGCTCGGGCTAATGGCGTCTTCCTATGGGTGAGACTGGCCATGAAGGAATTATTCGACACTGCTGGAGGGAGCCCCGAGGCAGAATTATTTGGTCGGCTTAAAAAGAAATTACAGGAGCTGCCGGATGATTTATTAAAGTTTTATAAACATATCATCGAGCGCATTAGCGGAGCAAACCGCCGCTATACTTTCGCCCTGTTGGAACTGCTCGCTCGCCATGCTGGCCTCTCGGTTTCGGTGACCGACATATGGGGTGCTGTGCTGACCTCAGGATGTACGACTTTTGAAGAATCTCTTGAAGTGCTACAAAAAATCAGCGGGAATACTGGCCAGAAAATTGCCACAGACTCGGACCGAGACCAAAGAGCTATCAGTGACATCTCGGCTTGGGCGGGGGGACTCGTCGAAATAAAGGCGCAGAATAATCTGCAGCTTATGCACCAGACCGTTTTAGAATTCACTAGGGACCAGACGTTTAAGAGTATTGTGATGGGAGAAGTTGCAGACTTCATGAAAGAGAACGGGCATTCCTTTTACTTCAAGTACTGGGTGGCCAAGACTGGCCTTAGACATTACGAGGAGGCAAAAAATACCAACAAAGAGATAACCGCTGCACAGTTGGGTCAATTGTCTGCTGAAGAACAAAAAGAATGCAAGATAGCTGCAGACCACGCCGAGAAGTCTGAGTCAACCACAGGAATCAGCCAGCTAGACTTCATTGGGAGCATCCTCAGGGTCTTGCTACGTCTGCTTCGGACTTGTCCCCCGATATACGACGATGACACTGTATTCCTAGTCTTTGCTTCCTCTTATGGACTGACACTCTGTATCCAAGACTGGATTGACGAAAGCCCTGATCAGCTGCGGCGTATTTTCCGTCAGGGGGCGCAGCCGCCTCTGTTAACTTATCTTGCCTTTGAACCGGCAAGCGGTGTCTTACTTAAAGGGCATGTGACCACAGCTCGTCTGCTCCTGGAAAAGGGCTACAACATAGCCAAGGATACCAGATTTTTCCCCAGCTTGCTGGAGAAGATTTGGAAGGCCGAAGCTATGGCGGCCGTTCAGGGCGGTTTCAGCGAGAGCCACGCCCAGACCGCCATTGCGCGGATATTGCAAGAGTTGGCTACTGTTGTTTTAGACAACGGTCAGAACCCCAACATCTCCTGTTCCATCTTCTCTCGGGATAATCTACAGAGATGCACGCCGCTTCATATAGCTCCACCAGGCCTAGCTGCTAAGCTGATTCGATGCGATGCCGACGTGAACATGCCGGATTCCTGGGGAAAGAAGCCGCTGGACTGGGTGCTGAACCCTCCTCGCTGGTCTCCACGCTGGAGTTGCGCGCGGCGCTACGAGATGTGCCGCCTTTTGGTGAAAGCAGGCGCGTTGATGTCCGAATCGACGCCAGACGAAGACTGGATAGGCGCACTGGCTGAGTTTGACCTTGCAGGGCACGATGTTGAGGTCCTTCAGAGGAACGAACCACGACCTTTAGCTGCTGCAGCCCCTTCTAGTGGGGACCCAAATGCTCAGAACAGCAAAGAAAGGCATCGTCGTCGGGCGTTGTCGTTTTTGGTTGGTTTGTTTAGGAAGAAATAAGATTGGAAAAAACAGGCTATCAACCCTAAGCTACCACAGCTTTTACTATATCTACTATTACTACTACTACTACTACTACTACTACTACTACTGTCATTACTGCTACTACTGCTACTACTGCTATTTTAAACGTATTTAGCAGTTGTACATATGCATTTTTGAAATCGGGGTGCTAAATAACTTCTCCATATATAAATTATTCAGATATTATACTTGTGTCGACTGCATTTGAGTTGAGAAACTTATATATGTAAGTTGTTATTGCTCTACAGAAATAGCTGGTGAATTCCGACGCCCTTTGAAGCAAATAAGTGAGCGAGATGTTCGATATACTTATACAGAGATGGAGCTTACGAATATATCAATATGGGGTTTCCAGCACCGGACAGAATATACCCATGAACTGTGCAGCTAAGCAAATAATGTCTGTCTTGGCCTGCACATCGCCCGCAGATAAAACGCTACATTCATTAATGTAACAACCTTGTACGTACCAGTAGAACTGAGCATTGATGATGAGAGATTCTCGAGCCTTTGATTGCTCACTGTTGATGTACTGGCTTTATTGTCGTTGTGGCCCTTGGATAAATTCCGTCTTGATGCCTGGCATGTGGGAAGTGTCATGATGCGGCACCCATACGCCAACTTGATGAAGATGCGCAGCAAGTAGCTGAGTGGTAGAGATACAAGCAGGGGATAGAAAAAGTCACCACCGCCTATTACATACAGACTTATAATGGCAGACTGACGGACTTTTTCTTGCACCTTGGTGATAAGTTGTTAGAGGCCAGCGACCGCCAGTGGTGCCGTAACCATCGCCCTGAAGTGGAATTCCTGGAAAAAATTGTTTATCCATTTTTACTGAACTCTCGAATATTTCAAAGAAAGAGGATGGTTATGAACTCGGCTTTGTTCTAATCCTCAGCATAACTGTGAGGAGCAATACACCACAATCGAAATATACATAACGGGCATTTTCGCCTCTCCATGTTTGAACTACCAAGACTATGACATGTGCTTGTAGATAGTATTTATCTCAAGTTCTGAATACTAAGCTATGCGTATAAATCATGCATAAACCCTTAAACATAAAAGTACTTCAAATCCTCCAGTACAGCTACACAGACCCAGAGAACTTGTGCACCATATCGTTTTGTAATAAGCGACGTTGTAGCTATCTTAAACGAGAACGGATATTCGTTTTAGTTTAAATATTCAATAGCTAAGACTACTACTATAGTAACCTTAGATGGCATGAGACGACGAATAATATTGACCTAGGGATATGAGCCCCCGAATTTAGTGAGTCGTCTGGTGAAGAACGTATATGTAAGCCGGTTGCTTACCACGCCGAAAACTCTTAAGTTAAGTTAAACATAGGCATTAGGCAACTGGACTTTATTAATATCATCCCTAACCCGACTTTACAACACTTGCTTGAGAGTTAGCCCCCGATACATAACGATAATACCGTATTGCTGACTTTTATTTCTTGTCATAGGCTGACGCTCTGCATCCATGACTAAATCGCCCGTAACCATGGCGAGCCGCAGCGTACCTCTGTCCAGCACGAGCAACCGTATCCAGTACCATCACACAAACCCTCATGACATGCAAGCCACAAAACCCATCATCCAAACTCACCCTCACACGTGTAACTGCATAACAACGAAACCACAACCACCCTAGTGCCATGCATCCCACGAAGCCCGCGTCAATGCAACGCAAACTTGTAAACCCGGCTTGCATCCTCCCCAAAAAACAAGCTGCTCCATTGGTCCTACGGCTCTCGCTATCTAGGTGAAGGTCTCTCTGCCGCAGCTGCATATGTTTGCCTGTTTGCTTTTTTCTTGTCACACCGCCAGTCCTTTGTGCAATACGAGACGGCTGGATTTGACGCAAGGGAGAGAGATTGGCCATTCAGCGTCGTTGAAACTCACTCACGGCAGCGAAAAAGGTGCGGAGTAGCTAGCAGCATGCTTGATCGTGTGAATCTGTCTTACACATCCATCACGACTTGGTGTATATTGCGGACTGGTGGCGAACACATCATCACAGGTTGACATTACGACGCAAGGAGGATGGAGCTGCATGAAGTGCTATACAGTTAAGCAGTATAATGTAGTTGTATTCCCAAACGCCACCAGCACCGTATATGAAGTGTGCTATTAATAGAAAGATAGTCCAATACTCTCAAGATAACCAAAATGAGGGTGCGAACCCAAAGATAATTTCAGTCTCGGTCCCGTTGAGATGCTTCCGTTAAAGAATCCAAAAATGGAAAAAGAATAGAGCGAGAAAATGAAGAAAGAAGAAAGAAAAGGCCAATCTAGATAGTGGTAACATATGCTTAAGAGAAGTAGAGAAAAAAAGTTGACCTCAATGTGAAAATCGCCAGTTGAGGTGAAACAAGCTGTCAAACAAACACAAATAGCCCATTTATATCACAATACCACGCTGGCTCCAGCCTCCGCGGCCCTTCCAAGCCCAAAGTAATAGGAAGCACGCAGCAACCACACAAACACCCTCCGCCCAAAACGTGATAGCATAGCAATGCTTTCCGTAGCAAACAGAATCATCAGATCCGCCATTGTCATCACCAGGTTGTGACGGGTCAGTGGATGAGCTCCTCGACCCAGCCTCATACACGGCAGAATAGACAAGGCCCCAAAAGGTAGATCCGAAAGCAGGCAGCATAGCGATGATGCCGAAATTTGTAGCAAAGTTTTCGACACCCCAGATGATTGTGACGATCAGAGGAGTAAGGGAGAAGACAGCCCCATAGCCCGCTCCAACAAGACCAGAGACAACCCAGAATCGGTCGGCATGATTCTGAGCAGCACCGCTAGCAAGGAACAGTAGTCCAGCTGCAAGTAAAACAGCAAAGAAAAGCATAAACACAACGCGAGAGATGGCAAAGCGTTTGAGCGGAGACGAAGGGCGCGAAGGAGGTACTTGGATGTGCTGAGTCTCTGGTGCTGGGGCCAAGATATCGGTCAGGGTGCCAATCGTGAGACGAGCAATGGTGCTAGTAACACCAAAGATGGACACGTGAGTGGCAGCTGAAGTCTTGTGATTGACATCTTCGGTGATGGGAGGCGTCAGAGTGCCGATGACAGTACCCAGGTTGTTGATGAAGGCCTCGCCGGGTCCAATCATGAGCAGAAATGCCAAGGCAAACGGCCACATTGTGTGGTCGGACAAGAAGCGGCGCGTCTCGGCATTGAGAACCCAATTCTTCTTCCACTTTGCGTCGTCGTCGACCTCCTCTGTATTGTCGTCGTCTTGAGCAGTGGCGGGAATTGCGCCGTAGCCTCCATTAGATCTTCGGCTTTCAGATCGCGCCAGCAGAGAGCTTCCATCCAGCAAGCCACTCTGCTCCAGCTCTTCAATGGCTTCCTCAATCAGCTCGTCTTCGTCGACAACCTTGAGGGTAAAGACGCCGAGAATGCCAATGATGAACAGCAAGACGGCGAGGAAGACGAAGAAGCGAAAGACGTCGACATCGCCCCTTGACCCGTCGGGATTCTTCTCAGCCAAGAAGCGGCTTCCAAACTGACTCAGCCACATGCCGCTGAGGCCAAAGCCAGTGATGGGCATGGCCAGCGCCAGGCCTCTGTACTTTCCCTTGCCGAAATTCTTGGCGCACGTCGACACCGAGCTGATGTACATGGCGCACGTGCCGGCTCCAATCATGATGAAGGCCAGCACCATGAGCGGATATGACCAGCCGTTCTCTGCGCCATGAGACTTGCCCAGGGTGTTGTATTCGTAGTCCAGCTTCTTGTATATGCCCGCCGCGAGTCCGTAGCCGCCCCCGAATAAAAAGGCAGACAGAAGAGCCAGCGGCGCAACACCCATACGATCGCAGACGTATCCCATGATCGATATGGGCAGATATAGCGCCACGGAGCTTCCGATGGCGACGCCATTGACCTGGAACTGGGTGTAGTGTAATCGCGACAGGAACTTTGGCGCGTAGAGCGAGAAGACGACGATGGAGCCGGCGCAAAGGGCCGCAATGGTGGCGGATACGAGCGAGACGAAGCGGACAATCTGCTTGGACCGCAGCTGGCGGCGGCGGATCAGCGGGTCGGACACGCTGGAAGACAAGTCGCCTTCATCGTCGCTGGCGAGATAGGAGGAGCGGTCGTCATCGTCGGTAGCGGTGGGAGGGCTGGGATAGATGAAGTGCTGCTGGTCAGAGGGCGACGCCGAGGTCGGCATGACGGGCGATTCGGAGGCCACGATGAGCAGCAAGAGAAGAAGGGAATTGGAAGACGGTCGGTCGGTCGAATTGGATGGAGTTGATCAGTGGCTTCGCATGCTTGATTCGCGGCTCGGGATGAAGGACGAAGGAGAAACAAGAAAAGAAAAGGAGCGCGACGAAGAAAAGGGGCACAACGAGACTGAAACGACGAGGAATTGCGGAAGAGCAAGCATTGATGGGAAGAGCGAGTTTAAAAGGGTGGAGCATGGATGGATGGCGGATGACACAAGCCGAGCTCTTATCGACGCGATAGCGATAGTGATGGCTGATAGCGATTCACTGCCAAAGTCTGGGGAAGGCCGCAAATGGTCTCGTCATCAGCGCTGGAACGCGTCCGTAGCGGCGGCGGTGGAGCCTTCAGGGGGGTTGGCTGGGGATCTACGCCTAGAGGACGGGCCTAGGGGATGGCTGGGTCTTGTACCCTTCTGAGATGCAGCATAGCGTGATTATGAGATTGAACTTGGAAATGAGACATATACACAAGAGGAGATGCAAACTGCAGATTACACAATTCACTCATGCAAGTCTTTTGATGTTTACAAAAAGAAGAAAGAAGCCATTTCATCGCTACGCTAGCCTAACATCGCCTTTTTTGTTGTCCCTTTTTCCAAGCCCATCCATAAAAACTCCATTGCAGTTATTTCCATCGCCATGAAAGAGTGAGCAAAAGATGCTCGCCACACCATGTCACTTACATGTCTCGCAGCCCCCAAACCATTCATTTCTTGTTCCTTCAATCACCCACTTCACCACCCAGGCTGATCCAGCTGGTTCTCCGGAAGCTTGTCCAGCGCAATCCTCACCAAGCTCGTCACCTTTCTCGTGTCCCACGACGCAGACATCCTCGGCGGCTCAATGTCCTCTCCCTCCGTGGCCGGCGGCGGGTTCTTGCACCTCTGCACCTCGCCATTCTCATCCCTCGTGGCCAGCCCGGGGAGATCCAGACTGTCGTTGAAGGAAATCAGCATAAAGCCCTGGCCCGTCGTGGCAATGAAAAAGTCCTTGTCCATGAAGATTCTCCGCCCAAAGCCGTGGTCGGACATGTAGTCTTCGACTTCCACCTGCTGGCGTGTCACTGATTTGCAAACAAAGTTTGTGTGAGCGCAGCGAGAGGCGCCGTCGCCAACGGGCACTGGTTGCAGCCACTCAAGGCCGTGAGAATAGCCCTGGCTGACGAGGTACTCGTCGAACCAGCTGATGACGAGCTGGTCCTCCCACGCACACAAGTCAAAGTGTCTCGCCTGCGCGGGGTTCGGCCTCCGACGGCTCTCGTACTTGATGTGGAGGTAAGTCTCGGTCAAGACGTTAAAGGTAATACAGAGCCAGTCGGTATATGGCTTGGCTTGCTTGTCTGCCCATGGAGCGTTGCCCCTATCCAGGACGAGCTGGACAATGCCAAGCGCGTAGCCGCCGTAGTTGTCCATCTTTTGGGCAGTGAGCGTCAGGCGCATTGCTGGGCACGAATACCGGGTGGTAGGGTCGCGGTGGTATTCTGGATGAGATATGGATGATTCATATCGTTTCACCGGCTTGCCACGCTCAAACTTGATGACGACGACGATGTGGATGAGGGGATCTACAATGCAGTGACACATGATTAGCCTGAATGAGTCTCGGAAAATTGTCAGTGATGCTTACCGGGCTGCAAGGCTGAGTGCAGCCACGCTGCATAGATAACGTCCGTGTCTGTTGGGTGAAACATGATGCCCGGGATGCCGCCCAAGTCGCTCTCCCATCCCTCCCGCTCGAAAAAATACTGCTCGTGATCAATGTCCAGCTCGTAGGCACTGTCACTCCAACCCCACACGACGACCTGGCCCTGCCGAGTGACAAACGCCACTGTGTCGCCCTGGGCGTAGCAGTGGGCAAACTTGCCCGGGAGGACGACATTCCTGGACTGCCGGAACTGCAGGTGAAACACTGTTCTCGAAGGGTGTTAGCATGATATGAGACAAGCAAGCATATTGATACAACATACATGGTTTGCCCGTTGTCAGTCGTCGTCTGGTGTCTGCTCTGATGCTGAGGCAGGCTCGTCGCCAGCACCACCAAGCTGTCCGTCACAGCCTGTAGCTGCAGCGGCCGTCCCGAGATGAAGTCCATGCCAAAGCTGAAGCGCGACCTCTCGCGCGTGTGCAAGTCATCGACGATAACGTGGCAGTTGTCGGGCTGCCAGGCCAGCTTGCCGCTGCTGTAGTGCACCGTCAGGGGCCCAAAGCCAAAGTTGACCTCGCGCAGGTTGCCCAGCTGGCGACTCACCGGCGGGTCCTCGGCGTTGGTGAAGATGTCGCTGCTCCAGCCCACGTCCCAGGCGACAAAGGACCGCTTGACGTACAGCTTGCGCATGTACTGCTGGGCCGTGGCGCGGAACAGCTGGTTGCGGTCGGGCACGTCGTTGTGGTACAGCTCCAGCAGCCCCGGGAAGAAGCGGCTGCACAGCGCCGAGGCCACGGCGCCCTGCATCCAGGCCTCGCGCCAGGCGCGGCTCACGCGGTAGCAGCTCAGCACGTCGCGCAGGCCCAGGTGCGGGATGATGTAGGCAAAGACCTCGGGCGGCAGCTCGCTGAGGCCGGCGAAGCCATCCAGGCGCACGGAGCCGTCGAGGAAGCGGCTGCGGATGTGCAGCAGGTCCCACGCGCTGAGGCTGTCCAGCAGGGCGTCGAGCGACTCTCGCCGGCGCCGCGGGCCCAGGTCGCGCCGCTTGGGGCGATCACTGGGCATCTGGGACAGCATCTGGGACTGCCTCATGCGCTGGGCGAGATCTGAGGCCAAGGGTGGAGGCTGCGGTGGAGGCGACGGCGAGCGAGGCGGCGAGGGGATCGAGTCGTCTGCGGGCACCAGGTTGACGGAGCGTTTGACGATCTTGATGTGAGGGTTTGGATACATGCTGGCGGTTGCGATGAAGTGCAGGAATAGACCAGGGAAGCCGCCCGAGAGAACGCCGACAAAAGGGTGGGATTTGTTTCTTTGCTAGGAGCGTGAGGAGATTATAGTAGAAAAGAGAAAGGGAAAGGGAAAGGAAAGGGAAAAGGTGGTATTGAGCTGAAGCCTCTCGGCCGTCGATAGAGCCTGAAGTCGAGGTACGCGCGCTGTACGGCGGATACTCGTACGAGAGTCGGCAGTAGCGCAGAAGCCGGGGAGCAGGACCAGGAGCCGTATCACTGTCACGTGTAGGTATTTCGGTGAGAGGGCCTATAACGTGCTGTCAAGGGTTTTATAAGCCAGTGTATTCTTTGAGACAAGCTGGGCTGCTAGCATCTTGTACTTATTAATTGGGCTACATGTATCTGGTTGAATGTCGAATACAAGAGGAAAAGGCAAAAGATTGAATCCCGCCAAGGCAAGCCACAGGAAGAGGGGTAACTGCATACCTCTACAAACACGATACAGCAAAACACATGTAATAAAAAGAGACAAACGCCAGAAATAGCACCTGCAAGCAAACACGGCTGCAAGCCCACCGCTTGTGCTCTATAAAGAGAAAGAGAAGACGCACCTAAATGACACACGTGGTTCCACCCCAGTGGCTCGGTTCCATGCCAAGATCAGATAAGTCGCCGCCCTTGCGTCTAATGCCTGTCGCTGGTCAAGGAGGAGAACGGAGTACTCGGAGTATTAGGCGTATGTCAATCTCGCAATCTCGCTGCAATCTGTCAATCGCAAGTCTCCTGTCCATCGTTTTGTTCTTTGATCGGCGTCGCCGCCCTACTATGGGGCCGGCCGCACCTCATCCTCTGGGTTGGGTACCTGTGCCTGAATAACGGTTGGTTGCCAAGACAGCGCGAGCAAGGAATATTGCTGGCCGGCCATGGTTCCAGCAATTACTCGCGTGCGTGCATGCATGCAACTCCAACAGCGGCATGTTGCTGCGTTGTATAGCGCCATACCTTAATCCTCCCCGGTCTGCGCTGCTATCCCGGCACGCATACGAGCAAGGCTGCCTTATCACGTACAATGGATTGGCCGTCTGCCCGGCAACAGTCATGGATATTAGATGTGATACTGTTAGGCATTGATTCTTTGCATGTCTTTTGCCGAGCGCCATCTGACGATGGTTGCATGTCGTTACGCCGCTGATCGAGGCCATGTGGAGTCTGGGGCAGCCGGATGGCCCAGCCTGTCTAATCAGAGACCGCCATGCAGCTCGGCATGCAGCTCGGACTACAATGGGATAGCCGGCTGTGTCTCTTCGGTGAGTTGGATGCAGTCTCACACACCTTGCGGTTAACGCCGTTGGATCATACATCGGCAGCAACAGCAGCCGTTTATGCTCAGACATGTATTGTTACACATGTCAAGTATCACGCATTGATATTCATGTATACGAGTATAACATTAGCATTAGATTAGTATAGACATTACAAGATTTAAAAGATTCAACACATCACAGAGGCAAAAGTCATACGACTGATCCCCCACACTCTCCGCCAGTAGTGCCTTTTCATGCTCGCTCTAGGCCTTCGCTTCGTGCCGGTCCCGTCTGCCCGTAATACTCTTCCATGCCTTTCCACCACTCCTTGATCCCTGCCACGTCCAGCCACTCCAACTCCCAGGGGTCCTCGAACCACCACCGCTTCTCGCCAGCATCTCTCTTCCCATCGCTAGCATACTTCTTCAAGCTGCCGCCATCGAAGCGGTGGTTCTTCACGCCGACAAGCAGCACCGCGCTGCCCACCTTGGGCGTGAACCCGTCCGGGTCCAGAAACACGGTGAGATGCACCTGTTTGGCCGTCGAGGGGTCGGCGATGCGAGCCGTTCGCTGCTTTCCCGGCGGCAGATGAGAGGGCTCCACGGGCGAGAGGGAGACGAGGATGGCGAGCACGTTGCAGGACCAGTTTTGTGCATACGGCAGATGCGGGATGAGGCGCAGGGTGGTGAGCTTGAGAGGGACCTGTTGGTTATGCCAGTCTCTGGGTAGCGCAATGGGCTGCTGCTGCTGCTGCTGCGACTTGTCGGGGTTAATGTCGCCTGCTGCCGCCGTCATCTCCCTTGCATCCGATGCTGGTGTCTTGGGCTTGGAGCCAACAGCAGCACGAGCAGCAGCAGTGCTGTTCCCAGTGATGGCACTTCGAAGGGGGAATGTGCGTGTTTCGAATGCCTCGAATGCCTCCTCTAGGTCCTCGTCGTCGTCGTCATCATCGTCATCGTCATTGTCATTGTCATTGTCAGAGTCGAGTCCCGGCAGCTTGAAGCTAACTCTGGCCTTGCCCTTTTGTGCCTTGACCTGCGTCTTGGTCGGTGTCTTGGTAGGGGTCTTGACGGAGGGTGAATCTGGCCGATCCGCGAATCTTATTGCATTGCTGCTCTGTGGCTTGGATGCCTTGGGAGTCGTGGTGGTTGCCTCGCCCGGTGCCCCCCGGTCTCGATCCTCTTCCACAGCTGCTGCCCCCTCGGAGCTGGCATCATCCGCGACACTGCGGCTCTTCTCGCGGTTCCGCCACAAGGCCATGTACGTCTCATTCCATCCAGCAGTCTCCAGCTCGTTTACAATCAGATACGCCATGGCCTTGGCGTCGTCTTCCCGTCTCTCTCGTCTCTCCTCCTCTTCCTCCTCCCCCTCGCCAAAGACGCCGCCCCCATCGGGCTCTTCCAGCCGCAGCATAAAGTCGCCCACCCTGACGCAGCATCCCACGAATACGTCCCGCTGCTCGACCAGGTGAAACATGTCGGGATGCAGCAATGCCTGAAGGCACAGCTCGCCGTCGCCCAGCACCAATCGGATGGCATGCGAGTCGTCCTCATCCGCCACCGGCAGCACGTCGATGCCCTCGACCAGAAAAATGGAGCCCGGCATGCAGCGGCGAGTCTGGAGCAGGTGCCCGATGAGCGGCTGCAGCGTGAATGGCGCGTGGCCCGGCGCAGGCGTCATGGCGGCAGGATTGAGGCGAGCCATCGTTGCGTGGGCTTTGGCCGTGCCGGCATTTTTGGCGCTGGCCTCGGTGCTAGGTGCTGCTGCCGCCTGCGAGCGTCGTTCCACAGGCCCCCGTCAAGAGCAGGGCTTCTCGTCAGACGCCAGTCAAGGCAGCATGAATCACAGACACGAGATACGGTGGTGGTTGGCAGCCAGAAGGCGTTGCGCCGCGTGAATTGCCAGCGTGCAAGTGTCTCATGCATCTATCGGAGCTTGCTGTAAACCGGGGCCTTCTTTCGGGCACTAAAGCCGCTGTAGCTCGCAATGGCATGCCCCCATAAATATTCATCTAGATAAAGAAGGCTGCCCTTGCTCTCAACCATTGCGAGCCTCGCATCCATTGTCTCTCATTTTGCAAATAATAAAAATAAATCACTTCATCATGGACGTACAACCCCCCGATATATTCGTCCAAGAAGTCGAGACTGCCATCGGCGCCCTCATCCAGGCCTCCAAGCTCGGCCAACGCATCGTCTCGTCCCAAGACAAGGGCACCATCACCAAAGACGACCTCAGCCCCGTCACCATTGCAGACTTTGCCGTCCAAGCCCTCTTGATTGCCTCCTTCAAGCAAGTCTTCCCCAACGACTCCTTTGTGGGTGAGGAAGATGCCTCCGACTTGCGGGCCAACGATGCGTTGATGACTCGTGTCTGGGACCTCCTCAACACCATTGCCCAGGACGAATTCACCCAGCAGGGCGCCTGTACGCTGCCTCAGTCAAAGGAGCACATGTGCGACTTGATCGACCAGGCCGGTTCGAGCAGCCCCGGCGGGCCTGGATCCGGCAGAGTCTGGGTGTTTGATCCCATTGATGGCACCAAGACGTATGTGAGGGGCCAGCTGTACGCCATCAACATCGGCCTCATTGTCGATGGCAAGCAGGCCTTTGGAGCTGTTGCGTGTCCGAATTTGTCATTGCGGCACACTGGAAATCTCAAAAACGAAAGCGCCGATCCCAACGGTAATGGCTGCATCCTGTTCGCCATCAAAGGCCACGGCGCCTTTTACAGACACTTGGAGTCGCATCACATCGAGTTGAAGAGCACGATTCTTCCGATACCGTCAACCTTTGCAGGAAACCATTCCGGCTTCATTACATGCACTGGCCTGGTCGATTCGGCTCTCGACGGTGTCCACGACGTTGTTGCTCAGCGTCTGGGCCTTCAATTCCCTGGCAGTGACGTCGTCCCCTGGGTCGTGCGATGGGCTGCTCTGGCGCTCAGCATAGGCAGCGTCACTGTCTGGGTGTATAAGCGTCGTGATCGCTATGCAAAAGCTTGGGACCATGCGGGCGCTATGCTTCTCTTTGAAGAGGCGGGCGGGAAGATTACCGACGTGCATGGCAAGGACATTGACTTGTCGGCCGGAAGAAAGCTGAGCAACAACTTTGGGTTTGTGGCTGCGCCTATAGCATTGCATGCCAAGGTGCTGGGTATTGTGCAGGATGTGCTCAAGGAGCAAGGCAGGGATGAGTTTCTGCAGTAGCTTACAAGCTACCTTCAGATAGTACGAAATAGAGCAAAAGGACGAAAGAATGGATACATTTTTATACATATAGTCTATGATATGGCGATTTACAAAGGGCAAATATTATTATGAGTGAAACAAAAACCTCTCTACGCAGTATACACCCCATGGCTGACAGCATGATATCCCTTTTTTCCTACTTTCCCAACCAAGTCGCTGCGCCAGTCCTCTCCCCGAGAAATCCTCTCAATCGTCCGCGCAAACGTGTATTCCGGCTCCCAGCCAAGTTCACGAACCGCCTTGCTTGAATCATATACACGATCCATCCGATCCAAGTACTTCCATCCCTTCTCCCGAAACACCGCCTTCGCTCTAAGCACCACCTTGTTAATCACTTCTTCTGGGTTTCTATCCAGTGTAGCCAGCGTCTCCACATCGTTTGAGAACGGCGGCGGGGCGCTGATGATGTATTTCGACCAGCCGATTTGCCTCGCCTTGCTCATTGCACATGTAGTTGCTGATACAATGTCCTTTATGTCACAGCGGCGATACGCCATCTCCAGGACCTTCAAGTTGTCGTCCCCCATTGAGTTGCGTCGGTCTTCGTCGTCGTCTTGCTCCGGGAAGAAGCGGCTCGTGCGAAGGACAAGAATTGGCAGCTTATGCTGTTTGTGGAAGAGGTGGCAGATGTCTTCGGCAGCGACTTTTGTCACGCCGTAGATGTTTTTGGGGATGGGCGTGACGGTTTCGTCTATCCATGCGGCAGGAGAGCCGGGCTTTGGGCTGAGAGCGCTTCCGAAGGCGCTGGTTGTGCTGAAGAAGATGAAGCTTTCAAGTTGGTTTCCAAGTTTTGCTGCTTCTTCGAGGAGGACTAGAGTTCCTGCAATGTTTGTTTGCACAAAGTCGTCCTTGGTGTGGGATTCAACATGAGGCTTGTGGAGCGTTGCCGTATGGAGAATGTGCTTGATGGCGTGTTTTTGAAGGATGTTGGCAATGAGCTCTTGGTCTGTTACTGAGCCGACACAAGTAGTCGTGGCTGAAGCGAGTATATCGATTCCAATTGGGGTGAATCCGAGTGACGGCAGTGTTATCATGAGGGCGTGGCCTAAATGACCAGAGGAGCCTGTGACGAGGACATCGTATTGCGCCATGTTGATACAGCGCTTTTGGCAACTGAGAATTGCTAATGATTATATAGCAGAGAGGAGATGAACCATAGGTAAGAAGAATCAAGATGTCTGGTAAATCGAATTTAACCCAAGTGGCAACCAGCCAATAAATAGGCCGTTCCGATTTACATCGCCAAGTGGGGTGCGCTTGGAGAAGCGGCAAATGACTCTGCCAGCTTCCGACGTTAGTCTAGAATAGGAAAAAAACGAAAGACGGCGAGGAAGAAGAGGAAATAAAATTTAAGCTTAACGAGTAGCGATGAGAAGTGACTAACAAGTTCAGCTTGGCCAATGCTACGTTGCTCAAAAATAGGATGGGTGTACCGAAAGCAAGTCGAAACCGTTCGTCGGAGCAGAATAGGGCTAGAGATGGACAGACTTTAAGAAAATACAAGAGAATATGAACAACAGGCTTCACAGAGAATGGGGACAACGGAATATGAACATACAATTGAATAAAGTTGAATAAATATATATACAAATCTAGCGCTTTCAACAAATTGGTATCTAAACTTCCGCTCGCTCGCGCATATTTTCTTCTAATATTACATTACGTGCAAGCCGCTCCGAAACTTTATGTTCACCGTTCTTAAAAATAATGAAAAGAAAAAACTGCACGGTTGCTTTTCAACTTCCAGCGCCCCGATTAGACATAATCCTGGCCAGCATGAGGCTGAGGCGCAGGTCGATATTCATAAGGCATTCCCGTCGCTCCAGTGTAGGATGTTGGCCCTTCCATATTGCTAACCATTGGCTGAGCATGTTCGGACTCGCTGCTCAATTTATCCTCACGAGACCTCCGTCGCATGGGAATAGGGCCGTGCCGTTTGAAGAAGATCGGGGCGTCGTGGGGAACATGCGTGAGAACGAGAACAACGGCCCAGGCGATACAGAGCGTGGGCAGCAGCCACGGGGTGATGAGAAAGGTGGTCAACTTGTCGTCGTTGAGCTTGAGCAGTGCAACGAGAGCCATTCCGATAGCCAGGAGGAAAATGACGATTGTGCGAATCACCGGCCAGGGCTTCCAGGGAGTCACTCTGGCAACAACTGCCAAGAGGGTCATGAGTGCTAAGCAGAGTCCGGCCGCGATATAGCCATAGGTGAACTGAGAACTGTTAGTATAAAACACATTGTTAGTTGCTTGTAGTACAAGGCACATACCACAAGCTCATAGCGCGCAAATGTCTCGTCCGAGACTTGCGATGCAAACTGGGCATTGGAGGAGGTTTCTTCAATGCCTTGTTCTTCGTTTTCTTTATTAATCTCTCCTTCAAGGTCGATTTCAAATGTTGAAAATATGCTGTTGTACATTGCCGTCTGGAGGGAATCCATGATATTCTGAAACAGATCCGTGGTTGTGTCATTCGGCAGATTAAAGTCCGGTTCGACCTCGGCTTTTGACAGCTTGGACCAAAAGGAATTAGGAATTTCCGTGATGTTGGCGAGTGCATCGTTGATGAGGTCGTTTGTATCTGAATATTCGGGGTGATACAGATCGAAAAACTCGCTGAGCTCCTCTGTGATATTCTTCTGCACTTCAACACTGGTGGTATCTTCGAGTGCGCTAGGATCCTCGACTATCCAGTTGACCGATAAGTGGGTAATGACATCTATCACTTTAGACCACTGAATGAATTGGGTGAATCCCTGCATGAAGAGAACCAGTGAGAGATGGAACGGGAAATGAAGCAGCGTCCATACGATTTGGCGCAGAGGGGGGAGATAGGCTGTTTTCATCCAATCGTAGTAGATCAAGAAGATCATATATGTTGTTGCCACGCCAGCAGTCAAGATTCCAATAGTAGCAGCATCTAGTTTCGCAAAGGAATTTGTCAGTCCTGCAAGATAGTCACTTATAAGAGATATTGTTCGAATAGACTTACCCCATGCATCGGGACCTTCAACAACAATAACCACTTTCTCAGCCAGAGCAACGATGCTTTCGCCGAGAATCACAATCGTCAAAAGACTCATGCGGTTCATCAAGTGAGTCTTTACAAGACTGAGAACAGAGAACCCAAGCGATAGCCCAAGGGTTAAGACAACCTCCATGGCGCCAACGACGTACCACGTGATGAATACACGGCTCTGTTTGTCTTCGCTGAAGCGGAATGTAATGCCGAGATAGATCATTGATGCGATGAAATGGATCGCCATCTGGATGTAGAACGGGAGGTGGGAGTTTTTGAACTTTCTTAGATGCCATAGGATACTGGCATACTCGATCGCCAAGGCCAGTCTAGAGGCCATCAGAATGAGGGCTATCAAGAGAAGTGTCAGTATCTGGTCAGTGTGCCATGATACTATAGGAACCTACACATTGCCTTCATTGAAGACAGGTCCTGGTCGTTTGGATTAAATTTCGGGGCGACCACTGCGAATCCCACAAACACTCCAAGGTGAACAGCTCGGACGAGTCGTTCTACAGAATATGGTTAGAAAATGGTGTACTCATGATCGCTTGGGTGAAGAGAGGGTACCAAATATGCTGTCCGTCACAAATCTAACATCGTAAAGTCCAACGACAAGCCAGCTTATCCACAACATACTGCACCAAACATATTAGCAAACCTGCATCACTCCCATATTACAATTGTTCCTCATAGCGTACCAGAAGTATCCGGCATAAGATCCGAGTCGGTCGATACTGGTGACTGCCAGCTCCTTTGAAAAGACGACGTAGTTTGCGGCGAAAAAAAGGTCTGTAAACACCTCTAGCATGCCAGCCTCTTCATGCTACACCCCGAGAACCATTATCAGAATCGAATCGCATTTCTAAATATGCCTGTAGTTGAAGGCTTACCCTCTGAAACTGTATCGAAGGGTCGCTGAAGCGATCCCCAAACTCGCTGAGATTCGGTTGCTCTGACCCTCGCCGCTCGGAAGCATCCTCGATAAGCGGGCTCTTCATGAGCCGGAGCTTCTCACGAGGAGTAAGCTCGAGACTTTCTCTCTCCGCCATGTTGGCTGGTGATTACAGTTGCGATGATATAACCAACGATTCAGTTTTGCAACCGAGAGACAGGAATGCCAAAGGCAAAGGATGTTGGATGCGGCTTATGGTATTAATACCTTGGCGATCATATCCAGGCAGCCTTACCAGGAATTCGATTGGCGTGACGAAAGAAGCAAAGCTAGACCACGTCGGGCGTGATTGTGCCAGCCATTGTGCCGTCAGCCGAGAGCCTCAAAGTAATTGAGACATGCTGCGGAGCGCTCTTTATCGAGTGACTCCCTTCATTCTTCATCTCGCACTCCTAGTCCGAGGGGGATGTGGTGGAGCTTTAGCTTGCGGTAAGCGCATAGCCTGCTGCAAAAATAGGCACAGAGAGGCAGGGTTTGCCGCTAGACTTGCAGAGCCTTGTGCCAATGAATTCCTAGACTTGCCTTTTCTGTTCCCGTTGTCGACTCTGTGGCCGTTATAGACAGGGGGCTCTGTGGCTAGTTCTGGATTGTTGGGGCAGTTTACCGCATGTTGTGAAACGCTTTGGGAAAAAGAGAGACAGGTCAAAACGGCGATCGGGGCTGAGCAGGATATGGAGTACGGGGATCTGGGATAGATCTTGGACGCAGAGCACTGACGAAATAGTGGCTTGGCTTTCAGATAGTAGCAGCTAATCTCATGCAGGAAATCGCAAGAAATATTTATACAACAGTAGTTGTGTATTCTTAAATGAAGCTACAGAGACTTTGACGAGAGTTTCATTGCAGAAAGACTCTGGCGTCTGTTCTTTGCCTTTCTGCTACTGTTTGGCTGACTTTAGAACACGGCTAGTGTCATTTGCCACGAGCGAGCAGCGCAGGCAAGGCCTCTGTTCCCAAATCTGCCAACTTCTTCAGAAAATAATTGCCGGAAAATCTCATCACTAAAACTATGTCGTGTCACTTTTGGCGTCTACGCAAGGCCATGGGGTTCGGGCAAGCGTCTACTAGTGCTTACGCTCATGCACGACGGTTTTGGCGAACTTGAGGCTGAGACAGCCAGTCTGCACGATCGTCACAGCGGTCCTAAAATGCTTCTTTTCGGAAACCAAGTTTCCTAAAAAGGGATCCATTTGTAACCTCGAATAAGTTCCGAAAAGCAAAACGGATAGGACAATCGTTATCAGATTATTCCTTCTTTTTACCGCAGTACGTTAACCACTCCTCTCTCCTTCTCTTACAGTGTCTGCAAATGCCTGGTCAATAACATTGAATACTAAGCAGTATTAGCTCATCTCACTAGTCATGAGCAAGTGTCGCGCGGGCTTAAACGTGTAAGTGGGACTTGCTTTCGGCGTTTACTTCAGAGATGCGAAGGACCAGGGTCACAACCAGGCGCCAGGATTGGCAATTGGGTTGGATGATCTAGACCAAGCAATTAATCAAATTGATGATGCGGTCGTAGCCTATCAGGGGCTGTAGGAGGGAAGTTCCCAAAGCGCCACCTGGGTGAAAACTAGGTTTGAAGGATTGTAAGATGGATGGGCTCTCAAGCTAAGAATCTCAAAGTGAAAAGATGAGTGTTGGCAATTCTGCGATTGCCTGCACATGTTACAAAGCTTTACTAGCAGAATGAAATGAATGTAAATTATAGTAACCCACCATTTTAACACATGTCTATAAGCATATAATCAACCTAACTCTATGCTACTGGCACTGCCGTCATGAATCATGCCCAGGTATAAGTTGGCAAAATACTAATCGCGTCGCTTAACGGTGGAGAATTGTGTTCCGAACGATTAATAATCTAGAAAAAGATAGTCGACTACATGAAGTCGGAAATACACTTTGTGCTATTCTTGGATGCCGATTCAAGCGGGCGGCCAATAGAAATGAATATCCAAGTAAAGAGCCCTGTAAGCGTAAACTTAGCGTAGCACCCTAAATGCCAACTAATTCACAATGCCTCTTGTCGATCCATAAGACAAATGCGGATTTCTGCCATGACAAATTTCTGTGCATCTATAGTCGTGGATCGATTTTTTGTTGACAGCAGTAAACAACAGGCCACCGGCTCTGCCAAGCGTTGCTGTTACCTTTCCTAGCGAAACCTTGCTGTTAATTTGCCATCAACCACTATGTCAGCGTTACGTTGAGCGGCTGACGTTGAAAGATAGATTAGAATCCGCGGATCATTTGAAAGCAAGTCAGCCCCCTGACCAGTATGCTTTCCTTGCTAGGTACATAGTAGGTAAATATTCCCTAATTGAGAAGCCATGACACCTTTCCGGAAACCGACATATTGGTCGAGAATCTAATATAAAACCTTGACCAGATTTGGGTTACGCTGTTCTAAAGATGGAGTAAGTTGCGGACCCAAGATTGCGTGTGGACTCTTGCAAAACACTAGTCATCAATAATTTCACTCCATATCAAGGACCGAGATCCCCGAGAAAATGCCAAGGAAGCTTATTTGAAAATCTTGATTTGTTGCCGAATCACTCTTAACCAGAGCATTTCGCCCATCATGCGCTACAATTCGTATAACATTAGCTTGGCGTTCTGGAAAGATGTGGCTGTCACGCTTTAAAAAGTATCAGAATTACAGGACTGTGTCAAGGCCCGGAACAGGTATATCACGTCCTAATCCTTCTGTAACGTCTGTCGTACATCCTCTTAAGCTTCTAGCAGATTATTTAGTAATCTACGACTTTTGATTAGTTATAGAAACAGACAAGTACATTCATTTTGCCTTTATACTCTTACAATAGCCAATTCTCCTGTGACCCGTAATACATCTCGTCCAAGTCAGCTGTTGATTTAGCGTAAATCTCGTCAATTACCAAGCGTAACAGAATAATAATCTTAGAGGCGTCACACGTATTGATATACCTGGTTAAGCATTTACGCTTTCTCATACTAATAAATTGCGTAATACGCTTTCTTGACTTTTGCCATAAGCACCCGCAGTCCACTTTTACTTTGCTCAGTCTTTACGTATCTAGGTAAAGGTCATAAGCATGGTAAGGCAACACGCATCTTTTCCATCTCCTTTTCAGGACTTTGCAACTCCCTTCATAGCATTTCAGGGCACAAAAAAATAGAACATAAAGCGGTCCCGAGTAAAATCTTCCAGCCTTTAACTCTGTAAGGAGCTTATAGAGTAGTTGGTATAATGGCGTGATTACGATGTGCTTGCTTTAATGCGGGTGTGCTGTCGTGAAACTAAGACCATAAAACTGTGGCTTGTCGCACGTTGGGTCTAGTCGACTTGAATATCAATGGATTCAATGCAATATAATCATTTGAAGCTAGTATATAAATTTGATAATCCACATAGTTTCGTTTATCGTATTAGCCAAGGGCAATTCTCCGTTCTTCGTTTATTAAATGGGGCAACTTTCGTTTGCCTTATTGTAATACGAAGCTAGTCTTCGAGAATGCAACTGCGATATAGCGTCTCTGTAAGACAAAGCTCGAGAGTAATGTGCAGCCAAATTTATGATAAGTTTCCCAATTTTATCAGTAATTCTGCCCGAAATGCTTTTCTCAGGGAACGCTAGATCCGTACCCATCAACTCTATCACAGGCCGCTTCATTCATCAAGTAGAGCCGCCGTAATGTAGGGCAACAAATGTGGTAATTTTGTACAGCTGACCGACAGTCATAGCCGATGTTGGCTATCAGCAAGGCAAGTTATGACTACTTACCTGACACATTGTAGCAAGCAAGCCTACATGATCAATTACAGATGGGAGATGTATAATTCTTTTCCGATCCAATTTAAGTAGCTTACAGATGTGTAAATTTTCTATAGTTTGTAGGGTTGGGATCGATAGTCTGGCGATAAGAAGGCCCGAGACTCAACCCCATCTCGTATGAGTTTGGACATGGCCAGCGCTTGATTGATGCCCATCGAATGGCCAATCTTGTCCAAACAAGCTGTGACCCATTTGCGAAGATCGTCACATGCGACTCCCGAGTTTGCAGCAACCAAGAGAGGCCACATGATGGTGAGGCCGCCCGCCCCAGTAATTTGAAAGGACGGTAAAATGTCCCTCATATCTACTCCATGAGCAATAGATGCGCCGAGATCAGAGACTTTCAAGTGTCTGGAGTCTTCTATTTCCATACCCAAGATGTATGGTACGCTAGCACAGATGTCTTCCACCAGCCGAAGAACAGTCTGTCTGGCTTGGTTTGCCAAGTAGCTGCGTTGCGGTGAGCCAATGTTTGTCAAAGCTTCCAGATCCTTGATGGTATCGATAATAATCTCCTGAATAATGATCCGAGCAGAGCGATAGTTATTCCAGATGCTACTTGCGGAAATACTATGATATATGTGATAAGTATCACTCCAAAAAGCCCGCATGGGAGGCTTTCCATCGAGCGCTGGAACGTCAACCGTAGCGTATCCCCACGAAGGAGGCACGCTGATCATAAGTGAAACCAAATCAGCGTCGATTATCAGCGCTGTGCGGATAATCTCTGTAGGTTCGACGATATATCCATTCTTCATGTCAGCGCAAAAGTCCGTCAATCGATTAATCACAACGGAAAGCTGGTCCAGCACTTGATAATTGAGATTCCGATCGAGGTGGGCATCTTTGGCTAGTTTAGTAAAAACTGATGAGCTGTATCGTTCCTGGTATATCCGACTGATGCTCTATATTGACTTCGATTAGTATACTATTCTTAACGCCAATAACTTTAAAACAACTCACCACTTGAGCACGTAACTGATTGAATAACTCCAGCCCCTCCCTCCGAGAAAGTTGCTCTGATCCACGAACTTCAATCAACTTTGTTGCGCCCTCCATGTGGTTCACCCAACGATCGATGAACGAGCCATCAGTACACGTCATAATCTTTTTTCTCCCTCCTGCGTTAGTCGGCAATGAAATGAAATTTTGGGGCCGACTTACTTCAAATGTGCCAAGCATAACCACCGCCGCCAGTGTATCATCTGTCTTGCACATGAATGGGTCCTGTAGGGCTAGGTTGGTCTTGGATAGAGCTGCAGTATACTCCTGCTGGGCCTTTCGCATAGTCTTGGGAGATAGTCGAATATTTGACAAGGCTGCTAATGCAACGGCGCTTACTGCTGCATTGGCTGCCGAATTTTGTGAGCTCTCCAACAGCGGCAAAAGGTATGACATGTGGCCGCCACGGGGACCTCCAGTTATGTAATTAACATAGAGATAGCTTCTCGCAATTTCATGCTCGGGGTATACAGGATTAGCCCTTGGAATGATTAAAGTCGTCTTATCGCGGCACAGGGCCCTAGAATCGTCCGAGTTCGGAGGTACTCTACAGGGAATTGATGGCTGAAGTTCCACGCTGGTCGTTGGGATAGGCCGCTTCTTATGCGCTGCAAGTCGGTATTTGCGAATGACTTCCTTGCCCTGATCCTTGAACTTGAGATCTAGCAAACTTCGATATCCGGGACAGCGGACCTCGGCTCGAGTACATTGAGTGCACGAAGGCGTCTTATAATCGCACTATAAACCATGCTAATTAGTATGCAGAGTTTGGGCAACCTCAACCAACTGCTCCTTAATCGGTGACGAAAGACCAGGATTTGAGCTCTCGAAATGTCACTGGAATCTCAAACGCAAAGAGTAGTCTAAACGCACCTTCATGCGGCGATGCCGGCAGCGCTCACATGCAGCACTTGGCTTGCCACAATAACCCATGATCCGTGATTTGACTTCTGCTACCAATGAATTACTGAAAGAAGGAAGTGATGCGTTGACTAGCAACGGAGATATCTGACACGTTGATCGAATAAAAAGATTAAAGGTTATAAGAGTGTCAGCGCCGCCTCCCTATTATTTAAGCAAATCCGTTTTGGGCAACCAGCTCGGCGACATGAATCTGGTTCCAATGGGCACCGTTTTGTTATTTCAGTGCTTATACGTGTGTAGATGTAGGTTTTAATAGCCAACCATTCAGCTGAGTGACTTTCAATTTGAGGTGCTTACGCGTAATACATGCGAAGAGGCTCCCACTCGGACATTTTTCCACAAGGCAAGACGAATTTTCCAAGAGCCGGCGCCGCAATTACGCGTTGAGCTAAACCATCGCGGGAGAGCAGTTCGACGCTAAGCATAGCCTCAGGGAGATTTGCGCAGCTACCCCTTGTAAGACTGGCAAGGATAAGTAGGTGATTGGATGGGATTGGGCGAAGCTCAGCCATTGCCTATTTGGGAAACCTCAGTGTTCCATGTCGTCTAGCTTTGAAGAGTCAAGATAGTTCATTCGTGCAGTGATATATGAGGTGTGTTACTTTCATATAAATAAGCTGGGCTTAAACAATGTTTTTTTCTTCTTCATCAAACTACAAACCTTTGGATATTCGCACTACAATGGCTCACGTTACGCTGAGTGATGGCTTGGCCATCTGGCAACTCGTCTACTACGTTGTAACACTCATCTGCAGCATATTTGTATCTTTTCGACACGGATTGGCACGGAGTTCAGGCTGGATCTTTCTCACGATATTCAGCATCATACGTGTTGTTGGATGCTCCGCACAGATTGCAACGATAACTGCCACGTCGGACACTGCCGAGACAATTGCTACTATACTTGGCTTTTTGGGTCTGTCACCGCTTTTACTAGCCACACTAGGAATCTTAACTCGAGTGTAAGTATTAATACAGCTATTATCATTGTCAATTCTCCATGGTTAATGGCTTTACAGATACTATTATCTCCTTGAGCGGCCGTACAACACCGTCTTCAATCTATTTGTTGCCAAGATCGTTCAAATACCGGCTGTTGTCGCCCTTATCCTCTGCATTGTTGGCGCAACATCGGCAGACACTGCAGCAGACATTATGACCCAAGATACGGTAAAGGACGGAGTGATTGTCTACCTGGTTGTCCTGATTCTCCTCATCCTTCTGACGATTGGCGCCTACATCACGCGCCATGTGACAGAACGACGTGGAGAGAGGACAATGCTACTCATTATAACATTATCACTACCATTCTTACTTGTTCGCATTATCAACTCACTTCTTCTCATCTTTGACAAACACTTTCAAGATTCGACAGCAGAGGGATCAACATCATCTGTCCTCACAGAACTCTTCATGGCAAGAATCGAGGAGATGATTGTCGTTCTCTTCTATCTGTATGCCGGTCTCACGCATAAAGCCGTCCCAGAAGGAGATCATGGCAAGCGAACCAATAAGGAAAAGATCGCGCATCGGGCTGCCAGAGGAGATTTTGGTGATGGCAGGTTGGGGGTGATATCTCTGGCAATTGCGACTGCTGGTGCGAGCTTCAAGAGAGAGAATGATAAACCTAGCCAAAATGACCAAGATGCTGAAATTGGGCTAGTACAGTATCGCACGACAAGATAGGATTTGCGGCCCGAGCACATTTCGATTGATCTCGGAACAATAAAGGGGATTGATAGAGGAGGAATTACCGGAGAGACATATTTATCTACGCTATGTGCAACAAAACATTACTCATTCCCAATTATTTACATTCACTTATTACATTTTATAGAATACAGTAGCGCAAATGGATCAAAATTTCCTATTTACTTAACATGCTATCTATAAATTGAACCATCTCCAGAACGGGCTTCACAGAGTCGCATAACGTACACATATAGATTCAAGTTTGGGAAGAGCTAAGCATTGCACTATTTCCACCGACCATTAGTACATATAAGCAACAACAAACCCTTGCAAATGTGCTACCAGACTTGGAACACAGTGATGTAAGTCACCTACCCTACAAACTCTACAGGAAAAATGAGTCTCTTTAATAATTATTTTCGAATTGAGTTTCTATTTACTTCATTTTTTTTTTGAACTGATTCAGCTCATTTCTAGTATGCAGACACGCAAAATACACTTAACAAAGAACTGATAAACTCATGAAGTTAGCAGAGCGAGATAAGTGCCGTCAACGAATACAGATGCATTTAGTGTTTGACGGCAAACAATAATCAGTAAATAAATTCAATGCGTGGGTTGTTTTTTTCAATCTAGGCAACATATTCAATCTTAGAATCACTGAGTAATTTTATCTCTTTTAGTTTGTGCATTAACGTCAGGATAGTATACGATGGCTATGGGTTCAGAGACGCGCCGGTCAGATTCAGGACATACGCTTGCAACACTCCACTCTTTGTTCTGTCCTATCATTAAAAGGAATGCCGTGGCTAGCAATAGTATTGCGTAGGATTGTCCTTCAATTTGACTAGAGCGATACACTTTTGAGATAACGCGATTGAGTATGTAGACTAATATATGAATTACTCATCGCTCGGTGAACATCGTATCATACACGCAAAGATTATGGAACCAAGTACTACCACAAACACCGCATACCTCGCAATACTGGCCAGTGGAATCTCCATGTAAACATTATTTCATTCCGATGGCGTTGTTGACTTTTTATAATGTTTGGTTAATTCTCCAAGAGTTCCACTGACCAGATTTACAAGGTGACATGGTAGGCACCATGATCTCTAGAAATAGTTGAGTGAGATGACAGACATGGCATGGCTTTGCACTCCGCAAGTGGCGGTGGGACATAATTAGGCTTGTTCAAGCGTTCAATCCAATGCAGGGCGTTTCGTGGTCTGAGCTCTTCTCGCTGGCGTATGAACTTCCTCTTTAGTCGACCAAGGCATTGTACTAGAGGCTGAAGAGCAAGAAGGCATAATTGGTACATTTGGTAGCTTAGCAGCATAACTGCTCGCAAGGCTATATTTGCGTGTCCTATGTCCGACAAACGGACTTTAGTGTAGTTGCAGATCCCTACAACTCCGTTCATAATGATTGGCTAGGATTCACATCCTGCGCCTTGTCCTTGTAGCACCCCCTGTTCTACAAGGCGATGCCAGTACCGGTCCAGAACAAATGATGGAACTTTATATGCGTACGGAGATGTTTCCGGAAATGAGTTATGACGTGCCCTACGGCCGCGGCTTGCTGATCCGGTTGATCATGCCGGACAAATTATTTGTATACGGAGTGTATCGGTGCATTATTCCGAAAGTCCTGCAGGTCAATATCCGCTTGATGGTTAGTTGTATCAAGTTGCATGGCGATACCTATATGTATTGGCTGGAGGATGAATAGTATGCAAATGTACTGGAATTTGCAATGGAGTCTTGGTTAGATTCTTGTCATGGCAACTTTACGCCAAGGATAGATTCTCCGGACGAACCCTTGGTGCAAGGAAAAGTCCGTCGCAAATTCACGCAAGCCACCGTCAGCTTGCAGGTAACATAACATCTTCCTATCCTCATAGAGTATCGCCACCATTATGAATACAAGAATATTATTTGCCACAGCTCTTTCTGAAGAAGAATCAGTGGGTGGTCTTAAATTAACATCGGTGTAGCGGGATTATTAATCCCGTATATAATGTAAGCGCGTCGGCCCTTGCCGTTGCGACTTGCTGCTTATGACAAGGTTATAATGTGGGCGTTCAGTAATAGATAATCAAAAGCGACCGAGATCCAGTGGTTGCCTGATGCCTCTTCTATGGGCGGAAACTCTAGGAGTCTTGCATCTGGATATCGTCAACTTGAAGAGAAAACAATGAGTTTTGTTGTCTTCCCGCTATCTGTATTTGGCAGTTTTCTAAATATGTACAAGCCCAAACTGATTGGTGTCAAAATGTCCAAGCACAGTTTCAGTGCTCCCTCCCTATTTAGACCCAAAGGTGCCGACAACCCTTTTTCCCGTTGTGCCGAGTACTGATCCGATGAACTCCACATGGCGCTGGACGACTATTGTGCGCGGCCCCTTTGTTTGCTCCAGAGCATCGGAATCTCCTCAAAAGCAGGCATTACGTGGGGCCCACCGCTTATTGTATCCTTGTTGGCGGATAGACAACTAGACATTGAGAAACTATAGGACATTCGTCTCGTGAATAAAACGCCTGCACTTTATTGTTGCACCTTAAATGCAATCTTTATAGGAAACTACCTCTCTGCCTAGCATACAACACCTCCTGGGCTTGGGTTTCTACGTCATGTTGTTAACGGGCATCGAAACACTAGCAATACTAACACGCCCGCTAGTTAGAACGGTCAAGCCTAGGGCTTACGGCGTCATTCCCGTTGCGGAACGGCCCAGGAGAATATGTGGTGTACTCCGTAGATCACTTTTTCAAGTTGCCTTTACAGAACAGGTACACAATATCGCCGTGTAAGAAAGTGGGCTCTGTTATGGAGTAGATTTGCTCTGGTGAATCTAGGTCCGAAGAACTGGGTATGCCAAGATATCTAGGTTGCCAAGGGGGCTCGAGCCTCTAGTGCTCAAGTAAGAGCGATAACATTACAATGCCTTCGGGGCTGTCGATGTCAAGCAACTGCGTCCCACTAAGTGATGCTCTTAGTGCTGGTTATCTAGGAGTATACCTAACAAGTATTAAACAAAGTATCCAAATTTCCAGACTTGTACCAATAACAGCTTGATTTTGTATTTGCTCGTGTGTTGTGTTCTTATAAGGCGAACTCTATAGACAATGGCAGAACGCCATGGACAGCTAGTCCACCGCACATCGAATACAACATTCCTGAAATAGAATAGATACTATTGTAGATACTATAACACACAATTGAACCATGCTCACATAGAAGCTAGGGCCGTAAGGAGGTGCAAACAACCTTGTCCGAACCCATACCTGTCAAAGCCTTGTACGGAGTGGCAAGGGGAGAGTTTTTCCATAGCTGATGATGCAAGGGAGTGCCAAGTACTCGGTTAGTATAAAGAGAGCCGCTGATCTTTGCTTGTTCTCTCATCTACACTTGAGACTCACAACCTCAATCAAAATGCATTTGTCTTCAACAGTCCTAATGGCTGCCGCTGGAGCGGTGGCCCAATCAACGGTTGACCTCTCCGATCTCCCGGCTTTCTTGAAGTCCAGCTCAAGTACCAACTGGCCAACCCTTCTATCCATTGGCCAACAAATCTGGAACGACCCAGAGGTTGGCCTCAACGAAACCCACGCACATGATCGCCTCGTCAACTACCTTTCTTCACTTTCGGGCTGGACGGTGTCAGGATCGGCCTACAATGGCCTTCCCACAGCTTTCCGAGCCGAGTTTGATAACAGGCCCTCTGGCTTCACAGGCACTCTGCCCACTGTTGGCTTCTTGGCTGAGTACGATGCCCTGGTCGGCATTGGTCATGCCTGTGGTCACAACCTCATTGCCCTCAATGGCATCTCAGCAGCCAAGTTTGCCAGTGAAGCGCTGGCACACTACGGCATCCCTGGCCGTGTGATCATAGTCGGAACCCCCGACGAGGAAAACGCAGCCGGCAAGTTCAAGCTCAACAACTTGGACGCCTTTGCGGATTCAGATGTCTGGCTGATGGCGCATCCTACGACAACGAGCGCTATTCAGCCTATGAACGCTCGTCTCAACTACTTTGCTTCTTTCGTGGGCAGCACACACTCTGAGGCGATTGCAAAGGCCTACAATGCGATGAATATAGTACTGAATCTGACTGGCCTGCCGGGAACCAGCTCAAGCGCCGTCAGCATTGAGAACGTCGGTGTCTATGCAACCAACATTGTACAGACCGTCATCGATCTTGGCGTGGCCGGCCTGGATCTCGCCACGGTTAACAGCACCGTTGCCAAGATTCTCGATTCAACTTATCCCAATGTCACTTTTAAAGCTACCACGGATTCCAACGGCGTGGCTATTACGATGAATGGCCCTGGTGGTCATGCTTCAGACGCCACCAAGGGCCCCTTGGTGCTGTCAGTCAACACATACAACGCCCTTAAGAACACGCCCGGAGTCTCCTTTTACCTGCCCAGCAACACATCCGTCAGTGAGCTCGACATTACCATTGACATGCGCACACGCTACACCAGCGACTTGAACTCGGTGGCCAACTTTGTCAGCGCTGCTCTCGGCACTCTCCCCAAGAGCATCTCTCACGATGTCCAGTACCCATCTCTGGAGGTCGATCCTTACCTCGGACAGGCTTTTGTTGATTTGACTGAGACACCTGATTACCCACTGGGCAACTTTGGAATCAGCACATTTGCTCCCGCCTCGACAGATGCCTCGTGGGTGCAGGATCCTGTGCTCGACCCTGTCACACACAACATGACCAGCGCAGCCAAGGCGGTGCTTCACGCAAACTACGGCATCTGCCCCAACCCATCCGGGGTTGGCTGTGCCTTTAACCACGAGCCGCTGTTCAAGACTTTGGCTAACACGGCTTTGGCGTACTCGCAGACCGAGATTGTGGCCAGAGCAGAAGCCCAGATTGCCGTGCAGCTGCTGGCTGATCCATCTGCGATGAGCAAAGCGACCTCTATCTTGACGAAATAAACGGACCTGAAGAAGAGGTGCAACAGGTGTGATATTTAATGAGGTTTAAAATAGAAACGAAAACGATAATTGTACGAAGCGGATGATAGAATGTAATGTACCTAATAGATGACACACACTCGGACAAATAGAGAACCACCGATGCTTCCGGCATGGTGTACTATTTAAGAAGATTTGCACTTTCTTTCCCTTGTAGATCAATGGAACCTATGGGATTTTGCTTATTGTTTATTAATCGAGGGTAGAGGAAAAGGCCGACGGACGTGGAGTTGCGGATGGGGCATAGTCGGTACGCGGCTTGTGCCGCTCAGATTGCCGGTGGCGCAGTATGTAGTAACAAATTTCATCTCAAGATAAGCTCCCAAGAAGCTTTCCTATTAATATTTATGCTTTAGATCGCTTCTTCTCTTCCCTCTCTGTATAACTCGATATCGCTGATAAGACCTCAAGACGCCGCTGCTTGGCTATTTCCTTCAGCTATATCCGTAACTACTGGGTGTTTTGATTGAGACTTACAATTTTGTACTAGAGTCAAACAAGCCTGTTATCAAGTAAACTATAAACTATATCATTTTCATTTTATTATCCATTAAATCAGCTGGGCAAAAAATTTGTTAGTACTAACACATAAACCTACCCTGGAGTCGTTGAAATTAATCTCGAGGCTGTTGTGGTAGTGGCTTGAAACGGCTAAACGACAACAAGAGGCATCGTTTCTCGCACTTGGACGGCGTCTTGGATGTCAAACTTTCGGCCAGGTGGAATTGCATTAAGCCGTAGTGTTGCCTTTGCGTGAGTTGCCGCGCGCATCTTGACTATCCAAGCCACTTATGCAGTTGATCAAGGCTTCTTACGACTTGTAGGTATCTATACCACATCATGAATCAAATTAAGAGTCCGTCGCGTCCGTCGCCGGCTGTTTCGCCAAAAAAAAAAAAAAATTGTCCGTATTTGTGCTAGGAGAGTTTCCACCCTCATTATAGCATGCTGTAAATCCTTGTTTGCGACTCGCTCCAGAAGCTAGAGACCTGACGAGGCCGACATGTTGCAGCGTTACATGCAGCGCGGATGCCAGCCAGCTCTTGCAGGTCCGCAGCTCGGAGAAAACCCTGCAGGGAAAAACATAGCTGAGCCTAGCTGCGATGTCTGGTTACATTGTGTTTCTTGGTGCCCCATACGGACATGCGGCATCTGTCCAGCGATTGTCAACTTTTGACGGGCTGAACTCAAGCGCCTCGGCCGGAGAATAAGCTTGGCCTCTTGTATCTCCCCTTATTTTAGCCCCCGGGAATTACGTCTGTTAAAGAGCAGAGACCCAGAAAATAAATGCGCGAACTGCTCTTCCCGAAGCGAATGCATGACCACGGGCCGGGAGGGAAGACCAGCATCAGGCATTTTAGACTCTCCTTAGTTTGCGAAAACTCGTCGATAAACGCGGAAAACAACGACAATGCGGAGCAAGGCTCCTTTGCTTCCTGGAGCTAAACTGCACCGTGTCCAAGCTAATATCATTGCCAGCCAACAATAGGCGGAGGAGCCTTTGTCTCTGCTCCACACACTCCTCCCGTCTCCAGCGCCAAATCCCTCGCGTGCGCTCCTGATTCACTCTCAGCTCTTTTCTCATCTACTTCTAGATGGCCTAACGTTGTGTTGCATATGTAGGCAGTGGCATAAAGAACCGACTGTTGGCCGACTCCATCTGATAAATGACACGCACATGCGAATGATTGTTGCGGACATCCACAATCTTCTAAGCGAACCCTGAGCTGAAGCAACCCAAGCGAGCAGGCCAAGGACGCACCAGCTGTGTTTAGCTCATTGAATCGTACGTTTAGGCAAGGCGCCCGCAACTTTTCTACTGGCGGACAAAGAGAGAGACGCATCATTGTGCGACAAGACGGACGCGGCTGCGAGTAACTGCATGTGCTTACTCAATCATTTGCTCATTCGCATAACATTGATAAGGGCGATTGGTGGATATACAATCTGCTGAACTACGGAACTCTGGCATCCGACTTGATCATCTATAACGAAGCTTTGTCTAAGCACCGTGTTCCACTAGTATCGCTTCCTGCAATTGAGACGGGGACAATTAACGAATCAAATTGAGAGACGAGAGGGAAGAGCAGAGAGAAAGAGAAGGAGAAAGCAAAAAGAAAAAAATAAAGATTTGGAAAGAAGGCAAAGGAACAGGAAGAATTAGGAGCGGCATCTTTAAAAGGCGCACACACCGCGTCGTTTCGCTGTCGAGCAACCATGGCAAAGTCGCCCAAGTCTCCCAAATCGCCCACATCGCCCGTCTCTCCTACGCAGGGGGCATCAAATGAGGGCAGCCAGCAACAGCAAGCAGCGCCCTCGGACGGCATCCTCCCGGCTGCGCACTGGCAAGAGGTTGCCGAACAAGAAGGCGACGATTACGACGATGACGGCGACTCTGCCCTTGGCTCAGATGCGGACAGCTCAACCGCGTCGATAACGTCGACTATTCTGCAGTATAGAGAGATCAACGGCCGCAGATTTCACAGCGAAATGGGCTCTGTTCAGTATTGGTGAGCCACCAGTCAGTTCTTTGACGACTTGGAAGCAGGATTGACCAAGAGCAACAGGCAGTCCAACGATGAGGCGGCGAGCGAATCACTGGATATAAAGTAAGGTCAACGACCCAGATTTAATGTTATTTGAACAACAAAGACTCCTGGTCAAAGACATTTGGACAGTAGCTGACTGATACGCTGCAGCCACCATGCCATTTGCATGGCAATGGGAGATAAGCTATACTTGGCTCCCCTAGAAAAAGACAAGATCACAGTCAGTTCTGCCCAGACGTTCGATATGCTCGTTTGAGCGCAATTCGCATGACATAGCTGACACCACGAACCTCGCAACAGAGAGCCCTTGATATAGGCACTGGAACAGGTTAGAACTCGCCCATAACATGCGTAGTATTATCTTTTGTGTAAAGCTGACCATTTCGACGCAGGCATATGGGCCATGTGAGCACTTGATGTCCTTGGACTATTCTCAGCAGAAAGGTACTGACGCGTTGTAGCGACTTTGCCGATGAATATCCTGATGCTCAAATCATTGGCACAGACATTTCTCCAATTCAACCGACTTGGGTGCCTCCGAATCTCCAGTTGTGAGTTTATAACCAGCGTTTCTTACTATTTCTGGCATATGTAATGTCTCGGGTTTACTAATTCTCAATGGAAATAGTGAGATCGAAGACTGTACTCAAGACTGGACATTTCGCAACGAGCACTTTGACTATGTCCACATGCGATGGCTTCTGGGCAGCATTCAAGACTGGGACGCCCTGATGCGGCAAGCATATCGCGTGCTGCGTCCGGGGGCGTATTTTGAGATATTGGAGCCTTCGGCCATCATTACAAGCGATGATGGGACTGTCACAGAGACAAGTGCCTTGGGACAATGGGGCAAATTTTTTATCAACGGCGGTAAACAAATTGGAAGGAGTTTCACCGTGGTTGAAGACGAGACGCAGCGAAAGTCGATGGAGGCGGCTGGCTTCGTCGATATTCAAGAATTTAATTACAAGGTGAGCATATGGCTTCCAAGTGACACGGCTTTCTCTCTCTCTGTCTATTGCAAAACTTTTACGAATCAAGTTACTCTAACAACGTTTGCTCTGCAGATGCCAATAGGAGGCTGGGCTAGAGACCCCAAAATGAAAGAACTCGGCCAGTTTGCGCAACTGGTCATTGAAAAGGACACTGAGGGCTACATTGTCTTCATGGCAAACACACTAGGATGGACACGAGAAGAAATTTTGGTATACATCAGCCTGCTGCGGCGAGAAATCCGGTCGAATAACTTTCATGCGTATTACAAGTTTAAGGCGGTTTACGGAAGGAAGCCACTCAATGAAGAGAAGCATTGATGTTTTTTGTCTCTTCATGCTTAGTTGTCCTAAGTTGCAGGCAAGTTCTTTCATTATTTCCGAGCTGGTATTGTCGCATTGATCTCATAATCATGTGCTATGTCGTGTCAAGAACGCGTCGGCAGGCCTGGGCTATTTCATACATTAATATAATAATATTAAACAATTATCGAATCCTTGTGGGAATTATTCGCCTACGTAATTCCCAAACAGCGATTATGATGGCATATGAGGCATGGGGTATGATTCTTTCTCCCCACTGATCTGCGTCGATATGTTAAAACAGCGGTCAAATCTAGCACCTACGGATTCTCACAACAACTGGCCAAGTACTCTTGAAGTATATTCTCTTGTTTTGATTCATGGAACTGGGATACCCATGCTTGAGTTTACGTGTGGTTTCGTATGCATGAGGGTTTCGTCACTGTCTCTCAACAGTAATGCAGGTGATAATGCGTGATCATATGCGATGAGGGAATTTACATGAATTAACACAATTTGCTAAGAATTGAGAAATAATATAGCTCATTAAAGTAATCATTAAAAGCTGTCGACGGCATGAATACCTGCTTGAACTGTGAGCGAGATATGCCTTGCAGTTAGGATGCTCATGATAGACTCATAGCTGGGAACTCTACGCCGTTCACCAGACTTCACATGTTCCCTCATTGTCATTTCTTGTTTCTTCACGCATAAATTTTTCACTTTTTTCTCTTGATGCTCAATGTCGCTATTAATTTTTGCATTCAGTATATGGCCGCGGAGCGCACCTGTTGTTTCATTCTCGGCGACGACCGCATAGTAAGCCCATTTGGCCCTGCTGAGGTTTCAAGCCACTAACTAGCACAACCTGCAACCAAAAGCTTGTGGCGAGGAATAAAATAGAACTATTTGGCATTATTAATTGACATTTAGAAAATTGACCGTTCTTTTTCCATATTTATCTCGTCGGTTAAACAATGATAGGTTCTTATCTAGCCTCAGCAAGCTAGGAGAATGACTCGGGAATAGTTGAGCATACGTGTAACTTCATGACAAATAGGGCGCGCAAGCCCCACACTAAATTCGACAACAAAAGCGGGAATGCCTTATCCCAGCAATGAAATGCTCAGACATATTAATGGCACGTCGAAGCTGAGTTGCAGTGCTGCGAAAAAGCGTTTAGAGGCGTATTTTTATAATACAGAATAGGTGTTGGGAAGAGAAGCAACAACTCGGCAATAAACATCCATCATGGCCTCGCAACAGACATCCGGGACGATTTTGAGCTTTCACCACGACGGAAAATTGCTCAATTTGCAGACGACGGTGGTGTCAATACGGCCGTTTTCCGCTCTAGAGGAACAGAACCGCGCCATTTTCAAGGACGGCGGTGATGATGACTATGTTATCGTAACCAAGGAGACCATCTTCCACCCCCAGGGCGGCGGCCAGCCCTCTGATGAGGGATCAATCACATCAGTTGCCTCTCCTGCTGTCTCCATCAACATCAGGGCGGCACGAATGGACGTTGTCAACGACGGGCTGGTGCTGCATCTCGGCCGTTTCAAAGACTCAACAGCGACAACACTCCAGCCTGGCGATATTGTTGAGCAATCCATCGATGCAGAGAAGCGCCTCCTCTACTCAAGACTACACACCGCCGGCCACGTTCTCGGATCAGCAGTACGGCATCTCTTGGAGAAGGAGATTGAGGGCTTCGATGAACTCAAAGCATCTCATTTCCCCGATAGCGCTGCCTGCGAGTTCCGTGGTCTCATAGAGGGCAAATGGAAGCAGCCAATCCAGGAGCGCGTAGACGACTATCTGCGCCGCGCAATGCCGGTAGAAATTGACTTCTGGACAGAAGACGACTTCAAGAGAGAAGGCCTGGAGCGCTTGATCCCGGACCGAAGCCTGCTACCTCCAGGAGAAACCAAGTTCCGCGTTGTGCGCATCGTGGGAGCTGAAGTGTATCCCTGTGGCGGAACGCATGTCGACACGACTGATCTGTGCGGCGCAACAACGGTGAAGAAGATTGGAAGAAGTAAAGGCATCAGCCGGGTCAGCTACACAGTCGCATGAGGGCGGTAGGAAAGACTGGTCGCCGTACGGGGCTATGACACGAATGTCTCAGCCACGTAGATGCTCGTACAAGACACATCGCAGCGGAGAGATGCATAGATAGGCAAGTGGATAGACTTTCTTAGACTTGGAGACGGAGGAATGAAAGAGGGACTTGTGGACATACCACAATGAGCTGCAGTCAACCGCCGCAAAACAGTTTTCCTCATCCTGTGATCCAAAACGTGGCGTTGAGAAAAAGTTGGCCGATCTGAATGCAATCTCCGACCTCGCTGAAGCGAAAGGGTTTCGATAATGCCATGATCTAGTGTTTATAGATCATCTCCATAATCTCAGTCTACAGGAGAAGATAACCTGCCAGATGAAAAGTTGCCTAATCCGGTTTACTTATGCCCCTGTGACACTTTGGGAAGAGCCCGTGAAGCTAATGAAGCCATCGCCAACCGCAAAACTAGCCCCCGTGCTCGGAAAGATGGCGATAGATTCCCTTCTTGTTACGGCGTAGCTGGTGGCTTATGCAACGGGAAGCCACCCGGAGGGGAAGTTTTCGAAGATTGGAAAACGTTCGACCCGCACTGTTAGAATCAACTTGGAGAGTTCCATCGCACTGTCTGGACCGAGTTCCACTGGCCTCCGCATTACCCCCGCATAATGACATCGGACCTGATATTTCAAGCTTGGAGCAAGGATTGAATGGCAAAGAGCGAAGAAGCAGAAGAGGAAAAGGTTTATGGACAGATACAGAAGGCGGCTGAGAAAAGAAAATTATTGTTTTACACATCAGCTTCTCTGGTCATACTCATTACTCTATACAATAGTCTTCGCTGCAATTACCAACCATGGGCAGCAGTGAGCTTCCTTTTACTTTGGCCAACGCAAGCCTCGGCGACCTGGACTGTCTCGTTGATGGACAAACAGTCGTCGCCAAGTCAGGCAAACGCTTCGATGTCATTGACCCCGGAACCGGTAAATCTTGGGCATCCTGCCCAGACTGCCGAGAAGAAGACGTCGACGCCGCAGTCCAGTCGTCTCATCGGGCCTTTCAAACATACTCCAAATGGACTCCCAGACAAAGAGCCCAGACATTGCTGAAATGGCATCAAGAAATTGTCGCCGCGCGAGATGATCTCGCCAAGATCTTGGTCTACGAAACTGGCAAGCCCCTCGCAGAAGCTTACGGCGAGATCGACTACGGCACCACATTTACCTGGTGGTTTGTAGGCGAAGCAGAGCGAATTCAGGGAGCCTCAATTGTCAACGCAGTCCCTGGCCGACGAGCAATCACAATCAAACAGCCTATTGGAGTTGTCGCTGCTCTTGTGCCTTGGAATTTCCCCCTGGCCCTGATTCTCAGAAAGGCCAGCGGAGCCCTTGCTGCAGGCTGCACCATGGTTGTGAAGCCTTCGCCCGAGACACCAATCACAGCCCTCTCAGTGGCGCGGCTGGCATTAAAGGCTGGATTTCCTCCTGGTGTACTTAATGTCCTGACAACAAGTCTCGATGGGACGCCTGGACTGGCAGAAGCGCTGTGTCTCCATCCGCTGGTGAAAAAAGTGACTTTCACTGGCAGCACGAGGGTCGGGAAGATTATCACGAGTCATTGTGCGAAGAACCTGAAAAAGGCATTGGTTGAACTTGGAGGAAACTGTCCTTTTATCGTTTTTGATGATGCCAACCTTGACCAAGCGCTGCAACACTTCATGCCACTCAAGTGGCGGCACGCAGGCCAAGCTTGTGTTTCTTCAAATAGAGTCTACGTTCAGCGAGGGGTCTATGACAAGTTTGTTGATGCCGTCATCAAGGCCGTATCTGAACTGAAGATTGGCCACGGAATGGCAGAGGGCACCACTCTGGGCCCAGTCACGACACCAAGAAGTCTTGATCGAGCCGAAGACATGGCCAAGGATGCTATTTCCAAGGGGGCAAAGATGGTGGTTGGCACTGGGCTCAGAGATCAATCGGCAAATGGAGGCGGCTACTTTATGGAGCCTACAATCTTGACAGACGTCACCGATGATATGCTCATGAGCCAAGATGAAATATTCGCACCACTGTTGGGAATTTCGGTGTTTGATACAGAGGAGGAGGTTATTCAAAGGGCCAACAACACAGCCATGGGCCTGACCAGCTATGCTTTCACAAAGAATGTGGACAGGCTTTGGAGGCTTTTTGAACGGCTAGAGGCTGGCATGATTGGCTTGGTAAGTCAAAGTTGCATGACTTCTTTTACAACAGAGAAGATCTTTACTGATGCAAATTCGGTGTTTAGAACACGGGCACCAACTCCTGTGCTGAATCACCGTTCGGAGGCATCAAAGAAAGCGGATCCGGAAAGGAGAGTGGAAAGGACGTGGCAGTTGACGAGTACATGATTACAAAGACTGGAACCTTTACTTTTGAGGGTTTGTAAATTACAGGAGTTGGATTCCAAGCTACTATTTTCTAAGATTGCCATTGGTAATGAAATATGAAGTCTTATCTTTCTATAATAGTATTATCCTATCTTGCATCTCCATATGAATCTCATTCGTGCACGAAAGGCTTTGTCATAAGATGTATTTAACATTATATAGCACCTATTGCAAGATAAACCCTAGCAGCGTCACTTAATCAACGTGTACTTGAGTCATCATTTGTCATAAACAACCAAGATTCTAATGCGTTTACACACATCGTCCACCGTCTACCTCTAGATTGACTCCAGTGATAAAAGACGCCTCATCACTTGCCAAATAGCAACAAGCATTGGCAATGTCTGCCGGTGTTGATGGCCGGCCCAGCGGAACTGTGGCGACAAAAGAGGATATATCAGTAGCTCCCAGAAAAAGATCAGTCCTATTATATCACATGGTTAGCAAGAGTTGCAGATCAAGGCCTGGCAGCATTTATACTAACATTCCCGTGATGCCGACGACTGGGGAAACAGCATTGAACCGAATCTGCTTGGGGCCGTACTCAGAGGCCAGCGCTTTCGTAGCAGTAATGCAGGCTCCCTTGGACGCGCTGTACCACGATAGCCCACCACGAGGCCGGATACCAGCCGTTGACGCAATCTGGATAAAGCTGCCAGGACGGTTCTCCTTCAAGAAATACGGCACAATGACATTGGTCGACAAAAAGATGGATTTGACATTGACATTCATCACCATGTCGAATTCTTTCTCAGTGACACTCTCTGTCGGTTTATTCCTATACGCTGCGCCAGCGTTGTTCACCACAATGTCCAAATGCCCGTACTCTTTGATGGCCAGCGCCAGTATAGCCTCCCAGTCAGCCTTCAGGGTGACATCGGTGCGTAAAAAGGTGCCTTGGAGCTCGGATGCAACCGCTTTGCCGGCTTCTTCTGAGAGATCTGCCACAATAACTTTGGCACCTTCCTGGGCGAACTTTGTGGCAATTCCTCTGCCGAAGCCAGATGCGGCGCCGGTGATGATGGCTACCTTGCCCTCGAGACGGTTTGACGACATTGTGATTTAGAGAAAGCGATATGCACTTATGAAACAAGGGTTTAGTAAGGTATAGAAATTGAAGTTGGTGAATGAAGATGCTGTATATGGGGGATATCAAAAACCCTGATTTCATGCATCACAACGGACCCCTCTCGAGGGCGTGAGCCGACGACGTGCATAAAGAGACGTCTCAATCCTACACACAGTGCGGGCGCATCTTGAGCCAATTTAGGCCGACTCGGCTAGAACTACTCTTCACTTTAGACTAGGCACATGTGTCTACATCAAGTCGGATGTGTGGGGAAGCTCTTGGGGGCCATGCGGGGGAAGTAGTTTGGATAGTGCCGAAGATGGACCAAAGATGAAGTGAACACTATTAGCTAGTTAGTTGCCTGGTAGCTAGCCGTGATGACGAGTATTATGGATATCACTTGGCATTGGGGATAGTAACTCGATCAAACATCTCAACAAAAGAAGCCGATTTCGGATCAGATGCGCCGATGTCAGGTCCATGAGAGCTTGACGAGAAAATCTGGTTTCGACGGAGCCATCGCGAAAGGCAGTGCTTACCTCCACGATTGTATAGGTCAGAAGGAAGAGAACCTTGCTAGAAATTGCACATCTACGTTTATTGCCTAATTTTACTATTGCCATTATATGCAAATCCACCAATCCTCAACTACAACAGCAGCACCATCATGGCTCAAACATTCCGCATTCTGATCCTTCCCGGCGACCATGTCGGTCCCGAAGTGATGGCCGAGGCTCTCAAAGTGCTAGACGTCGTGGAAGAGTGTCGCCCCAATCTCAAATTCGAGCGCACTTTTGACCTCGTCGGCGGGAGCAGCATCGACAAGCACGGCGTCCCAGTCACAGAAGAAGTTCTCGACAAGGCCAGTAAGAGTGACGCGGTGCTGTTTGGCAGCGTCGGCGGGCCAGAGTGGGCAAATGCTTCGCCCAACCCTGAAGCCGGTATCCTGGGCCTTCGACACAAGCTGGATGCATTTGCGAATCTGCGGCCGTGTGAGATCCTCGTGCCTTCTCTTCTAGAAGCCTCGCCTCTCAGGCCTGATATTGTCAAGGGCACAAAGTTTATCGTCGTGAGAGAAAACTGCGGCGGTGCATACTTTGGAGACAAAGTCGAGAAGCCCGAGATTGCATCAGACTTGTGGGTGTATGAGTCCCGAGAAGTCGAGCGCTGTGCTCGCGTATCGGCTGCAGTGGCCAAGATACTGGGGAAGAACGGCGATGGCAAAGGCGGCGGCGGACCAGCAATTGTTTGGAGCGCTGATAAAGCAAATGTTCTCGCCAGCGGCCGACTTTGGCGCAGAGTCACGGAAGACGTCTTCAAGAGAGAGTTTCCAGACATTGAGCTGCGCCATCAGCTCGCGGACAGCATGGCCATGTTGATGGTCAAGAACCCCCGCGGCTTCAACGGTGTCATTCACACAGACAACACGTTTGGCGATATCTTGTCCGATATCTCGGGCGGAATCGTAGGCACTCTTGGGACGCTGCCGAGTGCGAGCATCTCCGGCATTCCTGGAGAGGGAAGATGCAATGGCATCTACGAGCCGGTGCATGGCAGCGCTCCAGACATTGCTGGGAAGAACTTGGTTAACCCGGTTGCTCAAATCCTCAGTCTAGCGATGCTGCTGAGGTATTCATGCGTGCTTGTAGACGAGGCAGCGGCCATTGAGAAGGCTGTCGAGAGGGTATTTGATTCGAAGGAAGCTGGGGGGCTCGGGATTCGGACAAAAGACATGGGAGGTGATGCTGGGACGAAGGAGGTTGGAGATGCCATTGCGAGCGAGGTTCGACGGCTCTTGCAAGCGAATTGAGGAGGTCAAGGTGTTATTCAACTTTAGTGACACGATTAGCAGTAAAATGTGAGCTGGAGCTTTGAGTGGTCGTGCAAGCGAGGAACACCACCAGTGGCTAAAAGCAGGCAGTAGTATTCTACGCTGTAGCAATTATCTTTTGGTCTTTCAGGCCATGGGCTAGGTTCTGTTCTCTGTGCAGGTGCAGCAGCTGAATGTTACCTCGGGGTGGTGGTCGCAAGGATGAGCTCATAATTGCCGTAATTGCCGCATACTATCGACAACAGCTCAATGTATCAGCATTGGAAATCTGGCTCCAGTGATGTTATTGGGCTCTTCTCCGCTTCGTAGTATAATGAACACCAAGATTGCAATTTTTCAAGTCTCGTAACGCGTCATCATATTAAAATAGGCATGCTAAATAAATGTACACAACGTGCTTCATACAAGGAATTAACCAAATACGACAAACAACAGGGCCTACCCATCACGTGAAAGCAACAACAGTAAATCACTCCTTGCCGTCAACAACGATGCTGAGGCTACCTCCAGCTTCATCAAGTTCCACGATGGTCTTTTTGTGGCGATGATCCAGGTAAGACAGTACGCCCGTCCAGATGACAAGGGCAATGCAGCAAGCAATCATGGCCCACATACCGCGCTAATAGCATCAAGTTAGCAAACATGCGTCTCAAAGGGGAGAGAGAGTTTTAAAAAATGCAAAAGAGGACTCACTGTGAACCAAGGAGCCATGTCGGCACCGTAGAAGATGATGCTCCACCAAGCGTTGACGGCATTGTTGCCCAGATTCATGGCGGCCAACACAATAGCACGGAAAATGTGCTCTTCGTAACGCATTGAATCGTTGCACCAGGCGAAAAAGGTGGCCTGGCACGCGTAGACGGAACCGGCAATGTAGTAAGCAGCCATTACTACCGGGGTAGAGCCCGAGCTGGTAGGGTGGTGGGAGGCCACCAGGATCATGATGGAGGTTGCGATGCCAACGAGGCCGATCCAGTAGCCGACGAGGTAGCGTTTGCCATTCAGGAAGTCAGTCAGCGTGGCCCAAAACAGGGTCGAGACGATGCCAACGGCCGGTACGCCGGTTGGGTAGTTGTTCAGCTGGCTGACGCTGTACTTGTGAGTAGGGCTGCTTTTGAGGAAGAGGGCAAGAAGAGAGTTGCTGGAAAAGGACTCTGTTTCTCCGGCAATGACCCAGAGCATGACGAAGCCCCAGAATTGCCAAGACGTAAGCACCTTCTTGAGGAAGCGCAAAGTGATGGGCGAGCTCTCCTCAATGACGGGCACGCGGGCCACAGCCAGGCGCTTCTCGTCGTCGCTGAGATAAAACGCCGTGGTGTTGCGAGGCGTGTCTGGGAAGAAGATGAGGCCGTACAGCGCAACGGGGATGGTGAGGAGGCCGTCAATGATGAAGAGCCACCGCCAACCCGCGAGACCGCCGCGGCCATTGAGGCTTTGGTGGATGCCCGTCTGGATGAAGCCGCCAATCATGGTGCCGGCCAGGCCAGACGACGTGAAGATGCCGCTGCGCTTGCCGAGCTCGCGCTCAGTGTACCAGGCGCCGAGGATGTAGTGCGTGCCGACAAAGGTGGAGGCCTCGCAGATGCCCTGGAAGAAGCGAATGGCCATGATGGATTGGGGGTTGTGCACCGAGGCGGTGACCATGGTGAGGCCGCCCCAGAGGAGCATCATGGAGGGGAACCAGATGCGAGGCTTGACGTAGTAGAGAGAGAGGTTGGACGGGATCTGGCCCAGGACGTAGCTGTAGATGAGTGGCAGTTTTGTTAATGGGATGATCAGAAGACAGGTAAGGAAGATGTAACCACTTACCCAACTGTGAAGCAGGTGTTGATTTCATTGAGCTGATTGCCGACAAAGCCCAAGTCCTCCTTCATTCCAGAGACATAGGCATTGGAGAGGTTTGAACGATCCAGCTGATTGAAGAGTTAGCTGACTCACACTCACATCGATACGAGATTGAAACAGAGCAGAGACGCGCACATAATTGATAAAGTAACTCAGACAGCAAAACGTCAAGATGAAAAAGTCAATCTTGCGCAACAGCGTGCGCTCCCCAGGCTGATAGTCCGTGTGCAGGTAGTCGCGGATCCTTTGAGATACCATCTTGAACTGCCGAGGAGGATCAATAAACCCTCCAAAACCTCGGCCGCACAGCGAAGAGACAGATAGCAAGACAAAAAAGTCTTTGGAGGTTTTCAGACAAGGGCAGCGCCAAACGCCGGCAATCAAGACCAAGGCGAGTTTACAGCAGCGTGTCAAGCCTCTAAAGCAGCGATTTCCCCTTCTCAAGAGTGACCGAAAGACGAGGGTTTTCGGTGGATCTTTATGAGTTTGGAGGTCCTCCAGAGAAAGAGATGATCAGTCGCACCGTGTTGACGCGCCGTTGCCGGCTAAGACTATGTACTGTTACGGAATCAAGGCCGGATAAAAAAAAAGTGACTGGTGCTATTTGGGAGTAGCATTATCGTAGTAGCCAGATAAGAGCCACCGCCTCTCAGCCACCGCTATCTCCAATCTCCCTGGTGCAAATACGAATGATAATCACTTCAGATACAGCACTTGCTGGTCATGCGAGGCGGCGATAGACTGATAGACTGATTGCTAGAGTCTCTCGCTAGACCAAAACTGCCGGCAGGGCTTGACGGTAGTTCAGCTCAAAAGTTGGCCGAGGCGAGATCCCTGGCATGGACAGCCTTAGCGTCGCTTGTCTGTCTTTCCAAGCTGTCGAAACGCAGGGCTCCGCTAGGCTCGACTAAGAACCCGGGAACAAGAATCGAAAAAAGGGTCGTCCCCCTCACCGCGAAAGGGCACCATGACACGCCGCAAGCCACCACGAGGCGTCATCAACTAGTTATATAGCAACTAATGGGCTTGCTGTTACCGGCTTCCGTTGACCAAAAACGTGGGGAAGCAACAAGAGGATCCTCTTGGAGATGAGAAAAGCCGGGGTAGCTTGGCTGGGGGTCCCGGCGCAAGTGTAGCCGGAATCGAGGCTCCATTCATCCTCTACTCATCCAACAGAACATTCCTACTGGCCGCATTCTCTAGTACACGGCAATATCCTGTCCATGCGGAGTAGTATCTATTAGTCGACGGAGTTATATCCATAGTCGCTCGCACTATGGAGCTGCGATAACGAGATCCGGTCCGCGCTGGGAACCCCCGCAGCAGAAAAACAAGCAGCCAGAAGAATCCTCCACGCTTTTCCATCCAATGCCATACGGCGGGCGTTGCTAGACGCCATTTTTTTCGCCCATTGCTTCCCTCCCCCCTGACCCTTTCCCTTTTTCACTAACCTTCTTTTTCCCTTCTTCTCTTCTTTTACTCCTCTTCCTTCATTTTTCTATTTTTTGTCTTTTTTTTCCCTTTCGCTCACGCCCACTTCCCCTCCCTTGCCACCCCCCTAGCTTGTGCCAAATGTTTCTTACCCTCTTTTTTTGTTAGCCTTCCCAATCTGGCAACTGACCAAATCGAGCAACTGGATATGGGAATGGCTTCCAACACCAACGATGGGGTCCTACAGCAGCGCAACAGGCCAGTCGGAAAGCCTCGCGGCATGCGCCGGGACCGGGACTGTCGCAGCTGCAAGCTAAGAAACGTGAAATGCGATCTGAACAGGCCCTCGTGCGGAGAAGTGGGTAGGCCCCTGATTCATGAAGCTGGCTCTCTGCCCCCCCCTTTTTGCGCGGATATCATGATGATGATCTTGATCTTGAAATCCTGAACCCCCCCCCCCCCCCCTCTTTTTCGGAGACATGAGAGACGATTGCTCACACTCTTGTGCGTGTAACAGTGCGTCGCCGCCGGGGTGCCATGCGGCGGCTATCCGCAGCGAGTCATCTGGGTCGGCGCCAGCTCGTCCGTAAAGGAGGCATCGTCGCCAACCTCTGCGCCGTCGTCGACGCCGGCGCGCTCCACCAGGCTGGCCCGGTCCCAGTCGGCCGTCTCGCGGTCCAGCGACTCGGGCCAGACGCCGGACCGCGGCGCCTCGGACTCGTGGTCGCCGCCGGACCGGCCGGGCTCGAGCCCCGGCGACGACGCCTCGCCCATCAGCTGGTCCGAGGCCGACCAGAACAGCTTCATCAAGCCGCTGGCGACGCTGTGCCAGCAGATCATCTCGCTGGACGGCGACGCCCTGCGCAGCAACCACTACCTGTCCGTGGAGGCGCTGCGGCTCATCTCGCGGCTGCGCGACTTTGTGCAGGCCCGCATCGACGGCCATCCGGCGCGCGCCGACATGTGGGAGTCGGAGAGCCTGGCGCGGTACCGGCTGGACGCGCTCATGAGCCTCAAGGACGCGCTCAAGGCGACGAACCCGTTTGCCTTTATCGGCATCGCGGCCTTTGCCTTCTTCGAGGTGTGCGACAGCGGCTTCGGCGACTGGCAGCGCCACCTGTACGGGGCCAAGTCGCTGCTGGACTTCCACTGCAAGAGCCGGGCCGAGCTGGACAACCTGTCGCGCAGCGTCACGGGCCTGGGCGAGATGGTGGTGCGCCTGGTGTGGTTCGACACCTGCGGCAGCATCATCCGCGGCACGACGGACCTCATCTTTGAGGACTGGCACCGCGAGCTGCTCACCGACAGCTTCTTCCGCACCGTTGGCTGCGCGGCGGAGACGTTTGAGCTGTTTACCAAGGTGGCCAGCGGCGAGGTTGCCTCGAGTCCTACCAATAGCGCCTTTCTCGCCATCAAGCAGCTGCTGAGCCTGGGCCAGGGAACTTCTGACTGGGACCGCTCAGCTGACGCATATCGCTGCGCTGCCGTCATTGCGGTGCTGACCCGGGCCGGTGGTGAACCGGTAACCTTGTCGACGCAGAGCACAATCTCGAAAGCGGTGGACCGGGCGTGTCAGATTATTGCAGCGTCGCCGTCATCCTCGCAGTTTTACATCCACATGGCTGTTCCGGCCTACTTGGCCGGCATGAACGCAACCTCGACGCAGCAATGTGACGTTGTGAGGTCATACTGGCATAACTGTAGCCATGCCGGGGTTCGACGCTATCCAGATGGCCTGGCTAGATGTGAAGAACGCTGGAAGTTGAAAGGCCTGGCTTAGACTGGGGTAAGTTAGGCAGCAATGGTTTTGCTTTTTCCTTTGTCTTTGTGCTCTTTCATCTTTCAACCAGGGACAGCGAAGGAACAGGGAGTTTTTTCTTTTTCACTTTTTTATTCTTCTGGAGGACTATACTACATGGAACCAGCAAAAAGTATGGAAAAACACGTTTGAAAAGGTGGGACGGATTTTGGGCTCTTCTATTGGTGTCTTTACTTTGAAAGTTTTGGCCGAATGAGATACCAGCACTGCAAGGGCTTTTTCCATATCTCGTATACCATGTATCTTGATCAAGTTAGCATTGAGCGAAAGACATGTTTCTCGGGTTTACGCACCACCTACGCTTCGATGCGTTATTACGCAATATTTTGCTGCTTGGCGGCATACATGTGCAGCATCAGCCCACTCTCTTTGACTCTTTGCATTGCCCTATTTTAGAGTCTTGTTGATTCCTTGGCTTGGTAAGATGTCTGCTGAAAAATTGAGAATCTTGACAACTTGTTGTGCAAAGCTGCAAAAATCATACAAGGCATCACAACTCTTGAACACGGGTCACTTCTCTTGTTGTTCCCAACCATCCTTCACTCTTTGTTCAACAGAGAGAGCTAATACAATACCCAGATAGACTGGCACTGCATCCAACATGGATGAGCGACGCCCTGCAATGACAAGTCTTGGGGACCTAAGAAAGATGGATTTGCATAAACGAATTGTTGATTGCCGCGCTTGTGAGCTGAACCAGGCTAGCAACTTGGAACCTGCAGGTCGACAAGACGGGATATCAATGGAATCACAGTGGGCGACCCATCCGGGCAACATGGTGTCATTGAAGAATTGCCCAAGCAAGCAAAACCACGCCCGTGCCAACTGATTAGCTCATTCTTTCCAAAGCATTACCCATTCTTAGTGCTCCAGTAGCATCTCCAGCTAAAAACTGGGGTGCATACCTAGCATCAAGCCACCGGCTAGTAAGCACGGCGCCCCCTCTTTGCTCCAGTCGCGGACTCTCTCCACAACAGAAGATATCAGAACCTTATTGTAGCACGACTTGCCCCGAATGGACGTCGTGGTCCATGCCTGATCAGGCAATCAACCTACCGTGATATGCGTGTCTCCTCGCCAAGCGCGCAATCGTTGGTGGAGCAAAAAGGGCGCCTCGTCCCCTTGGGGGTTGAAAATCGAGGAACCCCTCATTGCTTGTTCGTCAGTTTCCCGTCCCTTGGACCAAACCGAGCCGTACTGCCATCTTGGCTTTTCCTCTTTCCTCTTTACGAATCACATACCATGTACTACGACTACGACTACTGCTACCGCTGTTCACACCGGCAACGGGGCCCATCGCAAAAAGATACTCTGGCCTCGGAGTTGTGAAAGACCCCGCACTGGGCCGCAACCAAGCCCATCGTGTAGACTGCGGATATGGGACTTGTGGGCTTGACCTTATCGTAGGCAGGAAAATCCGGCATCGGTGCGGACATTGGACCAGCTAGAAAGTGGCGCGATAGATATCTGAGGAGAGCCGAGGAGAGCCAAAGGGGATACTTAAAACTGAGAGAGACGGGCTTTCGTGGTTTTGAGTCGAAGCTAGCGGTTGCCTTGACTTTAACCTTGTACACTCTCCTCTTCCAAGATCAGCTTTGCTCTTCTCCCGTTACCTTATTGTCTTTCTTGTTTGCTTCTTTTGAACAACATTATTCATAGTGTGTAGGAGTCGAAATGACCGTCTCTGGAGACTCAATCATTACCAACGGTGCTAATGGCACCAACGGTGTTAATGGTGTCAACGGAGCCAAGACAAACGGCGTCAAGTTGTCGTGGGAAGAGCTCGGCGCCAAGAAGCGCAGCGAGCTGTTGGCTTCTATACCCCCGGAATGGCGCATTCCAGAGAGCCTGCTGCCTCCAGATTCCCAGGACGATGTGACGACCTGGCCTGAGACATCGGGGTGGTTTACAAGAGCAGAACTGGACATGACCAGCCTGACCGCCAGCGAGCTGGTGTCCAAACTATCCTCGGGTGCTCTCAAATCAGAGGATGTCACCAGAGCGTTTTGCAAGCGAGCAGCTGCTGCTCACCAGCTTGTAAGTCCATGTCTCCTTGTGTGTTTTCCCAGTAAAGAATGCATTGCTGACCCAATGTAGACAAACTGCCTGTCTGAAACGTGCTTCGATCGCGCCATCGCCATGGCTCGTGCTCGAGACGAACACTTTGCGGAAACCGGCCGGCCAATCGGCCCTCTGCACGGCCTGCCCATCTCGCTCAAAGACAACATCAACGTCAAGAGCGTTGATTCGACCGTGGGCATGGCCACGCATGTGGGCGATCCCGCCAGAGCCGATGCAACGCTGGTCGAGGTGCTGGAGGCGGCCGGCGCCGTCTTCTACGTCAAGACAAACGTGCCCACGGCCATGATGATTGCCGAGTCGGTCAACAATGTGTTTGGGCGCACGCTGAATCCGCGGAACAGGCGGACGACGAGCGGCGGCAGCTCGGGCGGGGAGTCTGCCCTCATTGTCATGAAGGGCAGTCCCATTGGCGTTGGGTCAGATATAGGCGGCTCGCTTCGGATTCCGGCTGCTTGCACGGGCATCTTCACTCTTCGGCCGTCGCTGGGTCGGTTTCCCGTGCGGAACTGCCGATCTGGCATGCCGGGCCAGGAAGCTGTGCCGTCTGTCAATGGGCCTCTGGCTCCCACGCTTGAAGACGTCACGCTGTACAGCAAATCCGTCATCGGCGGGCAGCCATGGCTGAGAGACCCCAAGTGTCTACCAATCCCCTGGAGAGACGTTGAGCTCCCCCAAAAGCTTCGGATCGGTGTCATGTGGCACGACGGAGTCGTCCAGCCCACGGCTCCTGTAGCTCGTGCCCTGAAGCACACAGTCGCCAAGCTCAAGGCCGCTGGACATGAAGTCGTCGAGTGGGAGAATTTTGACCAGGCTGAGGGAGCCCGGCTGCTGCAGCGGATGTTTGTGGCTGACGGTGGCCTGACGATCAAGTCGCAGCTTGATCCTACGGGCGAGCCTTGGAGGAGCGAGATGTATCCTTACTCTGTAGCGAGGGAGCTGGGTACGGCGGAGATGTGGAGGCTGCACTTGGAGAGGACAGACTTTCAGAACCGATACTTGGATAGATGGAACAAGGCGGGTCTTGATGCCCTTTTGCTGCCTACGATACCGTTTAACACGGTGAGGCATGGAACTTTTAAGCATGGTGGGTTGTTGGCTGTTTTCCATGATGTTTGTCGTGATTTGCTGACAAGAGAATTGATAGTTGGATACACTGGAGTCTACAATGTGCTAGACTACTCTGCCGTGTCATTTCCCACCGGCTTGAATGTCATCGACGGCGTTGATGTAGACGAGCCTGACTATGCGCCCCTCAGCAACGACTGCAAAGATATCCACGCGACTTGTACGTATTACAACAGAGTTTCAATTCTTGCTATCCTTTACACTTGCTTTGATACTGATAGAGATGGGTGTAGATGAACCCGACCTGATGCACGGACTGCCGATTAGCTTGCAGTTGGTGGCGCGGAGGTTGGAAGAGGAAAAGGTGCTTGCAATGACGGGCGTGGTGTTGAAGGCGTTATCTGGGTAAAGAGATGGTGAGAAGAGGCCGCGTATGTATAGATGGGGAAATGTTGAAGAAACGTGACATTTACGGCCTTTTGGCTGGCATTGTTATTTGTTACATGTATTTACTATACTGCTTAGATAGTTATGAATAACGACATTATACAGCATGCAACAGGCCCTTTGGAGTCGATTATGAAGTGAAGAGAGGGCTGCATGATAACATCTCTGATGTTTATAGTAGTTGCGCCATTATGTGGGATTCGTCTGCCGCAAAGCTTTATTCCCAAAGCAGAGTCGAAGTGCATGAAATCATGGTGGGTGACATCGTGCCGTCGCGGCTCCAACGGATGCCGGAGAGGGTTGCCAGGCAATGCCTCTATGCCGGGCGCCGCAGGTTGGAGACGGGGTTTGCTAATGTCATTCAGTGATGTCGCTTACAACGAGGCCACCTATATTGTAGATCGGAGGATAGACGTATTTCACGCAGTGATATATAGATGTTAGTATCTCTATTCCTCAAACCCTGATTAAAATTGCAAAGTCGAACATGACGCTTTGGTCTCACCATTCAAGTCGTGGGTAATCATCATACACGGTCCAGTTGTTTGAAGTAATACCTACAAAAGAATATAGTTGGGCAGGCACAGAGCTGAGACTCCGACGGCCAAGTTGTTGTTGTTGTTGCCGCAGCTTCCTCTAACAGAAAAAGCTCAGCAACGGACCTATGTCTAAAGGGCATCATAAGATAGTTTAGCCTTGATGCTATAGCAATAACGCGGTTGAGGCTGTTGTTCTCTCATTTTCTACATGGGAGCCCTAAGATTTCTCTTGGTATATACACATTGTAACAATGATTTTATAAAAGATTTGTTCACATGCTGTCCCACTCTAAGACTACCAGTATGCTTAACCTGCGGGGCGTAGACTATACTGCTAGTAGTAACCTGGCCTACATCTCGGGCATTTAAGAAGCAGATTATTACAGTAATGCAACTCAAGCCTAGCTTCCAATACGTAGACTGCGCAATAAATTTCCCAAATGAGGTCGTCACCGCCTGGACCCTTTATCAGTGCCTTTGAACCGGCCTATAGCTGGGTATTGTTAGCTGTTCTATGGCCATAAGCAAAATGGCCCTGCCCTTGGTAGTTCATTTTAAAAACATTACTCAATCTATGACTCAATCAATGATGAGATCTACGAGCTCTGTAAATCCAGACTATACACTTACATCATATCTTTAGTTTAAGCATGAGTTTGGGTATGCAAACAGGTCCCCGCCGACAGACCCTAATTAAGTACATACATGGACCTTTCTTCAGCTGCAGCTAATCTGCAATTAATGCCGTTCTTGTCGTGCCGTAATCTTCAAGTTTGCGGCAGAGTGCACACTGTACTGTACATATATTCGCCGCACAGACTGAAATCGAGCAAATACGTAAACGTGCCTCCATGCAGTTGCTTCATGTCCATCAGCGGCACCCATGTTTGTAATGCTACGTCCCGCCAATGCCATGATTTTTCCCGCCAGTCTTCGTCTCCCATTCATACTAGCCAATCCCAGAGACTGAGATTGGCTATCCATCACTTTGGGGTACAACAGGTTGAGCGACTGGGCTGATGATTATGATGCTGAGCCCCAGACAGTTTTTGAACCCCCTGCCAGACCATCGGTTGTTCTCTGACTCGGGTCCTGGCTCCTCTATTACAGTACATGCTGGCCATCCAAGGGTGGCATCGCACTTCCAAAGGTTCATAATGCCCTGCGTGAGTTCCTTGGTATCGGCCGCTACGTCTCCAGTATTCTGCGGCCTAAAATGTCAACAGAGGCTAAAGACGCCTTTTGCAGCCAGAGTAAGCAATACACTTTGAAAAGTCAGTGAATTACACCACTAATAACTACCAATTTAGTCCGAAAACTTGGTGCTCGCTGGTGGGAAAGGGAGAATGATGACGGAGATGACTGCCATAAGGCTCAAAGTAACGGTTATACTTGCCGAGACGTCAAAGTCCTATATGTCGGCTGGCCAGCTTCAGGCGGTGTCTGGGTGCTTCACACAGATATCTGGAACGCGTCGGATAATGGGTATGGCGTCATCTACAACTCTCTCAACATGTAAGAGCAATGCAAGATTATTGAGCAATATGGAGGCACGTTTTATCAAGATACTAAAGATTGCGCGTACTTGGACCTCTCGGACAATTAACCCGCCACTGCCTCGTACTCTTTACGACCAATTACGCGTCCAAATTAGAGATCAAAATGAGTTTGGGAATTTCTATTATTTTTTGCGAATGCGACTGCTTAAATTCGCAACCTTGGGGCTCTGCTGTTTCTTGACGCAGGTAGAGATTGCGGCGTTGCTAGTAATTGATAAAAACATGAAGATAGCTTCGCATTGGGCCCTGTACCCGCGGAGACCTACAACAGTTTTTCTCCTAGACGGAAGAAAGGACTTCATACTCAACTTAATACAATGAAGTAATAAAGGATGAGCACTGTGGAACTCCTTCATGTTCCTGTCCTGACACACGCACGCATGTCATTCACCAGTACTTGAAGCAGGGAAGATTAAAAAATGATCTAAATGACATAATTTAAACAGACTTTATTGGGGTAGACATTCCAGCTTTTCACAAATTATATGTGTACGTTGCATCAGGATACGAGACGTAGAATGCATTCCCAATATATGTTAAGCACTCATTGATTACTCCCAACGTACATGGCAGTGTCGGCATTTGGCGCCAAGACGTGGCATCAGGCCCCAAATGAGCCGAGTTGAATCGGCACATGTAGTTTGCGTTGCAGCCTACTAGGTAGATATCGACGGCCGTTGGATGCGGGGAAGAAAAGGCATTGAGGCGACATGGGGTATTTCTCGGCTTGGATGGTTGACATGGCGTCTCCAATGTCACAAAGCCATCATTGTTGCCGTGTACAGGGTTATTAGTACGAGTTACTGCCTACAAATTGGTATTCGCGTCAAAGTCCCCTCAACAAATGCCAGTCCCCGCGCTGCTCTTTATGCCAATTGCAAGTCGCTGGTCTTAGACAAAGCCAGGAGAATAACAAACAACAAAACAATTGTCTCTCCGCAAGACACTGCCCGGGTCTAGCTTCATCTGCAGCCAAGCATGACAACGACCAACAGCAACTTCTGCCACTACTGCTAGCACTGCTACCATGCCTCTCTCCAGCTGCCTCATTCAACACACCAAACCCTCACGTCTCTCCACACAACAGCAGACTTCGGCATGACATCTACAATCCTTCTTCTCATTCGGAAGCCGCCCGCAAACGCTCCAATCCCAGCTTGTTGGCGATGCTTCCCTGCTGTCCCTCCCCGCTTCCCCCGCACGCTGTTTACCCAAGGACGAGTTCCCAAGGGCAAGATCGACATGCATGTCTTGTTTCCCCCCCACTTAACTGAATCTGGGTGTAACTCTGGGCGAGGCAAGATGACGATACATAAAAGGGCTGGCCCGGCAGTGAAAGCGAGGTGGACGATGGTCGGTGAGACCTGCCCTCGCAACTGAACCCCTCTTTGGCGGTGCTTTCTCACAGAGACACGCGAAATTTGTCAATTTTTGAAGCCGTTTGGTACGTGACCATTGGCAGATTGCGAGAAAGATTCGTCTAGATAGCCTCAATCGCGAAATCGCGATGCCGGTCTACATGTCTCCCCAGAGCGTCCTCGGCGCCGCGCTCGGCATTCTGGCAGCTTTCCCGGTTGGCGCGTCTGCTAGCTGGAAGAACTTTCAGCCTCAGCGCCGCACAGCATCGTCGTGCCCTGACTACAGTTCTTACTCGGAGCAACCGCATGGCCCATATTCATCGGGATCGCTGAAGCTGCCGTACATGCGGCCGAGCGAGGAATGCAGGACGTTTACGAGCCCGGCAGTCGAGGTGAGCTTTGAAGCCCTGTTTCAGAGGAAAGGGATGGGAAGCGTAATCTTGTTGGATGAGGTACTGACCATACATACTTGCACAGAAAGTCATTAGTGATTTGAAATCTCAACTCAAAGATCCAGACGTTGCTCGGCTTTTCGAAAACACCTTTCCATCTACTTTGGATACGACGGTCAAATACTTTGACCCCTCGCTGAACCTGGCATTCATCATCACTGGTGTAAGTTGCGCGCTGGACTCTTTTTGCGTTTATAGTTTATTGCCTTTATCTAACTGTTTGGTAGGATATCACGTACGTACATTCCTGAGCTCTGGACGCGATGGTATAAACAAATGAAGCTAATTAACTGCTTACAAGTGCGCAATGGCTACGCGATACCGGCAATCAGTTTGCGCATTTGTATAAACTCTTGCCACACGACAAAAATCTTCAGGCCCTCGTCAAAGCCGTGATTAATACAGAGGCGCGATACATCTCACAGTATCCCTACTGCGGTGTGTTGAGTTGTGCGAGCTTACGATTAACCGCAAGACTAACAATGAGATGTTAGGTTCGTTCCAGCCACCACCCGAGAGTGGATTGGCTCCCTCTGTCAATGTGAGCTGCAGCCCAAACCATCATTGTGGGTAAACATCATATTAACGGCTTATGCAGGATTGGGCGACAGATGTTGTTGTGAATCCGTACGTATTCTCGGGGAAGCCATGTGGACAAGAAGCTAACATTATTTCCTATCATGGTAGGCCTGTTAACAACCAGACGGTGTTTGAATGCAAGGTACGATGATAGAGTTCCTAATAAGAGAGGCTGTTTCTCACATTTATAGTACGAGCTTGATTCTCTTGCAGGATTTCTTAAAATCACGCGCTCTTATTATGCTAACACGAAGGATTCGTCCTTTATCAATGACAATTGTACGAACATTTCACAGATCTATCTTCCTTTGTAAACAAGCTGAGATGCTAATGCGAGTCTACTATAGGGAATGCTGCGATGAGCCAGATTGTCAGAGTCCTTTATGAACAGTCACAGAGCAGCTGGTCAAGCGACTTTGAATGGGTGAGCTACTATAACTGGACTGGTACCGCCGGCGCACTTTCTCCCATGGTGCCCAACAGCGGTAATGGCGAACCGAAGCAGGCAAACGGCTTGGTTGCTTCAAGCCACCGACCTTCGGACGATCTCTGCGTATTCAGTGAGTCCAATTTCACCAAATTGAATACGTAATACCAACCATTGCTGACCGCGACACAGACTTCATCACTTCTGACAACGCCATGATGTCAGTTGAGCTGGCCAACGTTGCCAATATGCTTGGCAAAATTGGAGTCCAGAAAAGCCTCGCTACACAGCTACGCCAGTATTCCAACACTATTAAACAGGCTGTATGGGCGCATACGCGCGCCACCAATGGCATCTTTGCGTACGAGACAAACGGCATCGGTGCTCAATACATCATGGACGATGCCAACGTCCCAAGTCTTGTGTCGCTACCCTACTTGGGATTCTTGGAGAGGAGCGATCCTACATACCAAAAGACCAAAGCAGCCATGTTTTCGAGGGCGAATCCGTACTATGCAGCGGGAAAATCATGGAATGGTATCGGGTGAGTTTTGAGTTGAAGCGCCTTCCGCGAGACAGTCTTGCAAGTTGCAAATCCATGCTAATCACAAGAACATAGCGGCCCTCACGTCAATGCCACTTATCCTTGGCCCATGAGCCACATCTCTGGCATATTCGGCACCGACGACGATGACGAGATCAAGCAGCGACTTGCAATCATCTTGGAGAATACAAGCGGATTGGGACTGATCCACGAGAGCGTCAACATTTACAATACGAGCGTGTACACTCGTCCATGGTTCGCTTGGGCAAACAGCTACTTTGCGGAGATGATTCTGGACCTGGCGGAGCGAAAGCCACATCTAGTATTGAAGTCTGGGAAGCCGTACAAGCTTGGGCAGTGATTTGCCGTATGGTGGGCGAAGCTGTCTAAAACGCTAATGATGCTTATGAGTAATGCAATGAACATACAGTATTGTTTTCCTGAATGGCTTTTGACTACATCACTTGATGTTTGACTGCTGGTAGGTGGTAGGGCTGTAAACCACGGCGCGATAGGCTATTGTAATTCGTATATCGAGGATTGCTAAAGTTGACAGAGCTATCAAACAGACGATAGAGAGTAGCAAGTCCAAAACAGGTTTTGTATGGGTAGGAAGTCAAGATGAGCGCCGTAAACCATGGAGAATGTCCAAGGAAAACTTTAGTCATTACGAGTCGGAGAAGCAACAGTAAATGCACTGCTACAAGCTGGGGGTATGGAAGAAACCAAAATACTGCGTTTCAGGCCATAGACCACGGATACCTCGCGACCGCGAGATAAAGGCGCGGAATAGAGGAAAAAATACCGCGCTGCATAAGAATCGCCTCCGTCATCAATGCAACACCAGCCCCCCACTCACATTTGTAATAAAGGCCCTGGAGCAGGTGGAAACCTCGAAGGATCTAGCTGCGCCGTGCTCCGGTTAAAGACGAGATAGATAGCCCAAGCGAGAATTAAGCATACGAAATCAGTTGACGTTTGAAACAACTGCTTGAAGCCAGAGCGTGCAGCGCACATGTCGTCTTTTATTGGAAATAAAATAGTAACAATAAAAGAGGAAGGCAGGATTATAGTGGCTTTGCGGCTTTTGCTTTTGCCCTTGCACTTACTCTTGTTTAATGTTACTAATATAAGTAAAAGTAGTCTTTACTATTTTATTGACAAGTCGGGAATATACCTCTGAACACACTTATACACACATAAACACTATATCAGAAATCCTGCTTATTATACCGCTATAAGGACCACAGAACAAGAAGGCTTTACTAAACTTTAATAATAATAACTAGGGTAGTAGTAATAAGTAAAAAAGGATGCCTAGTTCTTCTATATAATATAGGTATTGGATGGCTATTGCCTTAGGTAATAGGCTGATGGATAAGATAAAGGCCCCAGACTTGGCACCCAGTCTTAAACCCCAAGTACCTACCGACATGTATATATATATTCCTCCGTAGCGCAGGCTAAATGCGTGTAGACAGTGACGCGGTGGTGTAAAAAAGGAGTAGTAAATGTAAGTATATGTCTTAGAGATTATTTAGTATATAATGCAAATAAATGCATGCATTAGCAGAGAATATATAAACAACTGTAAAAGCGCAAGTGGATTTCCGTTACTAACCTAAGCGAGGCGGGAGTGGCGCGGCGTGGCGTCGCTGGCGCTGCGGGCGGGGCGGGTTGGGCAGTGCACGAAAGGCCGAGTGTGAGACGAGAGCTGTTGCGCACGGGGATCGGAGGAGAGCAGCGCATCACACTTAGACTCGCTCCGAGCAAGATCAATCTCCATGCAGATCAACCTTGGACCCCCAGAGACTCGACGCCCACAGACGAGATAGACTGCACGCTCACAGACGAGATGGACTTGACAACCACGGGCCGCATCGACGTCTACGTTGAAAAGATTAACCAAGCCCTGACGAACGCTATAAATCACTTGGTCTCAAAGAGGTATCCTTGCAAGTCAACTTGGACTTACAAATCTCAGTCTCAACAAGAACCCCAACCTTTCAGGGAAGCTATATCATCTACGGATAGCCATCAGGCTGCGTTGCGATGGGCCAAAGCGGCACAGTTAATGGCTAAACCTGCGGATCTTCCATATTGCCCCGACTTTCAATACAATGGCAAGTGCGCAAAAGATGGCCTGGAAAAGAGCATCATGTATATGGATGCCATATATGGGCCTGGGAATACGTCGCAACCTTGGCCCATCAATCCCGACCTCCCCGACAATCTTGACTGCAGCGTGCCCTCATGAGCCTGACATTTTGTATCTCATCAAACGTCTACCCAATCAAAAGTCTTCTGGGGTTGACATTATCGGAAATGAAGCTCTCAAGATGGTTGGCCATCTTGTTGCTCCGCATCTGGTAAAACTCTTCAACGCTTGCATGAACAAGGGCTATTGCCCACCTCACTTGAAGCGTTCCAAAGCCATTTTTTTAAGGCAGGAAAGACAGCTGACAATCCAAAGGCGTATCGGCCGATTGCGCTCCTTTCTAGTATTGGCAAGATTTTCGAACAGATCATGGTCAAGCATATTAAAGACTTTGTTGCAGAATCCGTTTCAAACAAGAAGCCATTGCTTCCACTGATGCAGTTTGGAGGGCTGGTTGGCAGATCAACAACAATGGCACTGCAAGCTTTGACAAACTTTGTTTACACCGGTTGGGCCAGTGGTAACAAGCGGAAAGTCTCCTTGTTGGGTCTGGATATTTCTGGAGCATTCCCTCGCGTCAACCGCCGTAAGCTTCTCAGGACCTTGGTCCAGAAGGGCCTGCCGGGCTACATTATCAAGTTTGCATGATCCTTTCTTTGTGACCGCCAAACCGTTTTGGAATTACCTGGCCACTATCCTGTGGATTTCTATGAAAACAGTGGCCTTCCCCAGGGAAGCTCTCTATTCCCCCGTTCTTTTCCTTTTCTTTGCAACCCCGCTTCTTGACAATCAAAAAAGTTTCATCCCTTTCTGGCCCTTGTACCATGACGTTTGCCTTTGTTGACGACACATACATCATGGTGCGGTCGAATTCGTGGGAGAAGAATTGCGAGAAAATAGCACAAGTACACGACGTGCTCAACTCGTGGGCAGAAGAAATAATGTCTCGTTTGCGCCCGACAAGTATGGCTTATTACATTTTCTTCCTCCCAACACAAAGTCAGGCAGTGTCAAGTGTGTGCCAAATATTGACAAGCTACCTCCTGCCGAGAAGCTCTTTGAAAAAGAATACCTAGTTATCCTAGGTGTTCGAGTGGACAACAGGCTTTCGTGGAAATATCACGTCGACTTGGTTTTTGAACAAGTGGCTAGACATGGACGCTATTTGAAGTGCATTTCCGGTTCCACGTGGGGCCTCAGCCTGTTCAGAATGCGGCAGCTCCATGTTTGTAAACTTCTGCCCATCATAGCATATGGCTGCGCGGCATGGTTCTTTGATTACCAGGGGACAATTCGCCAGGGACATATCCTGCAGCATTTGGTTAAGCAGCTAGACACGCTGCAAGGCGAATTACTTGTCCAAATTTCAGGAGCGATGAAGAATACATCCAGGATTCTCCTCCGAAAAGAACTACATATTTACCCTCTTTCGCACTCGCTCCGAATCAAGGCAACTGCCCATCACGCAAGTGTCTATGACACTGAGCATGCTAAAGAGCTTCGCTTGATTCGAGAAAGAGCTGGCCTTTGTGCTCACAGACTGAAAGCACATCCATTTACCCAACTCGACATATTGGCAGCAAAGTTAAAAAATATGGCTCAACTTCGGCAGAAACGACACAATGGACATGTAACAGAGGGTATGTGGAACGGCGATCCGGACTGGGCTCAAGGTCGTCAATACACCATCAAGCAAACGACGCTTGACATGTTGAACTTTCAAGCTTCTGCCGCGTGGGAACAGTATCAAAGCAGCCATGTGCCATCTTCGCCCGAGGGCAAGGCTCTTGCACTTAGAGAGCCTTGGGGCAAACGGAGTTTGAATTACTACAAAAAGCTCAACCGGAAGCAGAGCACCATGTTGCTTCACTGCAGAACCGGCTGGATCGGCCTGCGAAGCCATCTGAAACGGCTCAATCTCCAACAGTCGGACCGGTGCCCCCACTGCGACAATGGCCCGCATTGTGTCGAGCATCTATTCATCCACTGCAAGCACAACAGTCTTGCACTGCCACGGAAAAGGCTGTTCCGCGAGGCCGGAACCAGGAACCTGAATACGATTGTTACAAAGCATCCGCAGCTGGCTGCTAATTTTGCCATTACCAACTTTGGCATTGAGCAATTCTCAGTGAACAGAAGCTGGAAGACTGCCGTCAAGCGGTCTCGCACGGAAAGCGAGCCGCTGCCCCCCCCTAAGAAGCAAAGGACCCTTGCACCGTGAAGGAGTTTGACGATTCAAAAGGCTTGATAGGAAAGGCTTTTACAAAGTATTGAGGAAATAACTTGTATGATAGGGACAGTGAGACACAGTGCATATAGTAATATAGGCCTTGTTTACCTTATTCCTCCTGGGTATGGAGAGATAAACTACCTATTATCGTGACTTGTTATTGAACCTTTTTTTTGGTGTTTTGTTGTTGTTGTTGTTTCCCTCCATTACGTATTTGGTATGGTAAGTCCAAATCTTCATTCTTTTTTCCATCCATTCTGCGAAAATAGGGCTTTACTTATTTGCGTCATATGCTAATTTTAGTACCAAGTGCTCTATGGCGTACAGATTATGCCTGTTACAAACCAACCACATAAGGATCCTTTTAGTACATACCTTCGGCAATACACCAGAAGGCCATAACTAATCAGGGTGTGGGACTCCCTCTCTTAGTAGGATATATACCTACTTATAAAATAAGAACATAGCTCTAGGAGTGCATTCTCATTAGGTACTATAAGACTTACACTAGTGATAACTATAGAATAACTTACTATATAAGAACTATTTATTACACTTATTAAATAAAACTTAAATAGTTAGTTATTAATATAGCACTTTTAGATAATAATTAGATTAGTTATTTATAATCTTATTAACTATATAATTATATTACTTATTAAATCTTTTATATCTTTCTGCTAATATAAACTAATGCCTTAGCTTATAGATTAAGAACCTACCCTATACTTAAGCATAATAGTATAAGTTAAGATATTATATATTAATAACTTTTGTTTAAAAGATACCTATAATCTCTTAAGTAAATCTAAACTACTATACCTAAAGTAACTAGATTAACTAGCACTTCTGCTAACTTAACCCCTAAGACTACTCTTATCTTTACTTAAGATGCTAATAGAAATATTATTATAAGAGAAGCTCTTAATTAGGATAATATATCTAAGGATTAGATTAAAGCTTTCCTTTAAGATATATTTAACTTTAATAAGCTTCTTATAAAAGTAGTTAAGACTAAGAAGTCCATAAGTAAAGATATAAGAAGACTTATTAAGTATTAACTGCCTTTTATATTTAATAGAAAAACTAGTAAACTTTATAACTTTTAAACTTAACTTAAGGCTTACTTTATTAACTTTAAAAATATTATTAATACTAAAACTAAGAAAGTTTCTTTTATAGCTATTTACCTTAAAGAAACTATACTTAAATAATTTTACCTTATTTAAGATATATATTTTAATAACCCTATTAAACTATAGCCTGCTTATATTAATAAAATTTTTATTAACTTTTTAAAGTTTAAAGAAGAACTTATTAAAGCCTTTAAAAATATTAAAGAAGTATAAATAGCTAAAAATAAACTCTTGGAAATTTATTAGAAAGGAAAATACTTTAATTATATTATAAAATTTAAAGACCTAGCCTCTAGAGTTACTTAAGGATAATCTGCACTTATTAAAAAATTCTATAATAGACTTAGTATAAAAGTTAAGGAAAAGGTTTATAATATTAATTAAACTAAGTATAATTTTATTTTATTTATAAAAAAGTATATTAAAGTAAATAACCTTCTTTATAAACTTAATATAAGGAACTATAATATATAAAAAGATTAACTAAATAAAAGTAAAAATTAAAATAAATAAGTTATTAAAAATAATAGTAGCACCCTAGGACCTATGGATATTAGTATAATATAAAAAGGAAATGGGAAAAAAAAGGACTTTAAATGTTATAATTATAAGAAGCTAAATTATATAGCATGTAACTGTAAGTTACTTAAAAAAGAAAAAATCCTTAAACTAAAAAATAATTATGCTATAAAGAAAGATAATAAAAGCGTTTATATAATAAAACACTTAACCTTATTTAATAATAAAAATAACTATAAATTCTATTATTTTAAATTTAAATTCTTAGATAATTCTAAGACACTAGATAAAGAACTAAAAGCTAAAATACCTAATTAATAGCTAATCCCCTAAATTAATTTTTAACTATTATTTACTATAAAAGATAATACCTTAGAGTAAGATAATAATACTAAATAGTATAACTATAGAATTATTAATAATTAGGATAATAATATTTAAAGAATATATAATAAATTTACTTTAAAAATATAAAAGCTTAATAAATTCTATAATAGTATTATAAAAGCAGAAAAACCTATTAAAGGAAATATGCTAGCTGCTTTATATAAATAGCTAAAAGATATATAATAATAAGAATTTAAAGTATAACTTATCTTAAGAGCTATAATTTTAAATAAAGTATAATTATATAATCTTTTATATTATTATATTTATAAAGACTATAAATATATTAACCCTAATTACCTATTATATTATTACATTAGTTAAACTAGTTATATTACTTATATATATATAAAACACTTTAAAGAAAAATATAATAATAATATCTTTCTAGTATAAATTCCATTTACTACTTATAAAAATATATACTATAACATAAAGTTTTATAACTAGATATTTACCTAATAGTATTAGTCTCTTAAAGTTATTATATTAAAACTAGGTTACTGCAACTATAGTAAAGGAGAATTATAAAAATATAAATTAGTATTTTATAATTATTATAAAACTGCTAAACTTATAAAATAGTAAGACTATAGTAACTTAAGATAGAAGTATAACTGTAATAAAGGATAATTTAACTATAAAGACTATCTAAAGCTAAAATATAAATAATACATAAGTATAAAAATTAACACCTAGCACTATTTAAAAAACTATAATAGTCTACTATAAAAGGGCAACAGAAGGACTTAAGACATATAATATCTCTTAAAAAAAAAAAGAAGAATATAATAATAATAATAAAAATAAAAAAGTAGTTAAAAGACTTTCTTTTAAAGTGTTATTAAATAAGAATTTACTTATAGTTTTAATAAATAGTAGGTTAAAATATAATTATATATTTACTATAATTATAATATATTTATAATTACTAGTATATAAGAAAAAGAAACTATATTAACTTTAATATATTAAAGGATAAAACTTTTAGTATAATAATAAATAAATTAAATAATAAACTAATTACCTATTAATAAATTTTAAAAATTATATTACTAAAACTATATATAATATAGCTAATATCCTAAAATATAATCTTATTTTAGGTATACTTTAGTTATATAAATATAAACCTAATATAAACTAGAAAACTAGCTAAATTTATTAGTAATATAATAAAGATTTAAAAGAAAGGAAATTAAAAAGCTAGAAACCTAAGATTTTCCTACTGCCTATTAATATACCCCTTTAATATATTAAAAAAAGAAAAAGGACCTTAAAATAATAAACACAAAGATATATTATAATCTTATGTAAAGAATTAATAATACTAGATAAAGAATTATAATAAGTTAAGTATTTAAAAAACCTAATAGTAAAAGTACTAAAATAATACTAGAAATATAACCTTTATAAGGATTAATTAAATAAAGGGCTATTGCTATACTTAAAATAGGATTATAAAATAGTTTTAAAGGAAAGAGTATTCCTAAAGTTCTATAAGATTTATAATTTTAATAAAACTAAACTTAAAATACTTAAAAAATAAATTAAAGTATAACTTAAGAAGGAATATATTAAAGTCTTAAAATCACCTATTAAATACCCTATTATTTTTATTTTAAAGAAAAATAGTAAACTTTAGTTAGTTATTAATTATAAAAAGTTAAATAAAATAATTATTAAAAATAAAACCCTCCTACCCTTAATCTTATAAATTAAGAATAAATTATATAAAAAGAAATAGTTTACTACTTTTAACCTTATAGGAGCTTATAAGCTTACTAAAATAAAAAAAGGATATAAATGGATAATAGCATTTACTATAAGATATAAATTATATAAATACACTATTATACTATAAGGTTTTATAAATACACTAGTATTCTTTTAGAAATAAATAAATTATATACTTAAACCCTACTTAAATAACTTTACTATTATATATATTAATAATATTCTTATCTTCTTAAACACCCTTAAAGAATATAAGAAATATATTTATTTAATATTATAAAAACTTAAAAAAAATAAACTCCTTGTTAATCCTAAAAAATATATATTTTATTTATAGAAAGTTAACTTTCTTAAATATATTATTACCCTTAAAGAAATTTATATAAACCCTAATAAAGTTAAAGTAATTAAAGAATAGCTAATACTAATAACTCTTAAGGAATTATAAGTGTTTTTAAAACTTACTAATTACTATAGAAAGTTTATTAAAAATTTCTTACTTAAGGCTATCCTATTAATTAATATAATAAAAAAGGATTAACCTTTTAAGTGAAAAGAAGAATAATAAAAAGCTTTTAAAGATCTTAAAGCAGCTTTAATTTTAAAACTAATTCTTGCTATATTTAACCTAAAGAAACCTATTACTATTAAAACTAATATATTAAACTTTATAATTAGAGGAGTATTAAGTTAACCTAGTAATAATAGTAAACTTAAACTTATTACTTTCTTTTTATATAAACTTAATAAACTAATACTATAATATCCTACTTATAATAAAAAGATATATATAATACTATAAGTATTTAAGAAATAAAGATATTACTATTATAAAAGTAAATATAAGATTATAATATATACTAATCACAAGAATATTTTATACTTTACTATTATATAAAAACTCTTTAGTAAATAAATTAAATACTTTAAATTCTTATTATAATTTAGCTATAAACTTATTTACTATAAAAGAATTAAAAATAAAAGAGCTAATGCTTTAAGTAAAAGAATTAATTATAAATAAGAAATATCTAATGTTATAGTATAAGCACTTTAGTATAATAAAAAAGGAAATATTAAATAAGTTTATATATATCTTATATTTAAAGTATTAAAAAATAATCTAATACTTAAAGAAATTAAGGAATATATAAAAACTTACTTAAATAAAGAATATTTAAAAGATATTATTATAAAATTAAAATACCCTAAATAAAATAATAAAATATAAGTACTTAAAGAACTATAAAAGAAAGTAGTTAAATATATTTATAAATACCTATTATATAAACATAAAGGTATTATTAAAATAGTTAATTAAGTCCTAAATTACTATAAAATTAAAGGACTTAAGCCTATTATATAATATATTATATTATACTATAATATATACTAATAAATAAAAAATAAAAGATATAAACTTTATAAAAAACTATAACTACTACTAGTACTAGAATAGCTATAGGAATTAATTACTTTTAACTATATTACTAATTTACCCTTATTTATTAAACCTCTTATAAAAGTTAAATATAATAGTATATTTATATTAGTCTACTGCCTATTAAAGTAAATATACTTTATATTATATAATAAATTATATATAGTAAAAGAACTTACTTACACTTATATAAGAATAATTACTATAAAACATAAACTACTAAAAGAAATAATATTAGATAAAAAATAAATATTTACTTTTAAATTTTAGTAAGAACTAATAGCTAAATTAAGAATAAACTATAAATTAAGTATTATATATTATCCTTAAATAGATAAATAAATAAAATATATTAATTAGATTATTAAAGCCTACTTATACTACTATATTAACTTTATATAAGATAATTAGGTAAAAAAACTACTAGTAGCTTAATTATACTATAATAATACACCCTTAGAATCCATAGGGATTACACCCTTTTATACTAACTATAAATTCACACTAGAAGTATTTAAACTACTATAAGATAAACCTAATTCTAAAAAAGCTTAACTTATAGTAGAAATAATAATTAATTTACACTAAGAAATATATAAATAACTTAAACTTATTTAAGATAAAATAAAAAAATATATAAACTAAAATAAAATTATAAAACTAATTCTTTAAAAGGGAGATATAGTTTATATACTGTAATACTTATAAGGCTATAAATTATTAAATATTAAGATAAATAGGCTAAGTAATAAACTTAATATTAAAAAAATAAAATCTTATAAAATTCTTAAATAAATTAAAGAAGTAAATTATAAGTTAGCTTTATTAAATATAATAAAACTTTAAATTTTAGTATTTTATATATTATAACTTAAAAAAGTATAAGTTAATAAGAACACTAAAAGACTTATTTTAAATAAAATTATTATTAAAGATTAAAAAGAGGAATATAAAATTAAAAATATACTTACTATACACTAAAACTCTAATATAAATAATACTAAGTACCTTATTAAATAAATAAGATACTTTAACCTGGAAAACTTATAGGAACTAGTAAAATACTTTAACTCTTAGGAGCTAATAAAAAAGTTTCTTTATTTTATAGAATTAATAAACTAAAATTAAATAATATAGTGTTTTAATTAATCTTATTAACGCTATTATTAAGCTGTATATTAGCTATAACCCTTAACTTAGTATACTTAATATTATTTAATTTATTAAGTAATTAAGCACCCTTATAAAACATTTATTTACCTTATATATTTATTTACTAATATTATTTATAAAAATATAATAATTATATAAAACTCTTATTTATTAACTAAGATAATAATATTAACTATTATTAAAACTTTATTAGCTTTTATTATTACTAAAGTAATTCTTACTTAGCCTAATGCTTTTTAATATTTAACCTCTTCTTCTTAAATGCTAGATGTTAAGCTAAGAAGAGTTAGAAAAATTCACTTATTTTAAAACTATAAACTTATCAGCTGCTAAAGAAATACTATTTCTATTATATATTTAACTTCTATAAGTATACTTTAAACACTTTTAATACCTTAGCGCTATCTTATATAATAAACTATAGGTATTATAAAAAGAATAAAGTATAATAAGAAGTCTAATAGTATTAATTATTACTATAGCTGCCTTATAGTAATTAGTTAAACTTTTTTAAACTATAAGATAACACTTTAAAATACTATAAGGTATTATAATAAAAAGAAAAAAAATTACTTATTATATTAAGGAAGAAGAACTATAAACCTTATATACTATTATAGCCTTAAGGATAAGATTAATAAAAGAGGGGTATTATATTATAAACTAACTATATAAGGATCCTTTTAGTATATATCTTTAGTAATACACTAGAAGGCTATAACTAATTAGGGTGTAGGACTCCCTCTTTTAGTAGGATATATACTTACTTATAAGATAAGAATATAGCTCTAGGAGTGCATTCTTATTAGGTACTATAAGACTTATACTAGTGATAACTATAGAATAACTTACTATATAAGAACTATTTATTACACTTATTAAATAGAACTTAAATAGTTAGTTGTTAATATAGCACTTTTAGATAATAATTAAATTAGTTATTTATAACCTTATTAGCTATATAATTATATTGCTTATTAGATCTCTTGCATCTCTTTACTAATATAAACTAACGCCTTAGCTTATAGATTGGGAACCTACCCTATACCTAAGCACGATAGTATAGGTCAGGACGTCACACCTCACTAACACCTTATTTTATACATCAGCAGTTTTATTCAACATCTTTTTGATCCTCCTAGGCACGCGAGGCCCTCTAGTATTGCTCTTCTTGCCCCTTTGCCCATTGCACCACTGCTTTCCTTCTCCGAATTCGTTGATTTCGGCCTGGTTGGTGGTTTGCTCCTGCAACTGGTCCAATTTGGCAGTTGTTGCCGTTTCTTTGTTATCTCCCTTTGCCATTTGTTATCTGTATGTGGTAAGCCTACATGATTGAATATCTAATTAAACGAAGCTGTGTTTTTGCTGATGCTGCATATGGCTAGAAAGATTACAGTCAGCTGTGAGGTTATCCTGTAAGTTGCATCATCTAACGAATGCATTTGAGGTTTTGTTAACACCATTGTGAGAGGCTACTGCGAGGTTGCCTTACTGTATTGTAAGTAGTACCAATTTTAGTATCTTGAGTGAAATATATTGCTCTTTCTGCAAAGGTATGTTCGACTTCCTCTGGGTAAGAAACCGGCCAAGTCTATACAATATACAACACGCTGACTTTTGTGCTACCCGTAGCTAACCTTTCAGGAAAAGGAATAGTGTAGGTAAGATATTATATTCCATTCTGTGAGAATGATAATTGACTTTGGATCTAATATAGAGCTTTTCTTGTAGGTAAATCGCACGCATGCTTTCGTCGCCGCATCTTTTCAAATGCTAATCGTTATAGCGTTGACGTCAGAGTCTTGTGCGTTGTAACAGCGCTTGGCAGTTGGTGAGTAAATATACACGGCTCCTGCTTTCAAGAATGAGTAGAGTTTCTAACTTTATATCGACGAGTTCTATCAAGAAAGATTTCTTCCATTTTCCAAGGTAATTCCCACATTACGCTCTCATCAGAACATCAGCTTACGAGATGAAGAAGTCATCAAGGCCTTTTATGCCTGCAAGTAAGCCTTGTTATCCCATGAGTAAAGGACAATGGGCTAACAAACGGATGGAACTCAAGGCTGGCTTCCGTATAGGTGGCCTTTTCATTGGTAAGTCTGGCTGCAATTTACACCCACATAGGCATCTCATTAATAGCTTTGTTACTAAGTCTAGCTCCAGCGTTGCGTTGAGTCATCGGCGAGGAACTCTATCTTCGGCGTGGAAACCTTATCTTGAACCTTATAAGCGATCTTGACGATCTGGCGTCGTTGGCGTCGTTGGACCCAACGAGGCTGAATATGGCGTTTTTTTTTTTTTTTTTTTTTTTTTTTTTGGATATCCTTATCCACCCAGTCATTGAACCAAGGGCTAGGTACAGTCCTCTATTGCACCGGCCGTTACAGGTCTTTTGAACCTATACAACTGCATTAGAAATAAATCTCGATAAAGTGGCGGGTACCTCCGTCCAACTGCTGGTCCCCTCATGCAAAAAACTGTGATGTTTGGTGTCACGTACATGCATTTTGTTGTCTTACCCCCAAACTACATGGAGCCTGGCAAAAGTCCACGTCAAACGATTGGGCACTGTGATACTAATTCCAACAACCTTTTCATGGCTCCACGTGATACGGAGTCCCGCATTTCTAACTCAGCTCTCGATTGCCGGATGAGTCAAACGCTGCATCTGTTCCAAACTCTAACTGAACACTATGGGCGGCCTGAGCCAATGCCATATATAATTGTCAATGTGACGCCCAGATCAGAGGGCTTCTTTTATTCTTCTTTGTTTCGTTGTCATCCTTGTTTATTTTGCTAAACCATCATTTTATACAACACAAGTCATGTCTCCAAAGCTCTCGTTTCTCGATCTCCCCTCCGAGCTTCGCAATGCGATCTACCTGCATTATGTCACCGTAGAAAAAGGCTACGTGTTCAACTTTGAAACAGGAAAACTGGCCGCTCTCGGAAGCGACGGAAAAATGCAGCCAATCGACCACGCTCTCAAGTTTACATGCAAAACAGTCGCAGAGGAGATGATGGGCCTCGATTTGCAAGTAAATTCCATCAATTTTTCTACTGGCTACTCCGACCAATGGCGCGTCAATGCGGCCCGATTCCACAATATGCAGGCCTATTTCAATTATGCGGCGGTCAGTATGCTACAAGGGCCACGACCAACTTCGGAGGATGATGATGGCGATGGCAATGCCGACCAGAGAGATCCAAGGGAGACTCAAGAAGAGAATTCTATTGGCGAAATAGTCAGTAATCACGTCCAGGACCACGGCCACGGCCACGATCGTCATCAAGAACAAGAACAGGAACAAGACGAAGATGATGACCAAGATGGGGATGAAGAAGATGATGAAGATCAGGACGAAGATCAGGATGAGGACGAGAACTCAAGCGAGCAAGTCCTCCTCCCTACTTGCTGTACAGATGCCATAGTGGAAGAAGTAGCACAACGATATCCCGACTTTAAGCCCATCCTCGAGATTATCATGCTGGGTACAGATGTCACTACCCAAGGTCGTCACTTTGGCTTGGTGCCGACATTTAAACGACAAGCAGTTCTATATACAATAGAGCTCGCATTGCAGCAGGAGTTGATTCCAGAAGATTGGTATGATCATATGTTTCATCGCCCCAGACAATTATTCGCCTTACAAAAACGTTTACCGCCTTGGCTCTGTTGTCTAACCGAATATGAATTTTTCGATGTGATACGCCAGTCTGTCACTACTTGCTTTACTAAGAGGCAATATGAGGATTACTGGGATAAGCCTCATATAAGCGGATTCGGACGTCGCGAATATACGCAAGGCAAATATCGCTTCTCCGCAGCGGCGCTGGCTATAAGATTTCTATCAAGGCTCCCTGTCGGCTTGCGAATGCATTTGCGGAAGATTCGCTTGCATGAAGATTCGGTGAGCGTAGCTTATCCGGAAACACATGCCCAGGGGCTTATCAAGTTTTGCATTGAAAACCCAAAACTTCGCATAGAACGTCATCTTGATTTGTGGAGAAATGTTTTCCAATCGTTGTCATGTACAGATGAAGTGGAGTCTTTCAACTTCATATTGGAGAAGAGCTGGATAACTGACACCACCGATAGCGATAGAGGCCCCGGACTGTGGTCTCTGACGCTTACAGACAAAGTTGCTCTCTGGATGATGGAAGCTTTGGCTCTTCTCCCACTCGGCATGCCCAAAGAATCTTTCACATTGGTCTTGGATGGAGGAGAGGCACCCGAAAAGTGCTCAGAGATTTTTCAGCAAATCATCCAACGTGATGCTGCGTGGCAAGCCGCATGGGAAATCGTGGCAGCCAATGAGTTTGCAGAGGAATCTTTCTTAAACAAGAGGACTCATAGCTGCTGTACGTATTTGTGACTTTTTTTCTTATTGATATGCTATTATGCTGACACATGAATTTATACAGACAGAATGGACGGCTTTCCAGAAGCGATGAGATGCATGGAGAACAACCTCCACGGATTCATCCAATGTACATTTGACCTGCGTCCAAGTATCTGGGATGTTGAAAAAGAAACTGAAAAGTTCCGTCATCTAACACTGGGACAATCTCATGCGCTGCCTGTGGATAACCAGATATTTTTACAACCGCCGGAACCGCTACCGAGTTGGCGAGATCTTCTCGCTGAGAATATACTGCCAGAATTCTTTGGTGAACAAGAAATCGTCGAAGGCGAAGTTGATTATGATCGATACTTGGAGGGCAGCGACGATGAAGAGACAGAGGACGATGAGTCGCAGCCGGATGTAAGCGACGAAAATTATGCGAAGGTCATGAAACAGAGAGACGATTTGTTGATGGAACGGTTGGCTCAAGGCTTTATGTTTTTCAACCTCGCTGACCCTGCTTCCGACTCCGACTCCGACTCCGACTCCTACTAAAAGTTACATTCAAGTTTTTACCAGTTGCCAAAGTCGAGCACTAATGAGAAAAAAAAAAATTTTTTTTCTTTTTTTTTTTCAACTTTTCTTTACATTTTTGTGCTTCCGCATCTGTTGATTGTTATCTCGCCGGGCAAATTCTACTCATGGAAAGAAAGTACTAGAGAATATTTGTACGCGTAAAACACACACGTCACCAAAATGATTGCCATGTTCGGGTCAACAGTTGTTATTTGGTAAATTGTATTAGATGAGTAGTTTACTTGATAAAGTCTAATAAAGTCACAGACTGCTAAAAAAAAAATCATGATGCGAGCCGTAGGGATCGAACCTACGCGGGCATGCCCATTGCGGATCAAGTTATCTCAGCTCAACTCACCAACCTAAACACAACGCCTTAACCACTCGGCCAGACTCGCGAACATTTTTATGCGCAGGTTGGAGATGCGTCTATGAATGATTTGGATTAAGCGCGCTTTCGAATGGGATAGACAAACACAAACACAATGTATATCTTTTGCATTTGACGTATAAGTATATCACATGACAGAGTTATATAAAGCTGGGATCCAATATATTGACTATAGAGGAAAATATATACTCAAAAGAGCAACGCATGCTCTTGTCTTTCAACTAGCGCATGCACCCTAACAGTTCCAGAGTTCCTCCATTCTGCAAAAACAAGAAATCTCTCGCCTTTTGCGTCTCTTCCCAACCTATCCTTGTTTTTTTTTTGTCGTTGTAGCTTTACCGTTCAATGGATCCTCTTAACCGGTGTAGCTGCAGGTAACGCCGCTGCTGCTGGCGGAGCAGTCAGTCAGGACCTTGCCCGAAGAGCTCTCGATATCAATGATGGTGGAGCCGCTGGGGGTGATGGTGCCAGAGGAGCCAGAAGCAGTGGCGTTGGAGAAGGTGACCTTGCCAAAGTTGGCAAAGGGAACGAGCTGGCTGCCCTCCTCAAAGTCCTCGACGATCCACTCGGCATTGGTCTCGCAAAGGGTCGAGGGCGTGTTGGTGAAGGTGTGGGAAACGGACTTTCCGGTCGTCAGGTTCTCAAGGGTGGCAACGCCGGTGGTCTTGGACGAGGCATCGACAGTCATGCGGATCTCGTCGCCGACCTTGAGGGAGAAGCCGGAGAAGCTGTAGGAGTAGTCGGGAATCCACTCGTACCAAGCATCGAAGCTGCCGTCGCCGTAGAAGGAGACACCAGTCTGGAGAATGGCACTTTGGCATGTGTCTCCGTCAATTCCCACCCATGCAGAGGCCGCGGCGTTGGAACCACCCGAGGCACGGGGGACTGTGATGGTGCCGGTGACCTTGTTGAAGCCCTTGCCGATCTGGACGGCACCGGCCCAGTTGGAAGAGTACTGGGGGTACTTTGTGTTCCTCTGGTTGGGAAGAGAGTGAGCGCCGTTGCGGCGGCCATACTTGGGGGAGACGTTTGAGGGAGCGGCGGCGGCAAGGCCAGCGGCGGCAAGGAGAACTGTGGAGTACTTCATGATGGGCGGCGATGAAGGAGATGTGTGAGGCTCTTTCTGATGGAGTTGAAGCTTGGCTTTGGAGCTGAGTGCTGATGAGAAGAGGGTATTCGACCATGGCATCCGGCCGAGCTTTTTATATATCTCGAAGCTTCAATGCCAAGGCTGGTAACCGGCACGTCTACCCATCCTCTCTACACCATTTGCAAGCTCGCATGGTGCCTGGTTCCACGGATTACATTCTTCGAAATGGAAGGAGCTTGTCCAACTCCAATGCCTCAATGTCCTTTGCCAAGCTCAACTCGTGGTTCTACTTCCTCTTCCAGCAACTCACGAGCGTGCAGAGTGGTAGCATGCCTCCTCCACCACTGCAAGCCAAGACAACGGAGGGCTAATCGAAGCCATCTCCAGTTGCAATCTAGCTCACATGCTTGCCTAAAAAGGTCCAACACGGGATTGGGCCTTTGCAGCCAACGGAGGCAGCAGAGATACGGACTCAGAAGCTGATAGGCAGGCTACTGCTTCTCTAACAGTAGACTCGAGATAGCATCGAAAAGCAGGCTTTCAAAAGATCCAAAGACGATGGCCCTCACCTTCCTGATTTGCTTTCATCCGTGATGGCATCAAGGAGTTGAAGATCCGCTTCAAAGCCACGCCATCAACCTTCAACCTTCTTTTTTAGCGCCTCCTGGCCAAACAAGCCCGCATATGCCTGAACCAAGCTTACTGCCCAGAGTTATTCACCCCTGGCAGAGTCGGATAATTCGGATCTAGTGCCCAGACTTTTAAGGTGGTGGTGCTAGTACTCATATGTCCGATGGCCAGCCAAAGGGCGTGAAGAATGAATAGACGGGATAGAGAATTCTCATTAATCAGCACACAGCTCGCAACATTATGCACCACAATGGCGCTAGTATCTGCTATCCAACTGGTACTTTGTTCATGTATCTAGTTTATGTGTGTAAATTTTTTTTTTTGCCATTACTGTTTTTCTTCTTTGCGTCAATTGCCAGCCTCCTTTCATCGGCCCATCGCTGTACAAGGTACAAACACCAAACTAAAACCCCACAACTGATACGAACCGCCCCTCCAATTTATATGCCATTAAGGGATGCGAAGAAAAAATACAGGGCTACAAAATAAATATACACACACAAGTTTAAAACATCAACGCCATTGTGTTCAAGAAAAGCTATACAATACCCTAGATCTATTCTTTAACGCGATATATTAAATATAGCATCGTAATAGTAGTAATAATAGCAGCAGTAGCAGCAGTAGCAGCAGAAGCAAGTATTGAATAGGTACTTTACACGCACTGTCATTGTGGTGTGTAGAATTGAGAAATGTGTGCTAATTGTTTAAGAATTCCCTCTTTTTTTTCCCACTAGCACAAATGAGTGATAACTCTCCCAAAGCGCCAAGCGGAGATGGCTTCCCGCTATCGTAGATCGTCTCTCAACAAGGCCAAACGAGCTATACAAAACTGGTAGGTGGCTGGACATTGCGGGGCGTGCAGCTGGACTTGCCAGAGCGCCAAGGAGGAAGCCCTTTGAAAAGGTAAGTAGGACGCTCGGCAGCGGTTCTGGAAGGTAGTATTGGTCCCGGCACTGAGATGCCGATTTGTTTGTAGATAGCCTCAAAGGAGTAAACTAGGTAGGCACTTTTCACGATAAACAGGGACATTTGAACAAGGCAAAGCGGAAGAGAAAAGAGACGGCGAATCCTGTTTCGTGAAAAGACGTCGGCTTGACTTCTCCCGAGCAGCCTTGGTGGAGTGCGTTCTCTAATTGGCCTCCCTCATTGGCAAGAACAGACATCTTCGGCCGGCTCCGAACGCACCCTCTTTATTCCTGTTCCAAAGCGTTATTTATCAGCTAGATTAATACATACAGGACGCATTAGATATCACAGTTGAGAACTGGGATAGACTTTTGCGTTCCGGCAAGCCCAGCCTTGTCAGGTTTCTCACTACTGATGAACTATACAAGTATACTTGCACCGCGGAACTAGAGTCAGAAAGCAAAGTATTTAACAAGGTAAACAAAGACTGTGGATAATCGGGCACGGCAGCGAAATGAAGAATAAAATTCGTCAGGTAGATAGACGGCTTGGCTACAGACTCATCCCAGGCATAGCAACCGACGAAGAAAGCTAGGCTTTGTGCATGGCCCTTTTGTATAGTGTCGGGGATCAACCCCCCCAATGGGAGTAGGCAGAGCAACTAAAGCCGCGGCATGAAATCAAGCTGCTCTTTTCAGCGTCTCATGCTTTATTTTATTTTTGCGCCAAAGCCGCCGCGGCTATTTTGTTCTGGTCGTGGTCATGGTGGCCTAAGTAGGTACTATAGCAATACGTGTAGAAGGGTCCTAGCATTGTAGGTCGGGTTTAAATGCGACCATGTATGGCGCTACGGAGTTATTTACGCTCCAGCTATGCATAAAATGGTTAAAACGAAGATGGGGCTTACCCGAGGGCTCATCAGCACTATAATTGCAAAGCCCCTTTGGCCGACAAGCTTGGTGTTGCTTTTGCAAAATAAGACATGATACGGAGTAGCAGTAACAGTTGTACTACTCATAGTCGTAGCCGAGCTGAATGGAGGAAATGCCAGTTGAGACTCTTCTGTCATTCATCCCCGCCCTTTCTTGACCACTGCGTAAGTCGCCGTTGTTAGCTCGCCGCGCTGTTTTTACTACCGACATGTGATGTTGCCATGAGCTGTGTACACCAGCCGGGCTTATCTTGCAATCTTAAACAACAAGTGTTGCAGTTGGAGTTTTACGACGCTGGTGCAAACAATTGTCATCAAAGACTTGTTCGCTGACCGTCTACGCAACGGTTATTCCAGTATACAAATATACTTATCCACTGCTAACGGGCCCTTTCCCATTTTCCAAGCTTGCCGTCGTAGAATAAGGCTGAGCCAAGCATGATGGCCAGCTTGGCGATTTCTGGGCACGCACTAGCATGCATGAGACTGGGGAGAGCGAGATCTATGCTACAATGCCGTTGAAGCCGCGTTAGAAAAAAACAATGGTTCTAAATGGACACTAGGTAGAATTATCGCAGTTATAATGTAAGGATTACTGCCAGCCGGTGAGCACTGGACGTTGGATATAAATGCATGTCAAGCCATAAGTGAATGAACAAGCAAATACCCGGCGAAGACTGCTTTCACCCGGCGCATGGTACATGTACCTTTGGGGCTGGTATTTCCAACAGGTAGCAGCCGGCCACCAACCCTAAGCATACATCGTCACACCACCTACTGCACTGCACATGCGATTGGTGTCGCCAATGCTCTCCTCCGATGCTCGTGCAAAACAGCTCTCGTCTTATCTCTGAGCGTTTCGCGCACTGCCGAAATCCCGCCCCGCCTCGCCCGGTCCAGTCCGCAGCAGCCCAGGCCAGGCAGGCGGTGCTTAAGGCACGCAGAGCCGACGTGCGGCAGAATTAAAGTCGCTGCATCGCAAAAAAAAAGAGAGACAAATCCAAAGGTCGCACAACGGACACTTGCGCTTTTGCAGTTATTTATGCATTCTCTGCCAATGCATGCAGTTATTCGCATCATATACCTACTAAATAATCTCTAAGACACATGCTTGCATTTTCTACTCTTTTCGCACCGCCGCGCCGCTGTCTACACACATTCAGCCCGCGCTACGTAGGTTAATGTATGATAGTGTTTGAGACTAGGTGCCAAGTCTGGCCATCTTCATCTTGTCCATCTGCCCATTACCCAAGGCGGTAGCCATCCGATACCTACATCGTACAGAAGAACCAGGCATCTTTTTTCGCTTGTTACTACTGACCCAGCCGGTGTCACCAAAGTTTGGCAAAGCCTCCCGAGGACAGGATGGGGTTGATACCGTTGATAGCGTCAATTAATGTTCATACAAGGTCATGAAGAGTGCAATATATGGAAATGTTATCTACCTTAGTTTTTCAGCAAAGACGTTTAGTACATTAATCCCTCGTTGATATAGGAACGCCTTATTCCTGCCTAATCTGCATACAATCGGACCTTGATTGGCCATCTGCAGGCCAGGCTGTCCAGCATGCAAGCAATCGTGGCTGGGTTACAGTAGAATAGCGATATCAAAATGCATACTCGCTGCCCAAGGCTACACCATGTCAACCCAACGTCTCAATATACAGATTCTTCTCGGCGCTAAAGCCCCAAGTTTTTTAAAGCCTTTTTTCCCAAATTCGAGCTCTATTATTTACACGCCAACGTTCTCCTTTGTTCGTTACACATATCAAGCTGCGATATACAATCATGGAATTCATGTGGGAATTCAGGCATACCCCTCTCAATCTGGAAAGGCCCGCGATACGACTACTTTACTTAAACCCCGGAAGTGGCAGTGTGATAACTTGCAACCTTGTTCAAGTAGAATTGGACCAGCGAGACGAAATGATTTCTTACGAAGCCCTCTCATACGTCTGGGGCTCTTCCCAGCCTTCAGATCCCTCCCGTCGTTCTAAACTTATTGGTGTGGACAGTTGTCGTCTAAGCATCACCTATAATCTCTACCGGGCACTGCTTGACCTTCGCTACCAAACCAAGAAGCGTTGCCTATGGATTGATGCAATATGCATTGACCAAAAGAACGGCAGGGAGAAAGGACACCAAGTTGGACAAATGGGCAACATCTACAGGCAAGCCGACCGTGTGATTTTCCGTCTGGGCCTGGGGTCAAAGGAGACAGATGTCTTTATGGACAGTCTACAGTGGCTGCAGAGCGAGAGCTTAAAGTATGTATGCAAAGACTGGTCACGCCAGGACAGCCGTTGGGAAGAGCTTTGGGCCTCTTACCCCCCGCGATTGAGGGAATGGCATTTTGACCTTGTCGAGTCACAGCGGCAAGGTTTGCAGGAAATTCTGAACGAACCGTGGTTTCGCAGGGTTTGGATCTTACAAGAGGTGGCACTCGCAAAGGCCGGCATTATCTCTTGTGGTGCGAAATCCGTGTCAGCTCGCCTTTTCAATCTTACTCCTCTACTCTTAGGAGCTACTCCTAATGCGCACTGCCAATCTGTACTTGACATCATGCCATCTCAATGGAAGGAGTCTACATGGTGGGGTGGGAACCGAACCTTTTACAAGCTCCTATTGAATTTTGGGAGTAGTGAAGCTTCAGAACCTCTGGATCTTGTTTATGCGCTACGAGGCTTGGCTTCGGATTTGACGGGCGAATACAGCGGCACCCTTTTTCCGGATTACGGGAAATGTGAGGATGAGCTTGCTCAAGATGTTATTAAGCATGTATACAGAGATTACCTGAACCTCTTTCAGGAGGAGCCATTGTGTTCAATAAGAGAGCTGATCAATATTATACAAAAACTGGACGTGGATATTTGCAGGTCACTGCTAGAAGAATCGAGGATACACGGGGATTTGAAGAAGTTTCTACAAAGACCTGGATTGCCCGGCCAAGAAATGATGAAAGCTGCAGCACAGTACGACAAAAGTGGCAAGGTCGTTCGGGAATTTCTCCGTTACCGTGGAGAAAAATACAAAATAGAAGAAGACGTTTTGGTATGTGCTGCCACGAACTTGACCGGCGCAAAACAAGTATTCGGGATTTTTTTGGGCCACCAGAATCAACTCATTGTCACCGAAAAGATACTTATTGCCACCGCGGAGAATTCAGGCTCTGGCCATTTGGTAATGGGTTTCCTTCTGTCTCTAGAGACCTCAGATTATAAAATCACTCCAGTTTTGGAGGCGGTGGCCAGGAATAGATCTGAATATTCAAGAGCAGAGATCATCAGGATTTTATTACAGCAAAAGAACAACAGCAACAACACTATATCAGAACTTCTTACTGCTGCTACTAATATCCAACGTTACGGTCCCTGCATATTAGAGCATTTTTTTCAAGAGAAGCCTGATTTTAAGATTGCCGAATACGCTATTATCGCTGCCATGAAGAATTGGCGGGGCGGCGTGGATTGCCTCAGAGTAATCCTTCGTTACTGTCCATCATACATTACAATCACTCGGGGCATAATTCAAGCCGCAAGCAATTCGCCTGATAAGTGCTCTACTGCGATTGCACTCCTGCTCCACAACCCAGATGTTTATGACCAGCTGTCTAAAGAGGAGCGATTTTCTGCGATGACCCCGATCATCAACCAGGCTTTGGTCCAGCACCTCGACTTTGAAAAAACTTTATCACAAGACTCTATCCACGAATTTTCAGCACGCAACCGGAAATCAAAACTTGAAAGTCTTGTTAGGGAAATGGGTGAAGATCAAGACTTTTTTGACACAGACGTGATTTCATCCGTAAAGCTCTATGGGATAAGAGTGGTTGAAGATCTGTTTATATTTCGGCGCAAGGAGGCGATGATCAACGACACATTTGTACGCCATTTCCTCAATGAAATCAAAGCAGAAGTGGAAAACTGGTGCGATATGGATCTAAGATATTCATTTCAGCAAAAGTATATTCTTGATACAGCCAGTGGGCAGAAAACAGTGATGTGGAGCGACGATATGCTCCTCAAAAAAATAGAAGAAATACGCTATCCAGAACGGAGGGATGAGGACCGACAATATCAATTTCAACAAAGAGATAAAGACCGAGAATATCCATTTCGACAAAGAGATGAGGACCAAGAATATCCATTCCGACAAAGAAACGAGGATGAAAAATACGCAAATAAAGTAAATGCGAGTCTGTTTATATCTGAAGAAGAGCGACAATATTGGGGCCCTTGGATACAATCAGATGAAGGTCAGCTTTCAAGGAAAGACAGGCGACGTATATGGAAACTACGACTACAACAAATGTTAAGTAAACCTATGACGGATGCAGAAAGATGCACGTGGACTCCTTTGTTAAGGGAAGTTTTAAATCAAGATATGACCCCAGACGAAATGCACACCTGGATGCCTCTATTGCAGCAAATCCTTGACCAGGCTTTCCCAACAAAGAAGCTGCGCACCTGGAAGTTTTTACTACCACAATTCCTGAAACAGCAAATGACGGATGAAGACACGAGAAAATGGAGACCTTTGATAATGCAATTTATCAGCCTGGGCATGACGAAAGAAGATTTAAGCACTTGGAGGCCTTTATTACCACAATTTTTAAGGCAGGAGATGATAAATGTAGAGTCAAATACTTGGAAACCTCTGTCGCCACAATTTTTAGAGCGGTCGATGTCGAATGAAGAGTTAAGTTCTTGGGGAGGTCTATTATTACGATTCTTAGAGGAACCAATGCTTGAAGAAGAGCTGAACACTTGAAGGCCTTTATTACCACAATTCTTCAAGGAGGGGGTAATGGTCAAATATTTGGATACTTGGAGAGCTCTATTACCAAAGTTCATAATAGGGCCAATGAGGAAGGGAGAGTTAGATATTTGGTTGCCTGTGGTACACAAATTCTTGGCGTGGTGGTCAATAGAAAAAATGACAGAGGAAGAGTTACATACTTGGAAGCGTCTATTAACACCATTCATAAACTACCCAATGGTAACCAATAGGTTAAATGACTTCGATAGGTGTATTTCTTACAGACTTTCTCAGATAGCTGAAGAGAAATAAGTATAGAAAAGGGAGGTACTTGGAAGCTTTTAATGTATTTTAGAAACTTCTTTATTTAGTTTAAGTTATAAACTTAAAACTTAAAAAAAAAATCCTCGATATGAATTCCGTTTTAGAAAAGATAGTTTCACGGCTTTACTTAGCATAAGCAAAATACAACATAAACGTAATACTCTCGTACTACTATAGACTGATTAGAACAAGGTCCAGAAAATAGCGACTATATGGCCAGATATCTGTCTAGAAGCCACCAACCGCAGGGAGCCCATTCTTTATCCACCATTCTAATTCTATGCTATGCTGTGATTCCTCAACTTCAGGCCAGTTACTGTGTCTCTGAAGGACAAAGGGATGCGGCAGACGATGCTGCCTAGTCCATGAGAGATCATGCCCATCTCCCCCCCGCGCTGCATCCGCTGCCAGCTTAGTAAATTGTTTCATGAATGTCAAACGGTTCTCCATTATTCTCTCAGCAGTGGATGGTGTGCAAATATGCGCAAAACGTATCTGACGAATGCTCCATGGTGGGTACTCCTCGGCTTTCAGCGGAAAACTCCGGGGAGAATTGCAAAATTCCTTGTTATTATATTCGATTATTCCCTTCTGCTGCTCGTATTCTTCTCTTAACTGGCCCAATACGTCTTTTATAAAATGGCTATGGAAACCATTTGCAAGCTTATGCTTTTTGAGTTGTTTCGCATCTCCTGAAGTTTCATAGAACCAGTGTCCCCGGACACCAAACACATCCAACTCCAATGTAGTCCATAGAGCATCAGTTTCCTCGATTGGTATCATGCAAAAGTGCTCTCCCTTGGAATAAACCTGAGAGATGGTTGCTGGACCAAGTAGAGTTGAGTCCACAATTGACTGACGCAGTGCTTGCTCAGACTCGCTAGGACGCCACTCGACCAGGATGAGTTCTTTGAGGTCCGGGTTGAGCTTGTGCCCAAGAAATATACGGTTAGAGTGGGTAGGTATGGCCAATGCCAATCGCTGAACGCGACTTATATCTCGAGGTCTGAAATGGTGAAACGTATGCAAGATTCTTGCAATTTCCTTCTCCTTCTCATTGTGTGGATCGGCATCAGGGCAGTCAATTTCGTCGTCAAGTAGCAATACATCTTGCTCAAAATGGAACCAGGTTTGTGGGCCTGGGGCTGTGGAAGGAAACGCAAGCTGATAGCCGTACCTGATGAGAAATGAACGTGACTCGGAGCAAGTATGGAGAAGCGGCGGAATGGCTGCTTGGCAGGAGATGGTCTCTCTTCGGTACAGGTGAAATGCCAATGTGGGAATTTGCATGAGCATCTCAAACGGGACGATGGATTCAAACTCCCAAGAGAATTGCGCCCGCTTATTGCTGGTGAATCCGTATGCTTCGAGCTTGGTTTGTTTGAAGAATCTTCGTCTTTGACGACGCAGAACGGCCGATGCTTGGAGAAGGAGATGACGGAAGGAAGAATAATCAATATCTGGGCGCAGATTACGCTCCGCGATTGTAATGTGCGGTAGTCTCTTGCCGAAATCTTGAAAATTCTCGACTTGTTGATGGAGATGGACAATCCGAGGCGGTGTGGCAAGAAGGTATATATTGGAGCGGATTTCTAGGGGCAGCAGAGGGAACAGTTGAAATGAAGACATTGCGGTAACTTGAGTAAATGAGAAGAGCTCTTTTTTGATGGAAAAGAGCAGTATCTCGTTATTGACGGTGTAGCGGCGATGTTAAAGATTAGAGCGAGCTGAATGAGCCCATGTAAATGCCACTGGATTACCACGCAGTGTATGTCCCGCCGCATCAGAACCCCGCGAGGCCCCAGTGGCTGCTATCAAGATATCAGTGAAGCTTACAGCGCCAACCCCAGACGCCACGTCGCGCCACTCGCTCATTATCTAAATAAGCTCTTGAAAAGTGTTTTCTTTTTGACAAAAGATTCTCAATAGCTGTTCCGCTGGAGTAAGGTTTTCTTATGGGTATTTAAAAAGTGAAGTACTTGTAAATAAAAGGGAAGCTTGAAATTTATAAAGTAAGTAAAAATTAAAAGTGAATAAGCAGAACTACAGATTAGGAAATAGTTCTCAACAACCAAGTACGTTAAGCACTTTAATTCTTACGCAAAAGCAAAATATAATTATAATTTATAAAATCTTAAACTAACTCAATATACTCCCACTTGTTATAATCTGCATTTTCAATCTGTTGCTGTATGGCCCCTTGCCACTGCCATTTCTGCCATGGCTTCGTCAATCTTCCATTGCTGAGGAAACAAGGCGAAACTAGTATATAACTCCCCGGGCGATCAAGGCTTTTGCGAATAATATATGGCAGCGACTCGCCTGTTAATAGCACAACCTCATCTCCTTTGCGTGGCTCTGCTATTGACAGCCCAACCTGCCCAGTAGTAGTAAGGAAGCAACACTGCCCACTAACCTGAGTCATAATCTGCATGAGATCGAATTCCACAGATTGTTTCACTGACGGTCTCGGCTTGATGCTGTAAGACCGATGATCTGTTGCAAGTTCAAAGGATTCCAAAGCTGTGGATAGACGAACCTGCCCAGGTCGATATCCGATCGAGTTACTAATCATGGTGAAGAACTGATTCAAGTATACGTCCCCTTTGTCCATTGCACCAACTTTCTCTACCCAAGTTTTAAGTATAGCGCAAGCAATCGGCATATAAAAGTCGTCTTTAAAACCAATATCCAGAACCATATTTCTCTGCACACTTACTTTTGGCAAAAGAACGCCAGCTGTAGCTGTAACTGTAGCAATTCGAAGCCCTTTGATTTTGAGCACACTTTCGTTAGAGCCTCTAGAAAATATAGCGGGCGAAGGAAGCGGTTCGGCATTTGAATGCTCGTCCATCCACCAGGGCACGGTGGTGGTTGTCCAAGATGGAACCCAACTAGGCAATCCATCATTCCTGTCGCTGTGACAAGCAAACCGCATGAATTTGACGTTGCCGTAAGCGTTGAGGAGGCTATGGCCGGCCTTTGTATATACCTCGGCAGTTGTCAAAGAGTAATCCTGTTGAATCGTGCCAAAACTCGCTGGCAGCATATATCCCATTGAGAAGACTTTATCAACTGCCAACGTCGATTGCTTGTAGCAAAGATTGCTTAATATAAGCGCTTCGTCATATTTTCTGCTACCCGTGGGATTATCCGAGCGAGGAGATATATGAAGGCCATAGGTTCGGAACCACTCTGGGTCAAGTCGAGCATGTAAGAGGGCGGTTATGATGGCGGCTTTCAAATATATTTCGCAATGGAGTGGCTCAGCCGATCCGCAATAAACAAAACAATTCGGGTTTATATTACTCTCCTGTATCGTCCATACTCTTTTCCAGTATGTTCTTGACTCTAAATCGGCTTCTCCATCTTCAATCTTTTGCCAAAAGCCTATAGAACATTATTAGGAAATGTCAGCCTCGAAAATCAATGGGAATTAAAAAGAAATACCTTTAGGCATAGGTATATGAGGAAGCATAAACGATCCCATAACACCGCTTATAAGTTCAGCAAGTGCCTGAGGAAAATGGGTTAATCCGAGTAGGGAATCAGTAGGCCACTCTGGTGAAGAAGAATAGCGTATTGCTTTGCGCTCTATCCAGGAGATTGGAGCAAAAGGCAAAGTAATAAAGCTATACCACCTGAGTATGAAATCACTTGAATCATTGCCATCACCAAGCCATATATTCACCCTTGTCGCTTTCTGGTATATCTCAGCCATCATTGCCACTTGTGAGCTCTTCTCAGCAATGTTTTTCTGGTCAATGCAAATTGCGTCGACCCATAGGTATCTCGATTGCCCTTCCGTAAGGCGGAGTCGCTGAATAGCGGATCGTGCATTTTTAGTAACAGGGAATTTCCTGCCATTGGCGTATATGACTTTATCCAGAGGTTGATTATCCCATGAATACGAGAGAGCGTCATAAGAAGGCGCTCCATCGAGGGGAACTGCCACTAGGTCGACATGTATTTCTGCAAGCGGGCTTGCGGCACCGTGAATCTTTATCAGGCGGATGCTTCGTTCATCGGGAAGCTGAGGATAGGCCTCGCCAGCGGCTATTATGCCTGCATCCCCAGCCTTTAAGTAGTGAGCATTTGTGTAATGCTTTTGCTTTGAGACCGTCTTAGGGTAAAAGTGATCATAGAATGTATAGCCAAGAAAACAAACGAGGGTATTTCTGACTGGTGCCCTTGATACCTTGGATAGTATTCTAGATATCAATCTTGCCATTATTATATACTAATCTCGATAATATGCATGGAAAAGATGAAAACGGGGAACTGTCAAGAGTTTTCTGGATGTAAAAGCTAACTATTATTCGCATGTATGCTATTGGGTGTAGTTAGGCTTGAATTTGGACATTACCAGGCATAGACTAGGTATTGCCTAGTATAAACTTGGCATTATTAGGTATTATGAGGCATTAATTGGGTATTATTGGGTAGCAATTGGGTACTATTGAGTATTAAAAGGTATTAGTAGGTACAAAATCAACTATTAATGCTTGCTTCTACACTCACTGAAAAGCAAAAGTATTAATGCTTAAAAAATGGAAGAAAAGGGTGATGCTATACTACAGACGAACATGGGTATCTGTCTACGCTGTAAAATTAGAGCAGAACTAAAATTAAAGAACCGTGTTTGATACAAACAAGTCCAGACAAAGGGTCTTCATTTATATATATTAGAGCTGGCTTTATGTTTAATTCTAGTCGAGTGCTTGTAATAAGTAACTCCTCTTGAAGTCTTGGAGAATTTGTCTCCAGCATATTGCTCCTGTCAGAAATCCGCGGGAGGTACCCCGCGCTTGTCACATTATCAGCAGCCCTGGGTCGCCGTGTTTACGTCAAGGGACAATAATGGTATTGTGCAAACACTGCCGCGATTGGAAGCAACTATTGTTTGATTACTTATATGAATTGATATGTGGCTGGATGGGAGTAAGTGTAATTGAACCATGAGCTATATGAAACATCCGTACAAGGCACGGAAAATGGGACGATGGCCATGCCTACATGGCGATACATGTACTTGCACAATCTGCTGCATTGTACTACATATGACATCTCCTCAATGCTCTTCTCAGACTGTCGTGTATAAGACAACTCTCATCTTCCTTTCATGCGCTCTTTGTGCATTTGGCAGCGTGAAACTAAAGTAACAGACCGGGATCATGTCGTTAGCCCCAGCTTTATGTAATCTGCTCCTTCAACAATCATGTGAGAACAGCCTCAGCCTCAACACCATCACCAACACCAGCAAAAGCCGACGAGCCAAAGCAACCAAAGAGAAGCCACAGCCACCGCCATCATGCCGCCATCGCAGCCAACCGCCGCGCCCATCCCGCACATCCACATGCTGTGCATCAACGACGCCCACAGCGCCGCCCTGCGCGCCGCCCTCGCGGCCCACGGCCTGTCGTCGCTCGCAATCACGCACCACAACTGCGCGCTGTCCTTTGTCGAGGCCCGGTTCGACCTCATCGTGTCGCCGGCCAACTCGTACGGCCGGCTGGACGGCGGCTTCGACGACGCAATCTCGCGCTCCTTCTCGCCGCGCGACGACTACCTGGCCCTCACCAGGGCCGTCCAGGCGCGGCTGTACAGCGACTGGCGTGGCTTTGCGCCGCCGGGCACCTGCACGCTGCTGCGCATCCCCGACGAGTTCCACCAGCGCTCGCGCAACGCCTGGGGCACCAAGTACCTGGCGCTGTGCCCGCTGATGCGCGTGCCGTCCAGCGCCGACTGGGACCGCGAGGTCGTCTACGAGTGCACCTGGAGCCTGCTGTGCGCCATCGACAGGCACAACCGCAGTGCGCGGCAGCAGGACGAGATCCAGAGCCTGCTCATGGTGCCCATGGCCACGGGCGTTGGGGCCGTGAGTCCGGCCAAGTGGGCGGGCCAGACGGTGCTTGCGCTCAAGCACTACATTGACGCGGTGGAACACGAGGCGAAATGGAGCGCGCTTGAGCCGAGTGAGATTGCCGAATATGCGGGCGACGTTGAGAAGACGTGGAGGTCTTAGGGTCAATGCTCTCTACATGCTGTCGGTTGCCAGCGAGACGATGGAGTTATCGTGGAGGAGCAAAGTCGCTGGTTGACGTATAAGAGGGTGATGGAGGGGAAGAAAGAAGACTGCAGCATGGAACATGGAATCATTCAGTTGACTCGCCTGCGGATAACCACTGCAGCAGACATCATCACCCACAAGACCGCGCACTGCAAAAACTGGAAATACATCGACAACGACTCCAGCTCCAAACATGTTGTATCCACCATGTCGCAATAACCTTCTCATTCACCAAATCTACAAAGGAAATATGCTCTCTTATAAAAGGTATCCGCAGGTCGAGATCCGCCTCAGCCGCGACAGCAAGCCCCAAAACACATGTCAGAATCTAATATGCCAATGTCAGATGGCCCCAAAACGCCATATATATAGGTATACTTACTCTTTCCGTGACGCTCCGTCGACGAAGCCACTTCTTCAGCAATCCACTTCCAGTACTTTGATATCGTGCCAGACGCTTTTCCAGACACCGGAAGAATGTTGTTCAATCTTACAACCCCGTCATTTCGAGCGGTAGGGTCATCGTTTCGACCGTGGTAGGGCGGAGGGAGCAGCATCATCTGGTCTTCAGCTCCATAGTCTGGGGGCAAATCCTCATCGGTATTGCCCATGGCGATGCTAGTTGATGTTGTTCGCAGGCAGTCTGACTGGAGAGCATTTGCTATTAAACCGAGCAACCTACTAGAGATGAAATCAGAGCTTTATAACCTGGCATTGCCCTGGCTAGGTTGTTACAGAAAAGGCAATGATAAGACCAAGTGGGTATATTCATGCGATTCTTTCATGCGAGGCCATACCTACTACTAGGGAGCAGCAAATGACTAGGCATATGTCTTTCTAGCCTCTCTTCTGAAACAGAGGAGTGTCTGCTCCTTTATATACAATCTTGCAGATTCAAAAATAACAAGCTGACCAAATAAGCCATTTCTATCTCCACCATTTAACAAGAGCATCTGCTCATCACCATGCTATTCACTGCACTCTTCACAAGTCTTCTCAAGAGGCTGCTTCGTCTCAACATCAAAATAGTGTAGAGAAACCATCGGCGCGCAAATCTATCGCCGAGCAGCTGAATTCATCCCACTTTATAAACTGCGCTCTCTTCAGCCCCTAGTCATATGCCAACTAAGCTTAAAAGGTATGCATCACGAGGCGTGCGCTATCTCTACGAATCTGCATATTGAATGTCAAGAATGAGGGGAAGGCTGGTCATGCTGCAGATGCCAAGCCGCTTGGCTATTGACTAGATTGACAAAGGAAAATGCGTCTCGCTGTTTGGCTGCCCAAATGTAAGCGTCAGCGTCACATTGGCTGTCCTCTGTGAAGCTGAACATATTTGGTAGCCATGTAGGTGGATGCATGACCATAGATTCCGATTTGATGAAGCAGCCATCTAAGCTTTGCAGGAAGCCACTCTAGCCGTGGGGGACTTGCCTGGCCAAGCGCGCATGTGCAGATATTCGAAGCGATGGGCGTCATGTTTAGCTGTGTTTAAGCTGACATGCAGTGGCCAAGTGTAAACTGCGGATATTTGCGCGTTTTTCTAGATAGTCATGAAGATGATTGATGCGACGGAATGGCTGGCCAAGGTAGTCGATGCTCGATGCTGATCCAACAATTGAGAGCTGGTTGCATTACCGGCTCTGGCCTGTCAACGTGCAGCTAGCTGATGGCCAACATTTGGTCAATACCTACCTATCGAATACCTGTACTTACATACAGCTCCTCAACTGCAGCTCTCTGCGCCAAGAGCACTCCCAAGCTCTGCGTTTGTATTGGAAAAACACGCCTGGTGACGCTCAATTTTGGGCAGTAAGCGATTGCAGACTGTCATCTAGCGAATTCAAGTGCCCTTGGATCCGAATTTGTATCAAGTTTGAATGCGACTGCGAGGATGAAGGCGTTGCCCATAGACTCGCGTATTCCATTGATAGTCGTACTATGCCGTGCTTCAAAGAAACCCACTTTTGTATACGCGCGGCCATGGAGAAGAAGTTTAGTAGCGACTGGAGCTGTGGCTAAATTGTCACTCATCGAGCGTTTTCAATAAAAGACGCATCCCAAGTAGCTGCCTCATCACGCTCCGGATGAACAGATGAAGCCAAGGCAGCCAGCCAAGGTTAGTGAAGCGATTCGAGATCCAGATTTGGCATCTCAAACATCCCAAAGTGTCGCCACTCGCCGCGTCGAGTTAGTGTAGCTAAAAATAGGACTGATTGGGTAGCGTGTTATGCGTTTAACATTGTTTCTCCGAGCGTCGGGCGATTAAAGAGTCTTGAGGTTTCAACATGTTTTGCCACGCGCTGCGACTGTGTCTGTTTGTACTGCGTGGGTATACTTGCAGTAGCGAGTACGCGGAATCGCAGAAACGCGACGGCGATGTGGGAACGGCAGCCAGCTGCTTATATGTGTGCAGCATCATCACGCGATTCGCTGGGCAGTGAGACATGTTTGGACTTGAGGGCGCCGACCCGCACATTGCCAACCTTGCACTTTGTGATAGACGAAGCGCCACCAATAGCATCGCTGTCCCCCAACTGAGAGGTAGTATTTGATGGCAAGTAACAAAGACCACAGTACAAGTATTAGGCCACCGTTCGTGATGGCGGGCGTCGCACAACCTAGTGCCAAACATGCTTTTCGCTGCCGCCATCTTTTTGGGCGAGATTTGCATGCTGTCAGCAGTCTGGAATTGTCGCAGGGAGCCTGCGGTCTGCTGGAGAGAGAATGGCTGCAGTCTGAGAAGCGCCCTTCGTGGCGCCAAAAAGCCAAGATGCTCGGCTCGACGGCCTCGGGCGAACTAGATGGACACAAGCTTGACAAGATTGCTGGTTTGGCCTGCCTAGTCAGGGACGACACTGCAGTTCGGCACTGTTGTGGGCTGCAATCCACTTCCTTGGCAAACCCTGTGGCCTCTATATCCAAGTACAGCACGGAGAACGGTAGCACGACCAGGATCTCCGAAAGCAAAGTCTAACTGAGCCAGGCGGTCTTGGCAAGCACTTGGAAACGTAGATCGCGACGCTTAAGCTGGCCTTGGCTGATGCTTAACCAGCCGCCCCTGTCCGTGGATACCAGCAGCAGTATGTACAGTAGGTGTACAATGTCTACTGTCGTCGTAGCGCAGTCGGCGTCTCCTTTTGCTGAACCAACAAGGCGGTAATATTCGACACCCTAATCAGCATTCGGGCAAAACATTGCTGCACTGTCCGCACTGGCATTAGTAGGCAGCGGCATTGTGGTATCACGGATGGGGAGAAATCAAAAGTACTGCCCGGTCCCTCCCCCTGTCGTCAACTTTTAGCTTCGACTGCCCTGTCACGGCCAGCGTCCATTTGCATTCTCGACGTTCTAGCCCCGACCTCAATCGTCGACCACGCTCGCGACGGAAAATGAAGGCTTCCATCTCTAGTCGACTCTTTGCGCTGCCCTTGGCAGAAGGCTTGAGTGCCTCGTCTCCTGAGTCAATGCCCCACGGCAGATTGCGCGGCTCTGTCGCCGATCGTTAAACCACACAAGGCAAATGAGAGACGCCAATGACGTGCAAAGAGAGGAAAAGTCTGTTCTGCTCTTCTTCAGTGGATCGTGGCTTGGATCCGCAGCCCCGCCAGACAGGGCAGGGTCCAAAACTTGGCTTTTTTATCGCGCGCCCCGTTTCTGATTCTGCATCGCGCCGCCTCGAGCGTTACAGGATGGCGGCGATCGGAGCAATGCGTAATATCAAGAGATACACTGTATGGAGATGGAGGACAATAGAGCAGGATTAAGAACTCAGGGGGACATGGTTTGGTGAACAGCTGCAACGAGCGGGCGAAAAGTGCGGCTTTGCTGCTTCTGCTTTCGTTTCGGCGCGACATTCCAAGAAACATGTTTTGGCTTTGGCTTTGGCTTTTGCTTTGGCTTTGGCTTTGGCTCTGGCTTGCGGCGTTTAGGCAAGGCGAAGCAAGTTTCCACACGCCATGCGGACGGAATACATATCTCGCGCCAGCCATCTCAGCCATCTCAGCCTCGACATCACGTCAAGATGATTGATAGGCAGGAGACGAGATGCTCCATGCAGCTGTAATCTTGGCCCCTGCATCCGCCTGCTCGCCTATCAAAGCAGGCCTCGTCTGTTCAGCGGTCAACGAGGCAGAGCAACTGTGTCTGCAGGTACAGAGACTAGCACATCAGTGAGTACAGTGAGCTGCAGAGTCGCAGATTGTCGTACAAATACCTTCTCGCACAGTATCAGTCCTGCTCCAGGGAGCTCAGGAGTTGCTCGATGCGAGCGCTCTGACGAAATGAGACCCCGTCCAACCGTCCCGCTCTTGGCATGGATTTACGGGCATTGCCCGCGGGGACCCAGCGATCAACGGTCGCCCAGGGGCTTTTAGCTGGCACATGGTGGAAAGAAAGGGATCCACAGGCGTGATACTGTAGCATAGCTGTACTCGAAATACTCGAGAAGGGATGAGATGAAGATACAGTAAGAGACGTCCAAGAGCAGCAGCGCGCACGTGATAGTATAACAGAGGAGTGCTTATCGGTGCACAGATACAAGAAGAGGGAAAAAAAGACCAGCTGGCAGGCACTGGCAGAGCACAGGAACAACTTGCTGCCCCTGATTCCGGGCACTGTGCTCCGGCGTGTAGCATCGCATGGATATGGCAGGTGAGCATTTTGGGAGCCATGCTAGCCCGTAGACGGAGTCGAGAGTTTATCTCAGCGGTGTAGTGGCCATGTATTTCCTGGGACTATTGATTTGTTTGATGTTGGATATGCCCATCTTAGTGGTCAGCAAATACTAGTAGTTGGAGGCACCGAGCAGTGGTGCGGGCAAAAAGCTTGATGCAAACAGACATTCGGCCCGTGCTCTCGTCAAATCTCGGCGGGCCAAGCCACACGAGCGAGGCTGGCTAAAGGAATTCCAGAAGCCCGGATTTGGAGAGCTAAAGTGAGGACATGTCTATACTTGTACGATAAGGCGAGTGCGATATAGACTACGGGGCTGAAGAATATAGCAAATCACCTGCCTTACTGTACACTCAAAGTTCTGACCTACTACTACTAGTGGTAGGTACAGAATATAGCATCAGCATGCGGCGTCAGTTACATACCTACAAGATACCCAAGACTGCCTGGGATCAAACTCAGCACAGCTCGCAAACTGTTTCTGCGAAAATCCAATGGATGGCATGTCACTTCAGCTGGCTTACCTGTATCTCACCACTTGCAGCATCACTCATTGCGCAGTAAATCCAGGTACAGTACATACAGTATGTGCTACACCTCGACGTTGAAAATAGAGCACAGTGCCCAAACCAGTCTCAAACGGAGTACTCCGCCTGAAGCTCAGTGTGTGGTACATGTACCTACAGCCTGGCACATCTCCACAGCATTTCCGCTGCAGCTGCAGCCCTCCAAGTCCCTCTACCTCGGCCGCCTTGTACCTCAGCTGGCCCTCTGCCCATGTCCAGGTCCCCAAACAGGCCCCCACCAAAATCTTCCATCTCCATCCCATCCATCCATAATCCATCCACACCCACCTCAATGACAAGCCAAAATCCCTGCCGCAATTCCACCCTCAGCGGACCCTCTTTTTATACCAGACTGGCAATTCCTTTGACTCGCTGTGCTACTCCGGCCTGGCCACCGTCTCCTGCCTTATGGCTTGAGCTCCCAGGCCAGTTGTTACACCAGGCCGTTTTCAACTCCTCTTCTCTTCTCCCCATCAACTCGTTTCTTCATTCTCTATCCTCTCCTCCTCTTCCATCCTCGCCGTTCCCTCCGTCCCTCGCTGATCCCTCGCAGTCGAATCTGCCGGATCGTAATCGTCCTATGTAGGATTTGGTTTGCGGCGGCTGTTTGCGTGTTTGCTTGCTTTCCCTCTTGTTCCCCAACTCGAACCAAGCTCGGCTTGATTGTGTCACTCTTTTGCCCTTCGCCTCTTTTTCCAACCCGCGGAGCCTCGTTTGCATCGCCCGCTCGCCTACGCCTTACCACCCACTTGCTCATTCACCACCGATCATTACACTCGCTTCGTATCACCCACAGATCGACTCTCAACTCTCAGCACGACTTCGCCCGCTCCTGGGCCATAGCTGAGAAGAGGCCTTTGCGCCAGAAAGCAACGCTTTGTTTGCTGGCTTTCGCACCAAACACGGGCCTCCCAGTCCACATCTCACGTCAGAATACAATCCTCGACTATCTTTGGCCTCTCTAGCATGGGCGCCAAACTGCCGGGCCCCCATCGAGTCATCACCATGAAGAGTCCAATCGTCCGGTCGATACTGGGCGCCTTGTGCGTTTTCTTTATTCTCATGGCCACCCTGCGCAACGACAGCCTCCACGTCAGCTCCAAGATCCTCGAGCAAGCCGGCGCAAGGACAGGAGCAGATTCACACGCCAAGAACCAGCAGCCTCTCGAAAACAAGACCACCGAGCAGTCCAGTGCTCCCAAGGTCAACATCAAGTTGGACTGCAACGCTGACCTAGACCACCTCAAGCAAATCAAAGACCGCTACCAGCTTGAAGACAGATTCCAGTACATGAAGCGCTACGTCCGATTCACCCGCAAGGATGGCCTGGAGCGCAAGCGGATGACCAAGCTTTCACAAAAGCTGCTGCCCGATAGCTTTCGGACCATTGAGCTGGGGAAACGGCTAGGCGGAGGCGATGTCTGTGCCGCCCCCTTGGAAGTCGAGGTCCCTGCCTCTGGCTACCCTCGCAGCGTCGACGCCTCCGGCTTCATGTTTGGTGTGTCGACCACCTACAAACGCTTCTTGGACCCAAACACGACGCCCATCAACGAGTGGATCTTTTGGCTCACCGACAACCACGGCAACTCCAACGGCGGCAAGCTGCTTCTCATGCTTCTCGACGCCACCGACGACCAGCTTCAAGAAGTGGCCAACATGCTGGGCGATGTCGGCATTGACGTCGACGTCTATCACTCCAATTCGTCCGTCGAGATGGCTGTCCGCTATCTGACTCTCGTTCCGACGCTCTACACCCACCCTGACGCGGCAAGCAAGAAGTGGCTGGTGACTTGCGACGATGACACCTTCTTTCCCAACATGCACGGCCTCATTGAGAAGATGGCGACGTTTGATCATACCAGAGACATGTACATCGGCACCTTGTCCGAGGACGTGGGCGCCATTGAGCGTCACGGCTCACAAGCCTTTGGAGGAGCCGGCGTTTTCCTGTCTCGGTCCATGGCTGAGAAAATCACCAGCCTATACGGCAGCTGCACCACGCAAGCAAAAATCCTCGAGTCCAACTCTGGCTGGGGTCCTCAGGGAGACATTATCCTGCGCAAGTGCATCTACGAGAATACAGAGGTCCGTTTGACCACTCTCTGGGATCTCTGGCAACTCGATTTCTTTGGCCACCCCAGCGGCTTCTACGAATGGGGAATCAAGCCGCTTTCGCTGCACCACTACCGCGGTGGAGGCTGGCACTCTGCCAAGCCTGGCCAGTACACCAAGATTGCCCACGCTTGCGGCGAGGATTGCTCCCTGATGCGCTTCCAAACGACCGACGACTTTATCATCTCGGGCTACTCCATTTCCCACTATCCAAAGGGCATCACCTTTGACACCAACCAAATGGAGGCTACTCTGTACGCGGCGCCGGAAAACAAGGGCTGGAACCTTGATTTCATGTTTGGACCGCGCCGACAGTCACTGCTAAAGACGGGCCGCAAGATCTCCTGGGAGCTTCAAGAGTCCGAAGTCCAATCGGATGGTTCCGTCCTGCAAACATACACGCGCAAGAGGGATGACGAGAGATGGGTCCACGCCGACAAACAGCCGATGAGCAATATCGATGGCGTCATTGAGCTTGTTTGGATCCCATCATAAAGAGGGAAACCCTGACTCGAGGCGACATTGTACACCCCACGATCGGCACTACCTCAGTTTACTCCCCATGTCTAGAGGAGAGGCTGGTAACGTTGAACAGATCTGGAGGCGGTTTCTTATTAAACCTCCGAGTGTCACCGTTTATGCTCACTCTGGTTGGCTGTGCTACCTAGCAGTACAGCATTGTCAGACTGTAGGCTACTTTCTTTTCTCAATAAAGGGAGGGCCTTTATGGCGCAGCACATTTAGGACAGGCGGCGAGGACAAACGACCGTTATAAAGCCAGCGGTGAACTTGAAACCCTCTCAAACGCAATTTTTTTGATTGAAAGCTCGCTTCTTTTTTCTTCTTTGTCTTACTTTTTTTTTTTTTTCCCCAAGGGCTGGCGTTCCGGAAATGGGCTGGATATCATCATCTACTTGTATCTCGTGTAATCGAATCGGGAACCAAGGCCTAGTCGCGGGACACGGAGCAAACACTCAGGCTTTATGTGGTAACTAGGTACTCGGAGGTTTCTCCGTTTAGGTGGCCAACCCGGATGAAGCTACGATTCTCTTTTGAACCGGCTTTTTGTGCTTCAACTTTTTGTTTTCTACTTTTCCCTTCTTTCTTCATCTCGGAGCATGGGTTTGGGATGTATGTCATGTAGATTTTGTTGGCTTTGGTGATGTCGGCCTAGTGCAGCGCCGCATCGCTTTGACTTATATGATGCAAGATGGCTTTGGGGCTATTGACTGGCCGGAAGGAGGCAAGCCGGCCGTATTATAGACCCGAATACTCCTGATTAATGGAGAAACATAGACAATGATACGCTACACATTCAAGAATGCGGGCTTTTGTCGTGACGATCTAATACATCCTTGTGCCATTTTCATTCAGTGTCCAAGTGCAGGGTACACAGTGTTGCTGAGTCAGCCGCGCCCCTCGATGGTACCTATCCGGCAAATGCCCCGCCAACCAGCAAAAGGTGCCAACACCAAGCCTTTATTATGTCATGATGGCTTTGGCGCTTCCTTTCTACAACATTCGCTATTCGCAGTCCCCGAAAAGTCTGTCTTACCAACGGCGGCCCGGCGCCCACCATGTCTACGTATGGCATATTCAGTGTCTGTCCATTCTCTGCCTCGAGCGTTGTGCTGACAGCTTTTTGCAACGCAGCCCATCAAACAATATCCTAAGCATCCCGTTCCGCCGGTCCCTGCAACTCTCTCTCTCGACGACGATCCGGCAGTACATAAACACCAAATATGACCAGCACCCGGACATGTTCCAGCACGATCTGGAGATGATTGACGCGCTGCGGCGAGACGCCACCAATGTGCGAGAGCCGCATCTCAGCGGCATCAAGAAGCTCCAGGTGTATGCGGGACAGCTCGTGTGGATAGGCGGCAAGTTTCCAATCGACGTGCGTCACTATCGCCATGCGAACTGCTTTTTTTTTTTTTTTTTGAAAAAACGGCGCGGAAAGGGACAAGGACGAGGGGAAGATTATATGCTATGCTATGCCTTGGGTACTGACTACTTGGATCCTCTAGATTGGCGCCGAATTCACCTGGTATCCCGCTCTTGGCTACCACACCGAGCGGCCGATGGCGCGCAACAACCTCAAATACGAGCTCATGAACATTCTCTACAACCTTGCCGCGCTTTACTCCCAGCTCGCCCTCAACACGCCTCGAGGAGACACCGAGGGTCTGAAAGCAGCGGCAAACTACTTCTCCCTGGCCGCAGGCGTCCTCTCGCATGTCCAGAAAGCCGTGCTTCCCGAGCTGCGCATGTCGAACCCGCCCGACGATATGGACAACAACACCCTTGAATCCCTCGTACAGCTCTTTCTGGCGCAGAGCCAAGAGTGCTTCTGGCAAAAGGCTGTCATGGACGGCTACAAGGACGCCTCGATTGCGAAGCTGGCAGCAAGAGTCTCGGACCTGTACAACTTGGCCGCGGATGCCGCGGTTAGTAGCGAGGCCATCAGCAGCGCGTGGATTCATCACATGAATGCAAAGCATCACCACTTTGCCGCCGCCGCTCAGTACCGCGCCGCGTGCGATTGCCTAGAGAAGAGAAAATACGGAGAAGAGATTGCTCGGCTAAAGGACGCTGTCATTTGCGCCAATGACGGTATCAAGGAAGGTCGGGTTGCGTCGCTGAACAAGACGGTCCTGGAGGACCTACAGGCTTTGAAGCGCAAGCTGGAAGAAGACTTGAAGAGGGCGGAAAAGGACAACGATTTGATCTTCCTTAGTATGTCATCGCCTCATTTTGCTTTGGGTATCAGCGCTAACACATATCAAGACCCTGTGCCTCCAAAGGCCGAGCTGAAGATCCTAGAGAGGGCCAATATGGCCGCCGCGAGAACGCCCCTCCATGTAGCCAATCCTCTCGACTATCTGAGTGATCATGGGGAGCTTGGGCCAGCGCTTTTCTCGAAGCTGGTCCCGTTTTCGGTTCACGTTGCTATATCCATCTATGAGGAACGCAGAGACCGAATGGTGAACCAGAACATTATACAGGAGCTGGAGACTCTTACAGAGAAGATACATACACTCCTTAGCACCATTGGCTTACCTGGATCCCTAATGGCCTTGGAAAAGCCACTTGGTCTTCCACCGAGCTTGATTCAGCACGCAGAGGAGATTCGACAGTCTGACGCGATAAACAAGATTCAGAGAAGCCTACTTGACATTGACAAACTGCGAGCCAACGACTGGGCGATATATGAGGAGGGCAAGGCAGCGCTAGCGGCAGAGAAAGAGGAGGATGACCAGTTGCGCAAAAAGCACGGAACCAGCAGATGGCTGAGACCCGAGAGCCAAGTCGATCCCAATGGCTCAAAGTTTTGGGCTGCGATTACCGAAATCGGAGGCTACTTTCAAAACAGCGCAACCAGCGACGATGCTGTGCGTGACAAGTTCATCACAAATAAAGAGATGCTAGAGATTTTGTCAGGCTCAAACCAATCTTTGATGAATTACGTGCCTACAAGTACGCCTATTGAGACTTCAAGCGATCTGAAAGCTTCTGTTGGGCGTGTGCGAAGTGTTTATAATGATATCCTTCGAATGGAAAGCAAGAGGAGAAGAAAGGTTGAGACTTTACGGGAGGCTGTCCGGCGCGACGATATCAAACCTGATATTCTCAAAGAAGCAGCTCGTCTTGAACGCACATATACCACGACGCCCTTGCAGACGGTTCATTTTGAAGAGTTTTTTGAAAAGCGGCTAGACAAGCTCTACGAGCCCGAGATTGAAGCCATTGAACAGGAGGCGCAAGACCAGGAGAATCTTTTGCTGCAGCTTCAGCGCTCCAACAGAGAATTTGAATCGCAGAAGCGTCTCGTTGACGGAAAAGGCCATCGTGAGCGCGAGCAGGTGTTACAGGAACTGAACGGCGCGTACTTCAAGTACAAGGAAATTGGCAATAACTTGGAAGTGGCAAGAAAATTCTACAACGATCTCAATAGGATCGTTGCCAACGGTTTTCGGGACCCTGTCAAAGCGTGGGTATCGGAGCGACGGATGGAGGCGAGGAGCCTGGAAGAGTGAGTACCATTGGAAAATTGAGATGTTTTGTTAATGTTTGATTGATTCGAGGCTAATCAAGGCGTTTACAGGGAACTTAATATGCCGACGTTGTCGAGTCTCAACATCCATCATAGCCAGCAGCCTGTTCGCAATCCTTCGCCAGGATACACATCGCCGCCTGTCGCCCACAACCATCAATTTGCCCCGCAGCAGCAACAGCCACAGTTCCAACAGTCGTATCAGCAGGCATACCAGCAGCAGCAGCAGCCGCCGCATCAACAGTATCAACAACCGCTACAAACGCAGCAACAGACCACATTTCCTAGACCTGCGGCCCAGAGTCCCGCGGAGGCATCGATTCAATCTTGGGCCGGGGGCGCAATGCAACAGCAGCAGATGCCGCCTCAGCCGGGGCAGACGCAGTCAAGCGCAACGCCTGGAACGTGGAACCCATCCATGGGAATCAAGTTTGGAGGGCCGCCGCCAGCGGGAGGACCTCAAGGCCAAGAGGGAACATGGAGTGCCAGCTCGGGGATTCGATTTGGCTGAGACGGATGCATACTTGGAATGGCGCAATTATGCTTGGGATGATGAAACCGATCTATATATATCATGTCTGTGTATGAATAGTGCTTGGGGAATATTGATGTGTTTGTTTGAAGTTTCAGGTCGTTTGGATGCATATAGGCGGAGTGTTGGAATGGTTGAGAAGCGACGATGATGCGCCATCTCATAGACACGTATGATGAGACTTGTTGACTCCAACGTTTGGTCTAGATTAGATACATGTCGTCTAGATGCATGCACAGAAGAAGACGGTTGAAGTAGATGGCTAACACATATATGAGAATATGACCTGTCTTCACGAGACGGTCAAGTGAAGGAGACTGTTGTTAATTCAACAATGTATCTTTCTACTGTAGTAAGAACTTGGCCGTGATTGGTGCAGTGTCTTGAGCCACGTTTCAACCCAAACATATCCAGGGAGGTGCACAAATTCATCTCGAAAGACCATGAAGACATGCGTGACTAAGAAAGGCTTACGGGGTAATTGAAATGTGCAGTATCCTAAATCGTAGCAGTCCTACTCGTGGTCTCACAAATGAATTAGTGCCAGTCCCTTGCAGGCGAGGCCCCTCGTTGCGACTTAGCATGGCGCGTGTCTCAGCATTGGAAACGAGCTTATTGTTATACATTCCTTGTGATTTCCGTGGACTGAAATATGCATTCTTGCATTGAATATGTTACTGCCGATCCAACAGCATATATAGAATGAAGCATAGCATCGTCGAGATCGCCATTCCTCTTACACAAACCGAAAAAATGGATCGACAATGATGGAAATTGAGTCCATGGCGGATACAGATATAAATTCAAGAATATCCCATCCATAGAGACATCGAGAACAACCAGACGAGGCAATCCAATCCAATCCAATCCACTCATTATAGAAATCATCATACAAAGACGCCAACATGAAATTCACAGTCGCCACCGTCGTCTCCCTCCTCGCAGGCAGCGCAATTGCCGCGCCTACAGAGATGAAGGCCAACAAGGCAATCGACATGTCCGCAGGCGCCTCTCCCGTTGCCAACATGCGTCTGGCCGACATGTTCAGCAAGCGCCAGATGGCCGTGCTCAAGGTCCTCTCGGAGCACCAGCAGGAGCTGGGCATGAGCCAGGCGGAGAAGGACATGCTGGATGCCTTTATGGCTGCGCTCCATGACGAGGCTGCTGTTAATGTCAAGAGACAAGAGCCACTTCCGGTTCCAGTTTCTACTCCGACTTCCGTCCCGGCTGCGGTTACGGCTCTTACTCCTGCCGTTAATGCCACTCTTCTGGGCAGCCTTGGAAGTGCTTTGGACGGGGTCAAACCTGATGATGCTGGAGCTCCGACTGACGTCGTCGGCGCGGTTGGAGATGCTGCGTCTGGCGCTGCTGATACTGCTGTCGATTCGGCCACGGATGTGCTCAGCATCTTGAAGAATATCCCGGGCTTGGCGGGTCTGCTGGGAAATGCGACGGGTGCTCTTGGGGGAGCTACCGCTGGGCTGGGATCTGCGACTTCTGGGCTTTCTGGACTTACTGGCGGCCTTGGAGGATTGACTGGAGGATTGGGAGGACTGACTGGAGGATTGGGGGGTTTGACGGGTGGTCTTGGAGGACTGCTTGGCGGTGCTCGCAGGGGCGGCCTTTTGGGCGGCATTCTCATCCCAGGCATTTTGTAAGATCATTGTCTTTTTTTGGTGGTTGACGGACAAGGAAAGAAGATTTTGCGCTAGAGTATGCAGGGAAGAGAGAAAAGGGAATGGGTTTACGAGGTGGAGGGATGTTAATGAGAGTAATCTGGACTAATATAGGATAATGGCACTATCTTGGGTTTGTTGGATATTGTTCCTGGATGTGACTTGCTGGGTATTATTTTGATGCCAGAGCTGTGTAATCCTATGAGACTAAATCGCTCAATTGAAAGCTGAAGTGAGGTTTGGTTCGTTCGATTCATTAATCATATAAACCGCTAAGCATGCCGCTTCTGCGCGAAACCTTGAGATACCAAGGACCTTTTGCCACATCAGTCTTTTCACTCAGAACCAGGGAATTAGGATAACCTGAGGTATTGAAATGAGAGAAATACTATGAATCCATCAAAGCTCTAAATAGCTTCTGCCAAGGGACCAATGCTCAGCCTTACTTATACTCTCGTCTATGAATATGAAATCGGTTATCATCTACCAAAGAGACATTCTCTTCTAGTCCACGTTCAAGTTTATAGTTTATATAAGCCCCCTAGCCAGTCGGCCAGCATCGCCACCATTTCTTTCGTGCAGCTATGCCCCGTGTTTTCCTGCACAAACAGCCTGGCCTTGCTTTGGTTCGAGGACACGTCTCCACTCAGCATGGCTTTCCTTCTTTCCAGCCATGCCGATGTATACCGCGAAGGAACCAGTTTGTCGTATTCGCCGTTGCACATAAAAACTGGTATATCGGTAGGGAATTCTTCGAGTATCCTCTTGTCGTCTTTGCGAGTCAGTTCGGCCAGCGCTCGTGGCCACCGTCTTCGCTGCTGCTCGTTCATGACCTTTTCTAGCTGATTGTATTCAACTGTTTCTAATTCTTCCCCCTGTACGCCAAATACTGCGGCGTCGATGCCTAGACGCTCGAGGAGGAGAGACGTCAGGTTTGGACACCCGACAACCATTCCGAAAGCCTCGATTTGGCCTTGTGCGGCCAGGGCCATGCGCCAAGCTGTGTGGGCCCCTAGTGATACGCCAAGCATGATGTTGTGGAATCGAGTGAATTGAGAGAGATATGCTGGTAAAAAATCGAGAACGAGCTTGAAGTCTTGGGTGGCTCCGGAGATCATGGATATCAGGTCCATGCTGTATACACCAAGATGTGTCTTAGCAACCTTGAACAGACCAACAGGGAAATATTTAGATAAAAAATATCGATTCGATGAGCTCCATGACTTACGCATGATTGTCATTGCCACCTGACCAAGTCAAATTTGCATCGCGACTGACCTAGATAATTCATCATGTTAGTTGCCGTCTTAGGATATAGCACAGCAGATGATCCATACTTGTCGATCTCCATGGTTCCTCATGTTCATGGTAACAGCAATCATCTCAATTCTTTTCCTTCTTCCGTCATTCCTATACCTATGCAATATCTCATGCGCAATGCCTTCTGTCACCAAGTACGTTCTTGTCCGGTTGTGAGCTAGATACAGCACTCCCACGTCCACTCCGGACTTTTGCTTGAGCTCCTCCAAACCATAGACATAGATGATCACGCCACCTATTGCGATGGATGTTTTGCTGGAACGTGGAGTCGTGCTTGGAAGAGAGAATCGTGGTTCTAGGCCATCTGGTGTAGTGCTTGGAGAAGGCAGTGAGTCTGACATGATGGCTTGGCTTTTTTCGCTGCAATCGAATAGACAAGAGGCTAGAGTGCCAAGATAAATTTTTTTTTTTTTTAGAAAGAGGGGAAATAAAAAGGTAATAAAATGCGGCTTACGAATAGCTCACTAACATTTAATTCATTTATTCTTTCTTGCAGTAAGGGAGACGGCCATGTCCAAGTCGATCCTAATGAAGGAAACGCTTACCCGGCAATTATCTGCCGGACACTGCCTTTTTAACCGGCAAGCAAGGGAATTCGGTAGATTCGGCAAATTCGGTCAACTCCAGGAAATACGCCGCTACTGGAATATTGACACTACTGCGTTGACAGCTGAGACATGTTGGAATTCGACTAGTGCCACGCACCCCATACAACGTGATCGGCATCTGAGATTAAGTATAGGCCCTTGCTATACTATGATATATCAAATGTACACATGCTAATTGAATGTTTTTGGTTCTCTAGGCTAAATCAAAAGGTCGTTGAGAACTTTATTACGTAGGATAAAATAGGTAAATAAAGCATGAATACATGTATGCGATAGCTATAAGCAATAAGATAGAATGCATTTTTATTTACAAAAGTATGCTGTACTTTTTCTTCGTATGTAAACTAATCAACTCATCCCCTTGCCCGCACTCTAAACTTCAGAAACCAGATCCCAAAAGTTTAAAGGGTGCTGCTTGAAGAATTCCATAATCATCGGGGTGGCATTGAAGCTCGCAACATGATGTCCCACGGCTAGGTTATCCGGATTTGGTTCAGTACTCGGCCAATCGTGTCCGATGGTTGCATCATATACATGTTCGACCATGCCAAAGTGGACTCCCGTTCCAAACTTGTATGATATAGTGTTCGACGCCACCTTGGTTGTGACATTGTGTAGGCCAAGTCCGTCTCGCACAGCCCATTGTTGAATGAAGTGCGGAATCGATGGGAGACATTCGTTCTTGCGCTCGCCGCCGTCGTAACTGATTGTTGTGTCGTTGCCGCCATGGAATTCAAGAAGTGGAATGTCGTTTCTGCCAGGCTGGCACGGGATGGGCACAGTATCGGGCTCGCAGGGCAGCGTATCGATGTAGTAAGCCCCAGAGACCGGGGCAAACGCTGCAATGCGGTGAGACATTACGGGGTCGCAGGCCAAGACATTGCAGAAGCCACCGCCGTCCGACTTTCCGGTTGCATAGATACGGGAAGGGTCAATACAATATTGGCTCTGGACATGGTTGAGGATGTCTGTGGTGAACTGAACGTCGTTTATCTTGACGCCCGGAACGCCTTGCCATGTTTCCTTGGGTCTGTTAGTTGGTACTGTCACAGTAGCCGCAACTTTACGTATTCGAGATACATACATTGAAACCTTGGGGATAGATTACAAACGTATCCGTGTTAAATTTGGGATTCGTCAATTGATCCAATTCTAGTTGATCCTCAGGATTTCGGTTGCCACCATGGTACGACAAGATGGCAGGCGTTGGAACCTCTGCCCGGTAGGTTGGTGGAATGGAGATGAGATAGTAGCGCGACAATCCGCCGCTTGTAATCGTTATGTTGGCAACTTTCCCAAGCGCTTGGCCACGAGGTAAAGCTTTAAGACATCCTTCTAGTGGGATTAGCGAAGAGCCCTTGGTTATCACCAAGGCTTCAACCAACCCAGTTAAGAATGCAGCCTTGAGCCACAACATTGAGCCAACGATTTAGAGACAGGTAGATTCCTAATTGGGAAGAAGAAACAATAAGACAATGAAACAAACTTTCCACTGACGTCAATTGTCTCAGCGAATTGCCCATTTTATATACAATTGCATTCCAGTCCAAAAGGGCATTTACCCCTTGAGCCCCTATATGTTGGACATACGAGCCGTCTGAACCGGCCAAGGCTGATCAATACTGTCTGGATCATGAGATTCTGCCGATTTTTGCCTATTATTTTTAGCCAAGACCGAATTCACCGCAAGTATTAGCTCATTGTCCACATTTTACGAGCTATCACGCACTAGACTTTCGTGTGTAGAAGCCAAGTTGTGAAGGAAGCTTGGCAATATCGGCCGGAAAGTCGGCAAACTAGCTTGGATACGCGCTATTGGTTTCTAGAATCAGCCACTACGCATGGTTCGGTGTGGATATGGCAAAATTAATCTGTCTTCATCTTCTCAATTAACAATACATCAGACTCTAACGCTGTAGAAGCATAGCCACGACGTTGATTGGTAAGAGCGTTCCGGTATATCATAGTGTTGCCCGATTTAGAACTGCGCATATGATTCTTAGTAATCTCGGACAAGTAAGCACCATGAGCATGAATTTATAGAACGAGACTTGTGTATTTCTCCTTGATACTAGGTTTATGTTTTGTAGAAGCGATAATTGACATAGCTGTTGTAGGAGTAAAAACTAGTAGCTTAAAGTACATATCTAAACTCTTCGTTTTGCATATCCGTAAGATCCTCAGCAATAGAGTGCAGGCCCCTCGGCGAACCAGTTTGCTGATCCCTCTTATTGTTTTCTCTACGCAGAAGGAAATACGTAATAGACGCAATGACTACTACACCGCATAAACAGACAAAGCTTCCAACAAACCCCGCGTGATAAATTGGCCCTGGTGATGCACCAAAAATGACGGGGCCAATGACATTTCCGACACAGTACCCAACGAAAGTTGACGCGCTGACAGTGGATTTTTCTGGGAAATGGTAAGATACTGGGCTTTCATTTACAATATAAGTGGAGGAGAGAACTTACTAGTATGGCCTGCCATGTTTGATGCTGCTAGAGAAACCGCAAGACCACCAGAGGCAACTTGCACGGCAATCAGGAAAATGCCCGCAAACAACAGCCCTCGGTTGTCGCGGGGCCCAAACCAACAGATGAGAGTTCCGGCAATAGAGATTAAGCCGCAGACGACAATGAGTAGATAGCGCGTATTATTCCATTTCCGCGTGATGTAGCCTGAAAGAAGGATAGAGATGGCGGTAATCGCGCCAATGGGGCATGTGAGAGCCAGGGAGTCAAAGTGGTCAAAGCCGAAGCCGTTGATGACAATGGTTCCAAAAGTTCCAATAGCACCTGATGGCACACCGGTAAGAAGCACGATGAAGAAGCAGCTGTAGAGCTTGTAGTCGCGGAAAGCCTCGAAAAACTGGTCCTTGTTGAATTCGTGGTTGATGGTACCAGCGTTGTTTCGCTCCAGCCGACGAATGGCGATGAGTCTCTCAGCGTCGGTCAAATGCTTGCTGGTCATGGGATTGTCTGGAAGGAAAAAGAAGAGAACAATGGACCATAGAACCGTGACGCTGCCGAGGATGAGGAAGATGGGCTTCCAGGAAGGAAGAGATGAATGAATCTGGCCCAGGCCGTAATTGATAAGCGGAGAGATGGCCGTGGCAACGCCCACACAGCTGTACCAGAAACCGGTTCTCAAAGCCTGCTCCTCTCTCGTCCACCAAAAAGTGACCAGGACAGTGAATGAGGGCGCGACAGCCGATTCGAGGAAGCCAAGAAAGAAGCGGTTCAGCATGATGCCCGCATAGTTGAAGCATCCGGCCGTAGACATGAGGACAACTCCCCACAAGAAAGTCGCACACGACACCACGCGCGACGTTGAGTAGTGTTGTGACAGAAACATCATGGGATATGTGCCAACGAGGTATCCAATGTAGAAAATCATCGACGCATTGGCGTATTTTTGGTTGTTGGTGATGGGAGTCCCATTAGGCTCATGACCAACAATCGTGGTAAGCTTCAGATCTGCATTGAAGTTGAACTGCGTCGCAGCACTCATGACGCCCTTGTCGTAGCTTTGCAGCGTATATGTTACCATCATGAGGGGGACGATCCTGTCAACTTGGGTGAGAACCAGGCCACATCAATTGTAAGCTGTGAAGAAGGATAATATCATACCAGAAATCGAGTTTGCGTATAAGTCGCTTCTCTTCCTCGGGAGTAAATGGATCATTACTCGGTTTCATATTGGCAGCATCTTCCTCGACCTTTTCAATCTCCTCCGCCCCATCAATCTTTGTTTCATCAACAGCTTCCATATCGCGAGGCTCCATGTTCATAGAGTGATCTGCTGAGTGGCTGTCTTGCTGCATGATACCGATCGATCGTGATGCTCCAGACTTTTGCTGCTAAGCGATGAAGAGGTTTTATAACATTGATTCGCTAGGTAGCGTCTGGCTCAACAAGGCTGACTCCGTCTCGGCAAAGTTAACAACACAAGGAAAATAGCGGAATTGTGTCTATTATGTCCACCCCCGCTCCTCTCCTTGATGGGATACCATGTTGCCTGCCATTCGGGAGAACGTGAAAGGAGAAAACTCGTGTTAGACCGCCACAGAATCATCAGCAATCGAACGACAGACCAAGATTCTTAATTGCCGAATTAGCCGCTCTAGCTCGCAACATTGTTCGTCTTCCGGCGCCGAAAAGATGGGGTTTGTGGGGTAGCTCGGATCCTTCATCCGGGGTAAAAAGTAAGCTGGATCGGCTCCCTGCATTCATCTTCGTTTTCTGCCGAACGGCAAACTTGTTCCCCAGACATTTCCTCGTCTTTTACCGATCATGGAATCTGGGGATGGCACTTTTGTCTCTCGGCTCAGCAGCAGCAACGCATGGGGTACCGACAATGCGGGCGTAGTTGCTCCGCGAAATCGCTCACGCGTTGCCTGCCAGGGCTGTAACCAGCGAAAAGTGCGTTGCGATGTGGTTCACAGTGGCGGTAATCCGTGTTCAAACTGCCAACGCGATGGGGGGTCTTGCGTCGTTCTTCCTCGGAAAAAGCATCGGTAAGTAGAAGAAGATCAGTTGGAACAACTCAACCAAGACATATTGACGCTTGTGACTCGATTTTCATTAGGCCTCGAAGAAAAAAAGGCGAAGTACTTGCGTTACGGGATATAAACCGAGATGGGTCTGGAACTTTACACTCAAAGACTGCCCCTGGCAGAATGCTAGAGCACCATATTGATGCAACGCAAGGTAGAGTCATTTCGGAACTCCCTGGTAGTTACGCTCTCTTGACGTCAGGGCCAGAGTCTAACCTTGCTGCCGTGAACATAGATGATGATTATGGCCAAGCTGTGACGGAGGCTGTTTCGACAGAAGACACCTCAATTACTTACATCGGTAAGCATGACTCTCTTCTCTGCCAAGAGTCAGGACATGCAGAGCATAAGAAGAAAGCTTATAATATGCCCTTAGGTGATAGACGAGGCCCGCGTCACTCTGTATATGACCTTTGTCACCCCGAATCTCCTGAAGAGTCTTTGCATATGCTCTCTAGTATATCCGCGGCAATATCTCACAAACCTCACGAGCTGGAATACATGCGCCTCCAGGGCGTCTTTTCCAAACTTCCAGACGATGTGTGCGACGAGCTAGTGCGATGCTACTTTCAGCATGTCCACTTCTTCCTCCCTATCATCGATGCTCCTGCGTTTCTCAACGAGTATTGTAGTAATGGTTCCCGCAACGTGAGCTTGCTGCTGTATTGGAGCATGCTCTTGGCCGCAGCAAATGTGAGTCTGCCTTCTCATCTCAAACATATGTGCAGATACTTATGTGATGCTTCTTTATAGTTTGTTGATACAGACGTCTTGCAAAAGGCAGGTTTCACCAGTAGGAAGGCCATGAAAACCGCCATGTATGAACGTGCCAAAGTGAGTCGTCCAACTCTGAGCCACGGTAAGTTCAATTACAGCTCGTGCTAAGCCGAAATAGTGTCTCTACGATGTCGACCGAGGAAGTGAAAAGCTAGTTCTCATCCAGTCAGTCATTCTATTGGGGTTTTGGTATACCGACCCCCAAGACCACACTGGATCCTGGTATTGGATAGGGATTGCCATTTCTCTAGCCCAAAGCATTGGCCTCCACAGATCTTCTCGCCTGAGAGGGCGTGCACAGAAGCCTCTTTCGACTGCACGAGAATCTCTGATGCGGCGCATATGGTGGGCATGCGTTGTCAGAGATCGATGGGTATCTTTGGCTCGGGGGCGTCCAATGCGCATTCACAGTGAAGATTGCGATACACCATTTCCTGTGGCAGAGGACGTTTTGAACGAGCTAGAATCTGTTGGAAGCCCAGAGAGCGCCAAGTTTATCCCCACCGACTCGAGAGCTCTGACTGAGATGTGGATCCGGCTTGTGAAGATATGCGATACTCTGGGAAACGTTGTGAGAGTTCATTATCGTGTGAATGGGATAATACCTACGATGGCGGAGATTGACAAATATGCAAAAGAGCTACAAGCGCTGGCGCAAGACGACGTCATCTCGGGCGATTCTAGTGAAGAGCTGAGCATTCATGCATATCAGATCGATTTGCTTTACCAGTTTGTGCCCCGGCCATGATGACGAGTCGCCAACGGCAGCTAATGTTTCTGACAGAGCTTCAATCGCAATACTTTATAGGCCTTACGCCTTGAGTCGATCCAGCTCTCTTCCAGCTGGAGCACTTGCACACTGGCGACAAACGGCTACTACCAGAGCTCGTGAAGCTGCATCAAATACGAATGGGCTGTTGCAGAGCCTCATTGAGCTTGACGCTATACGATACTTGAAGCCAATGATGTGAGTGACAGTATTCCTCTTCAATAGCACTTGCAACAAGTCTTGACACTGACCATGAAAGAATCACGGCAATGATACCGGCTATGCAGATTCATCTGTACGATTGCAAATCTGCCAACTCTCTAATCCGCGGCCTCGCAGAGAACAAACTCCAGCTGCATATGCTGGTGCTCTCAAATCTGAGAGGGACGTACTGGAGCGCAGATGTCATGTATCGACTGTTTGAGCGAGCTCAGACCATCCTCAAGAAGGGAAATTTACAAACGTCAAAACGGGAAAAGAACTCGGACCATCAGCTCAATCGAGTGGCTACATCTGGAAGCATCAACGGCCAGAGTTTTATCCAGGTTCAACAGGAATTGCAGCTACAACCACCACCAGCGCCACAACAGCCCCAACCAGATGGAATCTCCATGCTCATGACACCGGAAACTTCAATGATGATGAGTGACCAGCAGCCAGCGAACCAGTGGTTTAGCGAATCGCCGCAGTTTAGCGATGTCGACCATTTACTCAGCCCGGGATTTTACCTCTCCGAAGATGTTCTTCCGGATTTTGTTCTGGGCTACGAAAACAGTGCCGTGTATGGTCCACTTGTTGTAGGATCGAGCAAGATGACTGACGAGATGCTATAATGATGTGTAAAGTTTTTTAAACGCGATGTATAAACCTGTCGCTTTTAAATGTAAATGGTATAATTGGCAATATATTTGGACAGCGGGAAATAACACGATGCTTTATGTAGAGGCAGAAGCATATCATCAAGAGAGATCATCAAGAGAGGGCAATTATGCACGCACGTGAGAAAACTTCAGCTTGCAATAATTGCTTGAATCTTCTCCAATAGAGGTCACAAATGTTGTGGTAAGCCTTTGATGGGCAGTAATAAGCTTGGATGCAATCACGTCCGCAGTCGGCTCAACTCACGTTCATCCATATATGACAATAGCATGGCATTCAACGGTAGCCATCACAGCATCTCATCTCTTCCTCATCTTTCGCATCACGTCACTCTTTTATCACATCGCCCTTCATCGGACTCAAGCAAGCCTCGCCTACAATATTAAGACCAACACTGCCAACTGCCCGCAGCCGCTACCCGCAGCTGTTTCGCCAAGCACAATTTATGAAGATAGCAGTCTTTCCTCTCCTTCTTCTCACCTTGACCTTTGTTTCACTTTACTTTCACCCTCACTTCCACCTTGTGTCTGACTTCTTCCTTTCATACGTTTCACATTCGCAACTTCTTCCGACTACTTCTCCTCCACATCCTTCTTTCACGCTCCTTGCCACCTCTCTTCCACATTCTTCAAAGTCCGTCACCACGTCCAAAGACTTCTCCTCTGCATCATTCCATCAGATCTTCCGCTCATCTACCAGAGTCCATCACCGCCAACTGCATCTTCTCAACATGCCGCCCTCGATGAGCATGCTGATGGCATCGGTCAATCCATGCCCAAACCCTCATATCCCACCGATCAGATTTGAGTTCTGCGATGTCCTAGCGACATCCTCAGTCCAGGATTCTCAGGAGCACACGATTCAAGCTGAGCGAGCTCTACGGGCGTACTGGGCGCAGGCTGCCAACATGACGAAAATCGACCAGCAAGAGTACATTCGACTGCTGAAGAAGGGCTCCTTCGCTGTCCCAAAGGATGCAATTGCCGACCCCAGCAAACATTCGCTGTACAATGAGTTGTCCATCAACCCTTCTTGGCCAAAATACGTGATGCTCAAGGCCATGTATGACCAAGACACCTTCAACCAAAGGCTCCTGGGCAAGCTTGAGGATAATCTCAAACTAGTCTTTGGTTCCCTCGACATCAAAGACCTCACCTCGATCTATCACCATGCAGGCCTCGCAAAGCGCAAACGCGAGCAAGAATCCGAGAGCGACGATGACCAAGATATTCCCAGCCGCATTGTCAAAATGCAGCCACCTGAAAACTCGTCTGCCGAGAAGAACACCGCTACTACGACTCGAGCCCAGCGTCCTCAATACGGTACGCAGAGAGTCGTCGCTCCTAAATCGCGCGGAATCAACATCGAAGAAGCCCTCAAAAATCAGAATGCGCTGCTCAAGAGGCGATGCGATGCGCTGGAATCTTCTGTGGCAGATCTCCAGCGCAAGATTGACTCGAGTCACCTCAACCTGGTCGTGCTGCTCACTACCATCTTGGAGAAAGTTGGTCAGGTGGCCGAAGATATCGATGCCATTAGAGGCGAATTTGAATGGGGATCCTGATGGCCTCAACCCTGGATTTATTGTCGGATGGCTAAATATGCTCTGAAGAAGCCAAATGTGTCGATGGGAATCTGCGTCAAACTTGATTGTCTTATGAACTAGCTATTTCAGTACGTTATATGTATTCGGTCTACAGGCTTTAGCTATGGAAATTACAACTGTTTCTCTCTTATGAACTCCTCTCGTAGAATAGTACCAACCGTACAGAACATTCTGCGGTAGCTACATCCCCGAGGCTAAACTCCAGGGTTTCCTACCAGTAGGCCGCGGATTCATATACTGCCTGTTTTGCTTGTAAACAACTCTCCTACGCAAATAATGTGTCTGTTACAATTTGACCTCAACAAGCTTGTTTGCCTTCAAATAGAATACAAAGCCCCTTGCTTTTGCACTCAGCTCTTTTCGAAGATAAGGCGAGTCTCTGAGAAACTGCAAGTCACGTCGAACACTTTCTTCCAGGCTAAAATTATCATTGTGTCAGTGAGTTTCCTTTGCTGCCTTTTAAAACCGTGACTTACTTTTGCCCATTATGCATATCAAACTGCCAAGTGTCAATTTCCTTCTCCAAGGCTGGGGCATTGGAATTCGCTTTGGTATTTTCTCGAATCATCTGCGAGGTAACTCGAGTTGTTCCACAGTCTACTATGGTTAGCTATATAAACTTCGCTGCCGTTATAAGTTACACACCTTCGTGATGAATAATTATAATTTCTTTCATGCTGTTGCCGAGAAGAGTCTCCAGGAAAAGTAAATCGTTGAAACAAGGCTTTACATTGCCGCCAACAGTGCTGAATACAAAAGCCTCTTTAAGTCTGGTCAATAATATGATTAGATGAAACAGAAATCTGCAGCACTTACCACCCTTTTTTATCTGAAAGAGCTCTTCAGGGTTGAATCGAAAGTCACAGCAGGAGACTTTGTATTATGTGTCAGCTAACTTGCTTGAGACGTCCGTATATGATAACAGCTTACAAATGGCAACTGATGGAAACACTGCATTGCTTGGAGCTTCTGAAACATGCAGAACTGGTTTTAATTCTGTATTCTGTCTGTATTTTTTGTCAGATCCGACTCTCAATTCGGAAAACCAGGGGGGAGAATGTACTCGTTGCGAAGGAGAAGATCACCAAAAGTAACACTCTCGGTTGGAAACGTAAATGGAGCCATCCTGAAAAAGTTTGAGCATTCAGCTTGTGTAGAATATTGTTAAGATGAAGATGGCTCATATCTGATGCAGAGGGGCATCAGAGGATTTTATATTGCATTTAATGGTGACCTCTGTCCTTGACGTATGCTTCCAACTCGTGTTCACAATCTGATTCTCTCGGCATTTGCAATACGACTTCATGTATTCAACGCATGAACCCGCCGCTAATCCGCACGCTAATCCACGCGCTAGTGCGCACACGTCGTCATTAAAGTACATTGTATCGACTGGCTTCGAAGAAGCGTATTCAACTCTTCGGAGTTACGGACAGCTCGCTTAAGAAGAACATCCCTGAGGAAATCTTGGGGCTTTTGTTATAAAAGGATATTAGCCTGTTGTTGTCTTTGTTGACAAAATAACACTCACTTCTGAGGTCCATTGGTCTCTTGCCCAGGCGGTCTTTTTGTTTGGCACGAGATTTTACGGACGGGCGGCTGCAGGAGGACATGTAAGTGTCATGGCGCCTGTATTGTATCCTGAAAAGGTCGAAACATCGGCTAATAATACGTGGCATTGAGATTTGTTGCTTGAACTGAGTTGAATGTTTTAACAACTAGGCCAAATTATACATGTGTCAGTCTGGAAACCACCCCAGGATCACTATACTCGACGGCCACAGCAGGTATTACGAACAATTAAGAAATACACGGGCAAAGTGTTTTATATCATGCAATAATAACGCACTTTAAGCGAGACGATACTGCTCACAGTGCTTCTATTTCCAAACATTGCATGCCACTACGTCATTACTATCATAAGCCCCAATTCTTCGCAGTGTTCCGCTACGACTGAGGCATCTTCTCATGCTGAGCAAGCCCGTCAATAACAACAATCCACTTCACCCGATCCTCAGTAAACATTTCAAGATCCGGTCGAAAATCGTCTATGATGTTTTTGTCATCCAAAATCCCGGACTGAATGATTCTCATCCCTTCCTTGCCTCCGAAAGCGTCACCCCACCGGTACATTGTGGTTCCTGATATCGTGTTGTCAGCTCTTGTCAAAAGCTACTCACAGCATGGGTGAGACAAGGAGCATTAAATGTCCTTGTCAGAATATTTGGCTCACCACAGTCGCCGCAGAAGCAGTTCACGATTAGTTTCCCACTATCGGCAATTTTCGAAATTTCCTTTGGATCACCGAAAACTTTGAATCGATCACTCGGAATGACATAATTGTTGCTAAACATACTGCCTGTGTAATGACGGCAATTTGAGCAATGGCATATCGCCTATTCATGATAGTCAACGCTGCATGCTTCTCGACATAAAGATAACTGCAGAGCATAATCCTTACCTTCCTTTCAGGCTCACCTGTGAACTCAATTTTTATTTTTCCACAATAACAGCTTCCCGTCGTCATGGTTATTTGTGCGTGTGTGCGTGTGCGCTGTGAGTGCGTGTAATGGATACTTGTAGAGATCTGGGAACACTCTTTGCCGGACAAAACATGAGACAAATCAGGCCGTGAGTGGCTGGGGTCTTATGGAGTTTATATACTATAGTTCGCGTGATTGGTCGTTGGCTAAGTAATGTTGGTAAGCACAATTCTATCCAGATACGTCACATGTGCCCTAGTTCCTTTCCCAGCTATCAGCGGCCTATCCTTGTCTTTCAAAACGGCTCAATGTTTAGAATAAGAATGACGAGCTCCATACAAATGAGCGTGGTGTCGTATGTCCAAGCCGGGCTGATAAATCGTGGTGTCGTATGTCCAAGCCGGGCTGATAAATCGTGGCTCTTCCCTGGCAACTTCGACATTAACATCACGCTTGTCCGCTGCCAAGCAGGGCGCTAGTCCGCCGGTAAGGATCCAGTTCCCTCATTCGGGAGTTGGCTGTGGAGGAGGCCCATAAAAGAACAAGCCTACGAACGGAGCTGATACTAATAAAGCCCACCGTGGCTTCGCTAAGGTGCAGTAGTACCTTGGACAGGAGTTGGAAAATGACGAGATTCGCAGAGTCATACAAGTCAGTATCGGCAAAAGGCGAAAAGGGTAGACTAGAGCAGCTCAATGTATCGGCATGTCCTTTCGTTCTTGCCCCATGATCGCTAACAGAGACTAGAGTTCCATCGTGCTTACTTACTCGTTAAGTATCTAGTTACCAGATAAGATGATGAAAAGGAAAGTATGGGCGAAACTACTAACCAGACTAGCATTCTGCTGCATGTCCTAAGATTCTTGTCTACACTGCTTACACTAAGATGACCTCTAGTGCTGCCTAGTGCCTAGACCTTCACTGATTGCCAGCATCTTTGTCCAAGATCGAATAGCCGAGATAAAATCCCTGAGGTGGTAACATCACCGGGGGGCTGTCAGACTCCAATGCCGTCAAATATTTCACTGTGGAAGTACTTCTGATTAGTTATGGTACACTTGGCTAGCGAAATAGAGTACTGACCTGCGGCACACCATCTCTTACTCATGCATGTCAAGATTTCGATGATTAAGTCAGCGTTTGCCTTGAAGGCAAAATTTCGGCTTCTCTGGTATAGATTCAGTTGTATTGCAGCCGTTTGATACAATGCATATGGGATGAGAAGCGACATCATTGTGAGTGTGTTTTCATTACCGGCGCTTTTGAGCAGATGCTGTGAAAGCCCTGTCATCTGCGTAGAAATCGTTTCCAAGTTGTGGGTATCGCCCTCACTGTTGTGGTTAAAATGAGCAGTAGGTGCGATATATAATGCGTAGAGGGAACTAAATTTGGTCAGAAAATGGTTTAAGAAAGAAGAAGAAGAAGAAGGAAAGGGAAAGGGAAACTCCTAAGAACAATACCGAATCATTACCTTATACACATTCCCAGAGCACCGCAATAGGAGCTAAATTCGAGTTCTTCCTCAATTAAAATCGGCAGAAAAGCTTTCAATGTACTTTCAAGCTGAAATCGTTCGCGAGAGCGAAACTCAAGGTCGGCAACAGGATGAAAAATGTGCTGAACAACGCGACCCATCAGATGCGCCACCTGACACTCTCTCGCAAATGGTCCTACACGAAAAGGGGCTGGTGTGGAAACAGTCGGCCTGGCGGTTTCTGAAGTGACCTATACGTGACTATTAGCGCGACTCAAATCCGATCATACCAGTCATTCTTCCCACAAGTATACACTCACTATGCACGACAATTGCTCAGAGTCTGAAGGCAAACAAGTATCTGGTGTGGCATCTTCGGAAGCAAGTATCGCATCTCCCCCACAGAGAGCAATGAATCTGATAAAAGTGGTTTGAGTTATTGCCAAGGCGTTGAGATGTTGACGACGCTGCTTCTAGCGGCGGCGTTGGGAAAAAGACGTACCTGTCAAGATTGTGTATGGCCCACCATGTCCGCCTTCTTTCTTCTGCATCGGCAGTCGTAATGGCTGCCTTTTGAGCATGCCAGAAATCTTTACTCAAGCCAGCATGACGAGCCAACCTTGCGCAGCTACCAATGGAAACAGAAGCCGCCGGATAAATGCCATGGCCCACCTCATGTAAGACAAGAAGCAGTCTAGACTGAATGGCATCCAAGGTAACTAAGCCGGTTGCTTCAAGTAAGCCAATACTGCTCTTAGCAAGAAGATAGTGTGGTGATACAGCTTCTGTTTCTCCTACAACCTGTTGTGAAGGACTTGTGTGAACGAGCTTCATGCACAAACACAATGTCGTAAAGTCTATCCCTGATGGAGTGAACAATGTTGGAAAGTTCTTATTGAACCTTGGCTCCGAAATGATAGGTAACCGGTAATGGATGGAGCCAAAGTAGGCATTCGAGATTCGGCGCATCTCATCTGGCGTTCCCAGAAAGCTGCGAACTTCTCTCTGCAGCACTGTTCCAAATGTGGCGCTGAGCATCTGCTGGTTGTCAGCGGGGTTTCGAATCTACAAACATCAAAGAGAACAGGACATACGGATGCCCTAGGGCTACTCAGGCCGTGTTCCTCTGGAACAATGTTATAGGCCGAGTTCTGCCCCGGAATTTCGTCGTACGCACAAAGCCGGCCCATGCTATCGATGCCATTAACCTGTGGCCCATAGAGCTGGATGAGATCATTGGCGTATCTTACCGCCGACAGGTAGAACAAACTGGTAAAATGCGGTCACATTTTCTTTTACTGCTTCTACATGGCTTGCATGCATTTCTGGGAGATGCCATGGAGTCAGTCCGTGTTGTTCTTGCTTTCTTCTTCTGTTTGGTGTTATACTATATTTCAAATGTGACACAATGCTGCTAGCGTCAAAGAAAATTACTTGTTACAGGTCGCTGCAAAAAAGGCTTATCTCACCGCCTTTAGACCAGCCTCTTTTGGGAAAAGCAGCAGCTGCTGGATAAGAGTACAAGCGAAACACATGTAAAGATGTGACGGAATAAGCCATAATTCTACCGACAACTGTAGCAATCGCTACTTTGTCACAAAAGACTACCTAGTATGAACAATTACAATACTTACCTTCCACAAACGAATCATCTTAAAAGGTTGTCTGCGTTCTTAATGGCTTCTGCGATACTCATCCCTACTCTCCAAGTTCTCGATCTTTGTTCCAGAGAACAAATCGTAGCGCCCGCCAGCGAAGGGAAGTGTGCCTGATCTTTTTTCCAAAGAAATAAAACAGAAATCCTGCGAGAAGGACTATTCCAGTGATGACTGCCATAGTACCGAACGCAATGCTGTAGCCAACCTGTCCGATCCATGGGCTGGTGTAAAAAGAAAGCAAAAATCCAAAACAGGCTATCGTAACGTCAGCTGGAGCTCGTTTTCTCCTGGATACTGGTCTTCTTAACCTTTGAAACCTAATTGAGCAACAACAACCTCCCCTCCGATTGGCCGATACGAGTCGATTGTGTATACCATGCTTATGTTTACCGCCTGAACGATGGAAAAGTTTACTTGTGGCCAGTTAGTCCCGCTATGTGCTTAGAAAAGATGACAGATACTCACGCAGACCAAGCCCGAGTGTTGGGACCATCCAGTGTAATCTGTTCTGGATACCGACACCAAACAGTATTAAAGCAGTTGGTGCCGCTAAAACGCTAAATATTATAGCTGGAATCCTCATTTCGGGTTCTCGGACACCTCCATTTCTCTTGGTGAAATAATCGGCAACGACTTCAGTAAATCTCCCTCCAAAGGCGATACCAATAAGGGACCCAATCAGAGCCGAGACAAAACATAATCCAGATTGATATGGCTCAAACTCGTAGACCTGGGTAAATGCAGTCGAAAATGTGGAAGAGACTGCAACTAAAAACCCGATTAGTACGGACATGACCAACGTGGCCCACAGCACTGGCGGTAACATCAGTAGCCCGATTGGCCGAACAAATATCTTGATCAGTGACTCCTCTGTGAGTTTTCCATGACAGCAATGAAGTTCTTGGAAAAATGTGTATTTTGTTGAAATACTTTGCTCCCTGGAGCCGATGCTTTCGGTATGTTCTATGTCCCCTTCTTTATCCAAAGGAGACGAGGCGTTGTCGGTTTCGACTTGGATTGGGTTTCGGATGTATGAGGTTTCAGGCATAGTGAAGAAGAGAAAAACGGTCAATGTGCCAATTAGGGCGATTGAAACGTAGTAGATTGTCCTCCATCCATGAGCAATGGTGATTAGACCGGAGACAATAATACCTCCGGCAACACCACCTGAAATCGCAGCCGTATATACGCTGCAGAGGATCCTTTAGTATTTGTCCACGCAAGCGATATGCCTTACTTACGCCATCAATGCGCCGCGTTCATGGAGAAAGGAGACATCTGCGATCGTGACGGGGGCTAAGCACTCCCCAGCCCCTATAGCAAATCCCATCACAATCCTTGCAGCAAGTTGATTTGCATATGAGTCGGCCACTGCCGCCCAGATTGCGGTACTAGTGTATAGAGTGAAAGAAGCAAGGTAGACAGGTCGGCGGCCATATTTGATGACGAGCGGCATCCATACCAGGCATCCAACCCCTTGCATTAGAGTTACGGTTGTAATGAAGTACGCTGCTTTGGCAATTTGTTCGGCTGGTGTAGATCCCGAGTGTCCTAAAAACTCTTCCGCCATTTGTGGAAGTGCCACAGACGGGCCGCTGGCCAAGAAGGTACAGAGAAACATGGCGATGCATGCCAAAATGGCAATGTAGTAACGTCGTATCTTGGACCTCGGAAAGGTCAGCAGTGCACTATTGCGTCTTCCTAAGCCATCTGGACCTACCAGTTAAGAGGATCATTGGGGTCGTTTGTAGGGGGTGGGATCAGAATAATTTGTTTGGTAGCCGGATTTCGCATCCGGACAGTACCCAGTGCGTTGTGTGTTGGAGCATCCATGACGAAATATAACCACACGAATAGTGTTGTCGATGGCTAGGTGCAGTATCTTCAGCAAACAAAATCACTCTCACCTTCACGCTTAATCTTGGGAACTATTAAAGCGCACAACAGTCTTAAATATGCTGATGAGTCCTTGCGTCTGTCTGGGGAGACCCAAAAGGTTTGTGTATGTATGGAAACGGGCTGTCCCAGAGACGAGAATTGCAGTTACCCCGTGGGGAAAGAGGGCGCGAAGTGGGAACCGAAATATTCCTGCCACGTCTATCCGCGACTATCCAGTGTGTTAGAGCACGGTATATTAGATCTGGCTCCGACTAGTTGAGGTATCAAGATCCGGCTAGAGCATTAGTACAGACATCGAACTCAAATCGTTGCTTAGCAGTGCCCAGATCGCTGCAATAGCCCAACCCCTGATAGCCCAAACGCTGTAATTTAGCTTGGCATTTCCAATATGCCGACTGCCACTCCCGTTCCGGGTTTCACATCCGTTCTGTCTATCTAATATTGTATACACAATAGTTCAAGCGTATCTCGGCTAAATGGTTATGTCAAGAATCGATCTACAATGGTGATTATGGTGGTTGTGATGCAATGACGCGTCATTTGATCGGATTATCAATATTGTTCACGCAATGTGCTGACTCTCTGTCTTTTCGTTGTGAACCTAAAGGGGGTATCAGTAGAGAACCAGATCGCTGTTTGCTCTATGTGAGGTTGCCTTACATGTTGTCTATCAGAAGACAAGGCTCATGAGCAAATAGTTGCTGCGTCAAACTTGTTCGAACTTAGCTCACCACCACTGTGTCAAGTGTGGCCTGTGAGTGGCTTCTGGCGTTATCAAATATTCATTCTACGGTTATTGCAATAGCTAGAGTATGAAGTTTGCCATTTTATTTGAGACTATCGAAAAACTCTCCCGTCCTGGGACTTGATCTTCTTCAGAGCAGCAGCAGCTCTCTATAGCCGCCCCGTTTTACCGGTCCATGGGAGATATAGAGGGTAGGGGTAGGAACGCAACTATACAGGAATAATTAATTGAATCGAATTTTATCTCATGTCAAGGACCATTACTTGGGCCAGGGTTTTGCATAAAGGCAATTAATCTTATATACAACAGAACTATTCTAAACCGCTATGACAAGGTGAGCTAGAAAAAGCGGACAATGTCTTCAGCGTTGTATCCATGGAGCCATTGCAAGTTTCCCAATTCACCTGTCCACTTGAAGCGACCCCATATAAGTAACTCCTTGAGCCATTGAATGACGGCAGTGTCGGGAGTTCTCAACCGCCCATTCAGGTCGGTGAAATCCTTGACGAGACGCAGCCGCTCAATCCGGTGACGCTCCCAGGCGGTTAGCAGGCGCACGTAGTCTGATTTGAAATCTGGGTGAGACAAAGTATGCGAGAGTGTCTCAGCATCTTCAAGTCCCATGGCAGCACCCTGTCCGCCCTGAGGTGTGAAGGCATGAGCAGAATCACCGATTAAAATTACCCTTCGCTTGATACTTGTCCAACGCTCCAGGGGCGGTACTTCGAAAAAGCTACAAGCATGTCAGAAATGCAGACTTGCAATGCGCCATTGGTAAAATACTCACGGCAGCAGGCTCAGACCTTCTTTGTCGTAATCCTTGGTCATGTCGCAAATAAAATGGGGCCACTCGTTACCATATCTCTGTTGAAGGATTTCTTGGATTTTTGTCTTGTCGTTGGCAAGCTCGTTCCATTCTTCCCTCGATCGGGCAGGATAGGGCATAGTCGAGAAGAAGTCAACCATATCCCCCTCGTAACTGGATGGCATGATGGCAACGAAACCTCTGCTACCGAATACAAAGTTTGGTAGTGGGACTTGGCTCGCTGACTTGTGAAGAGATTCGCGTTTGACGCCCATGCCAATGATGCCCATGAACCCACTATAGCTTGTTTTAGTTTCCATGATGGCATCTCGAACCCTTGAATGCACGCCATCAGCTCCTATGGCAAAAGATGCCCTTGCGGTAGTTCCATCAGCGAACTCCAACTCGACAAACTCTTTCTCCTCGTGTAGTTGAACCAGCTTCTTGCCAAAAACAACTGGAATTCCTTGAACTTTTAATTCGTCCAAGAGCGCTTTCTGGACAATAGCTCGGTGGATTCTGAGGCTGGAAAAATTGTAGTGTTTTGGGCTTCCCTGCCGTAATGTTCCAAGGGCCTGAGATCTGGCGTTACTCATATGAATGTTTTCGTATCTGTAGCCCTGGGGGCGGACCGTGTCGTAGACTCCAACATGCTGGAGAACACGCAACGCGTTAGGTGCCAGAGTTATGTTGACTCCTCGTACGTCGTACTTGGGCTGAAGCTCATATACAATAGAAGAAATCCCGTGATGTTTCTTGAGGCTGAGGGCCAGCGCAGGTCCCTATGTATGATTGTCAGTCTTGTCAAACAATAATCACAGCATTCGTCGTCGTCCTACCGCAATTCCACCTCCAACGATTGCCAAATACGGTAATTCTGACATGACTCGAAATTGGGGAGTGAGATTTGTAAATCTGGTGGTAGGTACGATAGTTTAGAACAAATGGATATTAACACAGAGCTGGGTGAGCGTAGAACTCTTTGCGCTGTAGCTGACCTTATCAACACATCTAGCCGAAGTACACACATCCAGTATTAAACCCCGTGTGCTTCCGAGGAGTGGAGGCTAGCCCCATGGAATTGACTATGGCGATCATCATGATCCCCAGATCCCCGTTGTTATCCGTCCGAGGCAAGCCCGGGTGCGATGGACTTGACCGAAGCTCGGCACGAGGCGGGACGGAGAACCAACTGGGGGTAATACGTCATGGGTTGCTGTAGAGTCGGTGAAGAGGGCCGCAGGAAGACCTCAGTACCAATATTCTCGGCTGATGTCCTTATAACTCTTGGTATATTTACTTCATCGCTGTTGTGTTGATTAGATGCCTCTGGTCCTACGTGTTTACCGACCCTACAGTAGCCGAACAGATACGTCGATCGAATATAAACCACCAGGCCAAATAACACATACGAGATCCACTTCTAATTCGATTTCTCAGCAACAGCCTGAATTTTGAGCTCATGCCCAGGGTTGAGAAAAATGTCCAAAATAATCTTTTGCAAAGCAAACATCTCCAAAGTAGATAGATATCTTGATGCGTCCTTCTATAGGATAGCAAGATGCCAAGCGCCTAATTGCCGAGAGAGATGAAGTTGTAAGCTGGAGCTCAACACAACACTCAAGGGCAGAAGGAGATGCCGCAACGAGCACCATGAAAAATAATACACCGAGATAGTTTATTCCCCTGCAATTTTCTAGTTTATAATCGGACTGTGTAAATACTCGTATACGGCTGGACTAAATCACCTGCCCTTTGACTACTATCTTCTGACTAGATCGACAAGATTCACCCTTAAGCTAGATTGCGCAGAATTGAGTAGCTGCGTTTTAGTACGTTGAGCCAATATCGCCTCCACAAGCTACTTTCCGAAGAATAGTTCTCTTGCAATCCTGGACTCTCTGCAGGCCGGCCAAACCCAACGTGAGGTCGAGATCCTAGGAAACATTAGAACTGATATCGCTGGTAACCCTGGGGCAACTCACCGCAAGAAGGTCGAGTAACACGTCTTGTGCCCCTTTCTTACCCGCAATCCCGAGCCCATAAACCCAAGGCCGTCCAACAAGTACTGCCTTGGCACCAAGGCATAAAGCTTTCACAATATCAGATCCGGTTCGGATTCCACTGTCAAAAAGAACGGCCAGGCCATCTCCCACTGCATCCACGATTTCTGGTAGTACATCTAGGCTTCCGATGGCACCATCTACCTGTCGCCCTCCATGATTGCTGACCACGATGCCCTGGACACCAGATTGAAGTGCCATCACTGCATCATCCACATGCTGTATTCCCTTTAGAACAATTGGCCCGTCCCAGTGGCTGCGCAAAAATGCAATGTCTTCCCAAGTGTGCCTGCTGCCTTGACTAGAGAAGAGGTTAGCATTCCACGCGCGGGCTGCAGCCACCACATCTTCTTCAATCTCTTTCCCGGTAGTCTGTCTGTGTATCTGTTGGAAGATGGGATCTGAAAACCCATTCTGCGTTCCCACACCTTTCATGAAAGGGACATATCCATTGTCAAGGTCAGATGGACGCCATGCCAAGGTCCAGGTATCTAGAGTCACGACCAGTACTTCGTAACCATTTTGCTTCGCTCTGGATAGCAGAGACTTTGTCAACTCGTTATCCTTTGGCCAGTAGAGCTGGAACCAGCGATGGCCTAATCCATTCGCATATGCCACTTCTTCAATACTGCTAGTCGCGGCGGTGCTGTGGATGTACGGAATGCCTAGCGAAGCTGCGACTTCGGCACTACCGAGCTCCTTATCATCGTGATAGATTGCCTGTACGCCAATCGGAGCCATAACAAGTGGACTCTTATACAACAGACCAAATAATTTGACACTCAAGTCGCGATGAGTAGTTTGGCATAACATTCGCGGAATGATCTGTTGGCTGGTCAGTCGGAATTGGCCAAAATTACAGCTGACATTGTCAGGTGCCGTTGAATCTAGTACATGGCACTGCATAGAACTGTACTTCCAATCACCTACTCACCTTCCACTGTCGAAAAGCCAGTCTATTCGCTGCCATTGTTGATTTCTCACCAGCGCCACCTGAAACGAAATCGAAGCTTCGAGAGGTCATATATTGTCTGGCCTGTTCCTCCAACTTGGTGGGATCAGTAGTGACCAGTGGGAGGCGGTTGAACATCATTCCGTCTTCGTAAATACATGTTTGTCGTTCCTTGTAATCCATCGTTGAGACTTTGCAAATTAACAACCACTATACGATGTTTTGATATATAGTAGATAGAGTATAGCTAGCAACTTTGTAATGCTCATCTTGAGGGCACCTCGATACTTAAAAAGGAAACCTGTTTTTCGAGGCCGGGTTCTGAATCTGTGAACATATTACTAGTTTTGTTTCGTTGCCGAAAGTCTTTACGCAGTGTCGACCAAGGTTTCCGTTGCGTAAGTGGAAACGAGCGGCTGAAGCCGGCGCCGGTCTCAGCCATAGAAACTAGGTTTAGCTTCGATCATCTGGTGACATCAATACCTCAATTCTCTGGCTATTCCGGGCTAGAGACGGGAGTGATGCTAAAGTAGGGAATACTATCTTCATTAGGTACGAAGATATGTGTCTCATTTAGTAGCTATTCGTTCCTCCTTTCCCTTTTTCACGCCAACCTGTTTCATTGTTGAGATTGGCGATAGCAAGCCAATGCATCATATAAGAGGCCTCGGCAAGTGGAGGGAGCCGTTCGAGAGAATCGGGAATTCGTCCCCGCGGTAAACAATTCTAAGTTTAGTACAAGGCGCAATAGGATACGGGTAGATTATAATGGTTGTTTGAACGGCCGTGAATAGCCGGGTTTTCAGGCATAAATCCCGGTGTTTACTATACAGTGGGAGCTGCATGGTTGAAGTCGTCGTCATCTCAGGCCTCATATTTAATGAGGGAAACCTTACAGAACAATATCCATTTTCGCTCATTAACATTTTTACAATATTCATATACAAACCCAAAGCTAACTGCATCATGCCGGTCTATCGTGTTGGTATGTCTCTTTTCAGGTGAGACTGACGTTTGTCTTTTTCTAACCCCACTTGATAAATCAGTACTCTTTCGATTAAAGAAAGATGCTCCAGCAGCTCAAGTTGAACAATTTATTACTGAATCTAAGGAAGGAGGAAGGAAGATTCCAGGTAAAGCCATGAATTGAAACAACCTAGATGCGGGTTGGGTCTATCTAATCATTTGGTCTCTACAGGAGTTTTGTCGCTAGAGATAGGCCCAGCTCTCGATATGCAGAGAACTAAAGGGTATGATATGGGTATTTTTCTCCAGTTGGAGACCCAGGAGCATCTTGAATCGTTCGCCAAAGACCCACATCATCTGAGGTTAGCACAAGTTACTACATATATGCGGGATGAATACTTACGTATAGAAGACTCCATGACATGCGCGAACAAATATGTGAGGATAGCCTTGCATTCAACCTGGCTTTCTAGATGTGTTCATTGACGTGGGACCCGAGACGTGCCACCAGCGCTTCCAACCCATGTCTTTTAAATTGGGAGGCCGCTTGGCTAAAGGACTCTATGTAGGACTATATAATATCATTCAATAGAGACGAAGCTTCTGAAGGGCCTATTATTTTGTTTTAATCTCGTAATGCACTGACCAGCACTATCATAACATAAACCAACAAGTCCGGCTGCCCGGTTTGAGATTAGCCCGCTACCGCATTACAAGTACTTAGACAGTAAGTTGACAACCAGTTGGACGACTATTGTTAAAGCAGCTGGGAAAAGTAGAATAAAAAACGAGGAAGCTGGAGGATCAAGCATGAACCGGAAGGCAAGAGCGGAAGGGGAAGCACCAATGGGGCTCATCAACGAACCTGAGATATCGTACTATAAGAGACAGAGTATAATACTTGATGGTAATGTGAAATACAAATATGCCTGTCCGCGTCAAGGATTAGAATGGCTGAAAGGGCAGATGAACCTAACAATCGATGCAGTGGCATTTGCCTTCCCCCACCACCCCAGCGAAATGTCGCCGAAGCGCTATTAAACAACTCAAAATCACAAGGCTAGAGATTCATAAAACGTTGGACCACCGGTTACGGTGGGTTAAGACCGGATGAGGTGGGGTCCCTTTACTTTGCAGTGAAAGCGCCTATAAATCCGGCTCCATCCTCCCACAAACGTCAAGCATAAGTTTCTCTTGCAGTGTCTCAGTTGAGATTCCCTCTGCAGGTTATCATTTCTTCACTAGACAAATGGCTATTGTTTGCATAAAGCAAGGTGTCGTTGAAGGGTCTGTACTGGATGGGGTCTATTCATTCTTGGGTCTCCCGTATAGCGAACCGCCCATTGGAGACCGCCGCTGGCGACCCGCTTCCTCCCCCCCAGCTTGGGAGGGTGTCTGGGATGCAACTTGCTTTGGAAAGGCTGCAATACAAATCGTTGACACTGGGGTTGAACTTGGTGCAGAGTCTAGTGAAGACTGTCTGTATCTGAACATCTGGACTGCGACTTTGGATCGGTCAGCACAGCAACCTGTCATGGTCTGGATTCACGGTGGTGGTTTCCTAAATGGATCTTCCTCAATGGATGTTTATTCCGGTCGAAACCTCGCTCGTCACGGTGTGGTTGTCGTATCTATCAACTATCGTCTCGGTGCTTTTGGGTTTCTGCGTCATCCAGAAGCCGGAGGCAATTTTGCCGTCTCAGACTGGGTTGCTGCTTTGAGATGGGTATCAGAGAACATTGAGATGTTTGGCGGACATCGCCAGAATGTCACTATATTTGGCCAGTCCGCTGGTGCAGTCGCAGTCCGGACTTTGCTATGTACCCCAGCTGCTCGTGGACTCTTTCACCGTGCAATCATCCAGAGTGCTGGATTTGAGGATTACGCTGCTACACCATCGCCAAATGCAGAGCGTGTCAACGACACGAGCGAGAAATTCTTGAATCTCTTGGGAAGCCGAGATCTGGATATACTCCGTCGTATTCCCACAGAGCAGATTCGAGCCGCCTCATTAACGGTATGCGGGACTCGACCGCCTCCTGGGTACCTTCACTCTCCGGCGAATTTAGCATGGTACCCGGCACCCGATGACGAGGTTGTAACGAGAGAATTTTCTGGTTGGGATGAAAATGTTCCCGTTCTGTTTGGCTGCACGCAGCATGAAGCCCGAGCTTTTTGGCGTCCAAAGGGTCTTCATACGAGTCCTGGTCAAGAGCCGTCGGAGATATATACTATTGACACTTTGGCCAATATGGCCAAGATCCTAGCATGCGGTGGCGACCACGAGATGATGAACTATCTTACCAATGCCAAGTTCAGTCCGTATCAAGCGCTCACAGAATTATGCACTGCAGCTATTTGGATGGAGCCGGCAATGGCTACTTACCACAGGTTTTCTGCATTGAACCGGACGACTTACTGCTTCATATTTTCGCGTATTTCCCCTGCTACCCGTCGTTCCGGTATGCTTGCCTACCATGGTGCCGAACTACCGTATATTTTTGGTAAAGTGTCACAGAATGGAGTTTTGAAGCCATGGTTTGCAAACAAGGCATCCGCCGTCGATGTCGGGCTATCCGCTACGGACAGAGACTTTGATGCGATTGACGTACAAATTGCGGATGATGTCCAAAATGCCTGGGTGACTTTTGCTCAAACTGGAATACCTCGATTTTCAGATGGCTCTCCATGGCCTCAATGCAATACAAGGGACATGCAGCTGACAGTCATTGAGGATAAAATGGAAGCAAAACACTGGGATATGGACAGGGTGGTCAGCATTCTCAGCTCTTTGCGAGACCAAACACTGAATTGAAGGCGCATAGTGAAAGAGCCAGCGCGGTACATGGGTTCAAGATCTAGTCTTCAGAAAACATCCACCGCTACCGTAAACATCATCCCAAAAGCATTTACAACTTGCAAATTGTTTGACGTGGCGTGGCACTTCTAGTTCGCGGCCTACAACGCCTTAGGCAACGTCCCAAAAGTACCTTTCGTCTCCAAGCTCAATGCCAAAAAAGTATGACATGAAAGGCTTTCCAAGCTCGGCTTCAGAAGTGAGTGGTAGTGCAAACCACTCATCCCGGGAATAGCCACCCGCCTCTAGGAAGTGGCTAGGCATGGAGTTTTCGCTGAGCATTTCCTGTCCGGATTCTGGAGTAGAAATTAGAAAACTCGCCCCTGTATCTGTACCGGTTTCATGATCTAGTATTCCTGTTTGAACATTAGATTGTGCAATCTCGGTTTCATTTGGCGGCGCGGGGGTTGCAAGAAATGCATCTGCATCGTCAAAGGTGAATGACGCCTCCGCAGGCGGGGGATCGACCCGGACGAAGCGTTCCCGGAGACCCCTCGTATTCTCTTTCAATAGTACAGCATATCGAAAGCCGAGATGCACGTCATCGACGGCGTTTAGGCATAGTACTTCAACTGTACGATCTAGCAAACCCAACAACCGGTCCAACTCGTTACCGCGTACACCCAGCGCTAGAGCCTATAAAATTGAAGAATCAGCTTGAGTGAACGGAATCTCAACGTGATTGGGGAGTGTAACAAACATTAATCAAATACATCGAGGCAGAAGCAACCCTAATGAATATGCGGACGGGCAGGTATTTTAAGTTGCCATCTCGAGACAGTTCGATCACAATCTCCAGGACTCTACTGCTTGCATCGATGACTTCACGAACAAAGTCGGAATCCTGGCGATCCTTGGCCTGTGAACTACTCATTCGCCCGTCATCTTTCCACATTCGTCCTGCAACGGCTTGCAATGCCAGAGAGTTGATGTAGACTCGCACAAAATGATAATCAACCAGTATGAGCTGCCAGCAAGTGGCCTTGTCTACGACAAATAAGCCACTAGGTTATAACATAAAGGGTAGTCTGGGAAAGAGGGTTTTCTTACTTGCATGCTTCTTGAACCTATCCCACCACTGGGAAAGTAGTGGGCGAAAATGCCCCAGAAAGGCTGCATACCGGCCGCTCCGTAAGAGCTCCTGCGTCACTTTCTTCGAGGGAAAGAGGAAGTCGGATGATGTCCTTATCAGCCGGCTGAGTTCTATCCATGAAGTCATGCATTCGTGCCACTCATGGTCCAACTTGGATTCGGGGTTTTGGAATGAGCGCAACACACTATCGTGAAACGGCGTTCTTGGTAAGGAACAACCAATTCGTGAAGCAAGCTGGCTTATATATACGAATAAAAGTTTACCCACTCGATGACGCCGGAGATGAAGGAAATTTGTAAATGACAGCTCAGACGCTGAATCAAGCACATCTGCTAGGGCATCATCTTGGTCAGAAAAGATGTCTAATTCGTGGCTTAGAGATAAAGCATTTCCAAGGAGCATCCTAGATAGTGAGTGAGCCCTTGCGTCGCACACCGTCCGAAGAATACGGGATTTTTATCATTTTAGAATCGCAAAGTGAGATGCGAGAGAGGGGATTTTGCTAACCAAGACATGCGATCTGATCTATGAGCGGCTTCCTCCACATCCTGTAGCCATTTGTTTGGCACTTGATGCCGTCAGTTGAAGCGACAAGATACAAGCGGGACATTTCGCACCTTTGCTGCGGCATGTCGTCTGCTCATCATCAGAAAGAGCCATCTCAGGCTGCCAGTATTCAGTCTCGATAGGAAGATGGACACAGCGTGGGTGCCATTCCGCAGCCAACAAAAGGCTCTCAATTGTACCAAGGTGAGCCATCTGGTCCTTGATTGTTCGCCGTTGATTCCAAACCAAGCGTTGAAACAATGTTTGGCAGTGTTCCCACAAGCGGTCGTGAATATAAAAGCCCCGTGTAATGGCGCCGTGTACATCCAACACATGATATCGTGCCGAAAGCGCAATTATGGCGCAGCAAAGGACAGGTTCTCGGGAGATGAGATCACCGTGCTTCATATGATTGCTATAGAAACAGTGAAGGATTGGGGACAGGCTATTCATGTTTTGGAAAAACAAATCAATGTACGTGACTGCTTCTTGTGCAGTGATTAGACCAGTTCTCACAAAATGCCATGAGCTCCAAAACCGTAACGTATCCGGGGATGAGGATGAGAGTGGGTGGCGAAAAGAAAGCCAGGGCTCCGATATGGCGACATGGGCCGTGGAACTGGACTCTTGGTTTGCAAATTGTAGATTAATGCCCGCTCTTTCTGTCAGATCCGGCGCTCTTGAGCTGCTGTTATTCGAACGGATATGTGTTTCGGGCCTCGAATTGTGTTCATCCGCAGTACCAATGGGCAGGAAGCCGCTTTGCTGAGGAGAGCAGCCTGTTGCGGGTTGCTGGTATTCTCTCTCCTGCCCCGGCAACTGGATGTCCGCCGCGTTGAATACTGCTCTGCTCGTGATTCTTCTTGGACTTTGACGCCGGCGTTTGCGCGATCCATCCGACACTTCTATTTCGTTAACATGACAATGGCATGATAGAATTGCAAAAAAAGAATCGCAAAATAGTCTGTACCAGTAGTTTCTTCATGAGCTCGTGCATGAATGAGAGTTTCAGCTGACGTATGCCTGGGTGGATGCCTTGGTCTTTGCCCTGTAACCTCAACCGAAGGGGCGGGCATAGCTATTGCAAGTCAGTGCCAAAACATACACGAAAACCTCATTCCCCCGGATGGGTAACTAGGTTGCAATACTTTCAACGACATTTACAGTCCTTTGCATATCTCCGGCCTCTTGAGGGTTGGTCTGCGAATTTCTCTCCGCACTAAACGTGCAATGGCGTAGTTCTCTCCTACACCTTGTGCAGGATGCTTGTAAAAGGCCCTGACCATTGCACTCCATGATGCATTTTACCTTTCGACGGCGGCAGTTGATGCACGCTTGATAAGCTCTCTTGAAGTAATAATTGGCAACGTTGGAGGCGGGCATGCCTCCTGTAGGGCCTGGATCCGACATTGTAAAATCACTTCTAGGTTCGTTTTTTGAACCCAGTTCAATGTCTTGGAGAAGTCATGGACGGTCTGGAGGATATAGAGTACGATTCGTTTGTCGATGGATCACGTGCACATTCAATGAATTTCAACAAGATGTCGGGGTAGAACTGCCTGTTGGTTCCACTCCGAGTTACTATTTTTCAGGGCGGCATTAAGTGGTGATGTTGTTCGAAGCACTGCGAGTAAAATCTCCTAATTTGAGATAATAAAAGCGTCAGCAAGCCCACCTTTATCCCTGCTAACAAGAGTGGTTGGATTTATTTGGAATTAACCCAGCTATATTCTCAAACTAGGCCTGCCTTTTGCCTTTCCTAGACCCACTTGCCGCTTCCAACCGTGTCCTCCCTGTGTATCCCTTCTTACCCGTTACTTGGCGCTCTTGACGTTCATGTCCCCGCTACCTTGGAACTGAGGCATGCTACCTGCCTTCGACTTCAAGTTTCTAGGTATGACAGCATCCCTGACTTATACGGCCAGCCTTGACTTATCATATTTTGTAACATTGGCGTTATTTCGCGACTGCAAAGCCTGCCCAAGGCGCCACCTCATGGGAAGATTGTAATGCGCGATGGCAGGGTGGTCGATGCAGTTCAGAGTGAGTCCGAAATCGTCCGCTTCGACCCGTTCATATTAACCAACTAGGTCGTGAATTTTCCATCTTCTCTCTGTTCTTCAGTAGTTATGTAGGTAGGTAATGATAGGTACATAGTGATTCGCCAATTCAACGTAACTCCGGACTTCCGCTCTTGTTTAATTGTGGACCTATTGGAAAGCTGTTGCATACACGCAAGACCGCATTCGAACGATATGTCGCCTGCTGATATCTAGTTTGTATATCGTTCAATAATTACTCTGTAATGCCACTTCAAAGTTCACTCTATACATGCATGGCAATAAGCCACCATTATGACCCGAGCCACTGAATGAGCCCAAGTCCACATTTAAAAGACGACTATTTTCTTCAGGATTTCTCCAAAAAGTCACTTACTACATAACTACAACTTCATTTATATTCTAGCTCAATATCTTCCACAGCTATCAACATGAGTGAAAGTAAGATTGTGCCGGATCCTCATGACCGAAGGCACGATGCCAGACACTAATAATCCCCGAACCATCGAGTCGAAGCAGCGAGAGGAAGATTCCCTGCGTCAAACCCCCATATGGTTAATCGGCGCGCTTTGTAGAGACGACCGCTGTCGAGTTAACAGGAGCCCCTTCTTCACCAGCGGCAGTGCAAATAGCGAGGCATGCAGCATACGCCGGGAGAGCTTCAGCCAAAGGTGCGCATTCAACTAGGCACGCAAGCTATTGAACCAATTCGTTAGGTTTGTACAACATGATACTTCATTTTGCGAAAAAGACTCATACCGCGGCTCCCTGTTACTCGAAAAGTCAGTCTAGGCTATTAGCTCTATGGTGTGATGCAATAGGAATTACCGGAATACCAGCGGCGCGTTGGTCAAGCTTTGAAGGAATAGAGGCAGCAGAAGCAATGCCTGCAGCCAAAATGATGGAACAGTGGAGGAACTTCATATTGAACAACAAATGGTCTGACAAAGGCGAAAAGAGTAGAATTGAATGTAATCGAGTATGCTTTCGCCTGGAAATTTATTGAACTCTACGATAAAGAAGAGCAAATGTGAATATATATATATATATATTTCTTGTATATACCCCTTCAGCAAGCCATCGCCTTCTACTTCGCCATTGTTCAAATACTGTGCCAAAAGATGCAAATGGATGCATAGTAAAACTACGGATGTAATCCGTGAGACTTGTGTAATCCTACGGGAGCCCAAGCCGTTTGAAATATACTATAGAGGTAGATTTATTATATTTTTACATAATATTTACATGATTTGTGTAGCCATATTCTCGTATAGAACAAAGTAAACCAATATTGTAAATCCTGATGGAATGCTTCGAATCCTTATCCAATAGCTGAAATCCTCATCAAATACCTCGAATCCTAAAGGAATAGAACAAAGCGTATATTTATAGCTATCTAATAACTCAACAAAAGTTCAAATCAACAAACTATTATGCTACTATTGATAAGATTATAATAATTATGCCTCGGATTTATGATCGGCAAGAGCTAGTTCCTTCAAAAAGTCGACTAAAATTTTGAGGCTTAGTGCATACGCCGAGGCTGAGGATTTGTGATCTGCAAGAGCTTGTTCCTGTGGACAGTCGGGGCTCAGCACACGGTATAAGGATTTATGATCTGCAAAAGCTAGTTCCTCCAATAAGTCAGCTCAAAGTTTGGGGGCTTAGAGTACGTAATTTATCCGTTTATTTCTCGAGTATATATCTCAAAGAGGGAGACCGATTCCTTCTACATATTCCCGAAGCTATATCCCGAAATTTTCGTCAAGACTAAGCTGTCATCAAATTAATATCTAAAGTGGTACCCGATTACATACAATTAGGCATTGCTTATGTTAGGAGAAAGCGCATATAGTATTGGTATTATAATATGATGTGCATTCCTTATTTCCAGATAAGGCATACATGAGTTAGGCAGCTGAAAGAATCCTTATTGTAACCACATGTTAATATGCATTGTCATCATATGGATCAAAAGTACCATTGAATACTTTGTGAATTAAAAATAGATAACTAAATTTTTAGTACAAGAATAAAAACTACTACATGCAGAATAATAGACTATGTTCTATATCTAGTGCTAGCTTGAAAAGGTCTTATACTATATTGCAATTGCCTGGTCTTATATGAACAATACATACACAAGTACGGGAAAATTATCAACACAGGTTTTACATTGTGATATCTTCCTGTTTGCAGCTGGAAAGAATAGCTCTCAAAATGGTTTCCCATTTTCAGACTCTCCTATTTTTCTTGGTCTATATCCTGGTGTTTTGTATTGCAGATACGTCGCTTCCTAGGAATGGTTTCTCGGCAGGTAGAAGCCTGAACAAATTATTGGGGCCAGGATCTCCAGTTCAGATTCAGATTGCCGTGTCGCAAGATAATGCGGATCTAGCTATAAATTCTCTGTTGAAGATTTCAGATCCAACATCGCGAGAATATGGACAGCACTGGTCTGCACAACAAGTTGCTGAAGCTTTTGCTCCTTCAAAGCAGAGCCTGAAAACCGTCACAGACTGGCTGAGCAATGAGGGTATTCTGCCTGCTCGGCTGTCACCATCACACGCCAGAGGACATTTCTTGATCCGGTCAACTTTGGGAGAAGCCGAACGGATCTTCAATGTTACTTGCTCCTACAAGAGCGGCCAGACAAATAGGTTGAAATGCACGGACTACACCATTCCAAAACCTGTGTCTCATCTAGTCGACTACATCACAATAGACACTCTCACCACGTCTCGGTCAGTTCAAAAAGCCAGCAAAGCAAAACGAACAGCGGCGCTTGGGACCCATTCAAGCAACCGGATGCAAGACAAGATTGAGTTGTCCGATAATGCATCAGTAAATTGCAGCTTATATACAATCCCTTCGTGTTTAAGAGAATTCTACAATATTCCCCCAAGCACAAATATTACTGTCAACACGTCTAATACTTTCGGAATCTACGAGATCGCTTGGATGACCTGGCTCCCTGAAGATCTAGATCAATTCTTCGGCCTATTTGAGCAGGATTTAGTCGGCCAGCGCCCTGTCGTTGATCCTATTGACGGCGGATATCTGCAGACAAATTACAATTCCACCCCCTTCAACCTAGAAGCCGATTTGGACTTTCAATATGCGCTGGCTTTAACGAGTCCCATCCCAGTGTTGGATGTTCAAGTTGGCGATGAGTTTGTCTTGGGAGACGTCAATAACATGTTGGCAGCTTTCGATAAGTAAGTGTGTTCCTATTCAATATTGCAGGCCAGTGGCCATCAAGGAACAAGAGAAGTCCACTGACACATTTTCAGATACTATTGCGGATCGCTGGACTCCTCCCTGGATCCCCAGTACCCCGATCCGAAGCCAGGAGGCTACAACCACACTGATTGCGGTAATGTAACACCACCAAAAGTGTTGTCAATCTCATATACGGATCCTGAGGACAACTTCCCCACAGCCTATTTGGAACGGCAGTGCATCGAATTTCTCAAACTAGGGCTGATGGGCGTCACCGTTATCGTGAGCAGTGGTGACTACGGAACAGCAAGTGGCTATTCACCTGGAACCTGTATTGACAGAAAGACCGGCGTCTCTAACGCCACGACTGGTGAATTTAGCCCCCAGTGGCCTGCAAGCTGCCCCTGGATCACTTCAGTAGGAGGGACTCAGCGACTCACTCAATCTGCAAGCGCAAATAATTCCATCTCTGGAAATACAGACATAAAAAGAAACTCACGAATGGCGACAGAAGAGACTGCTTTCAGTGTCGTTCTACCAGGAGTGCATTCCACATCGGGTGGAGGTTTCAGTAACGTATTTCCAGCACCATCTTATCAACGAAAGGCAATTTCCACGTACTTTGATCAGCGCCACGAGGGTGCACACCTAGCTAGCCTCCAAAAGAATGGATTCTTCAATACCACGCGAGTTGGTCGGGGATTCCCAGACGTCTCTACCCTCGCGTCCACATATCTAGCCTATATCGAAGGCGTGCTCGAGACAGTTTACGGAACCTCAGCTTCGGCTCCCGTTTTTGCCTCTATTATAGCCCTCATCAACAACGAGAGACTCAACGCTGGTAAGCCTACAGTGGGTTTTGTGAATCCAGTTTTGTATGCTCACCCTGAGGCGCTGAACGATATAACGACGGGCGCAAATTTGGGGTGTGGCGCCGATCCTGCTTTTAGGGCTGCTGAAGGTTGGGACGCTGTGACAGGTCTTGGCAGTCCGGACTTTGCAAGATTACGGGACGTTTTCATGAATATTTAAAAAGTTTGAGGTTCAAAGTTTGATGCAAAAGCTGTAATCAATGTTGTTCTCCATGACAGACTACTACCAGGGCGCCTCGGCATTATACCCAATGGCGGTGGTGAGTCTATAGGGCTGGATACTTCCTTCAGAAGATATCTAAATATGTACTTTCATAGATTGCTTTACCGATTTCCAGAGTCGATTGGCTTTCACCAATCTCATGTGAGCCAATAGATAAGACTGTAGTAGGAGTCTTGATATGAATTCATTAACACCTTTTTACAAAAGTAGTAATAAAAGTCATTGTCTAGCATTTCGCCTTCAGACAGCGCATATTGAACTCGTGACGTGCTTTAATCTTTTGCCAACAGTTTCCTTAAATCAATCCTCTACAAAACAGTATCAATCTCACTATTCTCGCTCAGCTCATCTCATCATAATACGATATGACCAACAATCATCTCATCATGTACTCCGTACCATTGCTACATAATAATAACAAGCTAACTTTGGCGTATAATAGTATCGCAAACTTTAGGTGCCGCACTCTGCAAACTGGCTACAATTTAGGGGCTAGCTACATGTACCTGTAGTGATTACATCCCCTATATAACTCGGTTTAGACTAACCATCAAAACGACATGAAAATATTGATTTTCTGGCAACAACAGGGCTAGAGAAAGAATGCTTCTAGCTTTCAAATTTTTGTATATTTATTGCCTGGAGTTTCCGTGAGCTTTTGCATTTGCTCAAGTCAATTATCGATGCTATCTATGCCCAGCGCACTTTCTCTCCAAACAATCCACCTCGTCTGTTGGTTTATCTACCCATCACCAACACCACTAAGGACATGGAATGGAAATCGAGCCAGGGGGGCTGCAGCCAGTGGAAGGACTGTCGAAATAGCATTTTCCTAAAGGCAGGAGTTAGCCGATTTAATAATTCCACAGTGAGACATAATTCTACCATCTCCATTGCAATAGCAGTAGTTTCCAATGCCACTGTCTGGATCGGCTCTGTTTTTTTATATGTTGATTAGATGATAAGCGAAATAGAGCAAAAGTAGCAGCCACGAACTGGTTTTCACAAAATCCCTGATTGGCCGTGACTACGGTCAAGAGAAAAGCCAAGGACGCGAGGGCGAAAGTTCTCATTTTCTCCAGAAATGAACAAATTTTTTTGTAGATTGAAGAGTATAATTATTTCGAAAGAGCAAATACAAAAGGTGTTTGGGGTATGGTATAAATGCTGAAAGATTGGGGATGCGGCGTGTAAAAAGTCTTCTTTAAATAAATGCAATAATAAATAGTTTTGTCAACAATTATCTTTCAAGGCCTAGTAGAATCGAAACCAAAAATAAGCATTATTATTGTTATTCTAATATATGCATTTTATTTTTTAATATTTTCTAATACTTTTTTGTAATACATTTGCACATAAAATACAGGGTGTCGTACTCCAGTAGCATGAAAGTGCTAAAGTGGGCTGCACACCAACTTAACACTTGCGCGCTCTGTAAATAAACTAAGTAGCGAGCATGCATAGCGAGAAAAAAACAACCAAAACCAAAAAGTAACGTAATTAAATCCTACACATCTGCAGATCGAAATCCTCTTCCTTCAAAATTGAATCGCCTTCCATCATACTTGAATCCTCTTCCTTCAAACTTCTTCCTTCTTCCTTCGGGTTTGAATCGTCTTCCTTCATGTCGCTATGAAAGAAATAGTATGATCCTATATTGGGATATCCAGCGAACTATCGTATTGATCAGCGTCTTGTGTAAGAAAAACATATGGCTGACAGTAAATCTCTTAGTCGTAGCTGACAGAAGAAAATGACAAAATTTTATGCCAAAAAGGGTAACTGCATGTATCTAAGTACTCAATATCTCTGTCCAATGTGCGTTATAAGTAATTGCCTAGACTAGCTGGGCCAGTCTTCATGTAATTGCCTATATTTATTTGGTGCTTGTATGTAGTATGCCTATAGACAAATATATATATATATATCTCTTACAGTCCATCGTAAATTCTATAAACTAAGTGCCAAACCCTTCGATAACCTACCCATTGGGCCCTTTCTTCAACTGTTCGAGAAATTGTTTTGCCATCCAAAATGCTCTTTGCAAAACCATTTTCGCTTTTCATGCTGGCAGTTGCTCCAAGTAATGGAGCACCCTCCAGTAAACACGCCAACGATTTAGTCAAACGACAGACATCCTCAGGAGTGAGTGGAAGCTTTATCTGTTATTATGTCTTCGTATCAATAGTTTAGACTCGACGTCGTCGATATGCTAATCACTTTTTATTCTTCGTTTCATTTCAGTTTTGTGACCCTAGTTCAAATACTTGCAGATTGTCGAATGGACAGGTCTATGGCTGCAATAATGGATACAACGTAAGTTCAATTCTGAGAATATCACCCGTATTGTCCCAATTTATGTTGAATGAATTGTCCAGTGCAAAATCAATGATGGTGTTTGTTATTACCTTGATGGTGTTGTCCTTTGCGGCCAATAAAGAGATTGATATACGGTATGTAGATATATGACAATGTCAAAGGTTTGGTGAGAGTATTAGCTGCAGATTAATAAGAGAATCAAATAGAAGAATTATTCGCCATAACTCTCGTCTTCTGTGATCGTAAATGCCAACGAGGGAAGAGTGCTACTAATCAGCTGCTGGTGGCTCACTGGGACGTTAGTAGTGTAATAGGGGTATGTAGATTACCTGTTAATATCTGTAACTACGTGTACGCTCTTAGAATAAGACTACGTACCCACAATCGCACCGCGCGTCTTCAACATACTAAGTAACATGACGACATCTTTTTCGAAATATTTATATCTAATGATATTTTAATAGCTGAGAGATTAAAATAATTAGGCAGCAGCTGCGGGGTAGACAATCTTTGACCAACAAAGCGCATAAAACACCGCCCAACCAAGAACGGAAAACGCCGCATGCCTCTATATCTTAGAACGGGTATAAGAACCCGTGGAACCAACACACAATACCGGAAGGCCATCACAATTTCTTAAGCTACTACTTTGCTACAAAACAAACAAGGGTTGTTCTTTTTTATTCCTCTGACATCATGGCGGAAGGATCTACAAACCACCAAGAATCTCTGGCCGCTTGGAATGCCCATAAGTCCGTGGGTCGTATCGATACTGAATCTACCACTCACGAGTTTCTTCGTCGAGCAGATCCAGAATACCACATTACACGCACCGTTCCATCTAAATGCGACTTATTGGGATACGCCCGAGCTGGGCATGCCACGTCCACCCGCCAGTTTGAAGATGACCTTGACGCGACTCGTGTCTATCGTTTGCCGTCCTCGAGGATGGATGAGGAATCCGGAAAACTCGAAGACGTTGTGAATTTTGCCCGTTGGAAATACGAGTGGCAAGGCAAAGATTTCATCGTATATCAGTTGACCTACGTTAACGAGTTTCATCAAAATATCCACTTCCTCTTTGTCCTAGCTTCCAACTTGCCTCAGTTCGTGCATCATGGCCATCACGAGTCCACTGATGCGCTATTGCTTGCGTCGGGCTCGTGGACAAAAGAGCTTCATGAGGAAATTTGGGTATACGATAACTCAGAGTGGATTAAGAGTAAGGGGCTTTGGAAGAGCGTGCAAGGCTCTTCATGGGACGACGTGGTCCTCAATCCAGCGATGAAAGACAAGCTTGTTCAAGACATTGAAGGTTTCTTCAACAGCCGAGAAATGTATGAAAAACTGAAAATCCCTTGGAAGCGTGGCTTGATCTTTCACGGCGTACCTGGAAACGGCAAGACAATATCCATCAAAGCGATCATCAACGCACTTGCTAAACGCTCACATCCTGTCCAATCTCTCTATGTGAAATCACTGGACGCTTGCTCTGGGCCAAAATGGTCAATTAAGCAAATATTTCGAAAGGCCCGCCGAATGGCTCCTTGCCTCCTTATTTTCGAGGATCTTGACAGTCTTGTTGGTGATAATACCCGCAGCTACTTTCTCAACGAGGTTGATGGCCTTGAGTCTAATGACGGTATTCTCATGATCGGCTCTACAAATCACATTGAACAACTAGATCCAGCTGTGACAAAGCGACCCAGTCGATTTGATCGCAAGTACCATTTCAAGCTTCCCGACGAAGATGAGCGCATCGCGTATTGTCATTATTGGCGCCAAAAGTTCAGCGAATCTGATACCGTGGATTTTCCGTACGAAATGTGCACCATTATTGCACAATTGACACAAGAATACAGCTTCGCATATCTAAAAGAACTCTTCGTCACTTCGCTTCTTCTACTTGCCCGAGGTGGCGCCGAAGAATTCAGTGAGATTAAAGACGCTGCGAGCAGCTACTTTAGCAAGGATGCGGTTTGCCAGTCGAGTTCCATTGTGCCTGCCAAAACTACGACAAACGGTGATAATACGAATGAGGATGTCACAGAGCCCAAGTCTTCAGAGGATACCAAACAACCTACGAAGCGGACCGTACCAGAGATCAACATTCCAGTATCACTTCAGGACAATATCTTGTTAAGTATTATCATACTGCAGGCCAAATCACTTCTGGAAGAAATGGATCATGGATCTAGTAGTGCCGCTCAGAAAGTGAGTGGTGCATCCAGACCGCCTCGTATTCGGCTTCCGTGGACTTCGATACTTGATGAAGAAGACGAAGATTAGTCAAATAGCATATAGCAGTACATTTATTACTCTAAATACAATGAGTACATAAACATGATGTACAGTTCTCATTTCATGTACGCGATAAATCCAACAGTAGCTCTTGTTGATCATTCAGCTGGCTCAATTTGAAATATCTTTCGCAGTTGTAGCTAATAACGTCAGCGGATGTAGCCCAACAAGAGTCATGCATGCATTGTGAAAACTTACCTCCAGCAAGCGGTACCCGTTGCCAGTCTTTGGCAGCCACGGATATACTCACGAATATTATTGTTAAGCTTCTCATCAGTGGTGCTCCAAGGCAATCTGGCTTCAGCCTCAATACAGATCTTGTAGTGATCTTTCAGAAGACCAAGTACTTTGTGAATGGATTGTTCAATAGACATATCATAAGTGTTCATGAACAGCAGGCAAAGATTTTCTAGTTGAGAAACTCGCTAATAATAGCAGCGTTGTTAACTTCAAATCGCCAGTACAGTTGTATATGGGACATCAACTTACAAATTCTTTTTGCAGAGACAAGATCTCATTCAATAGAATTGTCAGCTTAGTGCATTGCAGGACAATCTCTTCCATAGCTTCATGCCTGCGAATCCAATCTGGAAGCGTAAACTCCATGGCATATTCGTTCTGAGTAATACTTGGGATGACTCCAACATCATCGACACGCATTTGGAAATGGTCCCAAGGATTTGGAAGGTGATCCTCTTGGCGAACCTTTTGCTGGTTTCTTACCCCATTGACGTAGTCGTGGAGCTCTTGTTTCAACCGCATAGTGGAAACAGGACTAAGACCAGCCCGGAGGTCTCTCAGAATGGGATAGAGCATCTCCACGGTGCCTCGGGAGCCAGGAGGAGGTGTATAGTTGGGTTCGGGGCCGAGACAATCGTCAATGCACTTATTAGTCTCGGCACAGCACAGTATCGTGCCTTCTCTATCTTCGGTGAGCTCTCCACCGGTATCAATTTCTGTTAAAACCAAGTCAGTATCCAAAAAGTCGCCGACACTAGGTTTTTACTACCGTCGTCCCAAAAGAATATCTATAGATTCTGTTAGCCAGGCTGCTTAAATATAGGCAGTTAAGAATAACAATAACACATACCCAGTACAGAAATTGAGAGAGAGCCAACATCTTTTCTTTTCTACAGTGTGGATAGTAAATGCCTGCTAACAAGGTATAATTTCCTTGAGCTCTGTGTTTTATTTTTTTCTCTTTTGAAACATTCACACTAACAATATCATTCAGTAACTTCCTTTGGTTGCTTTGGTTAACAATTGATAGAATTAAACTTACGTTTTCAGCCATTCATCAATTTTGACATTGATCTCATCAATGTTTGGCTGGAATTCGCTAGGCCATGCAGGCATCAGTTCTAGGATATATGGCACAAGAATTTTCTTGTTGAGAGCTCTTCTGATAACCTCCCTGCGCTCCCCAGACAGGGTGGCAACATCATCCACGGTCTGACTGGTGCCGGTCATACGATGAAACACAACATCTCTCATAAAAAGGCTAGTTGTGGTGGGTTGACCCATGCTGTGTTAACTGGCAAATGGCCGAGAACTTCGAGTCTCTTGTCAAAGGAGTTGTTGGTTATGATTCCTTCATCTTAAAGGTTCCAAGTTGGTTTGGTGCACACAGGTTTATATGTATCACAAATACTACATAAATCCTTGTTCCCTTGACAGTTTATCCGTCCCAGTTCTTCAAGGTCTTACAGAGCCACATGATTCTTTCATCCATGGACGTTGAAATCCTTCAGTATGGGGCAATATAAGCGGCTTACAAACCCCCATTTGTTCTCAACATACCGCAGGGGTCATCCAGTTCAGAAGTCGCCTATGACTTGGAAAAAATACTCGAAGTTTTTCTAGGCAATGAAGCTTTATAACATACGTATATACCAAGTCAAGGTTTGCTAAATCGCGTCTTATTTGACTTATACTACATTTGCAATGATTACCTGAAACGGTGATATAACACCAGCATGCTGGGAAACTTTTGTGAAGTCTGCCTTGTTGCATGGCGTGATCCTTGTATCAGCCTCAGATTGGCGCTGAAAGTAGATATTACTCCCAGCCATAAGTCAATAATATTAGCAACGGTTTCTCCGGCATCTGAACAGACGCATTTAGTATCTCAGCTGGCGTATTCAGCTGGCGTATTCAGCATACAAGCAGGCGTATCTACTAGCTGATTTGTAATTAACCGTATACAGCAAAGCATGATGGTAATCCTTGTCATGTGCTCTGATCTTATTTTAATTGCCAAATCCTCCATACATTTGGATATATAATACGCCAACTTACGTACTAAATACGCTGGTTTACATCCGATTCCGTCCCTAATACTATTTGGTCGAACCTCTAAAACAAGGTTATCTCACAGTATGCTAGCTCACAGCCATTTTAACTCGTTGCCATCATGCTCTTGGCAGCATGCGAATAAGACGGTTGACTTGCGTCGGTGTCAATGAGTCCCCAACAAGGAATCTCATCCTGTAACGGGCCTTTCCAAAAAGAATTCTCTTCTTCAGCAAAATTTGTCGATCGAGAAATGCAATATTACAGCCCTTGCTGACGGACAGCAGATGGTGACCGTCGATGCCGCGGCAACTGACTACGAAAGCTGGAATGGAAGCGGTAGGCGCAGCAGATTATGCGTGTTCCAAGTGATCCACGTGTTGTCAGCCGGTATTCCATAACTCTAGGAGCAATACGCCTGTGGGATCAGCGAGGGAGTCGATTCAGATGGTGTATCCACGGCGAAAGCTCAGATTTTAGAGCCATTGCCTTGGAATGAGATGTTATATAGCGTCGTGCCAACGTTGATGTCATATTTGCATACGGTCGTCGTTACATCCCAAATGCTGATTGTGTAGTCATTTGAGGCTGACGTGAGTAGTGCGTTATCGGTCGAGAAGGCTGCTGACCAGATGATGCCATGGTGGCCTGTGAGTGTCTGAATACATGTTCCTGTGTTCATATCCCACATCTTCACAGTGTAGTCCCTTGATGCGGAGGCGAGCAGTGCGTCGTCGCAAGAGGACTCCATTGATCTCACATAGTCCTCATGGCCTTGCAACGCGTGAAGACACACCTTGAGCTATATCCCAGGTCTTGATGCTGTTATCCGTGATGCTGAAGCAAGTGTTTTGCCATATTGTGTAGAGGTTATTGAGCTGATGGCACTGTTATGACCAAGAGTGTTTTAATGCATACGCCTGTTACTGTGTCCAAGATCTTGATTGTCTTGTCCTCTGATGCCAAGCAAGCTTTATGCCATTTAACAAGAATGTCACTGACCGGACAGGCCCCCTATGACCTTGCAGGGTTTAAATGCGGTTTACCTGGCGGGTTAAACTAGATAACTAAGAGGTGTATTGTCGGTCGTGGTGGTTCCAGCAATTGCTACCATATTACGCGTCTAGCGAGTGTCGTCAGAGATGAAGCCGATCCGGTACGTGGTCTCTACGGTACAGATCGTAGGTGCACGTATATTGGGATCAAAAAGCTTGCATTCGTAAGATCTGGAGCCTAACGCCACTATATATAAGATCTTATGTCCTCGTCCTTCCTTCCCTGGGGACGTCGGGGCAGGTGTCCCCCAACAAAAATTCCTAAGGAATAAACGTAGTAATAATTTTAAGTTTATATTAGTAAAGTAATTATAAAACCTAGTAAGTAATATAATATTACAACCTAATACACTTTGTTGCAACAGAGATATATACTACAGACTAAATAACTAATTATAAATAAGTTGATACTAATTGATTATTAACTTTTATATTAACTTCCAAATTTATTATAGTAATGTAATTGTCCTTCTCTCCAATTTATGCCATAACTTATCCCACGACCGCAGACTGTAATTGTGATCTGGGAAAACCCAATGAGCAGATCGAATAGGCGCTTCGCCAATACCAATACGGTAAAATGCGTTTGGACGATTGGGTACAGCGGTGAGAAGTAGAAACTGACATTTATAGAACAAGCCATCGCCCTCCCACTGCTTGATTCGGATGCAATAGGGCTGGTGAACAGCAACGTAAGCAAGTTGTTCATCCCGACTGATCTGTCCAGAGTCCGCTGTTATACGTGCAAAAGGTTGCCCGTCTTGTTCTGCATGTTCCATGCTAAAGAAAAGCTTCCGGGAAAGATATCCACAGTCACCTTGGATGATGATGTGTGCTCTCTTGACGTCCACAAAAGATCCTTCTACCCTGACTGACAGCACCCTGGCTTGATAACTTGATGAACCGCCATGCTGTTTCTCAATTTGTGTATTGATCTTTCCATCTAACTTGGCCCAGCTCCAAGATGGGGAGCGATATGTTGCTGCAATTTTAATATCACCCGAGGGAGCATCAACCTTCCAGAGGAGCCCCCAAAGGTCGTTTATATGTTTCTGCCACAGCCCGGCCACATATTGTCCCCCATTCCCTTCATAACGAGTATCAAGTGCCGCCATAAGACCTGCAACGGCCGGGAGCTTGTCACCAGGATTTGTCAGACGCCGATCTGAATAATTTGCCTCGATCGCGCTCCATTCTTCCAGCATGGACTTCCACTCTGAGGGCTGCGAAGAAGATTTGTCAGGACTTTGGCCTTTCAGACCCCGAAGTTGATGCACGAGTCCACTTCTGGGCATCGCCTTGTCCATGCGGGAATAGGCTCCGTTCGCAGAAATACTTTCAATGTATTCCCTATAGCGCTTGTAGTCATTGTTATTATGCTTTGAGGAGATTTTGTGATTCCTTTGGGGTTTGATGTCTGGAACAGCCAACATGTTGTTTTCGCATCTAATACAAGCATTGCATTCCCAATATATCTGATCCTTTCCAAAGAAAAGGCTTCGTGTGGAAAGCATACGCTCTTGTAAAGTCCAGCCACGAGTTGTGAGTGGGCTGGTTTTGGTCATGGATGCCCAGTCTTGGGCATGCTCACCAATAAAAGCCTGCGGCGTTTTTCTCATGCCAAGTGATCGATGACTCCAGTTAATATAGTGAGATCTCTTGTTTCTGTTTAGCAAGAACCCCTCATTACTCGTAGCGGCACTTGAAGCGTGGATTGTGACCTGGGAATTTCCATATACACTCGCCATCTTTTCTGCCTCATTCTTCCAGTCACTGGCATCATCTGCATTCATATTCGATGTTAAATGGATATTTGACGATAGTTAGTTGAAATCTGGCTTACCCTGTATTATACATAAGGAATCAATCCAGATATACTGGAAACCTAATGCCCTTGTGACCTTGATCGCATCTCTGATGGTTCGTGGTAAGATATCAAAATCGATCTTTTTCGTTCGTTGCCGGAAATTTGCTTTGATTGTCTGATGGTGGGTAATACCACCCCAGCAATAGCTAAGAGCAACGTATGACCCAAAAGTGTTTCGACTCTCGAATAGAAAGGGTGCAGTGCCGGTATTTACGTCACCCACATCTAGTACTCGTGTAGGTAGAAGTGTAGAGGGTGCCAATAAGCATGCTTGGCCATGATGGCGCATGCAGTCGCTGATATAGCCTTTCATCAGATTAATACCCTCATTTGATAGTGGGTTTCTAGCGATACTTCGTCCAAGAATGAAGGTTCGATCTAAGTGGGGATCATCTACCAACAAATCAGCTCCGTTAATCAGTGGGCCCAGCTTTGACAGGCCATGTAATGGGACGAAACACACCATGTGATACAAAGAGATCGAAGGAAATCAAGACTGTTGGCTCTCTATCTGCACTAGGAGCCAAGGTTACTCCAATCATGTTGACCCAATCATCGGAATCATCTCCGCTGTCGTAAAAAGGTGTAACAAATATTCCCTCAGAGAGAACACGAGAATTATCCGAGCGAACATCATCTGGCCATTCCTCCTCTGCTGAATCGTCACTTTCCCCTGAGGAGATTTCATCTTCGCCAGGTAGTCCAAATAGACTAGGGCGTTTTATTTGAAAACCTCGGAGAAATGTCTGGCAGATGTCACAACCTTTATCAGCCGAGTGCATCAGGCCTCTCAGAGAGGGTTGGTGCTTGTAGAAACCATCCGTCATCAGGCCGCCGTTATCGAGTTGCGTGTCCGCTTGTGATAACCTTTTGCGCCTTCTTTTTCTTTTGGATAGTTCAGTAACCGTTAGGCCATTGCAATATTTACACCTCATAGTTCCGAAGAGGCTCTTAGTGTTAAGACGAGATATTTAAAGAAGTCAAAGCCAACCGCAGCTACTGGTACAGATCGAGAGGTGAATAGTGCAAATAGGGGCGTTGTGGAGACGAGTGGTTCGCTGTCAAAGATGAGCTATTTGTTATATTGCATGTAGATATAGCCAGCGCGACGTATGCGTAGGAAAACTAAGAAGTGTTACGACCCAACACACTTGGTCGCAACCACAGTACATACCACGGAGTAACCACGGACCGAACGGCCAATCACCCCGATGAACAGACTTACAGCGTTGAGGCTGACTGTTTTCGTTCACGAATCGAATATTTGCCAGGATTTCTACGTAGCATCAACACGCTGCTCGATATCGTGACTTTCAATAAGTTGTGCCCAAAAATGTGAAAGGGACCATGCGCGTTACGTTCAGATCAGCTCGGTAAAAAAAAGACTGAAGTATGACGCCGCAGCATTCGAACTGCAAAATATCGGCTTCACCGTTCCCACGACCCCAAAGTATGTACAGAAACAAACTTAAGAAGAAGAAAATCCAGGTCAAAAGGTTATAACAGGCAAAAAATGGACAAACGGGGAATTGAACCCCGGACCTCTCCCAAGCGGGTCCCTCTCAAGTACTCTTGAGACGGAGAAAGATGCTAAGGGAAAATCATACCACTAGACCATTCGCCCAACTGTTGTGATGCTTGAGAATTCTGGTGCTGAATTGCCTCATGATCGCAGGATGGGACAGAATTGGTTTCAGTTAGGGTAGTGCTTCACGTATGGCTTTGAGCTGCAACACAGTCTTCGTGAATCTATATTTCTTAGTGGCCAGTTCGAATAAAGTAGGTGTGCCCGGCATTAACACTAACTGGGAACCCATTTTTCTACTTAATTCCATTACGTTCCCATAACGAGGCCCGAATCTGTTAAACGCAGCATTAGCAAGATCTTATAGCGATGTGATAGTGTGACATACCAATAACAATCTCTTGGCCAGTCATGGACGTATTCTTAGCCGCGTGAATGAAGACGTCGGCAGTGTCGTCGAGATCAGTCTATAAAGCCAGAGTTAATTGACAGGAATCGGCAGAGAAAGGGCTTTCTCATACCTCGCGCTTCAGTGTGGATGCGTTTTTGACCTTTTCAATCATTTCTGGCCCAAAACGTTGGCCCTATCATCAAACAGGTAAGCGATATTCTAAAATAATCATTACGCAGAAGCAAAAAGAAAAGAGCAACAAGAACAATAATAAAAGAATGAAGAAACAAACCCATTCAGTAAGCATAAGACCAGGGAGAATAGCATTCACTCGAATCTTGGGCCCTTGTGTTAATGCGAGGTTCTTCATGAGCTGCAGTCCAGCAGCCTTTGTAACAGAGTAGGCCATGCTACTACCACGATTGCTTATGCCCTGAATAGTACTCTCTTATGTTAACGTTGCTCATACTCATCCGTAAGGCACATGTTGGTTTTGCTTACTGCGATGGAAGAAGTAATCAGATAGACACCTCCTTCGGGATTCGCATTGAAGATTGGCGCGGCTTCTTGCATGAGTTGCAGGTGAGACATGACATTGACTGCCCAGCACTATATCAGATGTTAGTAACTGTTTATTCCAGAATTCTCCTCTATTGCCATACCTTGTTCCACTCGTCATCATTCAAGGCATGGAGATCGCCAAACTTGCTCAGCTTAGTCCATCCGGCATTTGCGATAATAATGTCGAGTCCGCCAAGATTTTTTACTGTTTCTTGAACAACGCGCACATTGTCTTCTCGTTTTTCGGCGTCCTGTGTGTTTGAAGTATTAGCCTTGGTCAATAGACTGCTACAGGACTGCATGATGCATAGCACTTTCATGTTGAAATACTTACGCCTTGGATGACAAATGTCTTGCTGGAATAATCCTTTGTCAAAGTGTCGGCCAGTTTTTCAGCTGCTGCTGAATTGGAGATATAATTGATCGCGACATTGGCTCCTTCTTCAGCGAACTTCTTACAGATGAGGGCCCCAAGACCTCTATCTTAGTGGTTAGTGCGGAGCTCTTTTTACAGCGAGGCAGCAGAATCATTGAATCGTACCTAGAGCCTCCGGTGACCAGAACATTTCTTCCTTTCAGTGAGTAGGGCATTTTTCTGATAATTCTTTACTGCTAGAGCTGAGAAATAGAGACAACGGATATATGTCGCTGGTCTCCTCTCTTTTATAACCCCGCATACCCAAATTGCTCAATATCTTACATGCGTCTTATTCATCATGAGCCGCGGCGAAGGCGGGTCCAAACGGCACTCCACAGCCGAAAAGATTAGTTCGAGGACATATTTCCTCTTACTTCCATCAATTTCAAGAGTTTTTATGCCAATTATACATATTTCTTGTACACTTTCATGCAGAATGCACGTTTTATGTTCAATATGCCTCATACATGCGATTCAGGCTGCTAGCCGAGGACATATGAGCAGCAGATCTTGCCTAAAAGGGCAAACCAGCCTACGATATCGGCTTTTTCCGATTATGTGATAGGACTGGAGATCCTATATTCAAGAACAAACTCGGTTAGGACAACTATGTATTACTAGGAGATCCTCTTACACCGCTTTGGAGAATCGTTTTCCCTTCGAAATTACATGCTAAAGTATAAAATGAGGATGTAGTCTAACTTTGCCAGAGAAAATTGACGTCGTTTAGGGCCCATGGCGGAATAAGTGCGAGGCTATTTGCGGTTGTATCTTGGGCATTCGATCCGCATTCAAGTTACATGCAGCTATATAAATCAGAATATAGAGGGTTAAACATATAATAGCTAATTAAGATTTTATAGGCTCCAGATAACCGACAGTATAAACTTCTTCTTCCGGATTCTGCCAATCAAGCTTCTTAACCTCCCGGGTCTGATCAAAATGCGTAGAACCATATCTCAAATAGGCGGCAAAAGTTCCCTCTTCGTTGTCTTTACTGTGATTCTCTTCGTCATCCCATATATCAGCCAGCATCTTCAACGCCAATCCGCCCTTACCTGGCCCGTGAGGTAGCTTCACCATAGACGTGTTTGCCAGCACCGATGTTACAAAATCCTCAGCCTCCTGCCATTTCGTGTCTACAACAACATCATCTCCAGATCGTGGCATCGACAGAAGGTCAAATTGGTGTTGTGCGTTCCAATTGGATATTTCTTGAGCGTAAAACATTTCCTCTCGGGCGTTGAGTAAGAGCATGTGTTCCTTATACCACTCTGCGCCGTTGAAGCCATCCTTTGGGTCGCTGAGCTTTCTCAGTCGCTCACAGCACATGTAATGGGCCACGTAGTCGGTGAAGGCTTCATAATTCACCTCCACGGGTGTCATATTGGCCACATTTTTAGGAAGGCGAAATACAGGTAAATGACACAAAAGTGGGTGTTTATGAAACCCCGCTGCGTTGGTTACTCCATGCCAAAGCGCGACATATATATCGTGCCATCGTTTGATGAAGGGATTGTTGCGTTTGGTGGCTAGAAAGCCGTTTAATGGAGTGTAAGTGTCTGGCAAGTGCATCAAAGCCACCGCACTCAGTTCACAAGGAGACTCGGGATCCTCGATCCGCTTCCAGCAAATATCATCGACGTGTCGCAGCAGTATCAGGCCTGCGTCCATCCACAGGCCCCCATATTTCCACAGCAGAGGCAAGCGCACCAAGTCACCCTGGTGTGCCTTGTGTCCATCCATGGTCCCATCAATGAAAGTCTGCGGAAAGAGAGAGGTATCAATGTAATTGAAGATGCTCGTATCCGAGCCATCAACACGGTCCACTACGTGGACAGTCCAATCGGGACCCAGCCTTTTGACCCAATTAATAACATTTCGCTGTACCCATGGCCGCATTTGAGCGAAGCCAGAGTGCCAAAATGTCCAGATATTCTTGTCAGAGGTAACGGGGTGGCGCTTTTGAAGCCATGCTGCGATCTCTTCATCCGAGCGATGGTCAATCTTGTCCGGAGATAAAAGTGTAATTCCATCCGGAAGATGTGGTTTCCGAGTGTTCACTAACACGCCGATGTCCGCCGACCGAAGAAGTGCTTTATCGTCATACATGCTTGCTAATGGTTAAAAGGCAAGTCTGGTCAATTCTAGGGACAAACCAGCTGAAAGGCGCAGTTCTTTTATGCTCTAATATTTTCAGAATATCAGATGCCAAGCTCATAGAAAATACAACGTTACAAAGTTACGAGTTACAGCATTGCTTTGCGCAAAGAATAAGCATTGTCTTGTTTTAGCATTGTGGCGTTACATTGCACAATTTATTCACACTCCGTTTAAAAGTACAGATACCTGACCACATGTTATATCTTAATTCCGATTTGACTATGCGGAAGGATTACCTGAAACAACTTGATGTCAATGTCCTCGCATCACCTGCTCTATTCAGCTTCCAAATACCTTGCTCAGGTGCATATAATAGATCTCTAATTTCCATCTTCGAGGAACCTCTTTCGTGAGTATTGTAAAACCCTTCTATTTCCTACACGAAGCTTTACTCGCTACCTTTTAGGAAAATCGCCATGTGAACAGAATACGAGGCGTCGCATCGCACATCAGTAGGCTAAAATACTACCTTCATGGCGCCTTAGGCGAGACCACAGCGAAGTCCAGTAGCTCAAAGTTACCTTGAATGGTCTGCAGTGTTCTTAACAATCCCATATCAAAATAGCTCGCTGCAGATCAAATGCAAGTCGCCCAATTGGGTCGCCAACATCAGCTCATAGTAACATAACATGCTTGTTTGAGTCTTGGGTGATGAGGTGCTGACGTAGGTGAGCATTCAGGAAATTCGTCATGAGGGGCAATCTCATCTAAAAATATATAGCATACAAGGATATCCTAGACAAGAGTAATAGCTAGAGTGAAGCATACTTGATCCTTCAAGCTTGTCCTATTGGAGAAAGACTTTTTTTTTGTCGGACCAGGCGCGTAGGAGTCGAAGCAGGAGCACCGTAACGTTGCTGTCTTTCTGGTACCATGTCATGCAAATTTACAGATGTGGTAAATGAATCTACAGACGATTTTCCTTTAGTCGCAATATCTGGCTCTTGTATAAGTTTCAGTCCCCTGGGAGCATTTTGCTGTGGATACTCGCATGTGACGAGCATGTAAGGTAATCTGATCGTCTATTTAGATCGATCTCACGCCACCAATTCGGTGGAAACTAGACAAGCGGAAGCACACTATAGTTAAAGAGCTGAAGTTGCCCCAGAAATAGGGCGAACCATTCCAAGTCATACATAGGGCGAAATATAAGTCAGAAATAGGGCGCCCCTCAATCTGGAAGGCATTAACTAATTGAGTTCGTATCAGTTTAGTTACCCATCCTAGAGGTTTAGCAGGAGCCTTTTGCTTATAAATTCGTGACCCGAGCTGTCTCCGCCATACTATGATTACTATTCGGTACTCCATCGGCTTGGCTCCGTACTATATAAAAGTCGGATTATCTAATGGCCTTTACATAACTACCTTGGGTATTCTCGCTCTGGCGTCTCTTTTAGGCAACTGCAACTTTCTGTGCTTGAGTCGTTTTGAATAACGCGATTGGCTCTGAGTTGCTAGCGCATTTGTCAGCTACGCGTATCACATTGGACCTTTCAGATGGCGACACTGAGGTCTCTAGCAGAATCCAGTGAATAGTCGGTAATTCGGGTTATGAGATATTATGAATACCGAGGGATCTTCAGGTATGGATACGTATATAAGTGTTGGCTGGTGCCATTCCAGCACAGAGAACAGGATAAGAACCACAAAGGCGTTTGACTAGCGACAACAAGCTCCTAAAAATCCGTCTTATATCATCAGAAGCTGTTTTAAACTGAATAAATCGCCAATATGCCTAAATCACCGATCGAGATTGTCCTGGGAACAGGAAATGTAAGTCAGCTATCACGGCCATAACATCCAGGATCATGGCATTAAACAGTTATCGACAACAGGTTGGAGACATGTCCAGAGACCCAATGGCCAAGTTTGACTCGCCAGCAGAAGTTCAAGAGTTTCTCGATGCCTTTTACAAGAGCGGTTACCGCCAGATAGATACCGCCAGAGGCTATTCACCACACGCTCCATTGTCCTGTGAGCCCCGTCTCGGTGCAGTCAATGTCGGGGATAAGTTCATCATTGGCACCAAGGTTGTCTCACGCCCCGAGGGAGCTCATTCGAAGGACAAGATCGCGGACAGCGTTGATGGTTCCTTGGCGGCATTGAAAGTTCCTCAAGTTGACATTATGTATTTGCATCAACCTAACCGCAGCGTGCCTTTTGAAGAGACCGCGGAGGCCATGGACAAGGCCTATCGGGAGGGCAAGTTTAAGCGATTTGGATTGTCCAACTACACGGCTGCCGAGGTTGAGCAGTTCATCAAGATTAGCGAAGAGAAGGGGTTTGTAAAGCCAACTGTCTACCAAGGACAGTACAACCCTATCGTTAGAAGTGGAGAAAAGGAGCTCCTCCCCGTGTTGCAGAAACATAACATTGCCTTTTACGCTTGGAGGTGAGTCAATACAGCTCCGATTGGAAATTTTCAGAACTGACTCTTTCTCATGACAGTCCTGGCGCTGCGGGATTCTTCAATGGCAACCACAAGAACGCCCAAGCTGGAAGTCGCTACGACACCTCTGTAAGCCAAAACTCCTAAACATGGGTTTAAGATGCTAATCATTTCTCAGCATTTCCTCGGCAACTTTTACACTGCGAGATATGTCAAGCCAAGCATCGATGCTGCTGCCGACCGCGTGCGAGAAGTCGCCGCAAATCATGGCATCTCTGGACATGCCGCGTCTCTTCGATGGACTGCCTACCACAGCGCTCTTTCCGCCGAGCGTGGCGATGCCATCATCATTGGTGCCTCGAGCATCAAGCAGCTAAATGAGAACTTGGAGATTTTTGAGCAGGGGCCACTTCCGCAGGATGTTGTTGATGCAGTTGATGCTGTCTTTGCAGAAATTGGAGATGATGCGATTGCGTATCACAACTAGGATGATTTGGCCCTATGCACAAGCAAGCGTTTGTTGTGAACATAGATATCAATTCATATTTAAGTTATATTCAGCTTAATAAAGTAAAGAACATTGAATAAAAACATTCATGGCAACTATGTTCCTAGTGACCAATCAGTTTCAATTCATATGCAACTCCGCGAAGACAGAGAACGCATTAAGCCAGTAAAGCTTAGATGCAGCATTCGAAAGCAGCTTTTACAGGATTCAGCAATTAAAAAAAGATCAGATATAGCTACTTTCAATTAGTACAGCATCAGTTTTTATATTTTCTGCCTTGGACAGAGAATTTGAAGCTCCTTCATATTGTCGGCAGCACGTGACCTCGCATCATGGCGCGTTGATGCCTAGAAGCATCGCGTCTCCCACCGTGAACTGCCCCCAGCTTAACGTTCTTTTGTGCACTTTGCGAGGTTTGAATTCCGCCTTTGCCTTTGTCTTTTAACAGCCTCAAAATAAATAAACTGTTGGTTGTTTTCAGCCATTGGACAGAAGACATTCGTTTAGCATCATGCCCGAGTTTGCTGGTAAGCTCTGACAAAATGTGCTGATCGCAGACTGCCCCGCTAACCAATTGCTCAGAGGCAGACACGATCCGCATCCTGATTGCGACGGACAACCATGTGGGATATGAGGAGCGAGATGCGATCCGCAAAGACGACAGCTGGCGGACGTTTGACGAGATCATGACTCTGGCCCGCACAGAGGACGTACGTTGAGCCGACATCTTGCAGGCATCTTGCTCGATTTTCTGTCTCCAAGCTCACGCTCTGCAGGTCGACATGGTGCTGCTTGCCGGCGACCTATTCCACGACAACAAGCCCTCTCGAAAATCCCTCTACCAAGTCATGCGCACGCTCCGCAAGAACTGCCTCGGGATGAAGCCATGCCCACTCGAGTTCCTCTCTGACGCCGCCGATGTCTTTGAGGGAGCCTTTCCCCACGTCAACTACGAAGATCCCGACATCAACATCTCGATCCCTGTCTTTTCTATCCATGGCAATCACGACGATCCGTCTGGCGAAGGAAACTACTGTTCATTGGATCTGCTACAGGCAGCAGGCCTGCTGAACTACTATGGGAGGGTCGCCGAGGCGGATAATATCCAGGCGAAGCCGATTCTACTACAAAAGGGCGAGACAAAGCTTGCGCTGTATGGTCTAAGCAATGTACGAGACGAGCGCATGTTTAGAACGTTTCGAGACCACAAGGTCAAGTGGTTTCGCCCTGGTATGCAGACTGGCGAGTGGTTTAACCTGCTCGCTGTCCATCAGAACCACCATGCCCATACAGCGACGTCACATCTACCGGAAAACGTGCTTCCAGACTGGCTTGATTTAATTGTCTGGGGACATGAGCACGAGTGCCTGATCGATCCCACCAAGAATCCAGAGACTGGCTTTCATGTGATGCAGCCCGGGTCGTCGGTAGCGACTTCATTGGTGCCGGGAGAGGCTGTCCAAAAACACGTCGCGGTGCTGAGCGTGAATAACAAGACCTTTAAAGTTGACAAGTTCCCGCTCAGAACGGTTCGGCCATTTATTACAAGGGAAATCATTCTCTCTCAGGACAAGCGCTTCCGAGGATTGGACACAAAAAAGGACAATCGAACTGACATTACGAAACGGTTAATGGAGGTGGTTGAGGAGATGATTACAGAGGCCAACGCAGACTGGGAAGCAATTCAGACAGATGACGAGGCTTTGGAAGACCGGCCTCTTCCCCTTATCCGCTTAAAAGTTGAGAATACCGCACCAGAAGGCGGCCAATTTGACTGCGAGAATCCACAGCGGCTTTCCAACCGATTCATTGGCAGAGTGGCCAACACAAATGATGTGGTGTACTATTACCGAAAGAAGAAGGCCCCCAGTGAGTCTTGTATCTACTAATCTTGCGCTTTCCTCTCAGCTTACATTCTCTAGGTAAAAACACGCAGGCAAACACTGCGGAGGCTCTCGAGTCCCTCGAGGACGACTCAGCCGAGACGATGAAAGTAGAAAATCTCGTCAATCAGTTTCTCTCGGTACAATCTCTCAAAGTCCTGCCACAAGGCCCCTTTAGCGAAGCGGTCAATCAGTTCGTTGCCAAAGACGATAAGCAGGCTATGGAGCTTTTTGTATCAGAACACCTGTCCGGACAGGTCAGACAAATGCTGGGCCTCGAATCTGATGATGAGGACCTAAATAACGCCATGGAGACTTACAAGAAGAGGGTAGAGCAGCGGATGGCCACTGCCGGGAGCTTGGGGAGGATGGCACAAAGCGAACGAAAGAGGACATTAAAACCCAAGCCAGACGGGTGGGACTCGGAATTCGATGGTAGCTGGGAGAACGAGCCTGGTGCATGGGCGTACGAGGATGACACGCCATCCAATCTAGAAGCTAGCAGCTCATCCCGAAGACCACAGCCAAAAGATGATGAAATGCTAGATTTAGATGACGAGGAACCACCGGCAGCAAAGCCGAAAAGAGCACGAGCGACAAAGGCTACGCCGGCTAAGAAGGCTGCTGCGGCTAAAAAGCCGCCCGCTCGGCGTGGCCGGAAGCCCTTTGAGGACAGCGAGGAGGAGGAGCCGCCTGAGGAAGACGTGGTGATGGATTCAGAGGAAGCAGAGGAAGAGCTGCCAGCTAAACCGGCGCGGGCAACTCGGCGCGGCCAAAATACGAAGAGCACAGCCGCTGCTAGCAAACCTGCGGCAGCAAAGAAGACTAGAGGCGCGGCGGCGGCCAAGTCACGGCAGACGAAGCTCAATTTTTCACAGGGAGCGACGCAGGATAAGGCAGTTGAGATTAGTGACGACGAGATATCGGACGACGATGCGTTTGAGCCGGCGCCGGTAGCGAGTCGGACGAGGAGAAGGTGATGGAAATTTGTGATTCTGATGAAATTTTAGACGACGATGTAATGATTCAAGGGCAATAATTCATGCATTTGCATTTGCAATTCCTTGGTGAGGCCTACGCCATCTGTTCATGAAGCTCTCCGATCCCAGCTCAGGCAGCAAGCACCAAAAAGTCAAAACAAGCAAAGTCAACATCGCTCACCGAAGCAAAAAAAGAATTCACAGTTTGGAACTGCTGGCGGTCTCTCCCGCCGGGAATTGAACCCGGGTCTCAAGCGTGACAAGCTTGCATACTGACCACTATACTACGGAAGATGTAACCTGCGCTTTAGCGCCGGTGTAGCGGATCAGATCCAGTTGGGAGACTGAAGTTTATTTTGCATTATAGAGCTTGTGCATGCGCTTCTACGTATGCAGACAGAAGAAGCTGTATACTAAGAAGAGACCCTGGGTAGAAAAGGTGAGAAGTATAAAGTCCGAAGCTAGATGAAAATGCAACATTAAGCTTCTTTGTTTCCGCTATTCCGTTATCACTCAGTGTGTTGCTTGATAGTAAATAGTCCGAGGTTGACACAACTGTTTCAGCTGCTTTTATTGCAACCTCGTATATGCGAGTTTAGTATCTGAAGATTTGCTCTAGCTATTTCATATTCTTCTCCTCCCTTTACGTTTATTCCCACCCTTCGTGTCTGTACCTGCGGGAATTTCCGAGAGGGCCTCCATATATTACTCCATTACCGTATGTAAAAGAAATTGAGCAAATATTCTCACAATTGATAGATCAGTCAACCCGGCTACGGCGGGTTCGAGCATCTGCGGCATCTGCGGCATAGTTTAGATTGGACACTTGCGGTAGTAGGATCCGTATGGTGTTGGTTGTCCCCAGCTAGCACAATGTCATGACAGAAACCTATGCAAAACGATAAACTAGCAGCGGATGTCAGACTGTCCCTACTATTCAAGAGTAAAGGAGTAAAATGTCCATCAACCCATAGGAAAACAACTTCATGTAAATCAGTTCATTGCAACTTACTGATTGTCAAACCAAAGTGTATTCGTTCAACTCCCCGCTTACCCGGGCCACATTTCCCAAACGAGGCACTACTTGTCATACCCGTATTAAGAGCCGCGCCCTTCTCCAACAGACACTTACAACTAATGTGGAAATAGGTGATGAGGGGATGAGGGGCAGGAGCTCTATTCAGCTCGAGTTAGTGTAGATGACGCAAAACCTTATTAGTGGTTTGCTTCAATTGATGACAAGCTCCTCTTGGAAGTCTCCTCACCTCTTTTTAGCAAAAGCAAAGTCTTTTGCTTCTTCTATCTTGCTAGTAGTTTATACCAAAAAGTCTGCATTAAAGCTGTTCATCAACTCTCTGCTGAAGATTCCAAGTGACCACTTACTTATCCCCCGCAGTCATTATCCATCATGACTATCCGCGTCGGAACCGCCTCACCCCACACTCAGGCCACCACTAAACTCACCCTCGCCCACCTCGAAGGCATTGCCCGTCGCGCCGCAGACCGGGGCGTCGACATCCTCCTGCTGCCAGAAGCCTTCATCGGCGGCTACCCGCGCAACGCGACCTTTGGCGCCGTTGTGGGCAGTCGCTCTGCTGAAGGCCGGGAATCGTTTGCGCAGTACTTTGAAAAGGCTGTTGATCTGGGAGATACCGTCGGCGAGGGCAGCGCGGGCGCAGGACTGAGATGGGTGCGTCGGCAACTGCCGGGGTATGAAGAGGGCGGCAGGGGACGAGGCGATGGAACGCGAGAAGAGCTGGAGAGAATTGCTCGCGAGACGGGCGTCTTTATCGTGGTGGGATGCATCGAGAAGGCAGGCGGCAGTCTGTGGTGCTCCGTGCCGTACATCTGCCCGAGGGAGGGCATCATCGGAAAGAGAAGAAAAGTGAAGCCGGTGCGTCTCCCCTCTCTTATACGAATGTGTGTTTTGCAAAGATAAACGTCTAACCACCACCAACCCAGACCGGCACCGAGCGCATCATGTGGGCAGAAGGCCATCCCTCGACCCTCCGCGCCGTGTCCACCGTCATCCGCGGCCAGCGCGTCAACCTCGCCGCCGCAATCTGCTGGGAGAACTACATGCCGCTGCTGCGCCAGTCGCTCTACAACCAGAACATCAACCTCTATCTCGCCCCCACGGCAGACGGCCGCGAGGGCTGGCTCAGCGCCATGCGCACCATCGGCATCGAGGGCCGGTGCTTCGTCGTCAGCAGCAACATGTGCGTGCCCACCGAGGCCAACGCCAACATGAGCCTCCCGAGCGACGCCGGCCTGGCCGCCATGGCCGCCCTCGGAGACCGGGATGTGGTCCCCAACGACGGCGGGTCGAGACGCGGCTTCGGCACGGCGGCCGGTGCGGAAGGCGTGAGGGACGCCTCGCCGCCGAGTCCTTCCCGGGCGAGGCACGGACGACGGAAGAGCGTCTTTGACGAGGACGGCAATGAGATTGTGCTGTCGTGCCCTGCGGAGAATGGCGACACTACTCAAGAGCAGCAGCAGCAGCATCTCCCAAGAGTGCAAGAACAAGAAACCCCTGAGCAAACTCCACAGAAAAAGTCCGCTTCTTACCTCTCCCGAGGGGGTTCTGCCGTCATCTCGCCCTTTGGCGACATCGTTGCCGGCCCTCAATGGGAAGACTCGGACAATCTGCTCTACGCCGACATTGACCTCCGCGACTGCATCCGCGGCAGGCTGGACATGGACACGGCGGCGAGTTATGCGCGGAATGATGTGTTTCGGCTGACTGTGGATGGGCTGGACTTTGATCCGCTGCCTTACTGAAGACGAAACCAAGGATGGGCATGTCATTATCACTAGTATATCTGTACCATTAGATTGAATAAGAACAAATGAAAGAATTCAATGTCTAGATCAAATTCAAGTAGAAATAATTGTAGATTGATATGAGATGAGTCTCATCCTTTCTCTTTCTTAAAATCTCTCCTTACACTCACAAAATAATTCATCCATCTTAACACGCTAATAAAACCCAGATATTGCTTCCCTTCCATCTGTGATGGAGCTCCGATACAAACACACAAAAACCAAACAAAAAAAAGAAAGCCTTATGCTCCTGCCATTAAGTAACGCCAACTAATGCAAATGCCTTTGTCTCTCACGCTCCTTTTCACAAGTTACGATCATTGTTCGGTGGCTGTGGTCTCTGGCACGGCCGCCATCCCTTTTCCACCGCTTCCACCGCAGTCGCCTCCTCCTCTGCCTCCTTTCGCTGTCTCTCCAGTGCCGCCTGCGCCAGGATTTCTCGTCGGCTGAGGCCCGCGCTGCTCATCTTGCTGCCGCCCAGCACAAACTCGCCGCCTGTCCAGCCGCCGTCGTCTTCATGCACGTCTTCCTCTTCATCCTGGCCTGAGATGTGGTAGCGCGATGACTCGCCGATTGTCTGGCCGCCAGTCTTCCAGTCGGCTGCGTCGACCTCGCGCTCAATCTGGTGGCAAAGATCCCAAAACTGTCGGTCATGGGGTCCATGGACGTTGTGCGTGAGCTCGTGACACAGAGTCTTGCGAATCGTCTTGTAGTCACGGTATCCGTCGTGCGCATCTGTTCTCAGACGCAGCTCAATCACTTCGCCCTGGTTGCGGTTCAGGCCCAGGATGCGTGTCGTTCCCTCGTGCGTCGACTCGGTATGTGCCAGCGGCTCCATCTCCGTCAGCAGCGCCACGGTGAACTTGTGCTTCTTCATGGCTGCCTTGATGCCCGGATCCTCCTTGAGGCGCATCAGCAGCTTCAGGCTGCGCTCTGGATTAGGCAGCCCGCCCAGCGGCCGAACCTGCATAAAGGTGTATTTGAGATCTTCTGGCGATGCGGCTGTGCGACGCCGGGTCGTCTTTGACTTGGCCTTGGATCGCTGGGCCTCGCGGGCGGCCTTGATTTTGTGCAGCTTGTGGCACATGGTCTGCACGGCCTGGACGTCGGTTGCGGTTGATCCCATGACGGAGATTGTCTTGCCGGCGAGGTTCTTTACCGAATACTCAGGGTCTTTGAAGGGGTACTTGATAAAGGGGCCCTTGGGCACCATGACCTTAATGTTCTGGATGGGAATCTCGAGGACGGCTTCGATCTCGCAGAACAGGTCCATGACGGTGTTGTCGGCGTCCAGCTCAAAGGGCAGCTTCTGGCCGCGATGCGAGATGGTGATGCTGACGGTATCGACGGGGTCGGCGACATTGTCGTCGTCGTCCAGGTCCGACTCGCCCGCTGAGGCTGTTGACAGCGCTGCGGCGTCTATCTCGATCGCTTCATGGTGAATAGCGCTGCTGCTATCGATGTTTGCTGTTGATGCCGATGATGGCAGAGGCTGCTGCTGTCTCGTTACTGCATCGTTGATGGCGTCTTCGTCGTTTCGCAGAGGAGGGTTGGGACGAGTTGCGACATCAGTCATGTTGGTGTAGAGTGTGCTGTTGGTTTGTATAGACTAGATCCTTGCCTTGTCTATGGCCGGGTTAAATCGAGGTCTGAATAAGTTAAAGTCAGAGTAAGTGACGTCAGGAGAGATCGCCAAATATATATGGCAAATAAATAGGTCTATATCTATACAGCTACTGAGTAAGGTACAGATATATAAGGTATGGATGTATGATATGTAATGGATGGAATGCCTGAGGGAGGGGGGGTGTTGATGAGTACGGGCGACTTTTTGGTGATGACAAATGTAAAACAGCTGATGGTCCAAGCTATTGGATGCAAACGCCTCCCATTATATACTTCGCCGTGAAGGGGTGGCATACGTACACCCGCTATCAGCACTCCGTCTTTACGCGTAAAAGTCGCCAGAAAAAAAGGGATTGGAATTATTAAAAGAAAAGGTGGTTCTTCTGAAAATGAGAATAAGGATAACCCATGCCGGCACTGGATTATTCATTCGGTATCAGCTATGGGGTAAAAGGGAAAAGAAGGATATTCTGGCCTATACGCTCAGGCGGCTCTTTCCAGGCTAGGCAATACCACAACGATGCCATGCAGCAGGTGCAGCCTGGGGCTCCTTCCGCCCTGCTTGCTACTCCTGCGCCTTCCCCGTCGGAGCTTCGGGCACCTTCGGCAGCTGCTTGGTAATACGTCACGGCGGCCTCTGCCTTAGTCCCTCTTTTAATTTCCTCTTAAGGAGTAGACCCATCGACTGAGCCCCCCTGCTTGCCAAGCCTTAAAGCTGTAGGAGGAGAGCTGCGCCACAGACATGCTTCCCCGAGATTCTGCCACGCAGTGGGTGGCTGATGGAGTGGCTAATGCATCGGATTACATATGAGGCGGAGAATTGTCGGGTCCCTGCATATCCCCGAGATTTGGCAGACATCTCGTCAGCTGCACTGTACGGTGGAAAATTCCAGCAAAGCATGAGACTTTTTTCTTGGCGACTAATGAGATTCCGAGATTTTCGAGGGCCTCGGTGGTTTTTCCGGTAACCGCGGCTTAGACAATGATTTGCAATACTGCCATGCTGCATATCGATATCGAGCATTCTAATATTGCAAATACCTGTGCGCTGTTATACTTGCGCAAAGCTGCCCGAACGCACCGATAATATGAAACGTTTCTTGAATTTGCCACCTCTTTTTGGCCGCCCCGGTTCCCGCCTGCCTGCCGTCCCGGATCACCGGGTCCCGGTCGATGATCCGCCGCTGCCACGATTTCGCTAATGCAGGGTCCGCCAAAGAAATAGTAACCCTCATTTAAAGCATCAGGAAGAGGCAGCTTCTGCTATTGGGGGGGCGTGGCATGACTGACTCTCTCGACTCTAAAAGAGCTAGGCCTGTGGCTGCACTCGTAATTCGTATCTCCCAGGAACCATCATGTGATGGCTCTGTGCACACCCAAATCTCAGTTTCGCCATGCATTATTACTCGTGGGAGCAGAGCTGTTGCTTTGGTGGCCAGAAATGACGTAGTTGCCTCCTGGGTGCTTGAGTGTTGAGCAACTATTTGCGTATTGAGGATCAAATACTCCGTCTTAGTCCGTGGAGTTTTGAAGATGTGAAAGAATACGAATACGCTCCTCTATTTACTCGCTGGGGATAGCCCTTTTCTCTATGCTACGTTGACTTACACTTACATATCTTAGTACATCCTCTGCAACCTATAACCTCCCTAGAGTGACGCCTTGCAATCATGTGGTCTGAAGCACCTTTTGCCTCGTCAACTGCGAATACGCAACCCAACGAAAGCTAAAGCCCAATCTTTCTCCCTACCAGGCACACGATGCCCAAAGGTACAGCTTTAACTCCGCCCAAATGCCACTGCGCCTTTGTTAGTTGTTGCACAACGATTTCAAAGCAGAGGGCTTAGCTATTAGGCAAAAACTCGCTGGGTGATTCCACGCTTGAGCATGAGGCTGAGCATAAGCTCGCCCAGATTCCACTCTGCTGTGGCGCCATCAAGGAATCCCGTCGTCAAGACTTTTGCTCCGCGGAGAATGTAGATGTTCGAGATGGAGTTAGGCCCGGCGTTATTGGCAACCAAGTCAACTTTGGCCGTTGGGAACACACTCGATCTTTACATTAATGTCTAGGTAGGTTGTATGAGTGGCGCCCGTGGCCAAGTGGCTCAGTTTCTCAATTTGTGTAGTTTTGGCATCTGCGATGAGGTAATGGGCGGTGGCGTATATGAGAAGGAGGCGCAAACATGTTGGCACCACTGGTACCTAGAGACTCGATGATTGAGATAATGTGAGAGCTACCTTCCAATAATGGGTACATTCCAACGATAATTGCTTCCCATATCAAAGAGCCCAAAAGCGCACAAGAAGATTCCCCACAAATACGACATATTTACCTGCAATCGACGACACGCACAAAGATGTTGGAGCTTACAGGACAAGGCCTCGGGGGAGCTTAAAAATGCTGTGAAGAGTGGTCAACTGAAACAAAGCAAGCATGTAAGTCATCAAAGCTTATCGCATCTCATAATCTATAGAGATGTAGACTTGCCAATACCTACTCATTTGCAATGTTAAATAAGAGCATGCATTCTCGAAGTTCTAGTTGGTGTTTCAATACCAGGGTAGCCTTGACATAAAAATGGCAAATCTACGCTCGATATCATCTTTCTCAGCCTCAACATATATAATCCAAGTCCAAGATTCAATTTAACCATAATTCTTCAATATACCACATCATAATCCCAACTTCATCATTTCGAACCAACCTCAAAAACACCCTCCCCCCAACCCCCCATCCTCACAACCCCCTCCGGCACAAACGCGTATCCCACATTATGGAACCTCCCCGGCGCATGCTCCTCAATCAACATCAAAGCATGATCCCTTGGATTCCTCATCACCCCAAACGCCCCATTGTTATACTGCTCCCAGCGACCGATGTAAACAGCCTTGTGCGATGCATTCTCGCTACTCTGCGACAACACCTCCCACTTCCCTGCAGAATCAGAGCCAAATTCGCTCTCAAAAGCAGTAGACCCTTCCTCTTGATTCTGAACAAGTCTCACAGACGCCGACAACGCACTGAATCGGAAATACCCATCATCGCTCATCGTCCCCTTTGGCGTATCCGCAAGCCTCCACCCCGTATCCATAACATCTGCAACATCCTTCATTCCCTCTCTCGACTCCAAGACAGGCTTCCTAGAGGCATCCGTCTGAGGAAAAGCCGGCAAAGTCGACAACCTCGGATTCGGCACCACCCTCGTCGCAATAGCCAGCCATTCAGCATGCTCACCTCTCGCCAAAATGGCCTGCATCAAAGCAATCGTCGCCTCCAGCCGATCGTCATGGCCAAACTTTGTCGTATCCAGCGTCACGCCCATGATGCCCATGATGCTAAACACCGTGTCCACCGGATACTTGGCCATGCGCATAAACGAACATCTCCAGATGGCCGTGTGCATGCCCGTCTTGCCCTTCATGTCAATAGCATCAACCAGCTCCCTCATCTGCGGATGGCTCCGCGACCTATCGCCAAACATCCTAATCTGAAAATCAGGAGACGGCTTTTGAATCGACTTGCCCGACCAATCAAGCATCTCAAACCCCGTCCCCTTCATAGCCGTCAACAACGTAAAGTTAAGAGGCGCAACCGCTGCAACCCCCCTTTCAATCTCCTCAATCTTCAGCGGGAAATTCGACTGCATGATGCAATTCCCAAGACTCCATTCGAATATGCAGTGCACCATAGGCGGCGCAATCGCCTCCTGAAGCGTCCACGCCCTCGCCATCCAGCTCGTCTCCTCAGTAGGAGCCACAAGCCGCTGCAGCCCGCCCGGCGCAACGATGCACGTCCTGCAGTTCCGATATAAATCATACATGCGCTGAATCTGCCACGCCTTATCGTCCTCATGCGCCTGCAGAATGCACAGCGCATCCAGCCAGACGAACCTGCATCCGAAACTCTCCGCCGCCAGCGAAATGAGCCTCAGCACGTCCACGGAGATGGGATCAGCCCCCTCGATGCCTTCAACGTGGATATTCGGCAGCGGAGACTTCACATCGGGGTGAGCCGGGAGGCCACGCCAGACGTATGATATGACGGCATACGGCTCTGCGGGCAGGTCTTCGAATTCCAATACATGGACGGTTGACTTGTGGGCGAGTGCGGCAACGTCCAGGAAACGAAACCGGTATTTTGTAGCTCCAGTCAAGGCCAATGGCTGGTCAATAATATCGCCGAAATTGATGTGTAGAATCGTTCGCCCTGTTGGATCTGCCATTGTTCACGGCTGTGACAACAACAACTGTAAACGATGACAAGATTAGAGGTCAAAACTAACCATAAGATAATGCGAAGGGGTGGCGATTAAATACATCATCTGTCTCCCAGCTAGCATATGCAGCCCAATGTGACTATCGCGGGATTATTGGCGGGGCTACAGCACCAGACCAATCACTGAGGCCATCTCGCCGTTTCCAAGGCGAATCTTGGCATGGGGGAGACAAGAACGGCTAGAGCTCATGTTGATCCCCAGCTGAACCAATAGCCCTCATATCTTGGTATCAAGTATTGCCCAGCCTCACTCTGCGTCAAGCTGATTAAATGGAAAGTCTTCATAAGGCATATCTATCTTCCCATCGTCCTGTCTCGCGAATAACTCTCCAATGATATGTGATCCGTCTCTTACATAGAACCCTCGCATGCTATTCGTCATGGTCTACTCGCTCATGTCATGTCATACCATGCAAGTTTCATATTTCTCACGCCATCGTACAAAGAAAACGCCAACTCCCTGCCGCCGTTTCCCTACAGAGTATTTAAAATATCATATCAACAATGTCTTTTTTCAATGCTCGCGCTTCCTCCATTAATGCTTTATATGTTTTTCGTTTGATGCGCCTCCTTATCGGCTCACGCCCATCTTCTCTAACCTATCGCACGATGGCATCTTATACGCATCGGCAACGGCCATCTTCTCTGGATCCTGGTAGAACCATCCCATGGCATTCTCCCTCAACTGTCTCTTGTACAAAAGTTCATTCTCGCACTCATTCCGTAGATGTCGCACAAGATTGATCTCGGCCGTACGATCAAGCTGACTCAGTTTTGACTTGCTATACGAGGCCACGTCAGCGGGTACGACAAAGTACTTGATGTTGAGATTTGGTGTTGTCCGGCCTTCGGTGTAGGGGGCCTGTGGGGTGTCGAAGACCATGCGCGGAGTGGCGGGTGTAGATGAGGAGCCACCGGAGAAGATGGATGAGATGAGTGGTAGGATGAAGAATAGTAGAATAGGGAGTAGGCCAAGCAGGGTCTGGAGACCAAATGGTTCTCGTTCAGGCTGTCCCTGAGCCTCTCGCGGTCTTGCTCGGGGCCTGCCGCCGCCAAACTGGTGTACTCGAATGCCTGGGCCGCCGCCAAAGTTAAAGACGAACTGAGGACCTGTATCAAACGCTTAATCGTCAGCACATCTTGCCAAAGTATTGAACCATTGTAGTAGTAGACAGCTGGGTCTCATAGAAACTCACCTCCAAAGCCTCCACCAAACGGGCCGCCACCACCACCAAAGGGACCGCCTCCTCCGCCAAAGAACCGCGCAAACATTTCCTCTGGGCTCATTTCATCGTCCCAACCACCGCCTCCCGCCGCCGCAGCCTGCCGTGATCCGAAGCCCGAGAACGGATTCTGTGCGCGGGCGCTCTCAAACCGGCTGTCCGGATCAGTGCCGTATTTGTCAAACTTCTCCCTCTTCTCCTTGTCGCCGAGGATGCCAAACGCACGGCTGACCATCTTGAAGGCCTCATCGGCGTGCTCGTGGCCATTCTTGTCGGGGTGCGTCAACAGCGACTGTTTCCTGTACGCCTTCTTGATGTCCGAGTCGGTGCACGTGGAGCGGACGGTCTCGAGGCCCAGGATGTCGTAAAAAGCGGTGGCGTTGCATTTCCGGATGCGAAGGACGGCGGCCTTTTGGTCGACGGTGTAGGTGCGGCCTTGATTGCCCTGTTTGTGTTCGCGGTGGCGAGCGGTGCCGCCCGCGTCGGCGCCGGAGGCTGTGGCTTCTGGCATTTAAGAGTCTTTTGTGATGCGGTGATGGAAGCAAGTCGATTCGAAGAGTCGAGGATGATGGAAAGGCGGAAGCGGTGTCGATATCGATAAGCGCAGCAAGTCCGGGAAAGCTGAGATGAAGCGTCTAAAAAGCAACAAGCAACAAGCAACACTTTTTTTGGTCCCTCCGATGACAGACTGGAAGGTGGCTTCTTCCAGAAACAGGCGCCGGCCAAGAGAAAAAAGACAACCGAGGGGAAAGTGAGCAACGCCCAAGAAATTGAAATCACCACAAACGCAGCAATGCCGTCGAGATGGGCAGCTCAATGCACCGCAATAAAGGAGGCCCCGCTGCTTGCTTCGTCTCTGGAGTCGCCGCTGCTGGTTCGTCGACGCAGCACGCAACTTGTGATAATGCAGTGAGCTGGCGCCAACCACGATTGGACTTTTGTCGAATGAGGGTCTGGCCAGACAGCCGGCAACACGTGATGCTGGGAGACGAGCTACCCTAGACCTGAGACAAAATCTGTGAAGATGGCATGGATAAGACAATAAGATATTGAATTGGTAAAGAATGAATGCCTTTTTTCTAGACTTTTGGCCATATTAGATAGATCATAGCCTTGTGGTAAAGCCTGTGACATTTCCAACTTGACCTTTCTATTCAATTGAACCAAATGTCGAGATGCTCTACCTGCACTCGCCCAATTGTACCACTCGAACCAAATAGGTAATCATTTGCTGTGCTCTTTGCTACACGGAATCATTCTCAGATACCATTTTACTACAAATATTGTTCTCCTCGACGTGGCTCAGTCAAAATCATCATCACCGCCGACTTACACAGCTTCAACGCCGTGGGTCCAGCAAATGTCACCATCTCCATCACGTGACCCAACTACTCTAAGATTTCCCTACCAACGCCTGTATCAACCGCCAAGCCATCCTCCAAGGTCGCAGCATAGCCCACAATGCAGCCCACAAGAGTGCTGTTAAAGCGCTCCGTTTGGAAGGGTAATTACTCAATTCCCATACTTCTCCCCAAAACCTCCTGCCAATTGCTAACTTGACTTCCTTCACAGGCCCGAACCTCGTCCCGTAAGGCAAAATCCGCCCCTCCAAAAAATTAAACGTCACGAATGATTCAAGCTCACATGTACATCCTGCGCTCTCTCGCTACAGTCTCTCCATCGTCTGGCCCAAAGGCCCCAACGACAAGGTCCCTCCCGTCCGAACACAAGCCCGCTCGGCGACTATCCTGCCCAACTTTGTTGGCCTAAAGTTTGAGATTCACAATGGCAAGGACTATTTGCAGGTGCAGATAACGGAAGACATGGTGGGGCACAAGCTGGGCGAATTTGCGCCGTGAGTATTGCATTGGTCGGAACATGTGGTTTTGGAGACAAAAGTGCTGACTGGATGACAGGACGCGGAAACCGAATATTTGGGACAGGAAATAGATGCGATAGACGACATGGAGAAGGAAGAAAACTGTATATTGTAACATACTTGTATCAACGCCGTAATGCCACGACTTTTTGCATGATTCAATTGTTTGCACCTTCAAAAGCTTATAACAAAAAAAGCAGCTTGTACTTGTATTCATGTTGGATCAAGCTAGATTAAGGTCCCGTAGGCCTGCCCATAACAATCCTGTTGCAACGCCATTATCCCCAACGCCGTACGTTCAAGTCCCATCATGTACCTTGACATTAGCAAAATGCCAGTCTGTCCATCTCCTTTCATCGGTAAAACTCGCTTCTCTTGACGTTGACTCCATACTCCCCAACCGCCATACCCAGATCCTCCATCGTCAACACCGTCCTATTCTGGCTTCCTCCCTGTCCACCACCGCCAAAACCAGGTCGTTGAATTCCCAACGGCCCTCCCTTGCCCTGTTCCTTGCTGTTCGGCTGACCCGACTGCTGTCCCGGGATGGGGAAACCCGCCGCCGCGCCCAGCGTGCCCATTGGGTTATTGGTGTTACTTGACGCGCGGATGCGGCTGTACTGGTACGCGTCGGCCGCGACGTCTGCAATGAACTTTTGCGTGGCGAGCGCGAGGAGACGAGCGAGACGAGGGTCGGTTTGCGGTGGTGGAGGAAGACCGGCTTTGGTCATGTAGTAGTGCGTCACTGCGTCGGGAATCTGGCAGCGATTTAGCAATCTTGAGTCTTTTTTTTTTTTTTCATCAAAGAAATGATGATATTGAAAAAGCAGGCAGTAGATTATAGAGACATACGATAGGAGCATAATCGTCAATCTTATTGAGGAATTCGCGAAGAGAAACGTCCTTTCGCGTAGGCAGCTTGCTCAGATCTGCCGCCGGGGCAATGGGCTCAGGGACAGCGTCGCTCGGCCCAATTTCTGGGGCAACCTGCTTTTCGACATTTTCGGGTGCGTCGCCGTCCATGATGAATTCGATAAACGGGTTGAAATGATGCACAAAACGAGTGGAGAGTGTTGCAGATGAAATGGTAGAGAGAGTTTACGCTTTGGATGATGGCGACGTTGATGGATAGAGATCACGTGATTGCTATATTGAGTAGCATGAGCTGGCTCATCAAATGGCATTTTGTTTGTAGGAAAACGGTCATGTTTGCTTCATAACTCTCATTTTTCAGCGGTTTTTATTTTATTTTAGCAGTCATAATTATAAACTACTATTATAATACATGCTTTACCTCGCATATCACGTTGCGCATTTCGATCCTTCATCCAAGTTGAAAAAAAAAACACATTCAATTGATTGCCCTCTATTTTTTCTTGTCCACAGCATCCATGGCTCAGACTCGTAAATCCTCATGTTAAGAGATGACGCCAATTCCATTACTGCCGTCAAACCGAGCACACCATCAAACGCCGCCAATGCAATCATTTACCCCCTTGAGCACTCAATTTTGATCTTGTACATTTTCCGTAGCTGCAGAGCTCACTCTTTCACCGGCCATCGATCACTACTGTAATCTTCCCAGGAGATGTTACTGCCAGCCATATCGTAGAGTGATGTTTTCATCCGGACCGAATCACAAGAAACACACACACCCCTCCTTTTTATGTAAAGTGCCGAGTGAAGCATGCGCCTTAGACCGGTAGCTTGAACTTCTTGCCCTTGAGAACTTTGTTGTAGTAAATGTAGAAAAAGTCGCTGTAGAGAATCGTCTGGATTATACCGGCGACAATGGCAATCCAGTCCACCTTATGCTTGGGCTCGGCGATGTAGCGGTAGATCCAGTTGGGGATGTAGAGGGCGCGGTAGATTCCGAGCGCAAACAGATAGTTGGCCGTAATGGTCTCGGCCTCGCCTGTGCGCTGCAGCATAAAGAGCTGTGGGAGAATGGCCACAGACTCCAGCCAGATGGAAAAGGCCCACAGGATCTCGGACGGGGTGTAGTGGTAGGGAAAGATGAGGGCGAGAGCGGCGGCGGCGCCGAGGAGGTACTGCACGCGGAATGTGTCGGTGTTGACGTCGTTTGTAGGCTTGTAGGCGTTGGTCATGAGGTAGATGATGTAGCCCTGCGAGCTTATGAAGAGGATCTTGAAGATGATGTTGTAGTAGCTCTCCGTCGAAAAGAGATCTGCGCCGGGTTAGCTTGGCTCAGCCATTGAGCGCTTCCAATGGCAGCTGCGCTTCATACCAAGGTATCTGGTAATGTAGACCAGCAGATACAGTCCTTGCGACTTGAAGGAGATGCCCGAACAGCTCTGTACGGCGCCGAGTTAGCGATGCAGGTGGGATATAGGGGCGGGGACATGGAGGCCACGCACGTTGAGCTGCACCATCTTGCGCAGCAGGATGAGGATACTCGCTAGATGCGAGAAATCCGCTGTTGGCCAGATGTCAGCGCTCGTCGCCAGCGATTCGGTCGAGGAGCATCGTCAACCTACCAGCGACGCGAAAGATGTTTAGCGGCATATTGGCGGGTTCTATGCCCTGATGACAGCGACAAGATGCGGGATTCCGAAAAGCGCCTGTGCCACAAAGGGAAAATAAAGGAACCTAGGACCGGATCGATGCTGCGCGATTCGGCGTCGTGTCGAGGAAGGGCTCAAAAGATGGACGGTAGTTGAAAAGGACAGTGGCCGACGAGGCGATAAGATTTGGCGATGCAGCAAAGAGGACACGACGCGACTGGCATGTCATTGGACGAGAGAGCAGCTCTAGGGAGAAATACAGTGTCGACAACGCAATCTTCGCACGGTGATGACTAGCATAGCGGAACGCATTGCCGCTGCTTAAAATAGCAAACCCGGGTCCCTTGGCCCCTGCCCTGCCAGTGTTTTAGTGAAGAATGAGCATTTTGGTGTTTCTAGATGCCTGTTTCGAACTGCGCATCGTGTTACAGGTGCAAGGGTGACGCTGATGCAGATACGACACCAAATATGCAATACATGTCTTCTAGAGACAGTGTATATTCAATACAGTATACATTTCCAATGGTTCACTTACATAATCGAAAATGGACGCGGATGACATCATTGCATCTCAGAAGAGTATCTCAGTTTGCAATAAGTTAGGGACTGAAGAAGATGTCATTGTTTCTTCTGAATAGAAAGGACATGCAAGTATTAATTAAGTAAATTACAACAAAAAAAAATCTTTTGGATTGTCTTGCTCTATAAAAACAATATTGAATTCAGCGATTATACTCCAACAGCAATACTAGGCGCTGCTGGGATCGCATTTTTACATCTTCTCAGCAACTCCCGAGGCCTTGCCCACCAATAGAGCCCCTCTACTCATATCTCAGCACATCTAACTTGCTCACAGATTCACAACATCAACCGCCTTATTCTCTGTCTCCTCTGTATCCCAAAATCCCGTAACGCGGGTCCACTGATTGAGCGCGTCCTCTCCATCCTCCTTTCGCGGATTCCACCTTGTGCTCGCCTTGCACTTATCGCCCTTGCACTTTTCGCCCTTACCCTGGACTCGCTGTGCATATCCCTCACGATGTTAAGTCTAGGCATTGAAATTGAACATTGACGGCAGCGGTGGTTGGAAAGTCAAGCCCATGAAAAGCGGCATACTGCCAGTGGCAGCTAGGGCGCCCAAAAGTGAGGCCACAGAGAACAGGGTCTTTGGCAGGACCATACTGGCCCCAGAAGTTCTTGGGGATGTTCTTCACAATTGGCTTCGCCAACCAGCGATCTTCTCTTCTTTCGTCTTCATTCCACGTCTTGGTGCCAGCGTCTTCCCGAGCGACTTTGACTTTCAATCTTTGAATCGAGTTGTCTTCGTTGGCGCATGAGGAGAGCAAAGATGGTAATGTTCTCATTTTTGAACGGTACTTTGAGTTCATGGAGTCGTCTTTTCGGTCTGTTGTCGATGACTTTGGCACAGTTTGCAGCAAATTTAAACGTAATGGAAAACTGGAATTCTCCGGCAAACACTGGCCATGCGTTTTATCATTGTCAATCATTTCTTGGATCCATGCACCGGCACTCTTAGATGAAGAGTTATCAAGAACGCTGTTATCTAGGAGCAAGGCCGACGAGCAGTTGAAGTGAAAGCTCTCAGAAGTCTTGTCCCCGAGTGCTTCAGCATTGTCATCCTCCTGAGACTGAACATCAGCCCAGTCACCTATCATGGGCACACCTGTTGCTGCAGATGCTGCACTCTTAAGAACCAACGCCCTGAACTTCTCGAGAGTCAGTTTATTAGCCATGCCCTCGGTCAGCGCAGCATCGCGATTGCCAAAGTCAATGCCGAAGCCAAAGACCCCAAAGTCGACGTGAACTCTACCAGGCATTGGCGGACCCAACACACTCAACCGGGCGCCAATCTCGGCATTGATGCAGATGGTGACGAGCCACAAGTCGAGAGTAAGTCGGACGCTATACACATACGGTGCCGTCATGGGGAACTAGGCCTCGCCAGAAATACGCAGTTTATCACTCAAAGACTATGCTATACCAAGATGTGGTGGATTATTCACTGCAGCTCCTTCAATTCCGCATGAGTAGGGTACGGCTCTCTTACCGTGATGCCTCATTCTATGCCTTTAGAATCCTACTCCTTCCAATAGCTTCAACTTCCCTAGCGGCTGGATACTTGCACGTAATTACACGTAACCAATCGGGCAGGGCGGTACGGGCCGTGGAGTCTATACAGTAGAATCCTTGTCAACGCACCATCATCTACTTCGTTGATCAAGGATTGGGCGAAATAAAGTCTAGACCAAAGGGAGAGACTAGTGAGTTTAGTGGTGAGCTGAACGTTAGATAGTTTCCAAAACCCCATCTAAGCCCATGCTAGCGGCATCTTTCTTGGCTGTCTCTTGCAAAAAAAGCCCTGCGTTATTGATCGTACTGCGGTGAACTAAACCGAATGCGCGCGTCTGAACATGCGACTGGATGGAGCTAATGATTTCTTAGCTGTGTCTTGGAAATGGCATTATTGATTGACCATCAACCGGTGACCAGCTGGAACTGGGGTTGAGGATGCCAAGACATACCGCTGGATCCAGAGAAGTGCCAAAGGCCCGTCATTCGGGAAGTACAGCTTGGATTAACTGGCTTCCACATTGAAAGGTTTACGGATACAGAAACTATGTCCAGTCTCAGCCTGTCGTCTCATCTATCTTCAATCTGAGGGATGATCTAATACTGATCCTGCTGTGGTGGTCAAGTATTCAGCAAGTCAATTCAACCTTGAAGCTCCAATTTGCGCTTCAAAATGTCCTCTTCACATCGCAATCTTGTCCATCGACACGCTCAGAGCATTCTCTCTGGGAAAACTCGCCCCCTGGCCCCAGGAGAAACCTGTCTCTATTCTTACTACGAACCTTCTCTCACCAGCGGCCTTCATCATGTCAAAGTCAGCCAAACAATCGAGGCACCAGCAGACCCCAGGGATTCTGATCAAAATACTCAAAAAGACGCAATCGAAGCCATTGAGCAGGCCTTCATTGCCACTGCCCCTCGATTCTCTCTTCAGCCAGGAGCCGTTGACTCTGTTTTTCCCAAGCCCGGGACACAGGCGGAACATACAGTTCTGCCTCACATTGTTCTTACCGATCCGCATTTACCGTGGAGTAGAAGCCCATCAGCAGCACATCTTCCTCCTGATGAAGACGAGAAAACAGATCGAAGTCGAACTACATGGCTTGCTCTGATGGTCTTTTCAATAGAAGAGCTTCAAATGGGCCAAGCTGACATTGATGATATCATGCGCTATGTGCCCAACGATTCGGGCGCAAAGCGCGAACAGAGTGAGACGGGCGCTTTGAGGATGATGGCTCGTGATACACCCAAGCTGAACGGAGCAATCACTACGACTGCTTTTAACAAAATTGTAGATGCAAAAGACGCGGCTGAGCCTACTGATGTGGTGGTGATGCCAGGCCAGCTATTTACGGCTTTGTTTACAGAGCCAGGCGGTGATGGTAGCAGGCTCAACGTGGCATCTTACAAACACATGGCTCATGTGAGACATATAGGAACAGACGGCATGGCAAATGCTGGTTCCAAAGATGATGATGCACTATTCAGTATTGTCATCAGCCGTCGTACAGGCCTGATCGACTCCGATCTGCCCACGCCGTTGGTTGTTCACCTCTTGTCCCTTGTCTTTGACGAGAAGATGCCAGTTCCCACAGTCAACGATCGTGTAGCTATGACAAGTCTCCATAGCTGGACCTACACCTGTCTTCCATCACAAAATATAGCCGGTAAATTTGAACTTTTGACTAATCTAGGGCAAGATTTGAACGTTTTGCGGACTGGAGACAATGCTCAGCCTGAACCATTCGTCTCTGGTGATGCCTCTCAAGACTTATCCATAGTTGATCTTATCGAAGCCCGGAAAGCTGACGGATACACGCTCTCGCCCACCCGCACAGTTACTGGCGAAGTGACTGCTGCGTTATTGCGCGGGCCTCTTGTGCCGAGGCGGGTCAAGCGTCCGCTACGAGATGGGTTTACGATGCAATCAAATCACGGCAGCGACCTGGCAATTTTCGATAACAAGCTTGGCCTTCTTGATATAACCTACTCGAGTGCCTGGCAGCTGGGCAAGAAGCTGGCCATGGCGGATGAGCCCTTCTGTGCTGCCCTTGCTCGATTACGGAGTGCAGTGCACAGTCGTGGCTTGGACGGCTCGAAACAAGAGATTCATGCTCTCTTTGGAGACGATGGGCATGAACGTCGCACGAAAACAGCGGACAGTATGATCGATCTGGTTCAAGGCCTTGTTGATATCAACGCCAGCTTGCATGCATCTGGCGGTGCTGCGACGTCTCTCGCTCGAACCCGGTGGCGTCATCAAGATGAAGAGGAGATATCCCTCAAGAGCATTGATAAGCTCTCCCAAAACTCACATCACATCTCAGCCCGCATGTCGTCCCAATCAGACGCAGCAGCTCTCATGCTCGCCATGTCAGATAAAAGGGGCGTCATGCACGAGTACAACATAGCTGCTAGTCCCGACTATGCCTACATATACTCTTGGATCCTTAATAAAGTACATCTTGCCAATGTGCCTGCTAATTATCTTATACCGGACCCTTTGTCTCTCCCGCAGGAAACTCTTCGGTTCTTCTTCATTGACGACAATTGGATTGATGCATTGATTGACGGAGCTCTGAGTCTGGCAAACCACTGGGGCTATACGCCAGATATGGACAAGTCGCGCATCGCCATCAAACTTGCTATTAATGAGCGTCTTCGAACTCCAGATGAGTCTCTTGGAGGCTGGCATGCTTTAATGCCTCGATACGGATTCCTATTACGCAGTCAACTACTCGTCCAGTTCCCAGATATTGTAGTCGAAGCAGTCTTCTCCGAGACCCGAAGTGGGCCGATATCGAAGACTGGAGGCAACTCCGGATCACAAACTCCTGCGAACACGCCTCCCAAGCAGCCTATCCTTGTTCAGAAGGGGCTGGCTCCAGATACCATGTACTGCCTATTCGATGCCGCGCCACCAGACCTCCGCCGAATCATCCTAAGAATGCCTCCACACCAACAGTGTTTCAAGATTGGACAGAAACTGACCAACGAGAAGCTGGCAGTGACATGGAAGAAGCTCTATACGACAACGGAGGGGCCGAGCACTGCTCAACCAGGCGATACACTTGGCTCTACTGACTTCGAGCCTACCGGAAAACCAGCGCCCGTGTTTGACTGGAGCCTACGGACACTTGACCCAGAGAGCTTTGCAACATTTTTGGTTAATCGTCAGCGTGAAGGGAGGGAGAAGGAGTTTTCTGATGAGGAGCCAACTTCGGCAGTGCTTGGACTGCAGCTGAACAATCCAATCCTTGAGCTGGATATCGGTGATGTATTTGTTAAACAGCAATGAAGATCCCGTTGGTCTATACCAACTATCAACACCACCTCGACAAGAGTAGGCTGCCCCTTTACTCTTTCTTCCCCGTTGTTCCACTAGAGAGCTGGAAAGCATATAGACGTTAAATAGCGCGTATTCTATAAATACACACCATGTACATGATGAGGAGAAATTATACGAAACATTCTCACATTGTAGAACGGGAGCGATTGAAGCGCTTGATTTTTCAGTGATAAATCGTATTTCTTAATATCTATAGATAGAGATGAGAAATAGGTGCCACTCGTTTTAACTAAGATGTAGTATAATGATTAAAAGCTGGCAGGCCATGGCCAAATGTTGGCTCAAAATATTAATGGCAGCAGGCAGCATTCAAGAGCAAGAAAATTAAATAACAATGTGTTTTTAATATGGGGTGAGTGAGCCAAATAAAACTCCTATAATCGTCGACACCAAACTCTCTGCATCGCATTGAGAGCGCGCACTCAAACACCCTGCGCCTTCAAGAACTTGAAGATCTTCTGGAACGCTTGCGGGGCAACCTTGTGAAAGTTGAGATTGTGACTAATAGGCAGTTAGACTTTGTTCTTCTTAAAAAGATTGAGTTAGTTGGATCAAAATACTCACCCTGCTGGCAAATTGTCAACATACTCAAGGACTTTAGCTCCCGTGAATATATCCTTTGTGCCATTTACAACGCCGACGCAGTTGCCGCCACAGGCAGAAACGTCAAACTGGCCCTGGAGCACCAAGACAGGCGCCTTGATTGCGCTGTAGTCAACCGTGGTAGCCAACAGCGAGGGAAGTTCGCCAACCGCAAATGGCTCGCTGGCAACATTGTAAGTCCACTCAGCAACGCTGCGCTCAAAGTACGGAGCCGCATAGTAGACATAAGTCTCGGCATACAAATCCGAGCTGGTGATGTATCCAGAATCCAACTGCCCCCACCGCGCAGGGTTCTGCAACTTGGCAACGCGGAAGCCGGCGCCTGCAATAAAAGGGGGGAAGTAGTCAAAAGTGCCACTGTAGCCGGTCAATACGAGACTGTCGACGGCGACATGAGAGGCTGCTGCGGAAGAAATGTAGGAGCCGTAACTGTGGCCGACAAGAGCAATCTTGCTAGCATGAGCTTTGGTTTTGGCGTAGTTGACGAGGCCCTCTAGCACGGCAACTTCGACCTGGAATTGTGCGTCTGTGAACGAGTTGACTCTATTGTAATCGTGTGAGCGTTTATTAAATTTCTTTGCAGCAATTTGTGATATTTTGACTTACTTTGGTGATGATCCAACGCCAATGCGGTCGTAGTAGAGGACTGAATAGCCCTGAGCAATAGCAGCATCGACAAAGTTGTACTTTTCACTGCCTGGAAAGTTGGGTCGCCAGTAACTGTAATACGTTAGAACCACACTTCTTTAACAAATTTCTCATGATTAACTGAGATGTTAACTTACAGCTTAGATTCAATGATTCCATGTGTAAGTATCAATGTCGGTCCTCCATTGCCACACAATGTCGCACCCACGGTGTAAGTGCTCTTCACAGCAGCCGCAGTGGATCCACTAATGGGAAGAGGATCGCTCGATTTACTGAAATCTCGACGAGTCAAGTTGAGACTTAGCGCGGCAGCATCCCAATCATCTTTGAGCGACGTTGACAAAATGAATCGAGTCGTTGATACGGTAATCGGGATCTGAACATCTCGGCAGCTAGCTGAGGCTGGCTGCGGCAGTGCTTGGACCGCTGCAGCGAAAATGAGAATTAATCGGTTCAAGAGCATCTTGTTAAGAGGAAGACAGATGAGAACTCTCAAGTCTATTGCAGATAACTGTACGAGAAAAATATCGTCGCTCTTGCTCGTTCATAGTTGCCATACTTATAAATTTCAACACAGCGTCTCTTCTCAGCAACTTGCTCTCAACTTGCTTCAACTCCCTAGTGACTCTGTTCAATTGGTAATCTCTTGATAAAGCTAGCCTTTGACGACAACTGCGGTTACATGTTTTGCTGCTTACGAGATCCAAAAGCGTCTTCCAACTCAATGTTGCCGTGCAATTCTAATGCCTCTCGCATTCTTGAACCTTTTTCTCAACTTCTTTCGTAAGCTGGGATAGGTCAACTATGCGACTTAACTATAACGAGACATTGGTCATCCTTGTCAAACGCTGGCGGATATCCACAACAATGGAATCACGGGCGGAAAAAAGGAGGATAACGCAGCCGCTGGCCGGTGATTTAATTTGCCGCTACGTCATACAAGGATTTCGTCGGTAAAAACGCTTGTTCGGGAACACTTGAACAAATTAGCTCTTCGCCCTTGCATATGCTATTACGCTTAATACCCAATTGCATGCTGGGCTGTATGTTGCCCGATTTACGTGTATTTAGACTATACTCTTTGCGAAAAATAGGAGCATGCGTATCTTCCTTGACAATTCCTTAGTAATATGGTAAATAGTATCTCTCATGTACAATTATGTAAACCTCTTGTTGCGCTTGGGCATTTCCTTTTCAACTCCGTATCTATTTCGCCCAAGCTCTTGTGCGTATTATCCTTCTCTAGAGTATTTGACGGACCAGCTGCGCGATCTTATTTGTAATGGTTGATCCAGATTTCCAGGTCCCTTCGCTATTCGCCGTCTCGCACGATTGTCGTCGCTTGGCCTGCATCTCGTCCACAAATCTCGGCCACGTATTGGTCAAAACAAGATACTTGATATGGGCCTGAATGCTATCAAAGACTGTCAGATCAAACGATTCGGGAATCTCGCCATCATATTGTATCCTGGAGGCGTTTCGATCGCTTAGCTCGACGGGAGAACCAGCATCGCAGCAGTTGAAAGGAGCAATCTCAATATCGAACGATGTAGGTGAGTTTGTTGTTTGCTCGCCACAGACGCTTCGCGCAGCTGTTTCAAACATACTTGCGACGCGCTTAATCTCAGCAGAAGATAGGTTCAAGGGAAACTCGGCGTCTTTTGGGCTGATGAAGTCGATGTAAATCTCCAGTGCGTCGCTATACATTTTTCGTTTTTGATCGTCTGCCTGTCGCATGGACCAGCACGCCCTCCATTTCGCCACGCTGGTTAAGAAGGCAATGTTTTCTCCCGAAAAATCTCTCAAGGCAGAGAATTCTTGGAGTGGTTTAGGATTCTCATGGAGAATATATTCCAGAGCGCTCATTGTTAGTAGGCGGTCGCCCAGGTCCTCGTTAAAGATGTCCAAAGGTTTACCCTTCTTCGTCAGAGTAGTGGTCGGGAAGATCCAATTCTCCGTTGAAGAAGACGAAGGTGTAAATGGTTCAGCTTGAGGTGACAGAGTCAGACCCGTATTTGGGAGAGGACTGTCCCATTTCTCGTTGGAGCGATTGGTTTTCCGCCTCTGAATCCAAAACTTGACGACTTGGAAAGCTGGAACGAAAACGGTGAAGATTTCAAACATAAAAATGGAGAGATGGATCCTGATTCAATGCCTAGTTAATACTTATAATGGGCTGGAGGAGTGATTGGCGTGCGAAGTACTTACCATTGGCTTGGAGTAAAATATCTATTGATCTTCTGGAAGACAGGAGCATACATCGAGACTAAGAACATTGGTGTCGCATGGAGACTGCGCCAGCCTGTCAGCTTTTATCATATCATCGACAAGCTAATTCGGCTTACTTGGAAATGCAGCAGCCAATGGTTTGTGCACGCCATCCCATGGTATCGCGAATCCCCCAGGCGCGCCACAGAAGAATAGGCGCAATCTTGGAAGAAATTAGTCACGACTTTGCTTCTCAAGGGCCTGATCTATACATACAATCCAAGTCCAAATGACTTGCCACAGGACCGACGGCCACCATTCCCATCCTCGACTCAAGTCCACAAGCTGCTCAGGGATTGTTTCGCCGCGGAGTTCGGTACCAGGAATGCCATACGTTGGATGGTATTTTCGACAGGCTAGCCACATACCGACCGTGAGCAAGACCTAGAGATGGTATCACTCAGTATGCAAATCATAACACATGTAGTCATTCCGCGTTGTTCACGCGCGGAGTCTCAGACAAACGCACCTGCAGAATCATGCCAAGACCGATGAAGATAATCGATCGCGTTGTATGATCCATGTTTCTGAGGCGGCAAAGCCATGAGGTTTTTGCGCCATTGCAGCCGGATTCGACTCGATGAGCTGGGCCGGTAAACTGTTTCTGCAGCCTCGCCACGTGAAGAAAACGGAGATTGGATGCGTGGAACAATGCCACGCCCAAGGGAAACCAGAGACCCATGAAGAAGTATTGGATATCATATGCGAGAACTAGCGGCATGGTTTGGCCGATGGGATACACCAGCTGCGCAAGAATCCAATACATATGTAAAAACCCAATCGCAAAAAAAGACAACGGTAGTCCGCGGATCTTCAGAATGGGTAGATTTCTGTTGTACCAGCAGAAAGCCATGCCGGCGATGAGCGTCGTCGTCCATGATGCGCACCAAGAGATGTAAAACACGCCGAGCCTATCCCAATTGGCAGGGCTTGGTGGGAACGTATATACAGAGAGCGCATCCATTATATCGACGATGACTTAGGAATTTGAATGACGAAAGTAAGAAGATAAGAATCGCAGTCAGACTGGAATATCGAACGAGAGCAGTATCACGCAGGTAATAATGGATTGTGAGTTGTGGAGTGGTGTGAAGGGAGGTATAAGTCATATTATAAGACCTATTGAAGGCGAAATCATTTCTCTCTCTTCTAACATAGAATAGCCTGCTGTCTCTCTTCTAGTAGAACTAATCGACTCCAATCTTGCTGATCGCCGAGCTAATATATGCTGTGTCACATCTAGTTACCAGATTGGCTGAAGCTGAGAGACATGATTACTCCATCATCTTGGCGTTATTACCAGGTCCAAGCGGCCATCATTTTTGGCAGCGCCTGCACGGCTGAAAAAGAAGAAAATTTTATCTGAGACTTACACTATAGGGCTTCTATTTGTCTCTTTCCATCACAGCTAGCAGGAGATTACACCGAAATAAGCCAATTTTTCAGGGCAAAGGATGCAAGGGGCCATCAGCTGCAGCCTGACATTTCGGGTCCAAGAGACGGCTACCTGGAATCGGCCACGCAGGAGATGGGATCATCTAAGCCATGTCTCACGGATGGACTGCGATCCAGGGCAAGAAAAAGAAAAGACGTGGTGTGTGACAAGGAATAAGAACAGGGAAAAGTCAGACTTGGCATCACATAGCATTACCGAGAGAGATCAGGTGAAGGGCGTGAGACATTGGCGTATATGGATGAGCAACTTGGTGCCAGCATCTGCTACCTTGATGGACACAATGATATTGTGCTGTTGATACAACCCTACAGCCGAGGCTCGTGCTTATTGGTACTACTCGTACTCATATATAACTCCCAAGCATGTCTGCACAATCTTAAATAGTTGAGTGTTTTATGGCAGCAGGGATCTTGTACCATCTCGCATCGCTCCATACAGCCGATCCCCGCAATCGAAAAGCCGCTCTCCCTTGACGCTTTGGCTCAACTGCTAGCCCGAATCTGGGACGAGGGCGATCAGCCGCACTTTGCTTTTTCCATTTCGGTGGCTGGCTGGCCGTCATTTGTATTAGCGTACGAGGTCGATTCCTGCCGACACCCGGCTTTTATGCATAGAATCAACCTAATCAGCTCAAATACAAAAGTTTTACCTCTCACGGAATAGTACCTTTCTTTTATACTCGCTGGGAAGTCCTTTTCCTTCACCCTTGAGTATTAGTCATTGGCCTACTTCACCGAAGCTCGGATATTGCCATGTGACACGAGCACGACGCTCCCAAGGCACGCTGATTTGTGCGACACAACTGACTCGGGCCTCGTAGTAGTGCTATTGACTATCCCTCTCTCCTGGTATTTGCCACAGGGGTCAAAGAGCCATGCCGTCTCTCTGCAAGGGTGGCATTCATTGCGCTGTATGATGATTGGTGGCGATCACTGGATACTGGACGGTGTGGCTGCTTCGGTGATCAAAAGCATGATTTTGAGGCTGATTTGCTCATAATTGGGCGATGGTGTGCCTGTCTGTGTCTTATATACTTGCAAGGGTATCCGCGAGGTTTTGTCAATTACGCAGTGCATGGATCATCCCGTAGTAAAACGCCAAGAACAAATAGCGTCTTCTATATTCTCATCCGCTCTGTATCTCACGCATTTCTTACTTCTACTGTTTCTTCTATGAGCTTCTTGATGTAATTTGCTACTATTAACAGTTTGTTCTAAATGTATCATAGTAAAAGAAGTTTGTCTTTTGAGACTACCAACAGCACATGTACTGAATGTTGTATCATTCGGGGTGGTGGTCCACAATGTCGTCCATTTGATGGCACCTCTTTGCCACATTGCATACTGTAGGTAACCAACTGCGCGGGTACAACAGTTCCGTTACGGTGATACACACACAATTGCCACCTGGCCAGAACGCTTAGGCCGTCCCGAGACAATGGTAAGGTTTGCAATCCTCCGTATCTCAGCAACGAAGGCGGTATTCTTTGGCAAGATTTGGTAGATAATCGGCTTAAGGCTATGTTTTACGAATTTGAGAGATTTATAGCGCTGTTCATGAGCACCGTATAGGGCTCATAAGATGAATATAGGAGGAACTCCTCTATTAGGACGCCTCGGATTGCTTCGCGGATATGTGTCAGGGGCGTTGAAATCGGAAAAGAGCATGCTCCAGGCATTTTTAGATAACAACATCATGTATAACTACATACTATCAAGGCATGTGCTAGAAATGTTAGGATGTGAATAATACTTAGTAGAAAGATCTGCTAAATGGGATGCATACTTTATTTGAAGCATGCTCTTTATGGGTGCTTCATCTTGATAGCATTCATAGATTCAGGCCATTTGGTACAAAATAGCCTGCACAATTTATGTTTTCAACTGGCTGGAATGCAAACTAGACATCATAATCAAGTGTATGGTCTCATTAAGATAGGTGGGAGGTAAGTTTGAGATTATAAAATACAATACCAAGTAGTCACTCTATGGGCTTTACTATGATGAGAACCAACCAAATTTCTCAGTTGAATGCAGCGTAAGAATCCCATTTTCTTTTCTTCTACAGCTCCTCATAAAGATTCAAAATTATAAAGCTTTTGTTAAGCATTACAAATGTGCCACTAACCTTCAAATTTGTAATCATCGAGGGAGGATACGGGGTAGGATACTGTATATGGCAATTATTAGCGTGGCGTGCAAGTTAACAGGGTGGGGCATACTGAATACTCCCAGTCAGAACAATAAGGTCTAACAAGAGAGACCTCCTTTTGGTGATGTCTATATAAACTGCCGAATGGAAACGTGAAGGCAATATCGCTGTATTACTCGCGTAACATTATTTGTATACTCATTCTTACTCTTTGCCCACATCACGGGCAATACTCAGCATCATCATGGGGTCTCTTCCTAAAGATTATTTCGTCAAGTCTTTGCAGTATACTAGGAAAACATTTCAAGATGTTTACCCGGCGATCGACCCATCTAGCTCTGCTAATTCTCTTGCCGGAAAGATTGCCATAATAACAGGCGCAAGTCGTGGAATTGGTGCCAGGGTTCGTAGCCAGCAGGCTTCACATCTCAATAGGTCATCATACTCACAGAATGTTTTTCCTAGGGAATCGCCCCCTCGCTGGCCACGGCAGGGGTCCACGGTTTGGTCCTTGTTGCACGCGATGAGGCCAAGATGAAAGAAGTCGAAACCGAAGTTCATCGAATTAATCCCAAGATCGAAACACTGCTCGTTGCATTGGATATCACGGACGAGGCTGCTGTGAAACAACTATACACCAGTATTCGAGAGCGATACGGCCGTGCTGCAGACATATTGGTGGCCAATGCCGCAGTAAACGCCGCGACGAATGGGGGTGGCCCAGTCCTTCATGAAGCAGCTGTCGATAAGTGGTGGTCAAACTTTGTGAGTAGCCTATCTCCTCGAAAAGCTAGTTGATATGCGAGACTGATAGGTCCTTGTTGCCGGTCTTTTTATAGGAAATCAACGTCAAGGGCTTCTTCATCCTATCCAAATACTTCATATCCTCTCTTCCCACGCCAACTTCGCCAGCCACCATCATCAACATTAGCACCTCTGGAGCATGGCTTGTTTTCCCCATTACCGCCCCTTATAGCGTCAGCAAACTCGCTAGCCAGCAGTGGTGTACACACCTCAATGCGGCTTATAAAGGCACTCTCACAGTTGTGAGCATCCATCCCGGACTTGTAGAGACGGATATGAATGCAGACTTCACAGACTTTGATCTTGATACCCCGGCGTTGACGGGAGGTCTATGTGCTTGGGTGGCTGCAGATCCAGCAAGATCTGAGTTTCTTAGTGGCAGGGTCATATGTGCTAATTGGGATGTTGAAGAGTTGGTGGCTCGGAAATCCGATATTGTGGCCAAGAATGAGTTGACAATGGACTTGACGGGTAGTTTTGGTAGTGAGCAGTTTTCGGCTGCATAAATTACGATGCACTGTAGCTTTTTAGATAGGCAGGATTCGGGACATCCATGTTCCAACCACCTCAAGAAAATCACCAAGAGGCTGTATGAAACTACATGTGTAGTATCAACGCCTAATTGACCTAGAAATGTCATCATACATATCGCGCCCGCCCTTGTTTGGCCTTCGAACGCTTGCATATACACATTGTGAGAGTTTTTCCTTTGTGGAATGAATTTGTTTTATATTCCGCTTGTTTCCAAACGACCCGATAACCTCATCTACCTTGCGAATTGTCTCTAATCCTAATGTAAGACCTCTTATCTTTTCCCTTTATACGCAAGTGCCATAGTCTCAGCGCGCTCATGACCACCGTAAGGACACAGCGCTCACCCAACAGGCCAGATTCCAGACTATTCATCAGCTGCAGTGTAAAGATTGGCTTGGTGCTCATTGGGTTGACCACATTGATTATGGAAGCGGGTAACCATGAGAGTTTAGCAATTACTTCCCCTTCTGGAGGAATTCTTCGCGAAGCACTAGGGAGTCTCATCAACCCCCACGCAACTCTTCCATCGCCACCTTTGCCAGCACTTCTCCATTCTAGCTTCTCCCTTCTCATGTTACGCCCAACTTCAATGGAAAATCGAAACGCAACACCATTGTTTGCCGTGCATCTCCCAACCATCGTCTCAGTTTCGCCAACTGTCGTCGACGCCTTGACATTGTCTTTCTTAGCCAGTGGTGGCAGCAGAATCTTACTCTCGTTACTGAATGGATTGACTCTTTGTTCAAAAATAGTGACGTCGCCAGTTGCAGCAAGAACAGGATCTTTGCGAGTGACTCCATTATGTAAGATGAAGCCTCCCCTTGCACCAAGTGGCTCTGGGCAGAACCATCCAAAGGGATGGAATTCTGCCAGATATAGAACTTCCTTCGAATTTGCGTCATTGACTGTGAAAGATTTCGACCATCCGGCTTGTATTATCATCATTGAAGGGAAATTGCGGTAGTATAACGATGGCGCTTGTTGTGCTGGGGATAGGTGGCCGCCCTCTTCTTGATAAGGGGGCGGCAAACTGGGTTCATATTCCAATAAACTTTGAGTGATGGCCTCGTAAAAGTGCTCCGCCATAGCGCTCATGTTAAAATAGATAGATGAGTAAGTAGAAGGGTTGTGCCGTGTACGGAGTTCAGATACGAGTGCCAGCCTGACAAGTAATCGAGGCTTAAGGAGAGTCGCGTAGGGTGTCAACTAGGAATTCAAATGGACAGAAGTATATTAAATGACGCATATGAACAAGATCCAACCCTTAAATTGGAAGACTAATATTCTCTTGCTGTTGGCCTATGGTTGTTGGTGCGGAAGTGTGGCCCCTGCGTCAAACAACGTTGGTATTGGATGACTCGCATAGCACAATCGGATCTCAGGAAGAAAGACGCGGGATTCAACAAGACAACAGAGTTGTATAGTAGGTAAAAAGCTGAAGTTTAAGCTATAAAAAGAAAATCATCTAATTTATGGCGATTTTCTATTACGTCTAGTTGTTGAATACGATCCTTACAACGCTATAAAATATCTCATTGCAGCGGCAGCTCGCCTAATAACCTCGCATCTCCCTCTTCAGCTGGATAATTCTTTTCCAAGTCCTTGAGAAACTCTGCATGTTTCTCGCTCCGCACCGTAACCTTGAACGGAAACGGCGCTACCTTTGCAACGGCACTTCTCACAGGGTCAAGCTCAACCTTTGGCTCCATGACATTGCCCTGCTCATCAACAACTTTGCTAAAATCGAAAAAGGCCACCAGACAAGCAATATTGAGAAACAAAGCCGCGTCCGCAAGGTGTCGCCCGGGGCATATTCTGCGGCCAAACCCAAAGACGGACCAAAACGGGCTCGGTTCATTCCGCGGCTCGTGAAAGCGCTCTGGATCAAACTTGAAGGGATCGCTATAAATAGAAGGGTCATGGCAGAATTCCCAAATCTCCGGCAAGAGAATCGATCCCTTGGGTAAATGATAGCCCTTTGTATGTCACGTCTTCTGACAAAGCATGAGGGAAGCCCAACGGTGCTGTTGGGAAGAAGCGAAGAGCTTCGGCGAAAATGGCGCTGACAAAGGGCATCTCTTCCTGGTCAGCAAGAACAGGCAGGCGAGTGCCGCCAGTCACTCGGTCGACTTCTTCCTGCGCCTTTCGCTGAATTTCAGGGAACATGATGGCAGCTAGAATGAAGGTCCTAGTCACTGTGACGGTCGTTTCCGAGCCGCCAACTTGTAAGCCTGCCGCTGACCACTTGATGGCATGCTCATCAGCTTCATTGGGTTCCCCAGCGCCTGCAGCATACTCTTTGACAAGCTTCGCGACAAATGATTTTGTGTCCTTGCGGCTCGCCATTTGTCTCCGAGCGAATTGATAAGGCTCTTCAACGTAGACTTGAGCATTCCGGTTGTGTTCCCTGGCCTCAGCCTTGAAGTTTGTACCGGGAAATCCATCAGGAAGCCACTTAATCGCAGGTAAATACTCGACAAGTCTTCCAAAGGCATCGCAAGTGCGGAAGAAGTTGGCAACCACGTGGTCACTCAACTTTACCAGAGGATCATCTCCATGGGGGCTGGTAGTATAGCCGTACAAGATTTTGAGCATGACGGCATTTGCTTGACTGAGTATGAATTAGCTGGGAGAATTACAGAGATACAGCTCATGCTTTGCAAAAGAAAAACAAAAAAAGGAAGGGAAAAAACGACTCAGTGCTTACATTTCTAGATGCCGAAGGATCTGCTCGGGTGCCTTTAGCGTTTCCTGCAGTAGCAATCCGGTGTGCAGTTCTAGAATATCCGCATACTTGCTCACCAGGAGCTTGGTCCCAAGACCTTTATGCATAAGCTTCCGATGAAGCTTGAATTCTCTGGTTTGTTGATGGATAGGGATAATGTCCCCAAAGCCTGAATATTTGCTAAATTCAAAGGCAGGGCGCCCAGACGAGGCGGAACACTTCTTTTCGAGAATTTCATGTGCGTCTTGTTTATCAGCAATGAAAATCAGATGCCGCCCCAAGATCGTAATAGAGGCAATTGGTCCATATTTGTCCGTCACTGATTTCCAGTGTACGTGGTCGAGAGTGCCTTTTGGAGGTAGATCGAGAACATTGCCGATGATGGACAATCCCTTTGGTCCAGGTGGTAGATTCTTCTTTTTTGAACTGCGGAATAGCTGGTGGTAGATGGCGAAGCTTACTAGAGTTATGAGAGCTTGGATTATGATTGTTGATGCCATTTGATCAAGAGCAGACAATAAATCGTAATCAGTCTGTGTAATGGACTGAAACAAATTCCTCTTTATGAAAGTGCGAGGGAGCACGTCATTTATGTAAACCATTTCCCTCTCAGAACTCGTCACTCTGGTCGTCTACACCATCGTCAAAAAGGGGATTGGTCGCTTCTCAAGCGATTGGTTTAGCTTTTACGCAATATAGTAGATTTGCACCTAATAGACTGTACAGCAGGATTTGGCCTTGACCATATGCCCGATATGGTAATTGCTACGAAGAAATTGCCCCCCAAGCAACGTTTCCGGACAGTTTTCGGAAAGTGGGAGGTATCATATAAATGATCTCCCGTCGGAAACGATGAATAGTTTTCGTAATACATGGCATGTCCAATAACGAGCTCAGGTGAGCCGGCACAGAGCATGAACTGTCCGCAAGGAGGATCACATGGGCGTAGTGCTGAGGAGCCCTTTTCGCGACAGCCAGTCCTAGAAGAGGAACTAATTTATCATCTTTGTATTCCAGGTTTTCATATTACACAAAATCAATATTGAGGGGTCATGACAAGTCCAAGAAGTAAACTCATATATGAAAGAAGTTGATTCAAGTATATCGTTTGCTGTACTCCATACTTCTCATCAAGGGCCATTAAAAGGGTGATGATAAGTATTTGAGTATAGGGGTCAATATAAACTCAGGGCATGTTTCATTCATCAGATATGTGAGTGGTCATTATGATAGCTCAGATGTCTATCGGATGGTTCCTGGTAACCTCGAACAGGAGAATCCTCTATGCCTAGAAGCATGTTCGCCATGGCGTATTACAAATTACATCATCATTTTATGCAATGCAATCCCGATTTGGGTTACTTTGATCTCGCAGCATCACATTCACTGAAATAGTATTTACCAAAAAAAAAAGTCATAATATGCATTATGGACATTCACTTCGATCGTCTTTGCCGCCAACCAACGCTAATTTATTGACTTTCAACCACCAGGTTCCAAAAGGGGCATTCTATCTAATGGTGTGCCAAGTCTGCCAAGCGCTGATACGCCCCGCAGGCAATACGCTTGGAAGGATCAGCCAGGAGGAATTACGCACAATGAAGAGCATTGGACAAATGAAGCAAAACTCGAGAAAAGCTCGCAAGGCAGGGTAACTCTGTTGTATCAGCATGCTATCAACTACATCATACCTAGTTCAACATGGGACTCGACAGCACTGTTAGACAAATATCTGATTCGCCGTATCCTGCCTCTCAGCACGCTCCCCTCCATCCCAGTCGTCTACGGAACGAGGCTAGAGTTTTCTACACATCGATACATTTATGACGACTCAACCAAGCCATCTGAATAGCTGCAATACGCAGCAAAAGATCGTAATGCCCCAATATAATAAACGCCAAGACTCACATATTACCTTGTTCCTGCAAATCCCTCCCAATGGAGCCCTCAACAACAAAAAGTCAAGTAAGCGGAAGTAATTGGACAAATGCCTAGAACCTTCAAGTCAAGCCCATCCAGTTCTGTTCTAAACAAGGCTCTTCTATATACCCTCGCACAAGCAAATCACGCAATCTTTATCACAACCTTGCCAAAGTGCTTCCCCCCCTGCACATACCCCATCGCCTCCTTCGCCTCCTCCAGCCCAAACACCTTGCACACCACCGGCCGTATCTCCTTGTCCTCGTAAAACCTCACCATCTCCTCAAACCTATCCTTGCCGCCATTAATCAGCCCCTTGAGCGTAACATTCTTCCTCAGCGCCAGCACATTCACATTCAGCTTATTCCAGCTCGACGCCTTGTCCTTGTCGTCATCAGTATCCTCTTTGCCAGACACATAGCCAATGCAGCTAATCGTCCCGCCAAACGAAACGCTCTCAAAGCTCTTTCGCAGCGTCTTTGCACCGCCCACTTCGACAATGTAGTCTGCGCCATTGCCCTCCGTGGCCTCCAGCACGCGGTCCTGCCACTCCCAGTACGTGCGGTAGTTGATCGTGTGATCCGCGCCGAGCTTCTTCGCCTCCTCGAGCTTCTCATCCGACGAAGACGTGATGACGGCCTTCAACCCAGCCGCCTTTGCAATCTGCAGTCCCGCAATGCTCACCCCTCCCGTGCCCTGCAGCAACACCGTCTCGACCTTCTTCTGCTCCGGATCCTGGCCATAAATCTCCACCGCCTGGAACGCCTTGCCAATAGGCCTCATCCAGTTCAGCGCCATCCACGCCGTCACGCTGGCAATCGGCAGACAACTGGCCTCCTCATCGGTCAAGTACTTGGGCACTTTGACCAGCGACTTTGCATCGAAACACCGATACTCGGTCAACACTCCGGGGAGAGGCAGGCCCAGTCCCGTAGCCAAGTCAGACGGCTTCAGCGCCCCGGAGAGATGAGCCTGAGCGAAAATAGACATGACGCGAGTGCCGGTGCTGAGGAGCGGCGATTTACTCTCGACAACGGTGCCGCACATGTCAGAGCAGGGAACGATGCCGGCCTTGAAGTCGTCGGGATTTGAGTGATGGGCATATTGGCCTTCGCAGACTACAACCGGAGTTAGAAGCGAGCATTTGCAACGCGTACATCATCACCATATACTCTATCCGGCAAAGCAAAAGCACTGCCCTGAACGTACCTTCGATATCCCGATAGTTCAAGCTCACAGTATGAATCTTCACCAACACCTCTCCATCCTTCGGCACGGGCACCTCTCCCTCCGTAAACTCCAGCTTATCTACCCCATCCAGCTTAGAAACCCACTGCTTATTAGTCGATGCCATTTTGACTTTTCTCAACCGCCAGTTTATAGGTTGCAAGTGCCTTATATCCCTCTCTCGTCTCAACGGCTATATCGCCTTTCCGATGCGGGGAATCCGAGTTTCAGCGAAGTTAGTGCGACGATAGCACTTTTATCAATCAACAACAACACTGGTAATTTGACCAAAGGTAAGAAAGAAAAATCTCAAACAGAGCATTAAATCTCAAAATGCTACGCTTCAGAGGGGTAGTCCACATCTGCCAATCATAGACCCCATGTAACCTTCAAAATGCGGATAACAATACTCATACAGGCTACGTCATCCGCAGATTTTGCGATACGAGCACTACATCACGACTTAACCGTAAAGCAACACAATTAGTGGATCCAATTGCCGTCTACCTAGAAAGAAAACGAGTCAGCAAAAACATAAGCATAAGTAGACAGCATCAACGCTAACCTTGGACAGCGGTTCAAGCCGTATGGCTTTCATTTTTTGTTCTGTTAATGCTAAGAAGCTTGAAGAGATCCTGTCACCGAAAATTAAACTTATACTGATGATTCAATTGGGAAGCAATCATCCGTCAAGTTAAGGAAACAAAAAGTGGTAAAACGAGAATCTCGCCAGTCCAAGCAAATACATGCACAATTAGACAAAAAGTAAACCATTCAAACTAAATTATAGCTATAAAGAAAGACTGAAACTCCAAATTGAATCGAAAGGGTAGAAAGAGAAGCCCTTGGTGGCACTAATACAGCAACTACAGTTTGTGAAAAGAAGAAGAAAAAGAAGACGAAGAAAAGAGAAAAAAATTTACAAAAATTGAAACCCGAAAAATTAGGACAACGAAAAAAAAAAAAGACAGTATTTCGCCGCATTTTGTGTGTTTTTCTTTCCCTTTCTTTCACATGTTCCTGCTAAATCGTATAGCCCTGTATGAGTTTATAACATTCGCCCATCTCCTCTTTTGCATCTATCTAGGATGCACGGAGAACTTCTTTCCCTTCACCAGCCCCCTCTCCTCGAAACAAAAAGAAACAACAAAGAACAGCAGTTCACATAGATGCACATTCCAAGAAGAAAGAAACAAAATATCCAAAATATAGTAAACCCCGGGAAAAATGCTGCCTGTTCAACGCCGCAATAAAAGATTATACCTTCTCAGCGAAGTCGACTTTTTTTCTCGGTTGCGTTAAGAGGGAATTGCCTCAGCGGCGGAGGCAAGACTTATTAATAAACGCAAGCAAATGCCATAAACTCTTGTATAAAGCATCAAAGAGAAAATTCATTTTTTTCGTTGAAAGATATTTTTTTGTTCCGCTTCTTCACAACCATCTCCAACCAACCCATATTCCAACAAACACATTGCTACTCTCATCTCAAGCCCCTTCCCTTGCATATACAAGAAGCTGGGATGCTCAATTCGTTGTCGTCACGGTCGTATCTGGACGTCAGACATGGGGGTATTAATAAGATTCTTTTTTTTCTTTGGGTATTGGTACTGCTCGTCATCGTCGCCGAAGCCACTCCACTCAGTGCTAATGTGATGCGAAGCACGACGAGGTGGATTCGCAGCAGCTGTCTAGACGTAAAAGTCGTGAAAATAAATGTCATAATCGTCAAGAATCGGTCGTAGGTCTGGTTGAACGAGTATACTCGAAGGGGGATATTCTCGGCATTGCGCTCGGAAACGAATCATGACCGTTTGCGTAACGGCTGCCCATTTGTCGAACAAATTTTTGTGTACCCTGGTCCTGTTTTTCCGTATTCTCATCGGGGGTGGCATCATCATCATAAAAACCAGCTACGGAGCGGCGAGAGTTGATGGTTGAGCCCGAGACTTTTGGGCAACTTAGGGCGAGTGCATGCCACTATTTTGATCAATCGTCCTGGATTCACCGAAAACTCTCGTCGTCCTGAAGAAAAATCAATATTACAAGTCATAAAAAGCAATGGGTGAGGGCGAGGCGAGGGATGCGACGCAGAAAGCCTGCTCCGAATCCCCCCCAAAGGGCAGTCCATCGGCTCTCTCTCAGTAAGCCGCACGCAGCACACAGAAGAGAGCGAGTAGACGCGTGTTGTATGAGTTTAGTGATATCGTGAAGCATTAGTGGAGCTGGTGCCAACGCGAGCTCCATTGTCTGAGGAATCTACATAATAGTCATGTTAGTTTTCGTAAAACAGTCAGCGTGGGAGATGTGATCAACGTACCACTACCGCGTTGCATGTGGCCATTTGCTCGAGTACGACCAAAGCCGTTCGAGGTCTCCCATTCTGGGCCACGCGGCTGCCTCTCAGGGGCACCCTTGGTAGTGCCATTGCCGTTGGCGCTGGGTCGCTGGCTGCCAATTGCACCAGGAGTGTTGCGTGCCTGGGACTGCAGCCCGCTCGCCTCGAAAGGAGACAGGCTCAGCCCGCTGAGGCCACTGACAAGGCCATTATCATTCTTTGCACCGGGAGTGCTTGGGTTTCCACTCTGAGATTGGCTACCGTTGCTGAGATAGTCACCGAATCGAGCAGTCGATGCAGGCGTCATACCGCTCAGTCCGCTGCCAGGAGCCAGGTAGCTCGATGATGCCTGAGAGGGGCTGGGAGTAAACGAGCGAAGGTCGGCAAAGCTCTTGGCAGCACGCAGGTTGTTGGGAATTCCAGCTCCATCTGGGCTACCAGGAAGTTCAAGAGTAGGCCCATGTCGACCAACAAGATGAGCATAGTTGCTGCTGGCCGCTCGAGACTCTCGGTCGGCGGCAAAGTCGAATGTGGCAGCCCGGCTCAAGCCACGCTTGTGAACATCCAAGCTGCTGGCAGGGGGCGTATGGAGATCGGCGGTAGGGGAGGGCTGTCGTCGCTTCAGCACGGTTAGCTGTCGGGAGTCAGCTTCACCAATAGACTGGTGCTCAAGGCCCATGTGGTGAGCGAGGATGTGGATAGACCGGCGGTGCTCGGGTGCAATTCCAGGAGGGAACACCAAGATTTCACGCGAATCATCTCTTCGAAACATGGCAAGTTCGGTGTAGAATTCAAGGGTCTGGGGGTCGTTCAGATCAATATCGCCTATGTTTTGCTCGTCAGTAAATCGTCCAATAAATGATGTGTGCATGAAAACCCTACCGAGATGAGAGATGGAAGAGGCAGGGGCGGCAGAAGGGGTGCGCGCCTGAGCTTGGGACATTCCACCCAGACTCTGAAGCGAGCTCTGGCTGTGCAGAATAGGAGCGCGGTGCTGCTCCTCCAGCTGACCTCGGCGCTCCCTCTTTTCTCGCTCGATACGCTCGCGCTCAGCCTCGGGAAGCATCTTCTTGTACTCGACTCGCAGCTTCCGGCCATGAACGTCCATTCCATTCATCGCCTCGATTACGATACGAGTATCTTCGGCGGACTGGAAATTGGCAAAGGCGAGTCCTCTGAAAACTCCATTATCAAAGTGGTAGTTGAAGGCATAGGGTTGGGGGAGATGCATATCCAGCATGATCGAAGCAAGAGTTTCTTTGCGCACGGCGAATGGAATATTCTTGATAACAATGGCAGTAGGAATCAGCTGATCTGCGTCGTTTCCGACAGACTGAAGGCTGTTTGGGGACGGGTGAGATCCAGGAGCATCAACACGGAGGCCACCGTTTGACATGGAAGCGCCAGCAAGGCCATTCGAGTAGGACTGAAGGTTAGGCATGCCCATTCCACCATGTTCGGTCCAGTTCTGCATCTTGTTGGTCAGTAACGCGATTTCGCTTCCAAGGCAAAAGGGGATTGAAATGAAACATACAGTCGGCAAAGCAGCGCGGCGGTTAACGCTTCGCTGCCTTTGTGAGCCATGCACGTTGCCTCCGACGGTAGCCACACCGGCGCCGTTGTAGTTCCATGTTTGGCCGTTATCCATCATGTATCCAGGCATGGCACCGCCGCCGCTAATAGTGTCCATGGCTCGGCTTCCATAGCTACCGGCCAGTCTATCGGAGGAGTAAAGGTTGTTTGAAGGCAGAGGTGCATCAAAGGGTCGCTGCGTCTGTCGGGGCATGGACAGGCCAGGGGCAAAGCCATAATTTTGTCTCGAGGAGCTAGGCGACCGGTTGGTGGCCGTGCCGTAATCGAGATAAGTCATGTCGTGGGGCTGTTGAGCCATGTCGCAAGATCGTCCAAAGTGTATTTATTGCGACTGCGGCGTGAATAGCGTGTCCGGAGATACGCAAAGGGGTAAAAAGTTTTAAGATGATGCGCAAAGAATGGGCGGAGAAGGAACACGTAATCGACAGGACAACGAAGTTCCAGTTCTTCGCACTTGGAAGAAGAATATACTCAAAAACGCGATAGAGACGGACGATAAAAAGGCAGCATAGATGATGCACAGTCTGGTTTGATCGGATCGTTTCAGTCGTGACGGTCGTAACGTGAGTTGGGGGAGCAGCCCAGGCCAACCCAACAAGAGAGCAGTCGTGTAGAAGGCAGTGCAAGGCTAGCTAGCTAGCTCTGTGCAGTGCGTAGAGAGAGGGAGTGAAGTCTATAATGAAAGGAAAATTCAAGATCCACGGGACTGTTCAAGCACTCCTGCTTTCCTCCTTTCTTCAGAAGCGACTCGGCGCCGCGTCGATTATTCTAGACAGAATCGCCGAGCTTGGAGCTCACGATTCTTTTCTGAGATGTGGCGGTCGAAATTCGGGGAACGTGGTGTTCCTTTGCAAACTGCGCCAGCCGGACCAGGTCCACGAGAGGCGCGGGAAGTCAAAGTCGGATCCAGGGAGCTCTGTATCCGTGGGTTGCCCAGATCGGATTCCAGCGGCACCAGCACTCGCGTTCCAGGAGCTGTTGAGCGGTGGCGGCAAAGGCGGGCGTCGGCTGGCGACTGGCGACTCTCGCAAGCGGCTCTTACGAAGTCGTTGGCGGTCGCGGAATCGCAGGAGAAGCGACAGAGAGGAGAGGTGGCGATGGAGAGGAGAGGAGAGAAGCGAAGCAGTGCTACGAAGTACGAGAGTTGGAGAGCCGGGCTAGGGAAAAGAAAAATTGCACGCCAGAGCATAATCCTAAGTACGGGTAATAACCTACTAGGGGGGAGGCTCTTGCGCGCCCCACCGCTGCAGACTTGGGTGCGCCGGGCGGCCGGGGTACAAGCTAGATATAGGGGCGGCCACCAAGGCCAAAGGTAGCACCGGCTACGTGCATATGGCAGATTGCGGCCCAAGGCAACGTATGGCGCAGACCACCCCTAATTTTGGAGCTGCCAGTGCCTGGTGGCCTGTGCTAAGGCGCTGGGCTCTAGGGCACAGCAGTGCTGATGGGGACATCCAAACTTCTGCTTGTAGTGCGGCCTCTAATCTAACGAGGCAAGGGAGCAACAGCACAGGTTCTTTGCATAAACAAGCCGCTTTTCCCTATGTGAAACTGCCTCTCGTTCTCTCTCCAGCTGCCGCTTTTAGTCTACTTTGCACCTGTTTCTTACTGTTGTTGTTTTGTCTTGCACTGCATCCGCCAGCCGTTTCTGTCTTGGGTGAAAATATCTGCTGTGCCGCCACTGCAAGCCCTCAGCTCTCCAGCAGCCAGAGCCCTAATACTGATGGTACGTACCGCAGGGGCCCTGGCCATTGGCAGTTCTCAGTACCGGGGACCTCGCCCATGGTTTATTGCGATTGCAGAGGCCATCGTTGTAATGAATCTACCTGCCGTCGCAGCCAACCAGCCGGCTATCAGATGTACCTGCACCCGTTGATTGATCCCCTTCTCGCTTGCAGTTCCGATTTCTTATCTCATTTACCTCCATGCCGTTCTCTTTCTCTGTTACTGTAGCATTTATTGCTTCCCCTGAACATACTCAGGCCTTTGGCCATGCGTCGACGTTCTAGAAGAAATCGACGCCCGCCCCTATTTTCCGCGGCATCTGCTATGCTTTGCTGCAAAGCGATTCGAGCATTGCGTTTATTATGACACGGAGTCCTGGATGGGGCCTCTGGCCGTAGAATTTGAGGAGAAGCAATATGGAAGAGATGGGGCCGCTGTGTCATGGGGCTTATACTGTGTGAAGACGACATTGCCTCATTGCCACACCTCCAGCGGCTTGAGGCGCAACGAAGCTTTGCAGGCGGTGCAAAACAGTGGCTGCATGTAACCAGGCCAGGGGTTGGCCATCGGAGGCCTGGAGATGTTTTGTTTGCGGCACAGAGAGAGCTGAGATGTTGACATGCAGGCTAATTTAGGTGCGTCAAAGGGCCTGAATGGCTGGATGCCCTGCAGATGTTGAAAGTATGTACAGTAGCATTGAACCTGCTGTTATTCAGTCTCGTGCCCAATCAGGTTGCTGCTTGAGGTCTGCTAACCAGCACAGCATCGTTAACCGCCCTGCTCCAACTCAAACGTTGCCACTTCTCTCTGATAGCACAAGGACTGGGCAGGCCGCTATAACGACCGCTGCTTCTCGCATCATTTGTCTGGTGTCTACTGCGAGGGCATACTTGAGTACTGGAAGACGCGGAGTCGCAGGTGCATACGCAGACTCCCTGTCTAGCCCCCATGCAGGCGCAGGGGTTGCTTTACGCTGAGTCAACCAAAACACCCTCCTGCTGCAGGATCACCTTCACGTTGGCCAAGAGTGTCGTTGGAGAAGCAGGGAAAGCCTCCACTCGATCAGCGTCTGCTGCGTTGCACTGCACACACCTCGTGCATACGAGACTCAAGAGGAGGCGCCTCTGTCTCGTCCTCATGATCCATACATAGCATGGTGTTGATGGGCGCTCGATGCTCCCCTTTCGACCCTCACTTCGCTCTGCTCCCTCAACTCGTCTTACATGCTGTAAATGCGCTGGAATGCCGCCGCGCCGCCCGCCAAAAGCAATTTGCGCCACGTTGCAGCCATCAAATTTCGGGATATCTAGGCACACACGCTCGATCTAGCGGCATGTGGTATGGTGCACCTCTACGCCCTGAAACAGGATGGGTGAGTGTAATAAGACGCCGCCGGCACTAAAGGGGCAGATGGGCATTAAACGGCAGTTCGAAAGAAGACCCCTACTGCATGGCCGAGCGATTATTTGCATCTGCTTCAGACCACGGCTCGTATTACGAAGCAGTGCTACTTGGAGTGGTCCTGTAGTAGTGGTGGTAAGTTGCGTATGCCTTGCCTGGAGAGCTTTACGAAGCGTCATCATGCCGAGGGCCAGTCAGCCACCGGCATCACACATCGTGATAGTGATATTACGCCTCTTTTCGCTTCAACCCTTCTTTGTGCGCGCGACCCTCTAGGTGGCAAAAAATGCATGTCAGCCCTGGTAGCACTACTAATAGGCTCATAGTAGTACCTACTACTGTGAGTAGTTTGGACAACGGGACGGCGTGGCGCTCACTAGATCCCGAAGTTTCGAGTTCTCGTCGACGTTTATCACGGCCTCGGCGGTTGAGAGGCAAAGACAGAGGCCTGCCTCGGACAATTCACTATGCTGGTCTTCACCCTTCTGCAGAGAATCTAGAAAGGGCGCTGTCAGCACGGGTCGCTTCTCATTTCCAAAATATCCCGTTGGCTACCCCTTTTTGCTCCTCGCAACCTCGAGTCCTTCAGCTGTTTTTCCTTCTGACGGTACAGAATGTCTCCAAAAGAAAATATGGATCTTTAGCGTATCCACCTGCGATCAGGGCTGTCTAGCGAATCGGAATTGTAGCTGGCCGAGTTTGCAGGGGTATGGGTTGTCGCTGCTGCGTTCTGCTCAGTCAGGCGACAAGCCACCATCGCCAGCAGCCACTTCCAGCAGAGGAAGCCTCACATGCAGAGTCACAAGGGCCTGTTGCGTCGCTTTCAGCCCACGGCACGGGGACTGTTGGGCCAGCTGAGCTCCTGAGCAGAGGCTCCAATCCCACGGATCTGCAATATCGCTTCGCGGCTCCGTGCAGGGCGCCAACAAGAAACACGGTACCCACGATATCTACCAAAACGTGAGCAAGAGAATGCAATTATCAGATGTTGCGCGTCACACTGTATAACGCACTGCTACATAACAGCCTTCTGCCCTCTTTGTCGCCGTGCACATTCAGTACACCTGTTGTTGTCATCACGACAAACATTGGGCCTGAGCCCCTTTCCGCGAATCGGGCCTCCTTGATCTTCCTGAATTTCCGGGGCCAATCTCGTTTTCTGCCATTTGGGCTCTTTGACTAAAAATCGGCAGCCCGAGGCACCGCCTTTTTTGAGGATCCACTCAAGCCCCCCTGGCAGCTCCCAATCCCGTGCCATTTCCAACTCGTGCACGTATCCCGTACGCCGGGATCGTGAGTTTCCAAATTTAACATTTTACTGCATCTAGACCCAACTAGTATTTCCTTTGAGTCTAATTTGTCAACTGCATGCTAACCATTGCTCTAGCTATCAAGTGGTCGTTTTGCTTTCAAAACTGCTTTGTCTAGAGCAGACAAGTTTCATCTGATGAAGGGGGAATATACAACACAGTCAATGAATCCTTTTTGTCTAAGACAAGCAACATCTCTACGGCTGCTGAAGATGTCGGGTAGCTTCGCCATCAGGGACGCGCAAGCAACGTTTTAAAATCAGCTCCCCCTTGCTCTACTACTTTTAATGAAGGACTAGTATAGCAAGTAGTCTTGCGGCTCTGAGACTGCGGGCATCACGATGCATCAACCACGTGTTGGTACTCGTCAGTTGTCATCCTACCGAGGAGGGCCTCTGTGCATCCAAGATGAGCTACCGCCACCAAATCCTTGGTGTAACAATGGCCTCGATGGCTGCAAACGCACCGCATGCGCCCATACCCACACTCCCGCAGTTTGCTCGCCGGGCATTGGCCCGTTTGCCTCCCCTTGTGCACGCCCGATCATGCACGTACTTGGGAGCAGTACCTGCAGCAGCCTGCATGTCCTGGCGGCTGGTTGGCTCGGCTCGTGTCTGCCCTTTGGCGATGGATGTTGGGACGAACTCGATACGTGTACAACCACGGATTGCGCTACGGCTCATTGGGGGAGCACAGACGGATGCCCGGGCATGCACTTGCATCTGACTCTGTAGGCGGCTCTAATTTGACACCCGAGCTGTGGTAAACCTGCGATCGAGTTTGTAGGTGAGTGTAAAGATGACGGTCACTGTACTTACTGTTCGCTCTTTGTATTCCGCAGCTCGTAGTTGTGTGCTGATCTATGGACTGTGGGTGCGCTCCGATACCGAGATGTTATTTGCAAGACTCAATCATTCGAGTCATTCTCTATAAGTAATGCTATGCAATCCGTTGAGCAAATAATTTATTAATTCGCTGTTATCAAAAGCTCGATACTTGATTGTTTTCTATTATGGGGTGTTGTCGTGGAGCATACAATGGCATTCTACAGACAACCGCTGTTATAGGGTATGAATGTGGTACCAAGATGAACTTTAGTATAAATACCATATATACCAAAGAAAGGGTACATAGATTGGTAAGGCTATTCATGCCAGTCATATCAGCTGTAATTTTAGAAGGCATATCATTCTTCTTTTTGCTTACTGCGTAGACGACAACTGCCTTGAAGGCGAATACCTCGGGAAAGACATCATTGAGATGAGAAAGAACAACAGGTACTCTAGAACGGCCGCCTTTCAACCTCAAATAATGTGAAATGTCTAAAAAGGATAGAGATTACAGCCAACAGTCCATATCACAACCAAAAAGGCCAACATGCTGACACCCATCTGTGGAGTCGCTACACCCAACACACGCACCACCACCACCAAAACACTCACAAAAATCCACCCACCAAACACCACTCTGATAACAATCTTCTCACAAGTAATTCTATAACACTGTCTAGATGCATATTTGCCTAGAGCTGCCGTTAAGCGAGAACGGCGGTGTACCTTCTCCTTGGTGCCAGGCCATGCATGCTTTCTGCAGTAAGATATCCACCTGGCGGGCCAATCTCCTGGAACACAGTACAGCCCACTCTCAAGCTGTCAAAGTGCCCATGCGAGATAGTAATCTATTGGCTTTATCGCTGTTGAACTGGCTGGTGGGGGGGAAGCTACTTTGTGCTCCTGCTATGCAAGGTGCTTTTGGGTAGGGAGGTGTTTTGGGGACATGTTCCCTTTGTGACTTACCTTGGTAGCATTCATTATTAATAGGTATATCTCCATAGCAACAGATGCCCATGGCGTACAGTGGCCGCCATTCTAATGTTTATAATACTTTTAGATTTTCCACAAGACACTTTAAGATGACATTTGGTGTTTGATTAGACATGTACCAACTCTTTATGTATTCAAAATGCCTAAGTACGTATTATTGATGTGCCTCTCGGAAATTTATTCTACTAGAGTTGAGCTCAAGCATGTCGACAAATATATCATGAAGCGGTGATGTTAGTACTGAAACTGACAAGTTTCCTTTTACAACGATTCCTGGCCTGTTCCTTACAGCGGACTTTTTATCCCCCCCTCTGCAATATGGACTCCGTAGTCTGAATTTATGACGGAAATGGCAAATGCCGGAATAATTGCCAGGCAAATTATGGCATATATTATCAGTTATCTCTGACTGATTAGAATAACAAGAAGTAAAGTTCGTAGGGTAGGAGCAAAACAAAAGTTTAGCTGCAATGGTTCAACTTCTTTTCTCTACTAAATGAACTCAGCATCCTTTTCGAATGTCTGTAGGTTAGTCCAGATTTTCAGCCTCGATTTGAGTACATGTATGAAACAAAACGAAACGAAACAGTTATCCTGACTGTAGTATTCGAAATGGAGAAACAAGGAAAAATAACACGAGGATGAACTTTGCCCAGCTTTGTGCTTTAGCGCGGGGCTTGGCCGCACTGACGTCATCAAAGCGAAACCTAATGAATGCTCATTCTGGTTGGTTTAATGAGATTGAATATTGTACAATTTTAAACAGTATCTATGCGCCAATGACTGGGATCTATTTACAGAGAGTCAAATGAACTTGAATTACAACAGCACCAACGTATATTGCTGCCAGGGGTTTGACAACGCCGATTGCCGATCATCATAGCGGCGTAATTACACCAATGTTTGTATTTACTTGTACTATATCCGGGTAGCCGTTGTACATCCAATGGCCGTCCGCTCATCCTGGCCCAATATAATCATTGCGTTATCTACTTCTATATAACCTGACATGTGTTGCCTGTATCATTAATTCCTTTCTCATTCCATTTCGTACAAGGGGGCGCTTGGTATATCGGTCACGTCATGACCACCTTCACTTTGCCTGTTGCTCAACGTCCTTCCATCTACCCATGCGCATCGGGTCGAGAGCCCGCAGCTTCGTGAGCCAGGTCTGTAGATTACCAGCTCCACCACTCTTGTCCTCTAGTCGATTGAGAGCCAAGTTGTATTCCAACAGAGCCTCGTAAATCCACTTGATGTCGTCATAGTCTTCTAACAGGTCTGTAATCTCATCAATCTCACGCTTTAGGTAGGTGATCTTTTCGTCGACAGTTAATGCCGGAGTGATGCTCTGCCCATTCCCGTCTCCCACAATTTGGGAGACCAGAAACTGATGGTAGTACCATAAACTCTGATCTTCGGGCCCGACATTGAGGCCGTCTCGTACAAGATCGAGCTCTTCGGCGAGAAAAGCCGCCCTGGCCTTGTCGTCAGAGCCCCGCTGCTCCAAGACCTTTGGGATGAGTAGGCTTCGGTTATGCCACGCGGAAAAATTTGACAAGTTTGCCTGAATCATGGTCGTTGTGTATGCGAATTCGTCTTCAGCCATGCTCTTGCCGTCCAGTTCGGGACTCTCTAGCTGAGCCACCACATATCTCCTATATCCCCAGGCATGGTAATTGCGCTGATCCCTATTGAGCATCTTGGATACCAGACCGAGCTCCGTTTCCCATATTTTGCGTGCTGCCGGAAGGGGTAGCCGTAAAATAGCTTGCGACAGAAGCCATTGCCGGAAATTCCAGATCCAATAGCACTTGGGGAACTCCATCAGGAGCGGCATGGTAAAGGCGACTTCAGACTGTAACACATCGCCGTCTGATTGCTGGTTCTTGGCGCCTGGCGTCGCGTCTTGGGTATCTGATGCTGGTTGGTCTGTTGTTGTAGATAGTAGGCAGGACAAGAGACACCGGCGGCGGACATTCCATACTGTGTAATACTCGGGGTTGAGGCGGAGGAGTTTGGTGGTGAGGTCGTAGAGCTGGAGGGTGTAGGTTCCCAGTGCGGCTTGGGAGCGGATCTGGTCCTCGAGGCCGCGATACTTGTTGATCTTTTCAATCTCTTGCAGCCGCTGCTCTTCGGTGCGCACCCGGGTTGTGCGAGCTACGTTGTGCTGCAGCCTTGCGAATTAGCAGTCTGTACCGCGTGTGCCCAGGGGAATGCTGTGCTCACGCTTGCCATGGTGCCACTGTATATTTTTAACAGGAGGTATTGATGGTTGGACTTTGGAGAGACAAATGTGAAGATATACAGACCACAGGTGGTTCTTTATCAGCAGCTATCTGCTGGGCAGTTGGAGGTGGGATGTACATGAAGCTCTCCCAGATCTCGTGCCGGCATGTGGTCCGTGCGAGCTGGAGTGACAGCAGGCTAGCAGGTGCATGTGCCTTGGTATCTCGTCTCAAGCCACAGCAGCACCGATACGGCCGTCTGGTACACAGGGATCTAATCTGTGCACTGCAACAGAGGAGCGCGGAGATTTTGCTGAGGATCCGTCCAAGTATTGTAGTACTCAGTACCCGTGTATTGACAAAAAGTAAAAGGAATTAATTCTGACGCAAGCTCAAAGCAAATTCTGTTTCCGGCCAAGTGCAGCGACTTGCAGTGTCCTGGCATCGGCAAATAGCCGGCATTAGGCCATGCCTTGCGCCACAGCCTGGCCGCCACAGCGGGACAATGTCAACTCTAGTCGCCGAGTTTAGAAACAGTTGAACTCCAGGCTCACCAAGGCATGATATCGCCCAGCCAGGCCAGCAACTTCGCACCAGCTTGAACTGGCAAGATGGCTGCTTTGCGGTGATTCTACGCCTTGCCTTTACCGCCTTATGAAGCATCATGGGGTAAGACAAGGCATTGGCGGCGCTGCTGCGATGGCAGCTGAGCTGTGTGGTCAGTATATCCCGATGCCCTGAGTCGTCTTCAGCACCATCTCCAGTGCTGCATACACGGCTCTACGGCGATTGCTTGTCGACTTCTCCCCCCTCAAGCTGTCTGGCACGATGACTTCCAACGTCTTTTCCAGCGGCTTTGAGGCCTTGGAGCCCCTTTGGCTGACTGACGGCCCTTTGCCGGCCTGCCACCATCTCGAGCTGCCTGCGATGCGCCAGTGGCGGCCAGCCTTCGGCTATACCCCGGCCTGTCGGATGCGGCATTCCATCACACGGTCTCACTAATCCGCCGCCAGCACCGCCCAACGGCTCGACAGAGGCTCCTGTTGGATGCTCTTAGGCAGCTCAACAGCGCTGCAGCCTGCGAGAGGGGCTGTTTTTGGGGAGGCTGGGGGAGCTCATTCCGCTGAGGCGAGCGCGCCATGGCCAGAAGGCTGCTGGTTCCTTGCAGCGGACCTCCCCCAAAGGCGGGCAGAAAAAAAAAACATGACAGCAACTGGACCGCCCGCTTGCGTCGATTTGCCAAATTTCTACCAAACATCCCACCATTTGCTTCGACGCCATCACCACCGCCGCACGCACATCACCCTCTGCTCTCGCCGCTCGCCAGTGCAGACGCTCCATTTCCCGCTCGAACCATCGTGCATCTTTAGTCGCCATCCCGCATCGATACGCCGCTCACAATGGCCGGAGGCAAGGGCAAGTCGTCTGGAGGGAAGAGCTCCGGCGGTAAGACGAGCGCCGAGGGAGCCAAGAAGCAGCAGAGCCACTCTGCCCGAGCCGGTCTTCAGGTGAGTTTCTGGCCGTTGGACGGCGGCAGCAGCAGCATTTGATTTTTTGCCCTCTCGTGGCCATCCGGCTGCGTCTCCTCGTCCTGCTTGATGCCCAAACGATTTGCGCGCATGCACGCCCATCCGCACCTCATGCGAGTCCCGCTTTAGCTTCCAACCTCCCCGCGATGGCCGAGTTCGACGAGTTTTTTTCCCAGACGACGTTGACGCGTTCGCCATCCCGTCGCCGCCACGGCTGCTGCGACTTTGTGCGGAAACGCAGGGGCATCTTGGCGATGGATCTCGCCGGACTCGAGCCGCGCAATTGTGTCACCTTGCCGAGTTTGCTGCCCTTGGGCTGCTTGGATGCCTAGTCGCGTAGCTGAGCGCAGGGAGGGGGAGAGGATTTTTTTTTCTAGCGGCGGACACTCTTTGGGACGGTGTTATACCCATGCCATTGTCATCGAAACCAGGATTACAGCCAAGAGATGTTCTGTTACTAACCGCACTGTTTTCGGCGCATTTAGTTTCCCTGCGGCCGTGTCAAGCGTTTCCTCAAGCAAAACACCCAAAACAAGATGCGTGTGGGCGCCAAAGCCGCAGTCTATGTCACCGCCGTTCTCGAGTATCTGACTGCTGAGGTTCTGGAACTGGCAGGCGTAAGTTTTTCTTCTTCAACTCGCTACTTTGCAGCATTAACCGTCCACGCAGAACGCAGCCAAGGATCTCAAGGTCAAGCGCATCACCCCTCGCCATCTCCAGCTGGCCATCCGAGGTGACGAAGAGCTCGATACCCTCATCCGCGCCACCATCGCCTTTGGTGGTGTCTTGCCGCACATCAACCGCGCCCTCCTGCTCAAGGTTGAGCAGAAGAAGAAGGCAAAGGCCCTGGAAGCCTAGATTGTTCCTTCTACTCCCGCGCACGAATCGCTTTTCGCTCTTTTTTAATACTCCGAATACCTTTCTGTTTCGAATCGCGGGGCGATTGACGGGAGATGGGCTGGAAATCGTTGGACTGGATGACGCTTTTTGATTTTTATTTTCTGCAGAGGGTATCCGAACCTGTCAATGGGTATATACAACCTGTAGGAGGCTTGGACAACTGTGCAGATTCTGGGCGCACGGCAGCAGACTTGAAAAGGCCGAATGACAGGACCGCGTCCTGATGGTTTTGTCTTGGTGCCAGCCGAGCAAATGGCTAGTCGTGTGGGTCATGTACAACAGTTGTTTGTGTTTGGGTCTTTTTTTGTTTGATGTTGCTCGAAGCAGTTTGGAGACAGTAGCTGATGGGATTTGACATGGTGGACGAAAAATATCTTGTTGGGCGGCTGACGTTTGCCAGGCAAGACTATCTTAGGGCTAGGTACTTTTATCAAGAAAAAAAAAGGAGAAAAAACAGGCACGATATACGGCTCTCCTGTGCAATATCTGGTGCTTTGTGTTGTTTTGGTGGTTTGTTGAAGCCGTAGGACATGATAGTATTCCTGTAGTTGGTGTCACTGCCGCAACGCGTTGCCTTTGTTTGCTATCACGAATGTCATTCTTTATTTGGTAAAGGTGCCTGGAAATAGGATAATTATTTGTTCATCGTCTTTTCAAAGAGTAGCTAAACGTAATACATTTTTTATTTTTAGAGAACTTGCTGGATATGTTGGAATTCTCAGACGCTGAGCGGCCATGGAATCTTTCATGTGCATAAGGGGGTATCTGCATGTATATGGATGGCGAAACTTGCTTGCTAGAACGCAAATATAAAGACAAGGTAGAAAGGCCATACTATCGAATCGCAAATTGCAACTCTATCTCTCGCTCCTGATCCTCCCTCGTCCTCACATCTCCCCCCTCATCTCCTCCCCCGCCCTCCCCCATGCCCTCCGCCACCTCCATCCTCTCCTCTTCACCTTCAATCACAGCGTCGTCATCTACTTCCTCATCCAAGATATCATCAATGTGCCATTCCTGGCTCAAAGGGGACGGCATCTTTCGGAAGTTTCTGCGGCGTTGACGTTTGTATTTCTTAGCCTTTTTTGGTGTCTTTAGGGGCTTTTCGCTTGTGGGCTCTGACGACGACGACGATGGCCTCTGGTTGGCAGGCTTGGACATTTCGTTGAGTGCCATCGTGACGAAACACTCGCTGGGGAGTCTGCAGTCTGTGAAGCAGCTGGATGTGCCGTCGAGCATCTTGTGGAGCCGCTCGCGCTCTTGCTGCCTCGGGGTTTCTTCATCCACGGCCATCATGGGAGCATCTTCGGTTGGGGAACTCTGCTGAAGCAATCTGCTACGACGCGCGTTGTAGATTTGCTCCCAGGCGCGGAAATCGAATTGAATACTGCAGATAGACTGTACAGTGTTCTTTTCCGAGTAACAGATTTTGTGGCCGCACTGGAGGCATCTTTGCGTGCAGCCCATGGAGTAGCGTCGGAGGCATTTGTGGCATGTCCAAGTCCAGGGTTTTGGCTGGATGTTTGAATCTGTGGCCATTGTTTTTTTGGAGTTTGTATTATCGTGGATGGGGAATGACGTTGATTTAGACTGTTGATGGACTATCTTTGTCGAGGAGGTTGAAGTTGGGGTTGTTGAAGATTGGGTAAAGGGGATGGGGCGTGCTTGTTGAGGGAAAAAGAGCTGGAAAAAGAGTCGATGTTGATATGAATACTATGGGCTCTAATATATTTCCTCCTTCTCAAGCAGAGAGAAGCTGCTGATGAAGCTGATGGAGTTCAAAACTGCTCCCTTTTTATGTCAAGGATACGATGAAAGCAGCAGTAAATCTTAGGGCTTCAGGCTCAAAGTCTGCAAAAGACGCGCATATGGAGTTGTTGAGGCTGATGGCAAAGTGCAAAACAGTTATGGGGCTATCAGGTATACTTGGATGATACATAGATTGCCTTTCCCTCACTGTCACGATGACCTATGTCGTTGTTTGGATTCAACTTCTAGTTGGATTTATCGGCATTGAAGATTTCCAGATACACGGGTTATTATCAGTCATTTGTTTCTTTGTATTGACCATCAGACATCGTGAGGTCTCCAACGTGAACATGTACTCGTATCTAATCTAAATGACCTTTGTTCTAGAAAGAAATTAAAATAGCCTTTGGAAACGGTAGATGCTTTGTTCTGTACCTACTTAATGACGCTGAGATACACGTAACAGCCCCCACAGATAGCCCCAGCCTCAAGCCTCCTTGCTCAGAGGCGCCACCTCTTGCACACTCTCTACTTGCACGACATTCTCTCCTATGACCTGCCCGCTCACGAGATTTACGCGAGGACCTGTAAAGTTCTTTCGGCCGTCGATGATCCACTGAAAGAGGGAGATGGCGATGATGATGGCGAATGCGACGATGCAGTAGTCTATGGGCGCGAGTTAGTAAACGTATCTACATTATATCAGACTCGTATATGACCCACTCATGTTGCTGCCAGTGACGGGTAGAACCGGCGGGAAGACGAATAAGACTGTGGTGAGCGAAATATACGACAGCGATATGATGTCTGCTGTCCAGCCAAACCAACTGGGCAGCACCCATTTCCGCTCGGGCAACTTCTTTCGCCCTTGGAGGCAGTTGACCATGATGGGCAGGCCGTAGGAGAGATCGAGGGTGACGACGGAGGCAGAGATGATGGCGTTGAAAGCGCTTGTGAGTGTAAGCTTGAGAAGAGATGGAGAATGTTTGGTGCAAGATTTACCTTGATGAACTCAGGAAGATGAGACCAAAGATGATGACGACGACGGAGGTTAAGATGAGGGCATTTAGAGGAAGGCCGAGTCTCGGATGGACGCGAGCGAAGAATTTGGAAGCAGGGAGACCGCCGTCGCTACAGTAGTTAGAGGAGGGTAATTATATGAAAGCGTCCCATCAGATTCATACCGGGCAAATGCAAAGATCATGCGGCTACTCGTCGTCATGACACTAAACGTCGCAAAAATCAGACATACAAGCGGGAGCCTAAATTTCAAACTGTCAGATTCTTCTCGGAAAAAGGAAGCTAGTGATGGTTGGATGAAGGACAAACGAACATGAGCAGGCAAATAGCTCCAGCGGTGTTGCTCGTGGCGTGAATCAAAATCTGCAGCAAAGGACCTGCTGCCGAACTGATGACGTCGTCAATGTTGCCGGCTACGAAAAGCAGGACGATGAGGAAGATGGCGCCGGTAAAGGTGCCGATGCCGACGCAGATGACCATGATCTTGGGGCCTTCCAAGGCGGCGTTGGGGATCTCTGATTTGGGGTGAGTATGCGGTGCTATAGTAAGGAGAAGAATGTGATTTACCTTCAATCATGTGGGCGACGGAATCCTGAAAGAATTAGCCATGATCAAAATAGTAGAGAGAAAGGAGGACATACAAAAGCGGTGACGCCAAGACCGCCTTGGAGGAGCTGTAGGTTGTTAGAATTGCTGTTGAACATGCTTCAATCTTTGTATATATAGTGGGTTGTATACGCACACCAAGGAGCCATGCAATCCCATCAGGCCCTATCGTTGTTATTAGTATCCAGAGATATGCCTTACTCGGGTAGTTAATAGAGATGAGGGTACATACATCCTGTCGTGTTAATGAATTCGCGAAACACGAAATACGCAGTGTTGTAATTCGGCGATGCGCACGCGAGGACCGTAATGGACACGAGGACAAAGCCGCCAATGGACCAGACAAAGGCACCGCGATAGAGAAGCGGCAAGAAGGAGTTCATAAAGGCATTGATGACAAAGGATGCGAGAGTAAAGGCAATGTAGATGAGGAACTGGTGCCAGCGTTGAGGCTCGTAGCTCTAGCATGAGTGTAAGAAAAGTTGTCTTTAAAGGTGAAGACTTCATATAGGTACCTCGTGAGTGGCAGAAATGATACCGAGAATGAGCTGGCTGGATAATAGAGCGTTGGTGGCTACGAGGGCAACCTGTAGGTGGTTGGTGTTAGAGATTGATACTGATGTGCAATAGTGAAGAGGTCATACCCAGCCGGCGACGTTGACCCAGCCTGTTATCCACGACAAGACTGGAACCCATTTGGGCCACGAGACTGTACTCTTGTTAGAAGAAGCATGGCATAAGCCGGTTAGAGAAAGACATACTTGCTGCAACCCAATGATATTGTCCGCCAGCGCTACAGATACAGCCAGGTATTGTTAGCAAAGCACACCCCAGTCCATCTCTTGCCCAGTATTGTCAAGGACTCACGTTGGATACGCCGACAGAAACTCAGCTAATGAGGCAGCGATACACAGGTTGCATATTCCCGCAGTGACTAGGCCTGTACACCCACACATGCACGTTAGTCAGGACAAGACGGCACAAAGGGGGGAACTAGATATGCATGTGCAAACGCATCTGCATACAACTTTGTTACTGACCCCAGACGACGCCGGTGCTACCTCCGGACGTTAAGCTGAGAGACAAGCTGGCAGAAAGAGCTGTCCAAGAGTTCAACACTGCGAATGCTAACCCCAGCATAGATCTAACCTTTGTAAGCCAATCATCTGAATTGAGAACGAAGGGAACTTTTGCCAGGGGACTGGGCTCACAATGTGGAAAAATTGCGATTCAGCTCCGGCTGGTGACCCATGGCCGCCAGCTGGGCGTCATCGCTATTCTCGTGTTTGGTATATTCCTCGCTCATCGTGGCACCTAGATGATGAGCAGCTATTGGATACTATTCCCTCCGTGTCTCATTCGGCAGGATTCTGGGGAGATCACAATGCGACGCAGGTGCCCTGCATTTGGGGGAGTGGCAGAGGAGAAGGAGGGTGAATGAGGAGTTTATTGTTTTCTTACAGAGCGCGGTAACAAAAGATGGAGACGATATACGGGGAAAGCATTGCAGGCATCGGCCAACTTCCTCACACTATCATATCATCGCTGGGGGTCCAATCGTGAAACTGGGTCGCATTTTTCGCCCATCAGACAAAGTAACAATGTCTCATGCGATCAACATTCTGGGCTGCGACACAAGGCCGGACTCGGCGTGCGGAGAACATGGGTTGAGAAACCCCCGACTTCTCGTACTATTGCCGGGACAGGCAATTAGAGGGAGAGCAGTGCAGATGGACAGATCCGGTGTGATTGACCGACAAGGTGCTAGAGCTGCTTAGCCCACTGATAAAGGAAATCTAGCATGAGACTCGATACCTGAGACTGGGATGGCTATCAGCCGTGTAGATAGGTATCTCGGCCGAGCCCCATGTAAGCCGTTTAGTATCGAAACGTGGAGACGGCGTGGCTCTCCCCGCCAGCAAGATGCGGGGAAATCGATAAGACGGCTCAAACTGGTTAGCAACTGGCATGTAACAGGAACGGAGAGCGCCGACGAATGTCGTTTTGGTAGGTTGTCTAATTGTAAACGCATGGCGGTGGAGTTGGTGGCTTAATGCTTGTTGATCGCGTTGTGTTGGACGCAGGGCGTCAAGGGCGCGACCTCGGCTGCAAACTGCTCGTATGGAAGTTATTGCTATCTGTTCCTTGTGCCTGTCTTTACTTATCTGTCGGTGGATAGAGCACGTACGTATGCACCTATCTACAGATAACATTAGTGAGGATGGAAAAGTGGAATCGAGCCGTCGTACCTACGCGATGTTTATCGGCACGAGACTCCACGCCATGCTTTCCAGGGTTGCACTGACGGGTCAGATGCATGGAGATCGCCAGGTTCGTCACTAAAGCCGCGGGCTGGGCCTGACAGCTACATGTCGATGTGCATGCCGCGATACTCAATTTGTCTACACGGGATACAGGATGCACATGTATAACCTCAATGGCACAGATGTGGGTGGGCTCATTTAGATAATAGTTCGTTTCGTATGCATGTCCAGCCGTGGATTTTACGTCATGGGTGCGAAGAGATGTGGTTGGCGATGAGTAGATAAGGGACGAGGTGAAGCTCTCGTGAGAGGAAATGTGTTTGAATAGTCCTCTCAAGGTAGCTTGAGCATTAAGTCGCCTTTTGGGGCTATGAAATATAGGGAAATATGTCGCCGAAAAGCTTCAAGCTGAGTGCTTTAGTTGTGCTTGCAGGATGGCTCCCATTGATATCCGCGGCACCGGCGAGTAATGGCGGCGATTCGACATGCAGGAAGACGTCTGTGGCGATATTGTGAGTATCTATACCAGAATCTCAAAGTTTGCTTAATTAGAGGCAAGTTTCACTAACATGTTTGCAGAGGCGCCGGAATGGCTGGCATCACCGCTGCTGTAAGTGCGATGAAGACACTTACATATATGCCCTACCTATCCATAGGCAAATCAAGTACAGTCTTTACAAGCTTTTGTCTAACTTTGCTTATAGCAAGCCTTGCACAACGCCTCTGTATCCGACTTTGTCATTATCGAGTACCAAGATCGAATTGGCGGACGGGCGTGGCACGGCGATTTTGGCAAGAAAGCGGATGGAAGCCCGTATGTGGTTGAGTATGGTTGTAATTGGGTACGTATTCCGAATTCGAATGCATAATTAAGTTGGCGATGAGAACGTACTGATGCCATAGAATGTTAGATACAAGGACTTGGAAATACTGGAGGTCCTCGTAAGTAATCATGAACTTTTTTAACAGCGATGCATATTGGTCTTGATTACTGACAATACGCTAGAGAATCCGGTTGATTTGCTCGTACGTAGTGTCTTCCTCGCTGGACATGAGTTCCCCTACTGCAAAGTCTGTCTAACTGGATCGACTCTCAGGCCCAGAAATACCACCTCGCCAACACTTACTCAGACTACGACTCCATCCTGACATACGATGAAACAGGATATTCAAATTACACTGATCTCATAGACGAATACAGCGATGCTTATGATACTGCCGCTGCAAAGGCAGGCCGATTTCTGGTCCAGAATTTGCAGGATGAAACTATGCGCGCAGGTCTTTCTCTCGCAGGATGGAATCCTAGGCATAGTGATATGAAGAAACAAGCAGCTGAGTGGTGGAATTGGGGTGAGTTGTTCCAAATAGCAGCAGCTATTTGTGTCCATGTAAAAAGAGACACGTTTCGCTTATAGGCTGCATATAACTGACGCCATCTAGACTGGGAGGCCGGATACTCCCCCGAAGAGTCATCCTTTGTGTTTGGCGTTGCGGGCGACAACCTCACCTTCAACCAATTCGGCGACGCCAACAACTTCGTCATCGACCAACGCGGCTACAGCGCAATCATCACCGGCGAGGCGTCGACGTTTCTAGCCAAAGACGACCCTCGGCTGCTGCTCAATACCCAGGTCACAAACATTAGCTACTCTGATAGCGGCGTCACCATCTACAACCACGATGGCAGCTGCGTTTCTGCGGCCTATGCCATCACGACCTTTTCTTTAGGCGTGCTGCAGAGAGATACCATACGCTTCTCTCCTGAATTGCCGCAGTGGAAGAAGAGGGCAATCCAGAACTTTGCCATGGGAACTTATACTAAAATCTTTCTTCAGTTTAACGAGACTTTCTGGCCAGAGGATACGCAGTACTTCCTCTATGCTTCACCCAATACGAGGGGATATTACCCCGTATGGCAGTCTCTTTCGACCGAGGGCTTCATGCCCGGGTCAAACATCATCTTCGCGACCGTCGTGGACGATGAATCTTACCGTATTGAGCGACAAACCGACCAAGAGACCAAAGCAGAGGCAATGGAGGTCCTTCGCCAAATGTTCCCCAACATCACTATCCCCGAGCCCATCGCCTTCACTTACCCACGCTGGACCTCCGAACCATGGTCCTACGGAAGCTATTCAAACTGGCCGCCGGGCACTACCCTGCTAGCCCATCAAAATCTGCGAGCCAACACCGGCCGTCTGTGGTTCGCCGGTGAGGCAACCAGCGCCGAGTATTTTGGCTTCTTGCACGGAGCCTGGTTTGAGGGCCGCGAGGCTGGCGCTCAGGTTGCGGCGCTACTTCAAGGCAGACCGTGCGTGCAGTATGGAGACGATAGGCTGTGTGGGGAGAGGATACATTATGAGACGCTGACGGGGACGTCGCCGTTGAGTCAGTATAGCATATTGAATGGGTGGGCCGTGAGCAGTCTCTATGACGGTGGCGATGATTAATGGGCTGTACATACTTTACATGCAATTCTGCATGATGTTGATACATATCTTTAGTATAGGATGAGTCGAGAATCATACTGTCTGCTTTGAACCCAGTGCAGTATTCGCATAAGGTTTTGACTATTTGGCAATAATATCTTCTCACAACGTCTGAGAGAATCTTGCTCGTCTAGATAATAGAAAATCTCGAAAGAGACGAGGGCTCTTTTTCACAGAGCACGACATCGAGCTTATAAGCGGTGACGCAGACCACTAGCAATACGTAAATCTGGCGCTACTATATCTCAACAGCTTGATGGAAATAGTCAGCATGGACTGTAGCTTTGCTTGTCAAAGGAATAGGTTTCCACATCCCAATATTCCTGGCGATGCTCAGAGGTGGCACTTCCATTCGCTCCGCCAGGCTCAACAGTACTTTTTCATTGATGAAAAGAAGATTCCAAGATGCGATGCGCACACAACATCAGAGGGCAGCTAAAGTAGCTGCATTGTAACATCAACGGCGCAAGAGCTTCAGAAAAATATCGTATCCGTGAATTAATGAACTCTGTGCCGCGATCGCCCTGGAAATCCGGGTTGTTCTGGATAGTCGTGTCGATTTCTGTATCTCTCCGAAGCTCTCGTGTTGTCAAATGTAACGATGCCACCGCCTTTGCTCTACCACTTTTGCCCCTGCCGAGCTGTGTGTGTCGCGAAAGCGGAAATATCGTAAATGCCAAGTCGGGCCTCGTTCATGTCATTGCGTATGGCTGACTGCTCATTTCTGCCTGTTAGTAAGTATCAACACATATTTGTTGCAATTGCATCGCCGTCTTTTGGAATCAGGCCTGTTGAGCTAAACGCCGAACGATGCGATCGGCATTGGCACGAGCTTTGATCATCTCGTAACCGAACGGGCGGTGACCGAAGTCGCACGAGGCCAGTAAGCCGGCTCATGTATGTTGAGTACGACCCAAGAAAGAATGTAGGCAGGCATTCATTATGTAGGTATCACCAGCTCTTAAATCGTCCGTCTTTTCATGCTGCGTAGCGTAAGAAGCATTACGTATCAGCGCAAGAGAAAATAGCTGGAGCGGAAGAGAGCGCAAGGCGGAAAGATAACTGCCCGAGCACAAGGAGGGCAATCAATGGAATCAGTCCAAGTTGCGCCGATTATGATGCAACATCAAATGCCCGCCTGCATCCTCGCATGAAGCCAGCGACAAGGACCTCAACCAAGCTTTTGCCGAGCCACTGAATCGCGAGAGCTGTCGATAAGCGGGCGCATACACCGATCATCGCTGACAACTCCCTGGTCGTGTCCAGGTTTCTTCACAGCCTCCAATGCTAAAAAAATTGTCCCTTCTAACAAGGCAATTCCCCCGTAGGTTTTTAAAAAGTTCTTTTGTAAGGGATGTTCACAGGTTGGTAACACTCGCTATTCCAACTATTCGCCATCGCTGCCGGCCGGTAGAGCCCGGACCCTGGCTAGCGGTATTCCGTATCGGGAAGGTCGATCGAAATAGGCAAGGATCTCATGGAGCTGCCATCGAGGACCTTTTGAATTCGATTTCATAGACCGGAGCAAAAAATTCTTGAATTGGGGCTTGGAAGACGGAAAACGGCCGATGTGACAGTGTCTAGCATCGGCTTGAGAAGGTCTCCTTGTTCACCGGGGCAATTGCTGCGGTCTGCCTAGAGTTCTGACAGGCCAGGCAAATTCTTAGGCAGCCTTACTTGTAGCTTATTTGATTCCCAAGTTATTTTGCTGTCAAAGCTGTCGCAAATGACAAGTTTTGCGCCTTGCAAATCTGCCTGTCAGTCATGACTAGAGCGGGCGCCTCCAACCAGGCATAGACAATTTCGGCAGCCCAAACGGGATATGAATCTCTCGGCAGGAATCCGGACCTGACTGCAGCGGGCTAAAGAGCTTATTGGCGACAAAAATCCCTTGGCTCATGCGGGCGAAATAGTCAGGGCCTTTATCTGCTGTGCGGCCGGGGTAAGGAGAATGGACCAAGACGCGGGAGCTTTGACGAGAATAGCTAGAATGGGCCACTTGCGTGATACTACCTTGTCAATAACAATAGTTCTTTTGAAAAGGATCTTTGGGTTGATTGGTCAGAGGGCTGTAATAGGAATTGTAATAAGAAAGACGCGAAGATGGGGTATATAAACTGTCCCGGCCACTCCTTTCTGACAGAATGAGAGAGAGCTTGAGTCTCAAGGTAGCTGGAGTTTGGTAGCTTTCAAGAGAAGATAGGCCAATCCGTCGCAATGCGGTCGTCTAACCCCATCGCCGTGGCAGCGGAGCTTCTCCTGCTCGCCGGGGCCGTCTCTGCCGGCACTCCTCAAGACACAAGCCCTCCCAAGGCCCCCGTCGGAGCTGGCGTCCTCGCCACGGGCAGCGGTCCTACATACCGCACCTTCCAGCAGCTCATCGACCATGACCACCCCGAGCTGGGCACCTTTTCCCAGAGATATGTCTACAACGGCGACTACTACAAGGGCCCCGGCTCGCCAATCATCCTGGTTGGCCCCAACGAGTCTGCACTGGACGGTTACGAGGGATACACGACCAATGCCACGCTCCCCGGCACCTACGCGCAGGCAGTCGGCGGCGGCGCCATCATCATCGAGCACCGCTACTGGGGCCAGAGCTCACCGTACCAGTCTCTCGACACGGAGAACATGACGTACCTCACCCTGGACCAGTCCATCAAGGATCTCACCTACTTTGCCAAGAACGTCGTCCTGCCGTTTGACCAGAACCGCACCAGCACACCCGACAAGGCGCCCTGGGTCCTCAGCGGCTGCTCCTACAGCGGTGCTTTAACAGCTTGGGTGCAAGACATTGCTCCGGGAACATTCTGGGCCTACAGCGCCTCCAGCCCCGTCGTCGAGGCGATTGGCCCGCTGTGGCAGTACTTTGAGCAGGTCAAGCTGGCCATGCCGCAGAACTGCACATCCGACTATGTCAAGATCATTGACCACGTCGACAGCATTCTGCTCGGAAACGACAAGAAGGCCAAGGCCGATCTGAGGAGCTTGTTCAAGTTGGAGGGCGTTGAGTACGATGACGACTTTGCCGCTGCGCTGGTCAACGGATTGTATACCTGGCAGAATGTGCTCTTTGCGGATGGCTTCAGCGCCACGAACCAGATGTGCGACTATGTTGAGAACAAGTGGCCCAACAGCACCAGCCCTACTCCTGGTGCCAAGGGTGTTGGTTTGACAAAGGCCTTGGCTGGATATGCCAAGTGGTTCACCGAACTCAGCCTGCCAAACAGTGAGTTATACAATAGTTTTGCAGATAAAGATGGAGAAGACAGAAAATTCTAACGTGTTAAAAGCTTGCTCTTCTTACGGATACTGGAAAGGCGAGTTCGATGTCGACTGCTACAACACGCACAACGCCTCCAGCCCCCTATTCACAGATCTCACCCCCACCAACTCTGCCAACCGCCAGTGGAACTGGTTCCTCTGCAACGAGCCGTAAGTCCAGAAAGAATATACTCACAGACGAGGTATCATACTGACAACACCCGCAGCTTCAAGTGGTGGCAGGTCCGCGGCGAGGGCAATCTCGTCTCCCGCCTCGTCACACAAGCCTACTTCGAGCGCCAATGCGGCCTCTTCTTCCCCAAGGAAGGCGACTACACCTACGGCATCGCCGAGGGCAAGACCACAGCCGACGTCAACAAGGTCACTGGCGGCTGGTACAACGTCAACACGCACCGCCTGCAATGGGCTGCCGGCGAGTTCGACCCCTGGAGGCCCGCAACGGTGATGGCGACCACCCGTCCCGGCGGCCAGCTGCAGTCGACTGCGGCCCATCCCGTGCGCGTGATTCCCGGAGGAGCGCACTGCGGCGACCAGTTGACGTTCAATGCGCAAGCGAACGCCGCGCTGGGAACGATTTTTGCCGCAGAAGTGGCGAGCATTAAGCAGTGGGTGCAGGAGTTTTATGCTGAGAAGGGAGGAAAGAACCACTATTAAGTCAAGTATATATTAGGCGTTCGGCGGTATATAGCTTTGGATGAACATGAATACATGAAAGGCTTGGATAATCAAGCCTATGAATAAGAAAAAGACAAGTCAGCAGTTGTCGTGACAAGTGTCTAAATGCTCCTCTCACTCAGTCATCTTACCATTACCACACTCCAGGAATGATAGCCCACTTCTTCTTAATCTTATCCTCCCCAAACCTCTCCATGTACCACTTCTTCCCATTCACAGCCCTCGGCAGCATAGAAAAGATCTCATTCACGAGAAACGCCCTGGCAGGCGCACACCCCCACCCAGCCGCCATCCAGAAGCCAAACCACTCAACCCACTCCGACAAGTAGTGCGGATACAGCATGTACCGAAACAGCCCCGCCTGCGGGATTTGGTAGTGCTTCTCCACGCCGGCGGCCTGGCCGTCGCCGCCGGCCTTTTTGCGGATGCGTTCCTGGCGCTTCTGCTCGCGGCGCCGGATTTCTCGCAGCTCCTCGTCGTGGAAGAAGTTTGACGAGAGACCGAGGTAGAAGATGCCAATGCCAAAGATGAACTGGGGAACGGAGCACACGGAGGACCAGGCTTCGGTGGTGGTTGGGCCGTAGGCGGAGAGCCAGGAGGAGATGCAGAGGGCGTTGCAGACCTGGAAGCCAAAGGCGAGAGACCAGACGCCAACGTGGATGGGAGACATGGAAGGCTGGAGTAAGGGGAAGAGAACAGCTCGGTAGCAGTAGTGGATGACCTGAGATGACATGTCAGTGGATATTCCAAGGGAGGGGGTGTTAATGGACGTAAAAGCAACATACAAAGAGTCCTCCCAGCACTCGATTCTGGAACGGCAAGTCATCGACACCAGCTTTCTGCGGCAACGTATTCATAACGTACAGCAACGTCAAGAACCCAGGACACTCCATCGTGATCCAGGCCAGCCGGCCAGGAATGTTGAATCTGCTGCTCACAGACGTTTTGCCCATGCCATACCAGCTAATAACCCACTGCAGCGAACCACACTGTTACAGCAGAAATCAGTACTATTATCTTTTCAACCACAAAGACAAGAAACATAAACAAGCCTTACAATCGGATAGCCAATCTGCCACCAAAACAGCAGACGCTCGTAATTCTCCCGCGTGGGCGGATACCACCCTTCAATCAACGACATGATGGCGATGATGGCGACAGACAAGAAGAGCAGAAACAAACAAGGCCACGCGTCAAAGAATCATGTAAGATGCTCAATCATAAATCAACAATCGCTAAAACAGTCATTGACGTAGATGCTCATGTAGTTCTTCAAGTAAGCCACAAGCCTCTGTGGCTGGCGGGCGTGATGATGTCAACAAACAGCTGTGCTTGTAGCAGCACAGCCAATTCTGCCGCTAGACACCACCTGCCCAATATCAACGCAATACCAGTATAGGAAAAAACAAGGCCAGCCCCGATAACTGCATGGCGTGCTGGCGCAATGGTAGCGCGCAGTCCTCCTATTGCTATCCGTAATGGGGAGATCCAGACTGAGGCTCAGGGTTCGAGTCCCTGGTACGTCGTTTCGTCATGAGATATTTTTTTGCTTAGCTGCAGTTGGTTGTTTCGCATCACATGCCGTAAATATCGTAACAGTTGAAACCATTCGTCTACCTATGTAGATGAACTTGGTCTTTTTTCTCCAGTCATAAACAAAGGCGGACTTGTGTTCGTTGTCTCACACAAACACTCATTGTAAAAAAGATATTAAACCAAGACGTTTATTCATTCATTCGATGCGTTATAATAAGAACTTTCGTATCACTACATATCTCGTCATAAAAACATGCTTGTATGCCTGAAAATAGGAATTGAAAGGAATGTGCCCTCCGCATAATCGTAGTTGAAGCCCAAAAACGCCCGCAAAAGATAAACCCGCCTGCCTATACGCAAAAGTGACAGTCCTTGCTATAAATAACCCCAACCCATTCAATCAGTGATTCATCCTCCATCATTTCTCCTCACATTACTATACAGTCTCTATCAGATCGACTCGAGCTCCCTCCAGAAGCCACAGCGGGTCTTCGACTTGCTGGAACCGAGGCGCCGGGTCGTCGGCCACGCCCTGCCGCAGGAGGTCCATTGCTTGTTCGAGACGCCTGTCTAGAAGCCGCTGGGCTGCTTTCGTGGTGGTTAGGATGCCCTGGAGGAGGAACATATGCAGGAACCTGAGCAGCCTGTTCATACGAGGGTGGCGGCGGTTCATCAGAGCTAACCGGTCTATTGACGCCTGGCCTCGCAGGAGGGACCAAGGGCCGGACAGTTTGTGACGCAGGCCCGCGTGGAGGCAAAGACCGTTGAGAAGTAGAGGCAGCGAGTGCACTGGTGCTATTATTGGCACTATTGCTGACGCTGTTGCTACTTCGCCGCGGCGGTAGAACGGGCGTGGTGCCACTTGGGCCAGCCGCAGAGCTGCGCCGAGAAGCATTGTTACCACCGGCGTTTCCTCTAGAATTGCCTTCGGGGCGAGTAACAGGTATGGGGAGGTGAGCTTGCTCGATATATTGCTCCGAGAGTGCTCGCTCCCGTTGCCGGCGCGCCTGTTCTTCTCGGTGTCTTTGATCCTCTTCCTCTTGTAGCTGCATGGCGAGGGCCAAGTCTCTGTCTTCTTGTTCGGTGCTGGAGCTTGCTTGACCTGGTTCGTCGATAGGGGCAGTCTCCTTAGTCTTGCCCCGTTTGTTGGTGACAGTTGTCCAAGCGCCACCGTCCTGGTCGCTATGGCGTTTACCGTTGCTAGTAATTGGTTCTGCTGCGGTGTCGCCGCTTACAAGTCGATAGTCTCCGGATAAAAATTGGTTTAGTTCCCCGTTGACATCCCGTAGGCTTTCCCATACAATTTCATCGTGAGTCCGGTAGCCGGCATCCGTCACAAGAGTGAGGAGCTGCTGGGTTTGTGGATGGCAATAAAGGGTTGAGAAGTGGTCGTTGCGGAAAAGGATAGCAAATGTACCGGGTCGGATTGCTTTTTGGATGACCTCGATTCCCCAGGGCGTCAGCTGGGTAGCTGATTCATTCAAAAATATCTTGATGGTGATGATGTCTTGATATAAATCTTGCTCCGCTTCCGTAAGGCCCTCCTCAGAAGTAGCTAATTTGTCCTCTAGCTCTTCTTCGCGGAACAAAAGATTCTGCACATCTTCGTAAGAGGTAGCATGTCTTTGCATGGAAGCACAGACGACATCATCGTAAGGCGGTAGCCAACCATGAACGAGAGGAATAGAAAAGGTCGCATAGAGATTCATCTCTGCAGTGTCCTCAAAGGTTCCAGGGATGTACTTGTGTCGCTCGAGTGGGTGAAGCTGTGTTAGTGAAGTATGCTCATATGCGGTGACAACTTCAGGAGTGGGGATGAATCGAGGGTTGACATTCATGCCGGTGTGGAGACTCTGGAGGAACGAGTATAGTTCGGAGACATCTGGCAGAGAGTCCTCTGACGACGTTCGTCGAGGAGACATGAGTTCGTCAAAAACAGCATCCAGCAGAAGACTCAAGCTGACTTGCTCCCGTGAGCGCAAAACTTGCACCAGGACTGTATCGGGGATATCGTCAGGTGTAGTCATGGTCAGCGCGTTGACTAACGCAACCAAAGGACAGGGTCCATTCTCATTCTGTATAAGTATGGGAGACACGCGGGGGTTTTTGGATGAGTTGGGGTCGTGCCAACGGATGTTCTTCACTTGGTACGTTTCGGCCTTGCCATCGACGGGCGGACGTGATGGAACCCATTTGGCACGACTCTCTGTGTCTCGGGGCGGCAGGGCTGGCTTTTCCTCCAGCACCATTGCCGAGGGTTCTTGCGGCTGTCTTTGCGGGGGGCTCAATGATGGATCCGAGTCTATCAAACTCCAATCATCCAATTGAGCTGCTTGTGCTGCCGTCAGCTCGGGTACCTTGCCCTTGCCCTTGGCGGCATCCAAAGACCCCAGATCGTCCCAGACGTGCTGCTCACGCTCGAGGTCCTCTGGCATCACTGGTTTCTGCGATGGGGAGCCTTTTTCATCACGCTCGCTGTGAGAATCGTCATCCCAACTCGAGCTTCTAGAGTGTAGAGAGATTAGGTCTGGAGACTTTGGCGAGATGGGCACTTTTGCAGGTGGGTGTGGGCTGGAACGAGCCCAGGGATCAGGCTCAGAGTCACCAGATGCTATAGCATCGTGTAAGTTATTTCCATGGGTTGGCGGCTGCACATCGATTGTCGGCTTCCATGGATTATGATTGCCCGTCTCCTCCAGGCTTATGCTAGAAAGCGAGGCAGTTGGCGGTTGCAGAGACGCCGGAACGTCTTGGAGACTCTGGTCTGACGGAGCTCGGTTTTTCAGAAATGGATTGGTCTCTGATCTCTGTACGCCTGGCCTGAGGGCATCGGGGATCTGGCTGGGCAGATTCAGCTCGGACGGCTGCTTTCGTGCCTCGTTCCACACGCTGTCTTCATCTTCCGGAGAGCCGAAGCCTACGTCGATGCCGCCTCCACCAGGCCGCAGAGACGCAGGCACCTCTTTACGGTGGATGGAATCTGATGTAGCACCAGTCGCGGCTGCATGCTGAGCAGCCACGTCTTCCCAGGCGCTTGTGGCCGGCTCGTCCGTCCAGCCGCTGTTCTCCATCGAGGGACGGCGATGTGGTGGCGGCCCGGGCGGGGGCAGAACGTCTTCGATGCTGCTGGAAGGCTGCTGGACATACATGCTTGATGAAGACGATCCAGTAGAAGAAGCTGTATTTTCTTTTTCTCTTCAACTACACCAGCCTGTCGATCAGGGTCGAGCAGCAAGTGCTGGGAGAGAGAATCGAGGTGGGGGGACGGTTTGGAGGTATGTCGTCACTGGATCGGCGATCAAGGCCAGCAGTGCATGGTGGCGGGAGGATGGCAGAGCTGTGGCAGAGCAGCAGGAATCGCAGCGAATGTGGTGCGTAAAAATGAGAAACCAAAGACTTGGGTGCCGGATAGAAAGAATGAAACTCGCAAGAGGTTTTAGGTGATTTGAAGAGAATCAGGCACCACGGCATTCGAGGTTGTTCCTGGAGGATTGGGGAAGAGTGTGGCGGTGCGAGCAGCGCTTGTACCTTCTGGACTGCGGAGGCTGCCCGCTGCGTCTTAGCGGACGCAAGGATGACGCAGCCCGGCAGCGCGCCGCGCAATGCTTGAATGAGGCTGAAGGTGGCGATTTACGAGCATTGAATGCGTACAAATAGTAAAAGTTGATGCATCAAGATACACCAGTAGCTAAAGCATAGCTGTCCCTCCGCATTTGATAGAGATCTCCATCGAGTACAGCAGTCCTTTGCACGGCGCCACACTTGGCCTTGATGAGGTACCCGCGGGACACGCCATTGACGCTGGTACACTGCAGCCCGCTAGAGATTCTTCAGCTTGGCAGGTACTGGCTAATGCTGTACCTGAGTTACAGCCACGCTGGCGAGCACCGCCACACTCTTGATCAACGTAGACGACGTGATACCTTCATCGCATTAACAGCTCGGCAAATTGCCTCTTCTCAATCCATTATGAGTTGTGCAAATACAGAACCACGTAAAAGCTGAATATTATGCATTCATAAAGACCAATAAAGCTCTTGACATGTCAAATTATCATCCGTCGTATTTCCATCTATCAGTATGGACCTATAAGTTGATCATGGCAGGGCAAGCTTCTAGCTTGGCGATGTCAGATGCTTGCACGTTGTGCCGCTCTATGATCATTTCGCTTGTAATTAAACATCAGTGTTTTTTTTCTTGTCACCAATCATCATTTGACATAGTGAGATCCTTCATTTGACGCCGAAAGCAGGGTTGTATTACGCTTGTAAATATAACCCATGGCCGCCTCTTGATATGCATTTTATACATCCAGCCACAGTCCTTGTTTATCTGTTTCAACTCGGCAGAGCAATGCAGCAGTGCAATTACTCTAATCTAACGAGTTCAGACCAGTAATAGCTACGCCTAGTCAATGTCTTGGTTTGGCTTATGTGAAATTTTCAAAAAGGAAAGAACAGACATAGAGTGTGCGCGTTATAAACCGGGAAACGATATACTCAGTTTCTAGAATGTAATTCACTCATACATCATTACAGTCGATAGGAAATGCCTTGCCCAGTTCTATACAGCTTACACAGCTCCAAGTCTTTTCTACCGAGTTCCAATTCAGCCAAGTAGCGCTGATTTAGACCTCCGATGATTATCGAAGATGAACAAGACTGCATTCACTGTGGCTCGAGCGAAACTTCTGCATTCGCTCGAGTCACAAAAGACCTGCCTATATAATCTTTGCTGGCTCACTTTCCGCTTCGGCGTTCTTTCCCCCAGCATTTACCTTCTCTTCCGCGTACTCCTGTCTCTTCGTCTCGCGTTTCTTTTCTCCCCCTTTTGCATGTTTCCCCCCAGTCTGCCTGTCCCCCCTGTTTTATCCAAAAGTTTTTTTTTAACAGCGAGGCTGGCCCATAAACGCAATGGCTTCCACGACTTCCGATGCGGGCGAAACACCCGAGCAGGCCATGAGCTTCGATCCTGTTCTCCGTCGGGGCAAGATCGCTCCGTGGCGTCAGACGTTGCAGGCTACCGACTATCGTGTTATGGGTCCTGCACTCTGTATATCGGCTGATGGTGTAATCCTGTCTCCTGAACAAAGAGCTGCCTTATGGCGCCTTCACAAACATCCTTCTGGCATCCGAGTCCTTCACAAGTGGAATACCCTCCGCCTACCAGTTGAAGAACTTGCTGGATACCACGGCATGCATGAACACGCGCTCGTAAATTTCACAGATACGGTTGGTGAGTAGCCTTTCAGGATTGCCCAGACGCGCAAAGTGTATATTTCACTCTCCGCTCCCTTACTGACCCGCGCGCAGTCTGTGATATCATCCGTGAAGGGCTGCTCTTTATTGCAATGAGATTTGACTTGAATGTCAAGCCTCTGCTTCCTCATGACATTAACAACATACTCCCCGAGCTTCCCCCAGATATGTCCACGCTGTATACCGATATACTGTCGAAATGGAACGTCTCAGCTCCGCCTCGAAGACTGATCAATCCCATTGAGCTGGTGTTAGCATACACCCGTAACCCCCCACTGAAGAGTCTGATCGATACAATTGCGAGCTCACTTTCTGTTCCTACTTTTTTGCCCATTACGCGAAACATGATCTACCAGAGAGACAACGAGCGCGACATGATAAACCCAGAGGCGACTACTCTGGCCCATGCGATTCAAATCCTCTTGTTCGCACCTACTCAATGGAATCCAGATATCATCTACAAGCGTGACTCCAGCCAATATACTCACAGATATCCGACACCCGCTGGTCATGGCGGTAACATCCGTACCGTTGCAGGGAAGTTTAGCCTCGAAGACCTGCATAGGTCCATACTCCTGCTATACCTCACGATAGCTCGACGTACATCGGGCATCATGGACTTTGGCCGACCCCCTTTGGAACTAGGGGAATTCTTGGGATACTTTGATGTTCCGAGACGTGAGCCGATCCCAGATGATATATCAACATATATCTACCCATAGACAAACCGCCAACGAAAGACTCCTGGACCGTCTACTGTCAGAAATGGTGTTCGTGACTCACGAACGCGTTCATGTGGAAGATCAAGAGTTATGAGAAGTCAATCAAATGTCTTTCATTACAATATACCCGACGTGCAGTGGTAATGTCAGCAGCATTATGGATGAAGAGAAGACGAGGGCCATGGACTTACTACAGACGCAGTTTGTGGAACGCCCCTCGATGCAACAGTTAATCGTAGGTAGGTATAAGAAGAATACATTATCTGGTTTAAAAAGTACAAGCCGTTAGACGATCCCCAACTCAGTTCCGGCTGATGTGAAGATCATCCTCCTATGTAAAATGAAATCGTTTTATAATTGGGTGAAACTAGATGCTCTCTTCAAAAAAGTCGCTAGCCACGCAGTCTTTCAAATCAATGGTTGAAGTCTGAGCGAAAGTTTGTGTTCGTTGAGAGACCACAAGGCAGACTAGCGCCCAAGCACTCATAAAATGGGGGCATAAACGTGTATTTGGTGATTTATGAATCTAGTCTACGGCTGCGATGGCGTCAATATGGATTGGTACACAGAAAATATTGTCAAATTAGGGAACGCCTGCTCAGCTCTTGCTCAGCTAGGCATTACACCCGAGAGGCTCAGTATTAGACCGATAACAATAAATACCTAATGTTTGTGTTAGCTATGCTAGTCATGAAGGTGATTTTGAATCAGTTGAAGGAGTGGGAGACCTGCGATGAGGCGACTCTTCAAGATCAGATGGAGGCAGAACTCAAAGGCGTCATCGCTTGTGTCAGGGCTGATGAAACAGCAGTGAATGAAGTCACGCTTCTGAAACGAAGAATCGACGAGCGTGAGAGAGAGTCTGGGTGTGATGATGGCAACAAGTACTTGTCAGTTCGTGGCAATACGTCGAGCTTTTGTAATATCGCTTTCTTCGTCGTCTATAGCGATTGCATTCCGCCAATTTAGAGCTACCAGAATAATTTGGTGGGGCTTTAGCTGATCTGTGACTTATATCTTTTACGTTTCATTACAATGGATCAAATGAAGAAAGGGGCCCTCACTTTTGCTTAGTATATGGATTATAGGGGCCCTATGATATTTATAACGTCTTGCTCTCAAATCTTGTGCTGTCTCGTTGAGCCCGGAGTTTAAAGGTCCAACACGGAGATGTGGGTCACTTCAATGATCAATGGTAGTGTGTCATTGCAGAAGGTATCCATAGTAGGCAATGCAGAAGATCAAGATTTGTGATGCATCTTCGGCATTCATAGCCCGAAATGCCGATAACATGTCAGTTGCAGCAGTAGATATAGCAAGGTGTTATAAACCAACCACATAAGGATCCTTTTGGTATATACCTTTGGTATTACACTAGAAGGCCATAACTAATTAGGGTGTGGGACTTCCTCTTTTAGTAGAATATGTACCTACTTATAAGATAAAAATGCAGCTCTAGGAGTGTATTCTTATTAGGTACTATAAGACTTACACTAGTAATAACTATAAAATAACTTACTATATAAGAACTATTTATTACACTTATTAAATAAAACTTAAATAATTAGTTATTAATATAGCACTTTTAGATAATAATTAAATTAGTTATTTATAATCTTATTAGTTATATAATTATATTACTTATTAAATTTTTTATATTTTTTTATTAATATAAACTAATACCTTAGCTTATAAATTAGGAACTTATTTTATACTTAAGTATAATAGTATAAGTTAAAATATTATATATTAATAACTCTTATTTAAAAGATACTTATAATCTCTTAAGTAAATTTAAATTACTATACTTAAAGTAATTAAATTAACTAGCACTTTTATTAACTTAACCCCTAAGACTACTCTTATTTTTACTTAAGATACTAATAAAAATATTATTATAAAAGAAGCTTTTAATTAGGATAATATATTTAAGGATTAAATTAAAGCTTTCCTTTAAAATATATTTAACCTTAATAAGCTTTTTATAAAGGCAGTTAAGACTAAGAAGTTTATAAGTAAAAATATAAAAAGACTTATTAAGTATTAACTGCCTTTTATATTTAATAAAAAAACTAGTAAACTTTATAACTTTTAAACTTAACTTAGGGCTTATTTTATTAACTTTAAGAATATTATTAATATTAAAATTAAAAAAGTTTCTTTTATAGCTACTTACCTTAAAGGAATTACACTTAAATAATTTTACCTTATTTAAGATATATATTTTAATAATCTTACTAAACTATAGCTTACTTATATTAATAAAATCTTTATTAACTTTTTAAAATTTAAAAAAGAACTTATTAAAGCTTTTAAAGATATTAAAAAAGTATAAATAGTTAAAAATAAACTCTTAGAAATTTACTAAAAAGGAAAATACTTTAATTATGCTATAAAATTTAAAAACCTAGCCTTTAAAGTTACTTAAAGATAATTTACACTTATTAAAAAATTCTATAATAAATTTAATATAAAAGTTAAGGAAAAAGTTTATAATATTAATTAAATTAAATATAATTTTATTTTATTTATAGAAAAGTATATTAAAGTAAATAACCTTCTTTATAAATTTAATATAAGGAATTATAATATATAAAAAGATTAATTAAATAAAAGTAAAAATTAAAATAAATAAGTTATTAAAGATAATAGTAGTACCCTAGGACTTATAAATATTAATATAATATAGAAAAAAAATAGGAAAAAAAAGGACTTTAAATATTATAATTATAAGAAGCTAAATTATATAGCATATAACTATAAGTTACCTAAAAAAAAAAAAATCCTTAAATTAAAAAATAATTATATTATAAAAAAAAATAATAAAAGTGTTTATATAATAAAACACTTAATCTTATTTAATAATAAAAATAACTATAAATTTTATTATTTTAAATTTAAACTCTTAAATAACTCTAAGATATTAAATAAAAAACTAAAAGCTAAAATACCTAATTAATAGCTAATTCCTTAAATTAATTTTTAATTATTATTTATTATAAAAGATAATACCTTAGAGTAAGATAATAATATTAAATAATATAACTATAAAACTATTAATAATTAAAATAATAATATTTAAAGAATATATAATAAATTTACTTTAGAAATATAAAAGCTTAATAAATTTTATAATAGTATTATAAAAGTAGAAAAACTTATTAAAAGAAATATATTAACTGCTTTATATAAATAGCTAAAAGATATATAATAATAAAAATTTAAAGTATAACTTATTTTAAAAGTTATAACTTTAAATAAAGTATAGTTATATAATCTTTTATACTATTATATTTATAAAGATTATAAATATATTAATTTTAATTACCTATTATATTATTATATTAGTTAAACTAGTTATATTACTTATATATATATAGGATATTTTAAAGAAAAATATAATAATAATATTTTTTTAATATAAATTTTATTTATTACTTATAAAAATATATATTATAATATAAAATTCTATAACTAGATATTTACTTAATAATATTAGTTTTTTAAAGTTATTATATTAGAACTAAATTATTATAATTATAGTAAAAAAGAATTATAGGAATATAAATTAGTATTTTATAATTACTATAAAACTGCTAAACTTATAAAATAGTAAGACTATAGTAACTTAAGATAAAAGTATAATTATAATAAAGGATAATTTAATTATAAAAACTATTTAAAATTAAAATATAAATAATATATAAGTATAAAAATTAACACTTAGTATTATTTAAAAAACTATAATAATTTATTATAAAAGGGTAATAGGAGGACTTAAGATATATAATATCTTTTAAAAAAAAAGAAAAAGAATATAATAGTAATAATAAAAATAAAAAAGCAGTTAAAAGACTTTTTTTTAAAGTGTTATTAAATAAGAATTTACTTATAGTTTTAAATAAATAATAGGTTAAAATATAATTATATATTTACTATAATTATAATATACTTATAGTTACTAATATATAAGAAAAAGAAATTATATTAACTTTAATATATTAAAAAATAAAACTTTTAATATAATAATAAATAAATTAAATAATAGATTAATTACTTATTAATAGATTTTAGAAATTATATTACTAGAACTATATATAATATAGCTAATATTTTAAAATATAATCTTATTTTAAGTATACCTTAGTTATATAAATATAAACTTAATATAAACTAGAAAACTAGTTAAATTTATTAATAATATAATAAAAATCTAGAAAAAAGGAAATTAGGAAGCTAAAAACCTAAGATTTTTTTACTATTTATTAATATATCCCCTTAATATATTAAAAAAAAAAAAAACCCTTAAAAAAAAAAAAAAAAAAATATTTTAAATTTTTTTATAAAAAATTAATAATCCTAAAAAAAAAACTATAATAGGTTAAGCCCTTAAAAAACCTAATAGTAAAGGTTTTAAAATAATACTAAAAATATACCCTTTAAAGGGATTAACTAAATAAAAGGCTATTATTATATTAAAAATAAGATTATAAAATAGTTTTAAAGGAAAAAGTATTTTTAAAGTTTTATAAGATTTATAATTTTAATAAAATTAAACTTAAAATACTTAAAGAATAAATTAAAGTATAACTTAAAAAGGGATATATTAAAGTTTTAAAATTACTTATTAAATATTTTATTATTTTTATTTTAAAAAAAAATAGTAAACTTTAGTTAATTATTAATTATAAAAAGTTAAATAAAATAACTATTAAAAATAAAACCCTATTACCCTTAATCTTATAAATTAAGAATAAATTATATAAAAAGAAATAGTTTACTACTTTTAATCTTATAAGAGCTTATAAGCTTATTAAAATAAAAGAAGAATATAAATAAATAATAGTATTTATTATAAAATATAAATTATATAAATATATTATTATACTATAAGGCCTTATAAATACACTAGTATTTTTTTAAAAATAAATAAATTATATACTTAAACCCTACTTAAATAATTTTACTATTATATATATTAATAATATTTTTATTTTCTT